TGATGAGGGGGTTTGTATGGTTATGATTGTAAGAGAGTTACGAATGAAATCCTGAATGGTCGGTATGTTCGCGATATCATGTAATATTCTTATCGGTGTATCATATGGACTGGTTTAGGATTATACGTATATAAGAATTTGTTTTGCATCCTTTGAATCTTGCTTGTATGTGCCTATGCGGCTGCCGGCCAGATAAGTAGTCTGATGCACGTTTTGTATATGTTGATCTTGACATTCGTTTCTAATCCGTTGTTTTTCGCAATAAGGGGATAAAGCTGATGAAGAGCTGGGTATGTGGGGAGCCCATGTAATTTTTGTGTCTAAGATGACTCCCAGATACTTGGCTGTGGTAGTCCAGAGTATAGCTTGGTCTGCTATTTTGATTGATTTTGATACAAGATTTTTCTTGGTGGTGAACATGATTGCTTGGGTTTTTGCGCGGTTGAGCTGTAGTTTCCAGTCTTTGAAGTACTTTTAGAGTAAGTTAATATGGTTTTGTATGTGTTCGGTGGCTTTTGTGAGGCTCCATGATGAGGCGTAGATTGCGATGTCATCGGCGAATATGGCTGTGTGTCTGTTTTTGGTCGTGGGAATATCGTTGATGTAAAGTGAAAAGGAGAAGGCCTAAAATAGAACCCTGGGTATGACTTTTTTACAGGTTGATTTGGTTCCGTTGATGGAGACACAGAATTTCCTATCGTGTAGATAACTGGTTATTATATTTATAAGTGTGGAGGGGATTTTTGTTTTCATATAGCTTGATTGTTAGAGAGTCGAAGTTGGCTTATTCTTTTTTTGTTTTTCTCCATGATGATGTGTTCGGTGACTCGCTGTAATTGATGTATGGCTAAGTGGTTTTGTCGATAGCCGAATTTCTGCGGGATTATTATGTTGTGCTATTGGTTATGAATTCCAGAAGATGACATTGGATGATCTTTTCTAGGGTCTTGCCTAGTATATCCAGGAAGCTGTAAGTAGCTTGTAATGTTTGTTGCGGGTTTCTTTGGTTTTGGAATAGGAATTACCTTGGCCATATTCCAAGTCTTTGAAAAATAGGCAAGTTGGAAGCATGCTTTATAGATATAATATAACTGTACTATTGGTTTGATCGGTAGTTTTTTGAGCGTGATAGCCATTATCTTGTCGAGTTTTTTGTTGTTTGGAAGGTCTTTAATTATATTTTTAATCATTTTAGGATTGCAGTGTGGGTGATTATTTGAGGATGGATGGGTTGTTTGAATGAGAATTAGTCTGTGCTGAATATCTTGTTCGAGTGGAATATTGATTGTATGCTTGCCTGTGTATGTTTTGGAAGTTTTTGGCTAAGCCTTCCGATTTTTCTTTATCGGTGTACAAAATGGAGTTTGGGGCTGTGTCTTGTAGAACAGGTATTTTAGTTTTTGAGCCACTGGTGATTTTGTAGGTTTTTGTTGCCATGTGCTGTTTTGTTGCCATGTGGGTTATTTTTTTCGAATTTCGTTTGTGAGGATGTTTCTTTGCAGTTTGAAGATCGGATTTCCAGTTCTTTGATACTTCCTTCTCATTTTGTTTCTATTTATTTAATTGTATCTTGACAGAGCGGATCGGTTAGGCCTGCGTTGTGGGTCCTAGTTGCTTTTCAGTATGCTTTCTGTATGTGTTGAGTGAGGGATTTGATTTCAGCGTCTATGTGCGTTTCGTTCGCTAGATTGGAATTTAGATTTTATGCTTTCCAGTCAGTGTGTACTGTCGTCTTTGTCCTTCTTGCTGTTCTGTAGTTCTTGGAGAGAAAGCTCTACCGGTAGATGGTTGGATGATAGATCATCTATGGTTCGGCAGGTGCAGAAGTATGATGCATTCGATATGAAAATGTCTATGTTGGTTGGTGTACTATTGGATTGTTTATGTGTGTTGGGCTATGTATAACCTGGTAATCTCTGAGATCCGAGTGGTTCTTGATCGCTGTTCCGTTAGCGTTTCTGCTTATATTATTGCGGTGTTTCGCATTGAAGTCGCCTCCGATAATGAAGCGTCCCGAACGTTGGAGAGGAATGATACTTTCGAGATCGGCTTGGCTTATTTTCATTTTTGGCGAGGCGTACGTGGCGCCGACCGTCAGTGCGAGAATGTTTTTGAGTTTTATTGCTATAAATTCTATGTTGTGTGAAGTTGGTTGCGGTATGTCTTCGACTGGGATGTCCTTGTGGATTGCTATGAGTACCCCTCCTCTGCTTGTGGGCAGTAGTAGGGAGTTAGGTTTGGGTTAGTCCGTCTCTTCGATGTATATCAGAGTTGATGAGTTTGAACTTGTCAGTGGATGTTAGCCAGGTTTCTGTGATGATTGCTATATCCGTGTAATGGTCACTGAGGAATTTTTCTAGTTCGATGGTTTTGTTTTTAACGCCAGTTACGTTCCATAAAGTGAATTTTAGTGATTTTTTATGCGTCATCATTTTCCAACTCTTTTACTATTACAGGATAAATGGTGGTTTTTACTCTGTCTAAGTTGTTTGTTCACCTTGTGTAGTGTTTTTGGATTAAGGAAATTCTTAGGAATAAGTCAAGGTCTATTGATTTTATTTGGGCCAGTTGTTCCCAATGCTTCAATGTCAGGATTTTTTTGGATTTCTACAGGTGAGGGTGAACGGCTACCGAATTTTCTTTCTGGGTTGATCATATAGATGTGTTTGAGCGAGATCGGTCCCAGAAAATAATATTTAAACTTTCTAATGGTCCTAGGATGCGTGAAAAGTTGCGATAAAGAAACTTGCCAAGCCTTAGAATTGGGAGTCAGGTATGACTACAACAATAAGATAAAAAATAAGGACGGTCAAGGAAAATGCTTGCCGTGGAGGAAATAATGAATTTGAAAGTTTTTATCCTTGGCTCGAAGAATTTATTTTTCGCATCTCAGTTTAATAGTAAGACCGAACACATGTATTGAAGAAAGTATTGAGAAAAAATCCTGGAACATCAAATCGAAAACGTTCTGTTGAACCTAATTTTGTGAAATTGAAAATTGGGGAGGGGAGGGGGGGTACTTAAGATAATCTTTCATATATTTCAAAATAGCTAAAAATAATCTCTATAAATTAAATTTTACTGTTGCACCACAAAATAAACTTTAAGTTAAATATTTTCTAAATTATTATTATTTATAGAAATTCTTTTTCGACTTGTACACCACTTTGTACTTAAAATGAAAATTACATTTAAATATCATTTCTTTATCTGTATTCACAAAACTGTGAATTTACATTAATAGAAGTTTTGTAATGAATAAAATTTGCAAATAATCTGCAAGCAACTTTCATAAAGTAAATATGTACATACATACCCACTCGAGAAAATTTAAAATATAATATTTCAAAGTATTGAAATTGTAGTATCGACAAAGCATTAAATACATTAAAAATGAAATTCTTGAATAAAATTGTAATATTCATATCTCTCAGAGAAAATTATATTTATTTATATTATATTATTATATATATTTATTTAATTATTAATTTAATTATTAATTTATATATATTTATCTAGTTATTAATTTAATTATTAATTTATATATATTTATTTAATTATTAATTTAATTATTAATTTATATATATTTATTTAATTATTAATTTAATTATTAATTTAATTATTAATTTATTATTATACATTATATTATTATATATATTTATTTAGTTACAAATTTATTTCATCTAAAAAAAAAAATGGTTCTGCAAAATTTTGAGCGAGTGTATATTGTGTACCAATATATACATGTATGTATATATATTCATTCTTTCTTATAGCTCATTTCGAACATTTTCCATAATTACATAACATCTGTGTTTGAAACTAGATTTTGTTTATTTCTTGAAAGTAATCAGGTAACTGTCCGCGTTTGTCCGAAGCTTTTATACATCTTTTAACTCTTGCGAAATTCATTTCTCCATTTTTCTTACTTTTCTTATTCAAGCCAAGTGACAAATAATTGTAGAATCGTATCTGAAATATTATTTGTCGTGTGTTATTCTAATACCTACTACCTCTTAAAATATTATTGGCGATTCTTTATTTTTTAATAAAAGGTCAATAACTTTGAATTTCGCGAATCACTATTAACGCGTTACAACATTTTACAGGATTTCGCATTTGGACGTACAAATTATTTTCCGTTTTATTGGAAAATTTTGAAAAATAATTGGTAAAATCGTGTGTCTAGTGATAATAAAAAATTCATCCCAAGCTTACTAAATATCAATTTTTTTTTTGCATTTTAACGTCTGTTTTTTATTATTATCAAAACGAGTTATGGCATCGTAATCTTGAAATGAATTCGAATTAGAAAATTATGCAGAGATAATGTGTAAGATTGTCAATGAAAAGAAGTATTTCTGTTCATTTTGTCAATTATATTTATATTAAATTAAATTATATAGTATATTGTATATGTTGTATACTAATTCATTTTTAATTATAACTATAAAAGATCTCAAATCTATATCCCGCTCCATCAATTTCATAAAAACGTCGTTTTGTCTTTATTTTAGTCATTGATCTTTAGAAATTTAAACATAATAGCAGTTTCTGGTACGAAAATGCGTATAATTTAAAAAAAAAAATAGACCTCACAATTGTAATTTAATTATAAAAGAAATCATTTTCATTGATAAACGTTAACATTACTTTCAAACGTTATTTATCGTTATTTAACCTCTTGCGCTGGAAGACGACGTGCCACGAACGTCGAGAATTTTTTGTCCCAAAATTGCCATATTTTCTCAGTTTTAAGTATATTTAAGTAAAACAAAATAGGCAAAACAAATAATAAATTTATTCTCAATCATTTCTATCCAGTGATCTATCATACCGACGAGTTCAAAAATAAAAAGCGACGAATTATTGTATACGGTTTAGTCACTCGTTATGGTCCGCAATCAGTTGCCAGCGCAAGCGGTTAAACGTTAACACGTTAAAGTTGCATCCCCTCGTTTCTCGATAATCGTGACAATTTTCTTCGAATTGCTTTACAGAAAGCGCTGCATTGCCAACATCCGGCGTATCGGCAACTTTAGCGGAAGTTCGCAATGAAGCGAAGACAGACGCGGCATTCAGACGCATGTCGGAAATAGACCGAATCCTGCTTGAGAGTTTGGATATCGGTCGTTCCAGGCCCAGGCCCACCGGTCGATTCCTAACGATGCACAAGAGACGCCGTAAGAGGCTTACCACAAGATCCTTAACCGAAGAACCTGGTATACTGGACGATATTTTCCATGGCCTGGTTCAGGTAAGCCATTGATCTCCGGGAATATAAACTTTATACATATCTCCTACGTAAAAATGAACCTATTTTCCTCAGAATCGTATCGAACGTAAGATACGGGTGACACTTACTGACAAAAATTAAAATCTGAATGTAAATATATCTCAGAAAGCTATTCTTTATTTCAGAGATGTACGTAAAGTGGAAACAAGAGTTATATAGTGTGAGAACGTGATACTTATACCATACAGTAACAGAATATGTAACAGAGTATTTGTTGGAATCTACTTTTATAAAACTCGCAATTAATATTGAAATAAAAGTCAAAAAAGTCGAAATCTTTGTAACCAAAGTTAAGAGACACATCGCATACGATGATATATAATGATATTAATGATGATCGTTCTTAATAAAAACAATATAATAAATATTTATAATTTTTACAAAGTTCTAATGGTAGATTCTCATAACTGCATGACATTTGCGAGGCGTTGATTTAATTAACTTATTCAGTGTATACAGGTGAATAAACAACTGATATGAATAGCGATATCCTCATGGGCTGCCATAGACAAATCCAACAGGTGCATTGAAGATCTAATCACTAAAATAAAACTGAGTCGATACATCAGACTATAGATTTTTAATTTTTTCCATCAAGTTTCATTGAATTTATGTCTGGAGATTGACTTGATTAATATTTCGTGCCATGACAAGAATACCACTTTTAGAAGAATACTTGGGATCGTTGAAGTGACCATTTATTCAATTATTATTCATTATTTTTCACAATTTCTTTCATTTGTATTAACGAATAAAAACCGATTTAGAATTCTATTTATTTGTATCGTTATAAATTGTCGCTGCAATGTTGGATTCCGTTTAATGGAGTCAATACGCTTACAATTTAGAAGAGTTTATTCCCTTACAGTCGTGGTCGTGTATGAAATAGAATGATATCGAATGATTTACAATGTTTAATGCTCTTGAATATGATGTAGAATGATTTAGAATGTTTGATGCTTTTAATGATACAGAGTGTCTTTATAATGATTTAGAATGTTTTATGCTCTTAATGATACAGAGTGTCTCTATTATGATTTAGAATGTTTTATGCTCTTAATGATACAGAGTGTCTCTATAATGATTTAGAATGTTTTATGCTCCTAATGATACAGAGTGTCTCTATAATGATTTAGAATGTTTTATGCTCCTAGTGATACAGAGTGTCTCTATAATGATTTAGAATGTTTTATGCTCCTAATGATACAGAGTGTCTCTATAATGATTTAGAATGTTTTATGCTCCTAATGATACAGAGTGTCTCTATAATTATTTAGAATGTTTTATGCTCCTAATGATACAGAGTGTCTCTATAATTATTTAGAATGTTTTATGCTCTTAATGATACAGAGTGTCTCCATAATGATTTAGAATGTTTTATGCTCCTAATGATACAGAGTGTCTCCATAATGATTTAGAATGTTTTATGCTCCTAGTGATACAGAGTGTCTCCATAATGATTTAGAATGTTTTATGCTCCTAATGATACAGAGTGTCTTTATAATGATTTAGAATGTTTTATGCTCTTAATGATACAGAGTGTCTCTATAATGATTTAGAATGTTTTATGCTGTCAAATGTCTCTAAAACATGTCCTTATATACATTTGGTTATCATTGTCAAGTGGAAGGGGAAGGAGCATAGGTGACCAATTATTGGATCTTGCCCTTATGACTAACTTATTCACAGTCCACTTTTATGTGGACTGTTGCTAGCTCATTGTCAGTATTTGCATAGATTCAATATTGTCTGTGTTGGTCAACAGCAAATTCATGGTATATAGAAAAAATGTAGTGTTGTAAAAGTACATTTTTCTTCTTACATTATTAACAGAACAGTCTGCTTTTTGTCAGTAAGTGTATTATTTCAATATTTTTTAATTTTAATAACTTTAGAACTTTAATATTAATAACTTTATTTTCACGTTATTAGGCGAAATTAGTTAAAAATGCATAAAAAATGATATAAATTTAAAGAGAGAAGGAATATTGAAAAAAATAGTATTAAGTGTTATATGAATTATGGTTCTTACAAAACTACGCAGATAAAAAATTGTCGATTAGTGATACGTAGCGTTCTTAATATCGGATTAAAAATTTAGAATTGTCAAAGGTAAATCATAATGAAGGAAAAAGAAATTAGAATTTCTTTTCTAATTGTTCTTTGAGCTTGCGACATGTCAATCTAGACTTGGGTGTTTCGTATTATTAACTGCTTTTAAATTTACTGGTTAATATTTGCAATTTAATGTAATTACGCATATTATTATCTTTGATCAAACTTGTTCAAAGCTGATCCATAAATTATTATCGTTAATCTCGAATTGATACACGTTATACCAGTATTAAATTACTAATTATTACCTTGATAATAAACTACATCTGATGTGTAATTTTGACTAAATTTTGACTCAATAACTAGTAATTTTGACTAATTTTGACTCAAAAACTAAGTAGACAATTATCGATGACAACGAGGTCGATGAAATTTTTTAATTTCTTAATTCTTATGCTTCTAAATCTTTCCGCTCTTAAATTGATGAATTTTTTAATCTTTTGATTTTCAACATCCCGAATCTTAAACTTTTCAAATATTCGAATCTCGGGATCTTCGAATTTCCTTATAAACGAGCATTGCTCGCGAGACGTTACAACATTTCAAGTTTCTAAATTTAAGACATTCTGAAAATTGATGTCAGTAGAGGAAGAAACGTCACGTTCAAAAAAATTATACAACCAAAAAAGAGACATTTTCTTTTGAGATACTGTTTTAAACTGTCTTAGAGATACAATTTTTCACAATATTGATGTGAATATCGAGGATTTCAAGATTCATAATTCTTCTTACGAAGCGATATGAAATTTTCAACGTTATTAGTTTTCTTTCGAGTTTTTCATCTCAATTTTTTTGGGAAAAGATAGAAAGATGTAATATATTATTTTAAGTAAAACTCATAGATTTTCAATTTCCTGAAAATGATTCTTTTTAAGAAAAGTTGATGATTTTTCGTGGTTTGGAAATATAAGACACTGATTTTCGACGTCTCGTGAACTTGAAACTGAAACACTTCGCGATCAGCCAATCAACTCTTCTCAAAATTTTCATTGCTCATCAAAATCTCAAATCTAGAATGATTCTTTTTGTTTCAGTAGACTTACTAAACTAATTTAACAAGTATTATAACTAAACAAGTATTATCTGTTTATTTTCTCGTTATTTTTCATAATTAAATACCGCTCAAATATAAAATCAATCTAATCTAATTCGAAACCTCATATCTTTTTTGTGATTCGGAGCTCTCAAAATTTAACTAAGAAAAAGAATAAAATCAATGAATAAAAAATCGATGGTTATATCACCGTGATAATGTACGACGGTATATACTCTGAAAAAGTATTTTCAGAACATTCGGCATCATAGTCGATGAAAAAGATCCAGAAAGATTCGGATGTCAATGTTCTTAAACAAAAATGTAAATTAGATGTTTTTGTATGTTGTTATATTTTTTTTTAATTGTGATATTTTGTTTAATTTATATAGCTGTTAACTCCAGTTCTTAAAACAAAAAATTCCTAAAATTGGTGCTTCAAGTTTTAAGAGTTTCGAGTTTTCAAATCTTAGAATGTTTCGGGTTCGAGTTTCGAAAATTTAAAACTTAGCTTCGAATTCATCTCAATTTAAGATACTCAAAAAGAAAATAGTACAACAGACACCATCTTTCATTTGAGTGGACAAAATTAAAATCTAATAAATAAGTTTTTATGCACTTGTGGAAAATTTGAAGATACGAAAATATATATAATACACGTAATATGCAAAAATATATAAAATATCCAAAGAAGAGTATTGATTATAATTCTATGTAGAAGAAATGATCTTCTATTTAAGTTCCATGTTAATTAATTTCCAGTAAAAATCCATAAAAATCCACAGTTTATTAATAAAACTCCGTATGATCTAAAATACGTTATTATTGTAGTATGTACTTATAAAGATTTAGAAAATCATTAAACAGTCTACTACATAAGTAGTATGTTATATTATGTTGTTTTAGAAAGAAAGCATTTGTCCACTTTCTTACTGAGCTTCTCTTTACTTGAATTTATTTTGATAAACAATGAGATCCTATTTCTTAAATTTTACACAACTCATTCGATTGAAATAAATTTTGCACAACTTATTAGATTGAAATAAAAACTGGTTAATTAAAATCGGCCCAGCTAATCGGATCGATAAAATCCGAAGTAATTAAGGAACTGAAACTGTTATGTAACTGAAGCGGAAAACCGATGATAACGGTCGAATGACCAGAACCTTTGTGCAATTTAACCGGTTAAATGCTAATACGACATTACTGTCGGTCAGGACTGATCATCACACTGGATGAAAATCATTAATTCTGCTTAGAAGATTTACTCGGTTTATTGGTGTCCACGTTCGATAGGGAAAAAGAAAATATTACTGTGTTAGAAAAATAATAATAATATTGCAAAAAAAAGGTAACATTTTCAAAAAGTAAGAAAAATATTTTACTTAATCATAATTTATAATTTAATAAAGAGAAAGGAAAGACAATGGTACATATGTTTTCAGTTGTGTTATTTTTACAAGGCATTTTTTTATTTTCATTAAAATGTTTCAATTTTGCATCATTCTTCCTAATCATTATGCCTTCGAGGCAATGATGTATATAATATATATATACATACATGTACTACAGCTAATGGAAATGATTACTTTTTGAATATTTCTAAATCGAAATACTTACTTTTTGAATATTTCTATTTTCTCTCTTTATTGTTCTTCGCATGGAAAAATATATATACAATAAAGAACATAATTGAACAAATAATAATGAAAAATTGTCGATAATTTAAGCTGATGTAAAGTTATAAAAAAAAAAAATTATATAATCCACTTAATCTCATTTTAAAATGTAAAGCTTTTATTTCAACAGTCGTGAATTCGTTTTTTTAATGATGATATAGCGGATGAGAAAATGAAAATATTATTTTCTCGAAAATTGTAAAAATTCAAACTTAAAAACATTAAAAGAACTTACTTACTATACTTTTTTTTTTTTTGCTATTCTATCAAACTTCAAATAGTAGAATGAAATGATAAAAATCCAAGGAATCCAAACATTTTGTCATTTAACTAATGTTCAAAGTTTATAAAACGATTTAAAAAATCGTACAAGTTTTAAGAAATCATTGTAAAGAGGAGATTTGTAATCTTCAAGATCATAATGGATTTAAAAAAAAAATTTTTTGTTTTTACAGACGTTTGAATTTTTATAATTTTCGAGAAGATAATATCTTCACATTCCTATCCGCTATATGATATAAAATCATCTTTGAAAAAAACCAAGCTTAGATTATCAAAGTAGAAGCTTTACACTTTAAGTGAGACCAAGTTATATAAAGGATCGTTATATAATTTTTTAAAAAAGTTCTATCACTTAACGAAATTAAATCATCGACAATTTTTCGTTATTATTGGTTCAATATATAACATACTATGATGAAATTCTATATTATGTAATATTCGTGTAGAATTATCAGAAATTTACAAAACGTAATTAATATTTTTCAATATCTCTGTTTCTTAATATTTGAAATATTGAAATTTCAAATATATAATTTTGTTCATTTAATTTATTAATTAAAAACAAAGGATAATAATTATATTTGATTTTTATAATTAATAATTTTATTAATTATAAGAATAAGTTATATGTAATTACATTTGAATGAATAGTTTTTCTATTATAATTTAATAGATATATGACCCGTTCTACATACTATCAGAGAATCAATATTTCATCTTGTGCTTAATGGCATAAAGGTACATTTAGCAGTATATCCATCGAAGTTTCAACTTGTTCCATCTTTTAAAGTAGAAGAAGACAGAGACCTTATACATCTCAAATCCATTTAGACTCCTTAGATTTTAAGTAAAATGAATTTCTTATTAATTTAAACTCACGTCTTTAAAAAACTGGACATTATAACAAATTTATAATGATATCAATTATACATTAAGATGAATTCATTTATTCATATTTTCTAGTATCAATTCAATGTATTCTTGAATTCTAAATATCATTTGAAAATAAAAATAGCCTACATTCTTCTGAAAGTAGAATTTTACTTATTCTTTATTATTAATTACAATTTGCTTAACCTTGACACAAAATTTTATATTTAGTATTTATTTATATTACTTAATTTAAATTTTATATCTAGCATATTTTTATATGTAGTAATTTGAATATTATATTGTCCAAACTTGTAGCTAAATTTATAATTTATGAATTTAATTGTAACTTTGTGAATATGTATAACAAAAAGATATAAAATTTAGCAACTGCACATGTAATTCATTCGCTTCTGAATCAATTAATTATTAGCCCCCTAAAACAAAAGAAACAAACGCAAAAAAATTATGTAACAAACATTGTTAAACACTTTCGTGCTCATTCAAAAGTTCCTAACATAATATTTCAAATAATACTTCAAATTTACTTAAAGTATTCCTACTATAAAGTTGTCCTATTTGCACAAAGGAAATTGACTAATAGAACCAAACCTTTCCAACCTCTCCAACTTTTAAATGATTTATCATAAATGGACAGATTTGTTTCATTATAGTGACATTATGTTCAGAAACACATTTCAATACTTTTTAGCTACAACTGTTTATATTTCGCTGCTAATCTATTGTGTTATTGATGATTTGTTGCAGTGTGTGTTACAAAAGGCTGGAAATTGGAGATTTAACGCTTTCACGCTGGAAACAGTGACGGGAGGTAAGCAATTAAAAAAAAGAAGAGAAAAGAAAAATAGTTTAATTCCACTGCAACTCGTTAAAACTCGATGTCGTGAATGTATAAATAATCTGAAAATAAATGAAAACTGATTAAAAGATTGAATTCCAAATCAAATCAAGCAGTAAATTAGTTAAGAATATTTCCATTCCAACAAAATATTTTATCAGATCTTTTGAATCATTAATATACTTTATGCTTTATAAAAATTGGAGTATGTTTTAATTGAATTTTTGAGACGATATCACGAACAATAACGATTAAAGATGATTTAACAAATAATAGATCCAAAAATATATTTTATCTGACAATGAAAACTACACTATATTAATTATTTAAAGGATTCGCGTTTATATTGACATAGTTAAGATAGAATGTTTGCAGAATATCAACGAGTTTAAATCAATAAAAACTAATATAAATCAATTTCAACTAATTAAAATTTAATATGCATTACCCAGTAGGAATGGAAGAAAATAATAAAATAATACACATTGTTTCTGATTTTCTTTTTATGTTCTAGTATTTCTATCGCCAACAAATCATTTATTTATTTAAGAAGCTCACATTACAATAACACAAAATTTTTATATATTTGTATTTTATATTATTAAATGTTTAATACCTCGCTCTAATTTAATATCAAAATAAAATCTATATTTATATTCATATTCTGTAGTAAAAATAAAATTTAATAATTATGTTTAGAAAAACTTTCAATTTTTTTATTTATATCATAATTTAAATATCAAGGCTATTTGTTCTATCGGATTGTTACGGGGAATTTTGCACGTAATCTTTTCTCAATACTTTACTTTACATAAGAGAATATTTATCTTACCCACGTACTGAATATTTTTGCGCTGTATTATGTATTTTATGAAAAAATCGGTTTGATACATTTTATTTCTACTCCATTAATGTTGTACAATATCTTTTAAAGGCAACCTTTCCTGAAAGTGATATCTGTCTCTTACATGAATTCAAACGAAAGAAATAGTTTTAAATTGCAAGTACACTGTTATTATCATTTTTACAAACGTAAAATTCATGAGAAAAAAATTTTCACTTCACAATTATACCAAACGATATAATGAAAATTTTAACATTTAAAATACTAACTACTTAAATTAATTATTTTCAGCGTTTGAAAGTTATTATCATTAAATTTATAAATTATATAAATTTAAATAAAATTGAGAAAATATAATACAGAATATCAGGTATCCAGATGTTTTTGCCGTTTTTGTTCATGCGAAAAATTAAACATATTCTTGTTTTAAAACGAATTTATTCATCAAAATATAAACCTTCACATTTTATAATACTTTCTCTCAACGATTTAATAACTTGTGTAATGCCGTTTTTATTAAAAATCTTTTGCTTCACCGCGGAAAAATCTTGACACTTCTTTCAGATCACTTTCATTATTGAAGTGCTTGTTGCACTGCTGTTAGCAAACTGCGATCAGGTTACAGCGAGCTCGTTTGCAACATAGCAAGCAGCGTTCGTTAAGCGATACATCAAAAAAAAGTCTATTTGTAAACTCAAAACGTATATGTGGTCGCAATTTTCGTATATACGCAGGCAAGATCTACAACAAACTGCCCGAAAGCGAACAAGCCTGGAACTGGTGGCAAGTTGCTTGCATGCTCTTCGTCACAAGAAGTATGAATTCTTTTTTCGTTGAATGCGAGCAGTTAAATCCAGTGTGGGCCCAGCATTATAGTTATCCAAACTCAGAAACAAGTGAAAAATTGTTGGTGAGAGGTGGCTGGGACATAATCTCCCATTCAAGTTCCACTATTTTGTCATGAGCAATCTTTGTCACGTGAATCATGATTGTCCTGAAGAAACAAAATTTTCTTCCCGTTACCAATGCTAACTGTTTTTTCGGTAATTTTTCTCTTTTTAACTTCTCACGATAAATGCTTTTCCCACTTCTAAAAGCTTTTTATAGAAAAATAGAATAATAATCAATAAAAATCGGCAAGAACTTTTCTGGTTATCTAATATAAAATTTTCAGAAAAATGTTACAAGTATCTTTTATATTATATAAATTCTGTATTTATATTAATGAAATAACAATTACAATTTTATTATTTAAAAAGATATGAGGTTATATTAATTCTTTAATAATATAATTCTTTAACAATTCATAAGATAAACTGAAAGATTTAAGATCTGATACATGTACTATTTTATTAGATAAATAACTTATTTATCCTGGTGTTTTAAAGTTTTTGACCGTTTATCAAAAAATTCATTCTGTGTATTTTTAAATTTTTTAAACTATTCAATGATTATAGAAATAGTATTGAAATATTAATAGTACAATGAAAAGAATCTGTATAATAACAAAAAAATTCTTTTACGAACTCATAATATTTCTCTTCAATTGCAATGTATTCAAAAACTATATTATTTATATATTTGTCCACTGAAACCGACATGTATTTAATGTTTCTCGAATAATGTAATTTTTAAGCTTTTATATTACTTAAAATATAACAGCGAAAAATAAAGTACTTATTTAGAAACTTCATTTTATCAAAATGCAAAACAAACAGAAAACAGTGAATACATTGTTAATGAAAATAATGAATTCTTATTTGAGTAATAATATAAAAAAAAAGAGTGATTTTCTAAATTTGAAACTATGCAGTAGTAGCCAAAAACTTAAGACAGTTAGTAGGTAATAAATATTTTGACAAATGATATTTTAAACTGTTATAACCTCCTGAAAGGAAAAAGACATACGCTAATCTAGCTGAACTGATTTTAAAATGAAAATGGCCTAGTCTTTGTGCCGTGTTCGTTCTTTTTAAAGATGTTTTTAGATCATGTAGTGGACGGGAAAATGAAAAAAATTTTTCTTCTCGAAAACTACAAAAATTCAAACGTTCTCTCCAAGAAAAAAATTTTTTTGTAAGTCTACCATAATCTTAAAGATTAAAGTCTCCCATTTTATTGAATTTTAAACACCAAAGACGAAATGGATGAAATTTTTAAAATTTTCATCGTTTAACTCTAATATTCAAAGTTCAATAAAATATCAAAAGAAAAAAAAATCGTAAAATCTAGGGAGTCGTTGTAAAGAGACTTCAAATCATGAAAACAGTCTATCAATGTTTTTACACACTACAAAAATTTATAGCATTTTCGAAAAAAAAGGCATCTTTATTTTCCCAGCTAATAAACTGAATGATATATTTTTTAAGTAGAAATTTTAAGCTTTAAAATGAGCTCAGGATTATTGTTATGTGATTTTTTTTTTAATATTTTTGAAATATTTATGTGTCCAAATATCAACGTCAATAACTACATTTTTTCTTCACGAAATTATAACAGTTTAAAATATCGCCTATCAAAAAGGCTGTCGTCTTAAACTTCTGACCGCTACTATACGCTACTATAAGAACAACAAAGTTAGTAAGTTTATATAATGCAAATGTATCATGAAAATAAACAGCTAAGAAACCGCAGTAAATAACTGCGAATATGTACATAATTCAACGTCGGTGCATGCCGAAAAATTGAATTTTTCAACGGAACTCAATGTTCACCGTCACGTATGAAAAACAATACTTAAGAATGGAAAAAAGGAGTAAAACTTCTCGAAAAAAATCTTTGCTTTTAGATAATAACTAACCGATTTATCACTCCAATACCAAAAATTCGTGCAAACACGCAAAGAGGAATGGTATTTAAACGAAAGCGGAATTTCTGCTTGAGAGGTATTTCACCTTTTCAAGTTCCAAAATTCTCGAGAATTTCCGCGAATATTATAACGTGCAGTTTGATTTATTTAGCTCCAGATTGAAGCATTCATTTATGAGAAAGTGGCAGCTTCGATTGGTCTAACTTTAATATAATAGTTGACCTTTTCACATATAAATCCTTGTTGATGCATATAATACAAAATATATTTTTTTAGTAATTAAGAAATTTTATTCGTAGTAGTTTCGTGCATTTTCTTTAAAATACCACCTATAATGTAATTACATATATTTAATCAAAGTAACTTCCATAGTGATTTGATGCGCCTCCCTAGAAACAAACTAGTTCCATTATTCCAGATTTATAAAAAAGATAAATTATAAAGTTCAAAAGTTTTTTCAATGAATTCATTATAGTTTTTTTTTATTTATAGTTATTTCTCTTATTTATAATAATAAATTCTTTTATTTATAATTTATATAATATAGGTACATTACAAAATTCTCTAAATCAAATGGAGAATGTTTTGAAGAACTTGCCAAAATGCTAGATATTATCAATATCTTAATGAATATTCTGATTATTCCTAATGCTTCTAATAAATGTTTGATATTTTTATTAGAAATCTTCTTAATACTGAAAGTAATAAATTTCTTCTGTTTTAATTGAGGAGAAAATTTTGTATGTTATCAATCTATCAAAATATACTTCCAAGACTCTACTTCCAAGAAATATACTTCCAACATTTCGTATTCACCAACCTAATATTTTGACTTTTTGTTCTGTAATTTATTTAGGTGCATTTACATCAAAGACAAAGAAAGATACATTTTATATACGATATATTTGATATCTGTATATTAATAATTTCTCTTTTAGATTCATTTCATTTCATGGCTGTTGATATTCTAGCTATTTCTTTACACTTGCTGGAAATATATCCTTATTTCATAAAAATCAAAATAAACACGATCGTTCGAATCAAAAGCGATGTATCGCTCTGTTGAAATTAAATAAACAATTTATGGAATTTTCTTGTCAGAAAAAATGGGGGTTTATTTGAATTTTAAAGAATATTATTCAAATTACACGTAGAATTAAATATGATATGAATATATAAGTAAATTGAGTATTATATAAAATGAAAAATAATAACTATGGAACTTTCCTTCATTTCTTCTCATCATTTGACATTTTTCTGAAGGTCTATAGTAGTTTCATTTTACTATTATTCTAACTCGGCGACATCTCGAGTACCTCGACTTGAATTCCATGCTTGTCGAGTGTCACGTTACGTTTGATTTTTAGGACGTTCGCTGCCGGTACTATGCGTCCACCTTTTTCACTGGTATGGGCTTCTACAACACTTCAACCTGGACGTGGTAACTGTGTGGAAATTATTTGGTAAGGAATATACAATTAAAGATGTAAATGTAACTAATGTTATTGAAAGAAATAATTTGAAGAGAATGATCACAATGTTTAAAATATTGATGTAAACAGAAACAGTAATGTTTAAAGACGTATTAAGATGAATGCCTCTGAAAATGTTTTTAAACGAATGTTTTGTAATTTTGAGAAATTCTTTTCAATGAAAATGTATAATAGTTTTCGAAGATGATTTTGAAACACGGAATTTTTATTTGAACAAACATTTTATTGATAATTTGTTTTGCACCGATAAAGTCAGTTTGAAGATGATTCATTGATGTTTCATTTTTTACTAATGAAACATCAATGAAACATCAATGACTAACAGTACAGTACCTGTTATTACTATGCAACAAATATAATATCTGTTCTCTAAGCAGGACGTTAGGAGTCATTTTCTTTGAAACTGTTGTTTGTATCAACTTGAAATTTTAGGTACAACTTATAAGAAATTGTAGAGGTACTTATAAGAAGTTGTAGAGATACATAAGTTTCCTAGAATCTAGGAATGACTTTCCTATTTCTTTTTAATGAAATAATATATTAATTTTTCACCATTCCAACAATTTGTGTATTGTCAGATTTAACTTTTTATTTGGAACATTTGTTTTTGTTTTTTATTCTGCATAATTGCATAATTTTTATTCTGCAAATTTCAAATAGCTTCAGAGAATTTTATGTAAGACATCTTGTATATTTCTAAATCTTTTTATCAAAAAAGAGAAATTTTTTCAACGTTATAGTTACATATTTTTTCCATATCAATATTAATAAAAATCATTATAGTCCTAAAGATATCAATTTTTAAATAACAATACATTACATATTACATTCAATCATTCCACACAATTTTAAGCTCTAATTAGAAATCTTTGCCTTATTTATTCTTTTATGTTATTTTTATAACGATGATCGACAAACGAACCTTATAAATTAAATCCTATAAATTAATTAATTCTACGTTCTGTAAATTTCCGATTTTATTCACAGAATACACAGTCAAATCAATGTCCAATTTCAAATCATAATATAAATAAATCAAGAGAGCTGAAATCAATATGTCTTTTGGAGAAGTCAGATTTTCAAGAAATATTTATCGCATTCACAGAAATCATGTAATCACTGATATTCAAAGGTATTCAAATATTTGCTTAATTTTGATGGAACACAATTCAATAACAAAATTATAAATCGATGATGATTTTGTTTCTCATTGTTGTTGCAATTAAATAAGTTAGTACCTACATGTCGTAAAATGATTGAACATTTTCTTTTTTTATAAATTACTCAGTTCTTAACTTGTGAATCGGATGAAAAGATTGTTTGAAGTAATAAAAAAAATAATTAAAACAGTAACATTTAATACTGTTAGATATTAAAGAAAAAAGAATTAAAATTTGTAATTTATGAGAGCTTCTATTAGAGTTTGCTTTTAATTTAATGCATTGTTAATTTGTCGTTATTTTATACATTTCATTGACATTTCCCTGTTATTATCAAAAATCAGGCGACGTTTCTAGATATTTCCCAAGTACAGTAATATACATGTAAACAATTGAATAAAATAATGACAACACAGCATATAAATTGATTTCATATCCGCATAATCTGATATTATATCACGCAGCATATGGCATAGATTTACACAACGCATTTGTAGACTCGAACAACCGTTTTCCACGATTTCTTTCTCTCCGTGTGACTTTCGCTGACGTATCACGTCTGTTTCTTTGATACTGTGTTTCCACAAAGGGCAGACTCCGCGTTTGCCCCGTATTAATGATCATCACTGTGTTTCTGCACGAAATTTTTACTTCGTCGTTTGGAATACAGGTCGGAAGCTATTCGTCACCATTAAATATTCAAAAGGGGAGAGTCTCGTGAAGAGAAACGGCCCTCTTTACCCGTCGCGCCGCGCTGTACGTATTCTCGTATTTATAGACCATGCGCGACGTTTTTTATTTATTTATTCTGTATAAGATTTCCATACAAACAGGATTTGTACCTATAAAAAAGAAATTGGTAGAGGATGTGTGAATATAAAACCTCGCAATCGGCTGAGTAAAATAAACTCGGCTACGTAAAAATAGTTATGGTAAATTCGCATGCTAGAAGGGACAATGGAAATCGACGGTCTTCATTGCTTGATAACAAGTTGAAGTTATTTTATGAAATCAAAAATTCAGAAAATTTAAAATATTTGGTGGAATAATTTTGGTAGTTCTATATTTCTATTCGTGTTAAAATTGTTATGAAATTTCAATTGTTATATACATTTTTGTTTTTGCATATTTGTTTTCTTTGGTTTCCGCAGAATTTCTAATTGTATCATATAACCCCCGAGATATTTCATATTATGTTTTTTATTTTATGTCTTTCATAATGAAAATTTATTTATCAAATGATTTAATCACGTTTTCGGGTCTTTCTTAATATAAATTAATTAAAAATAAATATATATAATTTTTATGCTCATTATAATAAAATATATTCAATTTTTTTATCCTTTTTATTATTTTATTTCGTTATATTATTGTGTCCTTTTTATTACAAATTAATTTCGTGTCAAATTTTTAAAATTTCTAAATGAAAGATTGCAACAAATTATTTAGTTACAAGAAATTAATTGTTGACTATCAATAAAATGTGATTAGTGTAAATTATTGATATATGAAATTTCATAGAAATGGAAATGTATTTCGTTTACTTATACTTACAATTAGTATCTTGATTAATTTTTTCGCTTAATATTTCTTATTTATTTAAAAAATAAAAAAACATGAACTTGGACAAATATGTTTATAAGATTGTAAGAAATATAGTTATGAAATGTTATAGTTATGTAATATAGTTATGTTGTCCTCTAATTTCTTATCTTCCAATGCAACGATATTTGAACGAAATTTTGAAGCTTAAAAAAGTTTAATTTTTATTAGTTCAACGCCCTGCTATTTTGTATCAGAAAAATATTAACATTTAATACTAGAAAAAGATAAATCTCACGATCAACTTTTTCAAATTTATATAGATAAAATGTTATTACTATTGTTATCAACATATAAATGTTATTACTGTTACTATTTATTATTAATTTGTTTACATTATTCTTGTAATTAAAGAACATTAAAGTGAAATATGAAAACATTAGATTTCCAGAAATTGGACTCGAAAATATATAATAATTAAGTTTGCCATTATCACAAACATGTAATTTTTCGGAATACTTGACATTTTATTAATATAATATTTTGTATAATTATTTCAGTGATATAATGCATTTATAAAATTCCCTATTACATTATGATAATAATAAATTATGATAATAATAAAATTCAGATTTCTTTCAGGATATGCTTAAGAATTAATAATATAAAGAATAATACAAAAAATAATCATAATACTGGATTCTTGATATTATATAATGTGTGATATTTCAAAAAAATCTTTTCATTTAATTATAAAAATTTAAAATTTACAATAATATAGTATTAGATACAATTCTTACAAGTCTGGTCTCTACGCTTGTACATTAAATCTAAACAAACTCGCGCGAGAAACTATTCTTATTATCGTATTATCCAAACTATCATTTCTATTGTTTAAGCTTTATCTTTATTCGCCACGCGAGATCTAAAAACACATGGTATTAAACAGGAATTTAATTATATTCGGTGTTTTCCCATTCAGCCTTCATCGAGGAGGGTTATCACAGCACAAATCCTTACCACAACAGTATACACGCGACCGACGTAACTCAGGCGATGCATTGCTTCTTGCAAGAGGAAAAAGTAAGTACATATGATTTTATAGCTCCGAGAGGATGAAGTGTAATGAAGTGTGCAACGTTGTAAAACAGATTAGGACGCACTTAACCAACTTGGAGATTATGGCATCGCTGATTGCCGCGGTGACGCACGATCTGGATCATCCAGGCGTCAATCAACCATTTCTAGTTGCCACGAGCAATCATTTGGCTGCTCTTTATCAAGTAAGTCGACGCAATTTTCGGCGCATCTGATACGAGCTGTGTGTGTAGAAGTGAGAAACTCGTGAGAAACGATCGTTAACAACTTGCTTATTGATTGCAGAACACGTCAGTTCTTGAGAATCATCATTGGAGATCAGCGATAGGATGCCTTCTGGAGAGTGGAGTTTCCGATCAGTTACCAGCGAATGTGAGGCCAGAACTTCAACGGCACATCAGCTCGTTGATTTTAGCCACAGATATTACCAGACAACAAGAATTTCTCATTCGATTCAAGGTATTCTGAAAAATCTTGTTAACATTCGTAACTCGTGCGGACGTTGCAATTGTTATCTATAGACAAAAAGTAGTGTCACATGTATAAGTGATTCGAAGGATAAAAATAAAAGAAGAAGGGAAAAAATGACAAAATTTTTAATCTGAAATGACAAATATAATTTAATTAGAAATGACAAAATTTTTAATTTAAGGGAATTGTGCGTAAAATTAGTTTCTATATTACAAACGCTATATATTGTTGAAAGCGCATTCGCAAAAAAAAAAATACTTGAAATTTCTGCTGTTCGTCGATAAAAAAATGTTTTTAAAAAAATAACTTTCGAAAAGAAATTTCATTTAATCTACTATTACTAAACATTATTTTGCATCTGAGAATAATGAAACAGAATTTTTATTTTCGTCATGCAGGAAATTAACAAAAGCAATTTTTATCAATTCAGCAAATTATCTTCAAACGTGCAATGTATTGTTTTTATTAGAAACAGTTTGAATACCGTAACATGTAAACAATATATTAAAAACCCAGTATTAACATCTAATATTTCTCTTATCTCATAGATGCAAATATGCAAAATTGTACGTCATAGAAACTGAAAAAATCTTTCGAGAAAGAGAGAAAGAAAGATCTTATGTCTTTTCTAGCACTACTTGGACGAAAACCTGTTGGAAATGAGGCGCGCAGATGATCGACATTTCATTCTACAAATAGCCCTGAAATGCGCCGATATATCGAACCCATGCAGACCTTGGGACATCTCGCAGAAGTGGTCGCACAAAGTATGCGAAGAATTCTTTCGTCAAGGCGATTACGAACGTCGTCTGAACCTTCCGGTGACACCATTATGCGATCGGCATACCACTAGCATACCAAAGATACAGGCTGGATTCTTTAAATTCGTCGTATCGCCTCTGTACGAAGAATGGCATCGTTTTTTGGGCGATGGTCTTAGTGTATCGTTAATGGAACACCTTCGAGCAAATCAGAAGAAATGGGAGACTTTAATTCTCCAAGAAACGGCGAAGGAAACAGAAACGGAGATCTCAGAACTCGACGAAATAGAAGACGCGGTCAGTTCTGTGGACGATCCAACTGCAGAAGAAGATACGGAGAATATCAGTTTGCTTATACCAGCTGCGTATGTCCAATCCTCTAAAATGCAGAGTCTACCAGCGCGAGTTGGCCTGGAACACGTTGGAAGACGCCATTCTGTACCATTGAGTATCACGAAACCTTTAACTCTTCTTCCACGAAGTAACGTTAGGCGTGAAAGTTTACCGAGTGAACAGAGCAAATCGAGAAATCTTTTGTGGAGACTGGACGATCAGTCCAGTTTTCTAGATCCAAGTTCGTTGTCGTTACTGTCGTCCAAAACCAGTATACCGGAACTTTCCCCGAGTGCCAATAACACAGGAGAGAGACCAGTCAGTGCTGAAAGTCTTCTGCCAGAAACCAGCATAGCTAGTATCACCAATAGCACTGAGGCAACGAGGTTAAGCACGGTATTACAATCGGATGCTCAAAAGCCAAGTACGCAGACAAAACAGCTAACGAGGCAACAAACTTTCCCTCCATTACAACCTTATGTTAGAACAAGGTATCTATCCGCGACCGCGGAGATGTCGCAATGTTACTCACAAATCTTAATAGAGACAGAGAGCTCGGCTTCTTCCTCATGTTCGGTAAAAGAGAAATCGTGCTCGGATGGCCGTTGCGGTACTCCTCCAACAAAGGAGATAGACTCTAGTAACGTTCAATTGTCAAAAGACATAGATATACTAAATAAAAGACGAGCTTCTGCAATTTCGGAAACATTTAGGCAGAAAACAGAACCAATATCGGCTGTCGAATATCCACGACGTCATTCGGTCCAAACGATCCGTATTGAAGATTTCAGCTTTAAAAATCGTTATAAGCGACCAACTTCTGCTCAAGGAACGGATTCTACGCATATCTTCTACGCGCCGTTAACTGGTTCACATTCCGATAAAGATGGTCATAGTATTGAAGAGGAATCCAAGTTGGATGTTACTTCCATCTCGAAAACGAAATTGGAGAGTGAAAAGTCGATAAGCGAGGAACAACGGACTACGACGGTAACGTTATTAAACAAATCGGAACAGTGTGGTTCAATAACCGTTGCTACAAAACCAAAGTGTACCAACTCCGAATTACGAAGATACTCAACTCCTGTGCCAGAAACTAAGACAATAACGACTGATACCGGTGGTAGACGATTTACCGCGATACCAGTGTCCTCCGAACTTAGTACACATAAAGTGTTCTTTATTGGTAGCCCACCAGACTCACCGCCCTTTATTCAGAGCGTGTCCTCATCAAGCGATAGTAGTAGCGATTCGCGAAGAGGAGATATGAATAACGAGATTGTTTCTACTAGTAATAAGCGAGACTCTGATCCAATAAAAGAAAGAAATTCGAAGGTAGCCAAACTAAGTATGGATATGCAGATGAAGGAAAATGTTGATCCCCGAGCGATGGAAGATACAAAAGGAATTGCTTTATCTAGGAAGGGAAGTCAGGTAAAATTTTTTAATATGTTTTTTTCTCAGCGTCCAAAATTAACTTATTTTAAATTATTTGTTTAAAAACAGTAATAAATTTGAGTCAATAAATATTATTCATTAATAAATAGAGTATTAATAAATTGCAAGAAAGAAATAGTTACAGAGTTAGACTCTGAAATATTGTCACAGAATTATATTGTATTATATAATCAGATTATTTCATCCTGAACAAGTAACAGTTATAATTAAAATACATGTTTGATTATTTAGTCATGGACTAGACGACGTGGATCCGCTCCAGTTGGTCTTCTATCTAGATTGGATGACATCGCAGTACCATCTATAACAACCAGAGTTGATCACACTTCCAGACGTGGTTCTGTACCAAATGACATTACTAGACAACAAGGTAAGAGGACAATAATATCCTCAAAGCATCTGTAATAGAAAAAAAGCTGTAATCAATATCACACTAATACTTATTCCATTTTCAGGTGGCGGTTTTAATAGATTAGCCTTGGGACCTCGAGAGGGTAATGTTGCAGCACCTCGAAGAGCAAGTCTTCCACAAGAAACTGCTCTTGGAAATCTTCTTGGCAATATTTTGTCTTTAACTAGTATGTACACATACTACATATTAATATCGTGAATAACAAGTTTTTGCTTGAAATTTGTTACCGCTAGCTGCATGTTTCTAGATGAACGAGAGAACCTCCCAATAAATAATAATAATAATAACAATAATACCGGAAGTAGCAACAATAACGGAATAACAAGAATAGTTGATAGCATCGGCCCTGGCATGCCATCTCCGCGGCGAGGTTCAGTGCCGGCAGACATATCTGAATTACGCCGTGATATGTTCAATAGGAGTAGTATAAATGGTAAGCCTCGTAATCGGAAAAAGATATTGAGGAGAAGGAGTTCTGGAGGACCAGAAATGTTTTCTGGAGGATCCACAGATGGAAACGATAATGGCACATGGCTTAAATGGAAGAGGGAACTAGGAAAAAAGGACTCAATTCCTGAACCGCTCGTCAAACGAAGAGGTTCCTTGCCCATAGAGATGGTGGCCATTTCTCATGCTGGTCGGTACAATCATAGATAAAGGAGGATGTCGTTAAACACAAGCCGGTACCATTGCGTTCTCCACTAATATTTTTACAAGAAATTAAAAATTTGTTAGTTTTCACTCACCCACTTAAACATTTAAATTCATCAACAGTATTTTAGTAGAAACTCTAGTATTGATCACATAACACTACGTACGTTCGATCATTATTTTACATAGAAGTAGGTAATTGAAATTATTATTGAGCCTAATGAAATCATTCTGTATATGCACGCTAGGATCGGGATCAGCAGCACGAAGATCCAGTTTATGGAGGCTTTAGCATGCAATAGAAACAAGTGGACCGTCCGTGTTATCAGCGGTTGATATCAGATCATCGAATACTACCGTACTGACAGTCTTTCCTTACAATGTTAGCAGCAACAGCGATGATTGACTTTCTGGATTGCCAAAACTGGAACTCTTCTAACCAACTATAATTGTGGGCAAGTGAATTTTGTAAAATTAATCGAAATTTCTGTAGTAATGTTCGCAATAAGGAAATGAAGAAAAATTTTCAGGACGAAATTAAACGATCACTAATAATAATTTTATTGCCATTATTGCAAATATTATACGAATTAACATCTAGAAAAGAAAGTGAAACAATCTACTTTAAAGAAAAATAGTATATGTATAACTTTGAACATATACTATAATGTATCTATATTAATGTAGAATACAAATTCAAGATTGGCAGTTTGTTAACATGAAATTTTGCGACAGGGTTACAATAGCGAAAGAAAAAAATGAAAAGTATGAATTCTAAATTCTTCCCCGCAATTAGTGCGCCCACGTGGAAGAAATAAAAGTATGTACGCATATTAGTTACGTGAGCTCTATATTCATTTGTGCCATACACAAATGTTGAAAATGAGACACAGTCTAACACAGGGTTCAATATGACGATTTTAATAATTAAAATGTCTAGGTTCGGAGAAGGAGAAAAGACTGGTAGAGAAACTCACCGCTATAAAATTAGACACTTCTAAAGTGGCACATAAACTGATTGAAATGTAACGACATTTGCTCATAGTTAAGGAAATACAATTTTTCCAAACAATTGAAACAGAATAACGTATATCCGCATTCAATTGATCATTCATAGCGTCATTTTCATTAATATAAAGTACGTTTGTACACTCACTTGAACATATGTATAATTTTTAACTTTTTATCGATTATGTTGTAGATAAAGTGCAAAACAAATTAAATATTGTTAAATTGAAAATGAGAGAAAATAAAGGCTCTAGTAAGAGGAAATTAATATTCGATATCAGATGTAGTTTTATTTGAATTCTAAAATGAATGAAAATCAAGATAGACATTCCATTAAAATAAATAGTGCACAATGCATAGTAATACGAATAAAAATTAATCATGATTAAATTGTAACTATCGCTATTTACTATTATTCATTCTACTATCATAATCATAATCATCACTATTGTCATCATCGTTGTTGTTATAGTTATAACATATTATAACTTAATGACCGTTCAAGTAGATAGACATTGTAAGCTTAGGAAATAACAATATGTGCGTTCAATCTCAAAATTAATTAGTTAGTGAACTGCGTGAAATTATAACTATGATTATTTATTATCAATAAAAACTAAAGATGGTTACATGATGAGTGGGTTTACGGTACGTGAACCGAGATCAATCAAAAGTCATAAAATTTGTTTATATTATCTCTTAAAATATTAATTTAGTAAGGAGCGTTCAATTAGTAAATTTTAGTTAATGTATATAAAGTACAATTATTAAACTGCCTGTGCACAAACATGTACAACATAGATTCAAGCGTTATTAAATTGTTTCGTTATAAAATTTCTGTTATTATAATGTTGCTATTATATAAGAAAAAAAAACCTGTAATAACATCTTGTGTCAAAAAGAAATTATGTTTTTTAGGAAATAAGAAAAGTAATAATTTATATCACGTACTGTTATAACCTATCGTCCCTCTGACTATCAGAAAGTAATGACATATTATTAAGCTGTTACAGTTCAGTAATAATATAATACTGAGTCTAAGTTTATAACTAATCAAAGTAATAATTGATATCTGTATTGATGTAATATAGATAGGTGATCCATTTCCCAAGCAAAATATTGCAAAGCTTAACAAACTTTCCCTAATAAGAATTCCACATCTTCTCGATGCAAAAATTATCAGAGCTTTATGTGTATTTCACTCCAAATGACCAGAAAACAAAAGTGAAAAAGTCATCTTAAATGGATTTCAAATCTTTAAACACAAAATATGAAAACAATTTCTAAGTTTTCCTATTTATATTGCAGGGACACTGCATAAATAACTTGTTATATAAGTGTATTAACAATTATAAGTTAGCATAAAACTACTAGTCTTTCTAACTCTTAATATAATTTGTATATAAATATAAAAAAGAAAAACTTGATAAAGAAATGCATAGATAATGCCAAGGAACACATTGATAAAAACTATTGAAAAGTTTCAGTGAAAAATTTATTTATTTATACTTCTTGAAATACCTTTACAGACCAATAAAAATGGGACTAAGCGGAATCTCTTTGTGAAAACGATAATTAACTTAGCTTCTGAACTAAATTTGAATTCAATAATATACATGACCATTCTGTCCAACTACTTTTTGAAAAATTTATGGCACCTAGATATACATACATGTTCCCTATTACAATACAAAACATGCCTCATTCCAATAGAGAATTATTGATATTCTTCAAAAATTCTCTTCTGCCATCCTATAGATATGTACCATATATTTGTATTATACTGTTTTCTAAGATTATATTATTGCCAGATGTGCAAAATTAATAAACAAGTTTATTGATTATTATTTTATAGAAATGGATGTAATAGTAGGATATTTGACATATAATGCATCAAGCAGTACATTTATACATCTATCCCCATATAAATATCAATTTTTTTATGCCAAAATGTTCTGCTATTATATTATCATGAGTCTTTAAACTGTTACTATAATTTTTTTTCCTTCAAGATTTTACTCTATCATTTTAAAAAAATCAGCAAAAATTGATCTAAAAATTTAAGAATGTTCTTTGTTTAAATTACTGTTTTGATAAAATTTTAAATTATATTTATATTAAAATTACATCCAACATTGTACTTATATAAAATATGCTTTCTTAACTGTTAAAGTTCACGTAATATGTATGTATATTTTAATACCTAATAATGACCAAATTATTTATAATTTTTTTTATTATTCCTGATACATACATAATGTTATTATAAACAATTCCGTTTATAATACATTCATAAGCAAAACATAAGAAAGATGACAACTAATTGTCAGTCTCTTTCTTTTGAGATACATATATTAGTATGTTAAAACGTCTGCGATAAGGTAAACAATTAATCAATGTACGAATAAAAATTGAGATTGCTTGTTCTTAAGTTAAATAAATTTCTCTTTTTTGGATTAATATTTTCCTTTTACTGTGAAAAATATTGAATGTTATAATTATACACAAACAAACAAAAAAAAATCGCGTGCCATTCGCAGTATTGGAAATGTCAATTAACAAGTAACAATTCGTATATAATCGGTCTGACGATAAGAAAGTCGTTATGTATTTTGTATGATGTTACTAGTAGATAGCCACTGCATTAGATAATTAAACGATGTGTTCTTATCATTATTCATAATTAAACTATAGTGTCGTTACAATAAACACAAGGCGCGAAATAGTATGACATGAATATGTGCACATGTGCGACGAGAATGCGAGTGTAGTTCAATTTGTTGTCCTACTTATGATGGACAGTGTGAAGGAAAATTAATATATATGTAAATGTATGTGATGGCTCTACATGGCCTATTATATTACTAGATTGAAATTACTATAGTGAATAATTTAGTATCCAAATTTTCTATAATTTTTATTTGGTTATACCAACTATTTATTTTATAAATGTACATGTAATTTTACCCATTGTACGGTACAGCTCCCATTATAAGTTTGAAATTGAACAATACGTGATATAATATGTAAACCCATCTTCTTTATTAAAAAAGATATACGATTATACAAGTATGTTTCATTAACACACTGGAATATTTTATTGTTTCTAATAAGATAAAATCGCTTCTAATAAGATAAAAATTTTTCTTTTTGTTGCAATTTGTATTATCTATCCTGTACTAAACCGTTTCCTGTACTAAGCTGTTTCGTGCCGCGTTAATTTGAATATTGGCGCGATACACACTACCGACAGAGATACCAACTCTAAATACAATACAAACGTTGCGTCATATTGCGCACTGTGTTCCGAGTAGTGTCGCGAATCTCATTTTCGAAAGAGCACGCACACACATGCCGCGTTGTGAAATCAAACCATCAGCCCGGGAAACAAGAGTACATATATCACGAGCGACAATTCTCAGTGTTCGTCGGATGTAATCGGTTTTGGCGCGTGTGGTTGCGTACGTGTCGCGTGACTGTCGATTCACGTATCTGTGCGCGCTCGGTAGGTCAAAATGGCGTGAACCGACCGTACGATTTTAGGTTATCTTTACTCTTGACAAATCAACTGCGGGTTTAGAAACAAAGACGCGTATCTATCTCTCAGTGATATTTTCCTCTCAAGTGCTCGTTATAATCCTCCACGTGCGTTTTCAGACCCGAGTTACATGAGTTATGAGGACGGAATGCCCGCAGGCGGTAACAGTCGTTTCCGCGGTTACCCAGCGCGGATGTCCGAGCGACAACAGCTTGCGCTTCTTCTTCAAATGACCTCTCAGGAAATAGTATCAGGTGAGAAAAAAGAGTATTTCATTGAAAAAAAAAAGAAACACACGCGCGATTTAGCAGATTCTGATAAAATAGCACGTAGACAGAGATCGAGCAATAACGCTCCATGTGATTCACCCATGTATATACGCTTTCATACCAAAGAGTTTTAAAGTATTTGGACGAATATTTTTCTTTTTTTTTTTTTTTATTTATTTATTTATTTCATGTTTATACGGACATACGTTGTCATTTTACGTTAACTTTACGTTACATCATGCATAGGTTAGTTGATGAATGCTGCTCCTGACAGCTGAATTCTTTGTTTGATCGTGAGCCTACGTGTTTATTTCTTCATTGGCGATACATGAACAAGTCACACTCGCGGGAACTATGTAGCATTTATGCCTCCCGATAGGCACATAGTATTTATGCTATGTATGTCGTTTTATCGAAACAAACTGTAATACAAAATCGAAGCTAGTTACTTCGCGCGAACGAGTTTTGCCCGCCTGTACCTTCCATACAGGCCTACCAACCACGTAACTTTGTATTAGTTAACTCGTTCCCGCGGTTCTGCTGCAGCGAACAGCGCCTCACAATTTTGACAAAGAAAAGAGAAGGGGCATGTTAATGTAAATAATTGACGTACGCTCGAGTTCCTACTGCGAGAGAGAAATGACCTGACAGTGACACCGATTGCCGGTAACTTGTTGCAACTACAATGTTCACTAGGAGGCGTTAATATCAGTTATATACATATTCTTATAATATAGTTTATCAATTCTGTTCAGTATTCGTAAGTTCGCATATCCAAACTTTGCAATATGTATTGCTTTTAATGATTTAAAATATGAGCATCAATCAATAGAAAGTATTTTATTTATCGTGTCATTAAAATTTGCATTTCTTTTATATTATTTCAAACAGATAAATAAACATCTAAAGAAATGTTACGATAATTAAATTATGATATATGTATCTATTGGCTATTGTATAATTTATAATTGAGAATTTTATGTTCGAACACTATTTTATTTTAGTAGCAAATGATTATATTTGAAAATCTGATTCATTTATTTGTTTTCAGGCGGAAATCGAACAGAAAACACAACAACTACTTCAAGATCATCAACATTACAACAGCGAGGGTCAAAAGGCCGTTGGACTAGCAAAAATGGGGAATCGGCAGTCCAGGCATCTATTAATCGTAAAGAAGATTTTCGAGTGCGGCAGATGCTCGTGAATGGTTATGATATCAACACCAAGGAAACGAATAGTAAGTAAATCACGTTTCTTTATATTTTTTGGTCACATTTTATTTTGTTTCGTTTCATTTCATTTTATATCATTTTATTCATTTTATTTTATAGACATAATGAGAACAATATGAGACTTACATACATATTATATTAAAAATTAATTATATTTTTAAAGAGTACTATTTAATGTTGGAAATTGAAATGTATGTTCTAGGTTTTTATTTTTACTAAGTAATTTATGTTATGTTGGTCAATATTTTTACCATTTTTAAAATATTCAAATTCATGAAAATATTTTAAATATTCATAAGTAAAATATTTTATATTTTAAAATAAAATTTAAATGCTTAAACAAATTTTTAAGCAAAATTAAATCAAATTAAAAGAACTATTGAAACTGTTGCTACCTTTCCTTATATTCTAAACTGTTGAAAAAAATTGCGATAACTTCAGATTATCATCAAAGCAAAACAAAATATATATCAGCTGTATAGCTGTATTTCCAAAAGATACCAATAGATAATCGAAATGAAATTTGATAGATTTTATGAAAAAAGATGATAAATCTAAAATACGAAATTTTAATTCTGACAATCGTTCGGAAGATACATATCCTTATATATAATAAATCGTGGAATTTATTTAATCTTGCTGCGTTCTTTCGGTCATTTTCAACCCACTTATTTTTCTTAAACACTAAAAAATATTTCAAGTTTAAACGAAATATTAAAAAATTCTTATTAATATGCATGATTCTTCGATTAAATTGTATGTTAAACTTTAAAATATTTAAATTTTTTTGTTTGCAAAAATGAGTGTAAAATTGAAAAATGAAAATCCAAGAATCGTTAAATGTCAATTCCAGTAAGGTCAAAAACGTTAATTCCTCGCTGATTGATTATTTTGAACATTTTATATGTAAATATAATTATCATCTCACCTTACCTTTGGACATATTTGCAAAAATATTTTTAATACTGATATTATATTTTTTGAGGTTGTGACGTGGATTTAAGTTAAAAAAGGTTAGGTTTGGGTAGTATATGAATTTATAAAAAATAAAAAAAAATCTAATAATAAACAAAACCAATAACCGAGAATCTTTTTAAAAATGAGTATCGGTATTGGTTCGAACTAGGCAAATCTCAAATAAAAATAAATAAACTAGGCAAATCTCAAATAAATTTTTAATTTATAATTTTACATAATTTTATTATATACATAAATAGATCATTCTACATATAATATACATATTTTTCTGTCTTTGTTTTTTTTATTATTATTATTATTAAAATGAATATTCAGCCTTTCTTTTAGGGAACTCATTCTTTGCATGACTTGTATCGCCGTTATACTTATTTTTTATTGCTTATCTCTTTTTTTTTATCATCAAGAAATAGCAATTGGCTGATAGAGATAACTTTAAAAATTTTTTCATAATATGTATTATATATAAAAAGTAGCAAATTATTATTTTTGAAATCCATCCATATGTCTAAAATTACATACTTTTTTAACTTTCAAATGTGTACTCGCATGATTATTTTTATTATACTTTACTATATCTTTCTCATATACAGTATATAATAATAGCATAATAGAAATTTTCTTTTAAGTGAAAGAATATTGCAGGGGTCGGTCACCCTCGTTCGTTCTTGTGTAGAGACTCTCGTCGATAAATGAAAGCGACGGTGCACGACCTTCCTAAACGCAGGAAGTCAGCGGGTCCGGGTTCATTCATATACAATCCACCTTCGTCGCTCGACTACTCTTTCTCTGTCCCGTTTCGTCCCATTACCCTTTAAGGTCGAAGAAACAGATGAAACAAGCTACAAGGCATAACTAATAAGATTTTTTTCTCTTCCTTTATTTTTCTTTCCTTTATTTTTAATTTAAATAATTTAATTGTTTTAAATCATAATGCATATATAAAATATTTTTCTATCATTGCATTTATTTTAGTATTCATGTATTAATCAGATATTAGATATATATTAAATTTTTCATCATAAAAATAATTTCGTGGAATAACAAAAATTTAATTTGAATGAGCATTTTAGAAACACATTTATGTTAATGTAAAAGTAAATGAAGCAAATAAAAATAGTTTTGTAACATGTTTGTTTTTATTTTTATCAAATAAAAATTATTTAGTAGATAAAAAAAATTTGTTAACGTGTAGAAAACAAAATTTTTTCCCAATTTTAATCTATAAAATAGAAAAGAAAATGTCCCAAAAATTTCAGATTTCTTTTGTTTTATTTATGACTTAGTAAAAAAGAAGTTTATATGTTATTATAATATTAACTCTTTTTCGCTCGGGCGAACCAGTAACTCGAGATTTTCCGCATGTTTGGTAAATTTCTTACAACTAACTTAAAATGATTTCATATAAAAATTAACGTATAAAACTTTTATATTTTAACATTTTATGTATCTTTACATCTCAAAGAAGAAAATTTGTTAAATATTAAGCTTTGTATTGTTACTTTGTATGGTATTTTATAAAACAATCGCCAAGATGTATCCTCGGCTTATTGGGACAAGTATCGCAGTAAAATGTAATCCATTCTGAATTTTCTGTCTTTTGCGGTATTACTATCACTTTCACGTTCACCGTCTATTATTCTCATTTTTTATCTTCTTACGCCTCTTACTTCATCTCTATCTTCATTACTGCTTTCCTTCTCTCTAACGTCAATTGCTTCATCTATAGAAGTAATTTCGTCGTTCAAACAACGGCAAATCAAATTCATCTTCACTTGAACTGATTTTATTACTACATTCCATGCTTACAAGGCCCAAAAACTTTGAAAATAATATTCCTATTGCCACGACTGTCAAGCTCGGACTAATGCCGAAGTCTCAATCCCATCCACGATCACGGTCTAACTTGAGATAAGAAAATCTTATAAAGCCATTTAAAAATGTATCATTTTACACTTCGTAAGATTATACATAAAGAGCTTAGGAACCCATTTATGAAGCGATATTCTAAAGAAATCAAACTAAAAATAAAGATATAAACGTTTTCGCCGCATGAATCCAAGTAGTGCCTGAGACTCACCTCTCGAGTGGCGATTATTATAATATTAAATTTTTATAAATATTAAAAAAATTAAATAATTTCGTAAACATTCCTCTACATAAGAACGACTGAGGATGACCGATTCTTTCTCTTCTAATGTTCTTTTGCTTAAAAGAAAATTTCTATTATGTTATTATTATGTACTATATATGAGAGAGATAGTAAATTTGATGAAGATGAGAGAGATTAGTAAATACTTTTATATTCTACTTCTTTTAAGATTAAAAATATTATGTTTTAATAGAAAGAAACTACTCCTTATTGAAGAATTATTAGAATTATTAAAGAATTATCAATCAAATTTTAATCTCTAAATCTCAATTAATTTTTAAAATACTTAGAAATTTCTTTGTTTTCTAAAAATTAGTCACTTATTTTTTTCTTGTAGAAATAAAAATAAACACCTTACAAGAAGAAAAATTTGTGTCATAAGTTGATCTTGATCTATCAGTTATATGTATTTACTTTTTAACAGATTGTTAACCGACAATTTTTGAATGTTTGTGTATGAAAACACGATCGGCCAACGATATATAGGAGTTCAATCGAAATTTTTTTCAAAATTTAAAAATTTAAAAATGTCAACAGTATGTTATGTAAAAAAGATTCTAATTAATCCATGAGTAAAGGTCATTATACAAAACTTTTATACTTCATTAAAATACATTTTTAAAATTAGAAAATTTTTAAAAAAAGGAAATGCAAACATTACTCTAAAAATAATTTAATACTGGAAAGTTGATTTAAACTTCAAGATTTTTATGATTCGTATTTATAAAATTATTACTATTTAAAGTTTGCGGTGTAAGCTGAATTCGATAGAAATATCACCCACGTTTTACCAATACTGCTTCTTCAGAAATTAAGTGACAGAGTAAAATTAACTTGTGATTGAATATTCTATATTTTACATAGTAACTCTATTCAGGTTATGAAACAATAATCATCAATAATCAGCATCATATTTTAATTGACCAGGTATACAATTAATTGTTTGTAATAACTGTAAATTAATCCAAAGAAAGAGAAAAAAGAATACTTTATTAAAAAAATTTTTATACTTTATATTAATATCTACCTATGAAGTAGCAAAACAAATAACAGTCTAAGTTTGCACTAATGTCCACAGTCAGTATAGACCAATGAACAGTAAACATTGTTTTGAAAACAGTATATCAGTGGAGACTTATTCCTGAAGAACCTTGCTTGTATCTTGCTCAGGAACAGTTTGCTGGCAGTTTACAAGTTGTTCGTGAACAGTTCTAGCTAATATACTCAACATTAAGAACATCCTTGTTGGTCACTTTCTCTTTTAGAGTATCTTGCATGGTTGTATAAGTGAGCTCGAATTTCCAGTAAAATGAAATTATTCCACAAAAGAAAGGTCGAACATCGAATGATGTTATAGGATATCATGACGTTATATTGAAAATGAAGAACAAATGATGAGTCAAGTCGTAAGCTCGCACGTTATATGTGTATATAGTGCGGAGGACAATGTCTCCTCGGCGTATATATGTATATAGTAAGGTTTTCACCAACACTGTAGTCACAGGTGCACGACATCCTTGTTGTTCAGGGGCTGCGGAGGGATGAAACATCCAGCGTTGGGTTCGGGAGGGGCAGCAGACAACTCTCGTACAGATCAATACTCGAGACAGGGCCGCACTGTTCCATATAATTTTTCTCCTCTCATTACTTCGGAGATATTTGGCACTCGTATTTTACATGATATTTAGAGTGAAATTAGGTATTATCGTATATGATATTGAAAGAAATTATAGAAATTTTAGAGATTTTATTTAATAATCGAGTTCATTACTTGTTCATTACTTTTTTTCTATTGATGACAAATATTGGAGTTTTCCATTAAGAAATGATTCAAGCTACTCAAAAACTCTACAGATCGATTTTAGTTTCAGAAAATTTCTCGATTTCAGTATTAGAATATACGTATCGTGATAACATTTTTTTACTCATTTTTTAGGAATTGAATAATTGACATAAGTGATCTGTCTGGATCTAATGATCTTTAGCCATCGAGTGTATATTATTAAATATTTCTTTTCTCTTTCTTTTTTTCCTTTTTTTCTTTTATTTTTGGAAATATATAATTTTTTTGATTGAGATATTACTTTTATTTGTATCATGTCTCTTTACAAATTTGAGTATGTTCCTTTTTTTCCATGATAATAATATCGCACGAGACAATTTTATTTTAATAAATAATTATTTTCATATCTGTACACATTCTAAAGTCTTTCTCTAGTTTTAAATATAGTTTGTATAATTTATACAGTTTCAGTTAATTTATGTTTTCAAATATAATTTATATTTATAGCTTATAGTTTGTGTAATTTTTAATTCAGCATAGCTTACAATCATTAAGACTTATTATATCTTTCTCTTCTTTATCTGATTGTTTATATTGTAGAAAAGTAAATGTGTATCCGGATAAATAAGTAAATAAAATAGTATATAATAATAATTTAGTTCATGACGAATGTAATGTTATGAGTCATATGTTTTAAAATATCTAAATTTTAAATTTAAATTGTTAAAGCTCGAAACAACAATAAAATACCATTTGAAAGTCTCAGAGAAAAAAGTGATATAAGTAATATAATTAAAAAAACAAAACTGTGAATAATAAAAAAATCTATGTTTTCAAATATTAAAAGACGTGTCCATAAAAAATTGAAAATTTATAGCAAAGCCTACTGCTAGATAAATACCAAATTTATGTATCATTTCTTCTGTATATTCCATTTTTAGGAAAATTTTTAAAATATATTTTTATCACTTTTTTATTTTCAATCTGCAATCGTTGATTTTATAGTGCAGTTCAAAATAATATTTTAAAAACAATTGTAAATCATACAGTTTTCTAATGTATAGTAAAATTTAAAATCTTTTAGTTGTAAGATATCAGTTATAATATTTGGTTTAGTTCGATTCATATTTTCTCATAATCATAATTAGAAACTATTTGAAAATCATAATCAAAATTTAATTTAAAATTTAAATAAAATAAAACTACAATTTAGTTTTTTATAATATTTGAAGTAAAACCATAACTGAAATGTTTTAAATAAGACAGATGTTGCATGTTCAGTTTTCAATTTTAGTAATAAAGTTACATGTAGATTTTAGTTTTAATTTCAAACGTACAATATTCTCCTTCTCTCCTTTCTCTCTCTTTTGGTAATATTAGGAACAATATTTGACACAGGGCCGCAATGACTTTGAAGTTTAGCATTTAAAATGTAGTATATTTCCTTTAAATATTAAAATTATTCAAAACAATTTTTAATAGTACAAATATATTTTTCAATTAATAAATTATTATAAATAATAATATTGAATATTTCAGCAAGAATAAATTATTGATAATTAATATTTAGTATGAAACTATCTTTAATAGTTAGATGTAAAGAAAGTAACTGTAAAAGAAAGCTTTTTTTTAGACAAAGAAAGATATATAAATTTGTATTCTCTAAATTTTTCTACTTTTATATGAAATATGTAATATATTATTAATATTTCAGTTAAGTAATCATATAATACTGAAATGAAAATAACAAACAACTTTATTTAATCACTAGCAGAAAAATAACTCAACTGATACTTTTTTTGAAGTATTATAAATCGGTAGATGAAATCTTCTTAAATTAGTATCGTATTACATTTTTTTTTTTTTTTTTGTCTTTTATAAATTTCCTTCTTGAATCTTAACGATACACGCATATAAAATTCATTAAAAAATTCAGTGTGTCGACAATATTATAATTTATTTTTATTTGTACAAAATATCTAAATTTTTGGAGCGGTTTAATATACACATACAAGTGAAATTTATCTCCTACATTACTGCATTTACGTATGTACTCATTGTCGTACAATGATATTTAAAAAAGAAAATATTCAATTAAGAAAAAGATAAGAAATAATACTTCACAATTTATTTTGCGAAATTAACTCGATTTGTGAACTCACTTTCTCTAAATGTTTCTACGATACACATAGTAGTCATTTTTAACAGAGTTCGGCCCTGGCTTACCTGCGAGACGATATCGACGACAAATCCAATGTTTCCACAGAGAATTTCGAACTCGGTTTAAAGCCGAAGATTCGGTGTGCCTTCGAGTCAGACATTCTTGAGGAAGTGATCTTTAATACCAACAGGCGTTAGTTAGACTCACGTATTAAAATCAAAAACATCTCAATCAAAGATTATGTTCAGTATCACTGATTATTTATTTATTTTTAACCAAATTCGTACACAATTTCCTGTAATGCTATACATATGTACTTATATACATATGCGTGGAAAATATTCTGTGTGATAATTTAAATGATTTTGAAAATACTCTATATGGTAATTTAAACGATTTTTTTACTCGCACGCGAATTTATTGAAGATAAATGTACTAACTCAAAAAGTATAACATACGAGTATTAAAATAATACATTAGTTGAAAACATCGCAATATATGTACATTCAAGTTAATTTACATATATGAAACTATAGTGCCTATATCTCTCAATTATATTTACATATGCTCTGGTACGAATCGTTATGGAATTTGTGTTATTTTTTCTTTCCCTTTTTTTTCTTTTCTTTCTTTTGCCTTTTTAAGATGCTCATATCGCCGTATGAAATTTACCAAAGTTTGAAATGAAGTCTCTAGCGTAATATAATTAAAGTGAATGCAGTTTTCATCGGACTAGTTGAAGAGACGAAGGCGGCAGTATCGGGCGCCGCCCGTGACTTAAAGCCGATAGACCACTCAGAAACTAACAAGCTTCTTTATCGCGACGTCGCGTCGGTTTCAAACTATTTTCGCTATATTTTCAATGGAAATCTACAAATTACATGTATGAAAATTTTTTCGTCGCGTTACTTGGTTCTTTCCATTCGACGCAGTCAATTTTAGGATAAAAATATCTGTGCTTTTTAACATGAGATGGATATCTCATTATAAGAGATATATTTAACATATTGTTGAGAAAGAAAATTTGTGAAACAAAATTCAAATTATTTCCTTGTTTTTCGTGTATTAGTCTCACTCTTTCACTATTCTCTTTTTTTTTTTTTTGAAATTAATATATCTCGATTATTAAAACAACTACAAAAAATTTTATTTCTTAGAAATTAATCAGAATAACAGAAAAAGTTTGTTCCAAATAATTATTAAATATTGTTTATTTTTATAGCAATTATATATATTGAAATATTATTACGCGTTAATATTATATTTAAATAGTTGTTACATTATATATTATGAATTAGTTAATTTATTATAGAATAATTTCCTCTTCTTGGCGGTGCACATCTCAGATGTATTTTAAAAAGATCTTATTATTTGAAAGAAAAAATTCAGTAGTCTGGTTAATAATAATTTTTGAAGAAAATAATGTAAATATATATTACGGCCAATTGATTCAATTATTAATATAATAATTTGTAAGAAAACATTTTGAAAGCAAATATTTCATACCAGTCGATCTAATTTAATTGCTCAACCATAATTAATATTAATCACAGTAATGCCTTTAAAAAGCATTGTGCTTGCTTGAAATTATAATATTCTTTAATTTTTTATTTTATTTTTATTAAGATTAAATTTTATTTTCAAGGTATTTATAAATTTCCTTTTTAAGGAAATAATTTAAGATGCATATAAAGCTGCTAAATAGAAATTAGTGAAAATCTTAAATTTGATAATAACATTTACTATTTTCTTTGATTTTCTGCTGAATAAAAAAAAAAGTATTCTATATAATTCTTTTAAATAATTCTTTAAAACTTATCACATTATTCTTGGAAACATGAAGCATTACAATTTACAAAAATTCAATTTATTAAAGTTATTAAAGTTTCTGCAAAGTAAATCATATAGTATGTTATGATATTATATAATTTATATCTACATACATATTGCAATAAAAAATAGAAAAGAACTTTATTAGATAAAATTAAATAATTTCAAATGGTGTGTGTATATATATATATATATATATTAATGCATAGTCTATCTTAAAAATAAAAATGTTCAAAGAATTTCAATGAGTACATTTTTCATTGATATATATTAATATATAAAATGCTTGAATTATAATATATTTTTTATCAATACTTTTATTCTTATTTTGTCAAATTTAATGTATGAAAGATGAAGGAAGCAGAAACACAAGTGTAGGACTTTGCATTTTTTCTTATCTTTCACAAAATAAATTTTATAAAAATATTACAATCTAAACAATAAAAAAACGAATTAGTCTTATAAAAAATGTAATTGTTTAAAAAAATGTAATGTTTAGTTTGAAAAAATAGAAATGTCTTGTAATTTTTTTAAATTCTTCCCTTCTGAGACAAGCATATATACCATCCGAAATCATTTAATTTTGTCTAATATAATTTTACTCTACTGTATACAGCTATCTATCCTCTACAGCTATGCATCTATCCAGTTGCATAAGATATTCCGTCTATTATAGTTAAAGTACTTACTTTAATCATGTTTCATATTTCAATAAAAATCATCATAAATTTTGTCAGTAGCATAATCATGTATTTAATAACTAGAACAAGATAAAAATTACAACAATAAACAAAATATTTAAAACTCATGATAATGACGAGTTTACCAATTTTATTGTTATAGACAAAGAGGAAATAAGATGAGAATACTAAGGAAAATTTGCTCTATATTTTTATGTTTATTTATTTTGTAACCAAAAAAAATATTACTTACAGTATTAATATCTCTTAAACTTATAAAAAAATAGTTTTAAAAATTACAATAAGAATATCTGTGGGTAAAATGATATTCTTGCGGTATTTATTGTTCAAATATTACATAGAATAACATTTTTATTTTGTTTATAAACGTAAGAAATTATCCAACTGACAATATTCAAAAAATAATGATAGAGATTTGTTAATGTTAAAGAATAAAATCACGATCGTGAGAATCAGAAATATGGTCAATAAATACAATATAGATTGCATACATATTGTATGATCCAAAATTTAAGTAATTCACATTTTTGTAAATGTACAAAGTAAACAAATGTTTTATTTTATCTTGCGTCCTCATCTTGCTTTCTTTCTCTGCTCTTGCTTTATATAAAATTCTCTAATTTTTTTACATTCGATCAAATGTTTTTTAGACATCGACCATAGAAAACCCGAAATAATGATTGTGTAATCTCTTTTAAATAATCAATATTATCAGGTTCGCATATATTACAGAATCATATCGGCTGAAAATTTCAAGTATAAAATCTTCAGGCACATTTTTTTCTGTTTCTTTCGAAAGAATTTTGTCGTTCACTGAAAATCGAACTGTGATAAAAAAAAATGTGTCATCGACAAAGTATCTGTCGTGTAAGAAAAATAAAAGTATAAAATCTTGGAAATAACGAAATTTATCTTTGCTCGTAAATGACTAGTCTTATTCCTAATGGCGGAGATATCGATCGGGATGGAGACCAATGAATGTCGCAACTTGACAAGTTTACATGATAGTTCACAAGACGTTCGGATTCGAATCTTTGTAGGCATCTTGAACAGCAACTACTCGATGGGGGCTATATTTCTTTTCTTTTATCTACGCTATAAAGACACTTGAAAACATTTCTATTTAGTATTCTTCAAAAATTTAACAATAAGATTGCATTCTTTTAATTTCATTTCATTTTTTTATTTATTTATTGTTACTTTCTCTTTTGTCACTCTTCTGTCTTTCATTTTTTTATCTATCTATTGTTACTATTTTACCTCTTTCTTATTGTGTCTCTAATAATTTTAAAAATTAAAATATGCATAAAGAAGAAAATGAAAGATGAAAAGTAAGAAAAATAATTTATTATTTCAAATATGTGTTTATAATTATCAAACGTTTAATTAAATATTAACAATTTTTTATTTTATATTATTATATAATATAATTTCAACTATATCACCAATTTTGTGTTAATATCAAACTTAATAATCAAGAATATAAATTTGATAAATTTGGTAGTTTCACTTATAATTAATTGCAACATACCTATTTATAAACAATATATCTTACAATAGTTGATAAATTTTTCGTTTTTCTTACGCTTAATTTTATAATGTCCATCTGACCACTAGTATTTTTGTTGCACGATAAAAAAAAAAGAACGTTCTTGTTAAGGAACTTAGTCTACTTTCATTTTCATCGTATCTGACGAACAAATGAACAACTAACATTCGAGATAGATAAATCAGAAAAAAGAAGCTAAAAAAGTGAAGTGGCCACAACAATATCATGCTAGTCTATCTCCTTTAAAGTAAATGTTGCTTTTCATGTGTGTAAATACCCTGAGAGCATGTCTCCTTTTCGTATTCATCAGTAAGCCACACGTTGACCAAACACGCCAGTCCTCCTCCCATAGCAGTTTAGTTTGGCATTCTACCGAATTGTGTTTTCACTTTTCCAGCCAGTCTACACTTTCTTTCTTTTCCTACTTATACCGTTTTCTATATCTTATTTATTCATCTCACTTTATAAACGTGACGATCGTAAATATCCATCGCAGATTTCATCCAACGCTTTTGAACGTTTGCTTTTATCGCTATTGACGCTCATGTTTTGGGAGATGCACACAGCCATCTTGATTTATTACACTGGTTACAAACTGACCAATTTATAGAATCAGTCATCTATCAATAGTTTCGTAATATTCATATTCTGTTTTATTTCAAATTAACAATTTGCAGGTCATCACATGTTGCATGATATTTTGAAATGTGGAAATTTTAGTTTTCATTGGCCATTCTTATTATTATAATAAAAATTTTATTCAAATACAATGAAGTATAAAATTATTTGCATAGTCGAGAATTAAATTACAAGTATATATATATCTTTATGATTATATATATATATATATTTATAACAATGAGTAATTTTTTTAACGTCTTTTAACGTAAGTCTTTTAACATTTTTTTATTTAGAAAATTTCTTGATTAAAACACAACAAAATTATAAAAAATTGTGTTCACATTACAAAGTTATTGACAAAACCATTGATTGATAAAATTGTGTGCCACATAACTTTAATAAATCTAGTGACAGTAATGTTGCATCGTGAAAACGCCTAAAAAATACTATTATTTATATATATATATATTTTAATAACAAATTGTAACTTCTCAAATTTCTTTTATGATTTTATTACATCTTAACTATTTCTAAGTAAAAGACATTAAAAAATTTTGTATTCTTTTTCTTATTACATATCTAAAAAAATTTTCTATCTATGAATTTGCAACTCACTTTATATACATAATTTTAATTTAGAAAGGAAAATAACATAATAATTATTATAACATAATAAAATCAAGTACAAATTTGTAGAATTAATTTAATCACACTAATAGAACTTTATAACGCTGCTGCACAATCCTCGAGCTTTTATATCTGGATTTCACTCCCGTCAACAAAAAGACTTATGTCTTTAAAAAAATTTTAATGTAACATTAAAAATTTTACATATCATTAGCAAAGCTGTCATATTTCCTTTAAAATTAAGAAATTTTTTTAACGATTAGATCGGAAATAACCCCAAGAAACATAGCAATGTAAACTTCACAAGTCTGTTCAAACATCCGTTGATATAATTTAAAAAGAAAAAAGAAAAGAAAGGAAAGAAACTGACTGTAACATATATTATTAAAAATAGCATTTTTGATTCTATTAAAAAAAAAAAAAAAAAAAAAAAGTTTTTATAAAATTCTTGGGCACGAGTAAATTCCCTGTACCCTTCTACAGCTCTATTTGGCTGAGGGCGCGCAGACACTCTCGGAAAGTAAGCGATAATGCGACTGGTGTGCTAAGCGCAGGAGCGGCACGTGAGGAAATGCTGCTACTGACACATGTGCAGATAGAGGACAGCTATAGGTCGTGTCCGCCTTCATATACAGATATCGTAGTCGAACACAGCTACAGGCTTCTGCAATGTGACTCTCTTATAGAGCGCACGAGCGAGTGTCGTTGGCGGGATCAGCTTGCATCTGATTGGTGAAAAAGAGTGTTCTTGGCTCACCGTTGGTGGAGGGTGCGGGGAAAGGTGGAGCCAATCGTAGACATAGCGACGCAACATGGCCACTAGTTCGCGAGGGGCCGTGTTCGCGTGCACGTCGAACACGTAGACGTACGGACTTTTCCCCGGCGGACCGACAGATGTCGCCCTGACTACCTTTGAATCGTCAAGATCAGCGTGACAATTGGTCTCACGAGGAAAAAAGGAAACAGAAAGAACCTGTTTATTGTAAAAAAAAAAAAAAAAGATAAAAAAGAACGTGATTGGATTTCAAAACGGTTAAAAATATTTATGGGAACAATTTGAAACAAGATTTTAATACTGTCTGTGTAATATTAAGCTTTGGAAAAACACCGAGAATGATGATAGTTTGTCCGTCATATTTCGAAGCATCAAAACTCTACTTTGGATCTTTCAAAACTTCTCTTCTCAAAGAAGGAGCTGTGTCTTGCCAATTGATTATCGCTTAATCAGGTGTGTTTGTGCGTCGTTATAAAAATTGTATTGCAGTAGAAGGAATAACTGTAATCTTTTTCTTACACATGTACACACGAAATTGTGAAGATACCAGTCAAATATTTCAAATGTGTCTAGAGTGTATGTAACTATTTGTCGAAACTGAAGATCTGTGATAATTTATCAAGTGTTCTAATTGTGTTTACAAACTACGCAAATTTCAAACAGAACAAAATATTAATTTAATAGGACAGAAGAGTTTAGCTCCTTTGTAATACTGATCAAGTAAATCCAAGTTTTTTTAGAAATTGCTGTGTACTGAATGAACATCTATCTTAAATCATAATTACATTTTTCCTATATTCTGCATTGTATATTATCGACATCGAAATACCTGAAACAAAGTTTGAAGCAATTTTTGAAAGAGTACGCTCATAAACTTTTATGTCTTGTTTTATTTGTGATCACAGATATTACAGGTGTGAGTTCACCTGATGAAAGTACAACAGTTGTCTCTGATAATCCATGCTCTCCGGCTGAAACGGGCGCATCAGCACCATCAAAAGAACAACAAGAACAAGAACAGCAACAGCTTTACGAACATCACCATTCCCAATTTCAACAACAGCAGCAACGTACAACCGGAAGTGCGCCAGCCGCTGCACCGCACGTTGCTGAGGACAGTGGAGCCCCCTGTGAAATGCGGAGGACACCACCGCAAAATAAAGGTGAGTTTATATGCAGCCTTTTAATGTATTGAATCTCTATATTTTCACAATAATTTATTAATATAATATAATTAGTTAATAAAATAAGACTAATTAGATAGACAGATATTTATACATTTATGGAAAATTGAAACGTCCAAAGTTCCTAATGCCAGAGTTATATAAAATTTGATATTAATTAGTTTATGAAACAAATCTTTACTTAAATTACATATTTTTAGTTTGTATTCATGAAAAATGTCCGTATAAATAGTCATAGACTACTAATAATATTAGTGATTCATTGACAATTTTAGCAAGCTAGTAATTTGATTGTCTACTAGCTTTATTTTATTACCAAACTTATATGAAAAATTTTATTAATAACTTATAATTTATGACATTTCATTAGTAATATTAATTTAATTATTGGTGATATTAGTTTAATTACATAGGAAAATCTTGATACATTTGGTTTGCAACATATTTGCTTATAGCAGCTTTTTATATTTAATATATAGAAAAAAAGTAAATGTTATTTTAAATATACAGATTTATAAATAATATTAAATTCAATTATTATTGTTATGGAAACAATAACATACACAATCATATCCACAACGATGCATGTTTTGAGTAATGCTTTAATTAATTTAATTTAAAATTCTATAAAATTTTATATAAATTCACAAAATAATAACCAATACTATTAATAAGTAGTGTATCAAGATAATCTTATATTTCAAAACGATGAACTAAAAAGAGATATTAAAATCAAAAAAAAATTACATGTCTTAATATTCGCTCATATTTATTATTATTTATTAATAATTACTGACGCAGTGTGATACCGATACGATAAAAACCGCATTTACCGACATAGCTATTATCCATACGAATATAATGAAAATATAAAAAAATATCTTTACTTTATTTCATAAAATGAAACCAATTATTTATAAAATAGATGTCATTTTAAAAAATGACGATAAAATAATTTTGTTTATATATATCTTTTTTTTTACAAAACTATTTTTAAACTTTTTAAATAATACTATTATTCAAGTTTTGACTAAACGATTTTTAATGACAAAAGTGAGTTCACTTAAATAATAAAAAATACGAGAATAAATTATAGTATATAAAGGTTATATATGTAAAATTTGCAATGCAAATGGAATTTTGTTTACATGCTTGCTCCTTTTGAATTCTTCAAAAATTGTGAATAGGTGTAAAAAAGAGAAATCTTACATTTAATATCCATCGTCGTAACAATAGGAAAATCATTTTACTGGATAAAATACATCACCAGATGAAATGCATCATGGAATATACAAAAGTTCGTCGCAATTAGCAAGATTATTCTTTTCACCGAAGCACATAAAACGCATTATGAACATTTGACACGGTCGTAATACGGCTGTACGCGCGTGCGCATACACGATGTGTATCGCTTATGCAGCGGATGGACACGCGTGAGCGGTGCAATCACTACCGATCGGTAATAATAGCGAGCGATGCAGAAACAGCACTTAATTAGACGTGACATTCCCCAGTAGTGACGCGTCGGTATCGTGCGCGCGATGCAGTGCCGCGCCTGGTAGTTGGTCGAGTCGAGACGGAGACGCGGCGACACAGTCGCAAGCCGGTTCCTCTCTCTCTTAACTCTCCCAGTGTCTTCGCTCTAGCGCGTTGTGTGGGAGCCGTACGAGTGGCAGTAATGTACACACGCTGCTCCGACTACTGAACCTCTTGTCCGTCGTTCAACACTTGATCGTCACATTGTCCTTCTTGCCTGTTATATTATCCGCGATTATCTATCGGGGATCTTTGTATCGCTGTGGGCTGTGTTAGTCGGTGGTCCATCGCGACAGCAGGTATGCGCCCGTGATTATATATATATAAAATATAATATATATATACATGTCTGTACATGTTCGAAATCCTCTGACTGCTATCGTATGATCCAAAAGTACCGTTAGCGAGTACCGTCGACCACGTGGCTCAGCGCGTGTTTCTACTCTCTTAACGTGCGTCATTCTAATCGAATCGTCCCGTTTACCGACATCGATATATTAACGTAACTAGAAAGAAGCGTCACTCACGAACCACCAGTGCTGAACCTTGGAATACGTCTCTTCGTTGGTCTCTTTGCTGTCGAACGTGAGAGGGACAAAGGCAGTGCTTGTACGAGGTGAGAGAGAAGGGGGGAGAAAAAGAGGGAGAAGGTATGGCGAAAGAAAGAGAGAGAGAGAGAGTCTGTGAGTGAGTGAGTGAGTGAGTGAGTGAGTGAGAGGGAGAGGGAGCACACTGACTGGCAAGTACATTGGACACGTTTGCGCTCGCGGGCTGCGTCCATCGACACCACTAGGGTGATCGTACCTCCGAAAGGGGTCTGTGTTGCAGTTATTGCAACAGCGCACCGTTTTCTAACAAGCTTCCTCGAATTATTTGCGTCTCTTTTTCTTCTTCTGAAGTCAAGTCGAATTGTCACTACGTTGGATAAAAGGTATAGGTGTCTGAATGATTTATGCTTGCGATTAATATTCTGGTATTGTTAAACCAGTAATCTAATGTTAAACCGGTGCTGGCAAAAAAATTGTGTCAATATCACCGTTGCAGTTTTTATCGGTCGTTTGAAGTCAAATCGAATAATAGAGGCTGAAGAGAGAGAAGTATTTAATCGCGGTAATTAAATATATGTGCATAGCAAGAAACAAAACCGGTTGCATATTTGTCTCGTTCATTTCACGGACCATGTTGGAAACACGATATAATACACCGTACTCGCTTTCAATGTATCGAAATCTTTTAAACTTTAGCTCAAGCGATATGCTAATCTTTCGCAACATAAATTGACGGACAGTCCGTAGGAGGAAACAACGACACTTTTGCAGGATGGTATCTCAGTTGACCTTGATTCTCAGTTGTAACGTTCCGTCATTGTATTGATCGATAACTAGATTTAAATCAGTATTCGTTGATCGGTTATTACAGACTATTCATCTATAAATCACATTTTAATCGCGATGTTGTAATATTTCTAAGAATGATAGAAGATTATTAAAATTAAATTAATCTTTATTGAAATCACCAAAATTAAATTTAAATTTATTAAAATTAAAAATCAAATTTATCGACATGTAAATACATATTGCTTGTAATCTAATTTTAATACAGTATCACCAATTGCAGAATTATATTTTGTCGCAGCAAGTTAATGAATGAACTCTCGGTATCTTTTTTTATCGGATAAAAACTCGCTCTCGGTTCGTATTTTGCAAGGCCAGACCGAAAGGAATAAACAACTTCTAAGGTAGGTAAATTTCTTCAACAATATAAAGTAACTTCATCGCCATATTTTAAAATTATCTTTTCAGCTATCTTATTGATCTTCAGTATTTGATCTGTCAAGTATTAACATTACAGTTAATATCTTCTGTATGTTTTATGAAAATTCATATACTACGTTAATTGCATCATATTTGCACAATATTTAGTGAAGTGTGGAAATATTGATTAATACGATATGACATACAAATCGTCTCGTTCTATAATTCTTTTAACGTATTGGTAATTTGGTAATCTAGAAGACAGATATTTCCCATCGCGTAGAAAATGGAAGAACGTATACATTATAAAACAATATACGTTGTATTTGAAGAAGTATATTGGATGCGTTGCGATATTGGCTTATTATCATTTCGCAGTAAGAATGTATAATTTATAAACACATGTACTGCCTGTGAAAAAGATATAGGTTATAGAATAGATCAGGTGTTCAAGTTTACATGTTTCAAAATATGGAAGAAATAAAAAGTTTGAGATCTTAAAAGATTATCTCGTATATATCATACTAGCTCATAAATATATAGTGTATGTATGTATATATATATATATATATATATACGGGATGTCCCGCAGTGATACGGCCGAACAGAAGACGATTCCATGTCAAAAAATGAGCCGAAAGGAAGAAATAAAATTTTTTCACCTAAGTCTTTGTTTTCGAGAAAATTGAGTTTGAAAATTTATCAAGTGTGCTCAAATTTAGTTAATTCCGTATTGGACAGGCGCGAGTAATCGACACGAGGATATTTTATGCGTAAAAATAAGTGAGAAGGGATAAAACAGAATAAAATTTTAAGAAAAAAGGCTTTGAATATGTTTCGTTAAAAATTGCCTTAGTACACGTGTATTTGATAAATTTTCAAACTCGATTTTCTCGAAAACGAAGCATCTTATAAAAAACTGCATTGCATATTCATATTTTCGCACATAGAATAATTTCCTGTTAATTATTCTTTTCTGTCACGTCCAGAATTAGTTAGAAATTCAAATATACTTGATAAATTTTCAAACTCGATTTTTCTCGTAAACAAAGATATGTGTGCAGTCTGAAAAGTTTCTGAAAATTACACAATTTGTTGCTTTTTGTGCAACGCTTAAAAAAAAAAATTCGACGTATCAATTTGAAAATGACTTTTGCATAAAATCGAAGGTGCTCTATAAGAGTACAATTCTGGGTGCGGTTAATCGATTTCGCCGATTAATGGTTTAATTTACAACGTACCTATATTTATAGTATAACACGACATTGTGCGTAAACATAATTCAATATTAGCGATTAACGTGTTTCAATCTGGATCGGATCAACAGAAGCGTCAATTAATTTGAACCTTGTAATAATTTGTGAGAAACATTAATGCTTGAGGATTAATTGTTTAAGTATCTTTACTGACTCGTTATAAAAATTATGTATAAAATTTCTTTTACAGATGCCATACAAGGCTTTTATCAACTCGTCAAATTGGTTTAACGATTAATCGAAATATTCTTCTTAAACAATGCAATGAAGTTAAACAGAATTTTCTAAAGTAGTTAAAAAGCATTAACTCTATATACAGCGAAACCATCTCTGTGAATTGCAGTGTTGTAAAAGCGGTGAGCAGTCACGAATTCATTGACTAGTGAAGTTGATGTATTTTAGGATACACTGTTCGCAAGCGCCAAGTTTCATTGGCACAATTCCCTCTTCCGAAAGAGCGAGCGAGAGAGAGAGAGAGAGAGAGGAGTGAGTAGAGGTAGCAGATGAGAGGGGGAACTACGATCAATGACCAACCAAAAGAGATCTTAATAAAACTACTATTTATCGTGAGAGAAATTATCGTCGAACCGATATTAACATGATGTTTGTACATAATTCGGCACAAGGTATTGATCCGAATTCTGAAATTATATAGTGACGCGTTAACTCGTAGATTTAATTATATATTGATCGAGAGCAGTGCTTGCGTCAGCCTTGCTTTCAACATTGCACGGTATCCTAGAATCTCTCGAAACAAGCGTTCCGTGAAATCATCGGGACAAGCCTTGCATTATTATTTCCCTACGAAATCCGTTTTCCTGCTCAAATTGTGAATTTCTCTCGGGCCAATTCCATCTATTAAAATACACTCGAAACATTGTATCTTACGATAGATCTTTTCGTATACCTAATGAATGCACACTTGTCACGTACACCGTAATTTTCATTTGCGTTTGCTTCTTAATCGAGATAAATCTTGCTGATAAATGCTATGATTTGCCAATATAATCTTGATTGTCAAATCGTACAAAAATCTAAAAACTATTTCGTTCGATCAAATATCAAAGTGTTCGACCGAAAGATTCTTAGTTTACGACCAAAGAGATTCTTAATTTATTCTGTATAATAAATTGATATATATGATACACTTACGTGCACATATGAGTATGAAGAATGAAATTTTTAAATAATTTTGAATTAAACTAATTTACTTCTATAGCATAACAGAAATTTCGAATGTAAGATGCAAGAAAAATTGGGCCTCAATCTTGCCTGATGGTAAGCTTCTCTTTCATTGTATTGTGCAGTGATACTACAGCGACGCGAGTAAGGGATTCATACTTTCCTGTAACGCGATCATCCGATAAAAAGCCACTAACGAATCGATCTCGAATCAGGATGCTCCCCCACTCTTCTTGAGGAACTTGTTCTCCTTGATATCTCCGTGATTAACAGATCATTATACTCTGGCAACAAACAGCAGCTTCCTTTTTTTCCATGTTTCCTTCTCCTTCTCGCCTACTCTTTATATTTTCTTTTCTTCCTCTTACCAATAGCCTCTCTTTTCTTGGTTGCTTTGGCCAACCAACATCTACGTTCTCTCTTGAATGTTGGTTTTGCGAAATTTCACCGATATTTTGTCGTTGTTGCAATTGACCGACGTTTTGTTCTCCACAGTCGATAGATCGGGAACCGGGCAGTCTGGAAGCTCGCCGAGGGTGACGCTTCGGCTCAACCAGGTACGAGGAGCGAGGGATGAAAAGAAAGGAGGGGGTGCTACTAACTCCCGTCAGGGCGGCATAAACGCACAGGTATCTCACACTCACTCACTCGCAAACACGCACGCACACGCGCGAGCACGAACTTTTAGTATTAAATATATACATACATATATGTATTCGGTATTTGATTGGTATCTGATAGAAGTCCACGGTTTGGAACGATCGTTAAGAATAGCGTTAACTTTTGATATTCTTGAGAATATGAAATATTGAGAAACATTTAATTGATTGAAGCAGTCACAGAAACTTCGACAATACATGAAATGTGTAGTTGTTCAGAAATATTAAATTATGTGTTTGCACATGAAACAAAACACTGACGAATGTTTTAATAAATGAGCTATTAATCTTTATTAACTGTAACAGCAGTAATGTTGAGTTTTTACTGAAATTGTAAGACTCATTAACCTTTGCCATTTGTTCAATTATGTAAGAATGACGTTTAAAAGATATGTATCGATTAACAAGCCGAGATCATTGTTATAAAATATGACGATAAGTATATTATAGTTACATTAGAAATGTTAAAATGTAATGTAAGGAAACATTAATGAACAAAAAAAAGTGTATGTCTTACAAATACATGTAATAATGATAACAAATGATTCACACATTGTGACACACACATACGTGAAATATTTCATACGATTCGACGATTCATATACTTTAAAAAAAAAAGGAAAAAAATATTTGCAGAATCAAAATCAAATGGAAACTTCATCGAAGACGTCCTCAAACATCTCGTCAGGGGTTGTGAACGCCGTCTCAGGCTCCAGTACCTCTGGAAACACTTCGTCTACCGGCGATAGTAGCGATGTGTATGAATTTAAAAGTTCGAAAGAGCCAACACCAGTCAGGGGTGCAAGCTCATCGCCGAATCCTAATCCTGAAAAAGACAAAGATGGTAATAAATCTGGCAGCAATCAAGGCAATCAAAGTGGTAGCAACAACGTGTCTACCGCTGGTAGTGCAACATCTTCCGGTGAGACAACGACCGCATCGATTACTACCGATGATGCTCCTGCGATTTCAGCGTCGCCTTCGTCTAAACGCGCGTTTGAAAGTGACAATACAGAAGAGCAGGACGAAGAGATTCGTCGGAAAAAACGTAAAGATTCAGAACCTGTGAAAGAAAATTTGAAAGGTACCACCACAGGAAGACAAAGCACTGGTAGAAATTCCACTAATACCGGAGAGAAGGTTTGTTTACTGTTATTATTTGCTATACAAACTGTCATTGAACTAGTTGTACAAAGTGTCTCAAACTTAAACTTAAACGGTCAAACTGCGAGGTAACTTGATGTACAGGCAAAAAGAAGAAAAAAATGTTATATAAAATTCGTCAGCAAATGCTTTGTTACAGAGCAGTTTAAATAAATATTGTATGCATGAAATAAGTAACGACGCAATTTGCATTACAGCACATAAACGTTATCTGTATTATTTTGTCAACGTAGTTGAATATTAAGTACAATAAAAAATAATTATCTATAATTCAACGAGTCGAGGCACTAAATGCTTATCGTCAAATAGTCATTATATGTTCGGCCTTACCGAACACAATGGAGGTAGGGTTCGCACCGCGAAGGACAAACTCATCGAGCCAGGGAAAGCAATTTTCTAATTTCTAATTTCTCGACGGCAGAGATCTCCCGTGACCATATTTCATGCTTTTCGTTACCTTGCATCCTCTATTGTAGTCATACCGGACTACCAATTCCAAGGCTCGGTAAATTTCTTCATTGCAATGATCCCCATCACAAACGAACTCGAAAAATAAATTCATCGAGCCAAGAATAAAACTTTCAGATTCACCATTTTCTCCACAGGGATTTCCTTTGACCGTACTTCATGTGTTTTCCTTACTTTTATTTCATTATTGTAGTCATGCTCGACTCTCAATTCTAAGGCTCGGTAAATGTCTTTATCGCAACTTTTCTATGACATCCATAAATCCAAGACAGATATATTGCAAGGGACACATCCTGGGACCATTAGAAAGTGCAAATACTACTTTCTTAGCATACCTCCCTAATCCCGTAACCATAGACTCCACAGCTATATATAAGACCAACGCACAAAGAAAATAGACAGTTAATGTTTTTGGCAATCGCAAATACTACTAATACTAAAGTGCAAATACTACTTTCTGGGACTGACCTCACATCTGGAAGCAACTAGCATACCTCTCTAATCCCGTAACCATAGAATCCACAGCTATATAAGACCAACGCACAAGGAAAGTAGACAGTTAGTGTTTTCGGCAATCGCACAGAAGCAACATGGAGCAACCCATGGACGTAGAACAGTTCACGGTTAGACTATCAAATTCACTCTAATCTTATCATTTTACGAATTATCTCTCTTACGACAATCTATATTCCTCAATCATACCAATCCAACCCCAAAACAGCAATTCTGCCTTGAACCAGCTGACTTTCATTAACGTTGAAAGACAGCAAGCTACCGATCTGCTCAACGCTCTTTATACGTCGAGGTCAGATCGGCACGCAACATTATTATATCAGAGACTAATTTTGACAGTTCGTAAAAAGGTGCTACAATATTTAAAGCCTATACATGTTCAAACATGGTACAATGCATACATTGACTCCATAGATTTAACGAAACTTGCATTAGGTTTCAATTTACACCTCCGTATTACTGGTTCTTCTCAATTTATCGATAATAACGTTGAAATATATATGTCTTAAAATGTCGAATTATTTTCCAACATCAGTATTATCGATAACAAGAGATAATTACAAACTATAAAATTAAAAATAAAAAAAATAGGCAAAAAGATGATTAATCCAAAGAAATAAACTCTTTTCATCGATGCAAGTTGGATCTAATATCGATGCTGAATTACAGACATACAACATACATACACCATGAAATAAAAGTCGATGCATCGCGGCAATGTATATAGAGAACTTAAGAACTATGTCCCTGTTCCGTTTAAATACTATCACGTGCGTATGTTTATAATTGATGCCTCGGTTCATTGAACGAACTATAATATTTTCAATTCCTCGATTCTTGGTGTTGTTCTTATGCTTGTACTTTACATCGGTGAACAATGGAATTAATAACTACAAAATTAAAAAAGATTTTTGCTGATTTTCCATAAAACTACGTTTTTAATTCTTTGCACCAGTTTTTCATGTGTATTCACTTCTATTAAAAAAAAAAAAACTGTTCCAAATAAACATCAAAGAGCCAAATGGTAAGGGAAAATGTCACTACTTATTTCATGCATACATTATTTATTGGTGAAATTATAGAAAAGTTTTCCTCTTAGATTTCTATGATTTTTAAATGTTGTAGAAATCAACCCTTCTTGAATATCTTTATATTTTACCTGTACATATAGGCAGCGATCGAGGATAGTTTCCAAGATATTCGCAAAAAATTTGCTGACAAAACTAGCACATTGTGACACAGTACAAACAATCGAAATTTCATCATTTACACTACACATCGGCGACCATAGCTCGTCGTCATCGTATGACACATGTACTATAAACATATAAATTTGGGTACATATTATATTCGCAATCGTTGTAGCTTACGCATACGCTCTGCTACAGATGCACAATTATAAGTAGAATTTATTGCAGTAGTGGTAAAAAATCATCGAAATCGGAAAAAAAGTAGCTTCATCTATTTGTTTATAACTTTGTGACAAAGTGTTTGCTGACGAACATTATATAACATTTTTTCTTCTTTTTGTTTATAGATTAAGTAGTTTGACCGTTTAAGATTTAAGATACTTTGTGTAACTGATGAAAAAAGATACAGTGATTGAACAAATTCAAATTATTTGCAAATTAATCACTGTACGAAAAAAAAGAAACGAGTTAATGATATCAGGAGAAAGATATTCTGCATATTCTTCCTCTTCTTTTACATACTAGACATAACTTTGAGTGTTATAAATGGAATATAATCTATTTTTTTAAATAAAAAATCCAATAAAATGATATTTAAGTAATAAGACTAAAGTGAATATTAGTAAATATTTTAATAAATTGTTGGAAGCTGAAAGAAGAAAGTCCCGTGAATGGAACGTGGATGATTGATTGGTTGTTTTAGATAGAACCAATGCAAAATTAAATATAAAGATAATGAAAATATCATCTAAAAAAAAAAATTCGTGTAGCATAACACGTCTGTGTGTGAGGGAACTTATCTCTTTTGCTCTGCAAGACTTCTTTCTCTAGTTTGAATTTATTTGTTTAGTTTTAAGACCATACTTTGTTTAAAAAATGAAAGATAGTGATTTAAAATTGCTAGAAACAATTCTTATAATGCACATCTCTCTTAAAATAATATGGATTTTGTTTTATATACTTTCTCATACTGGAAATAATTAAAAATCACTCGCATAGCAAGGTAAAAGTATAGATATCTGATATACTATAGAAGTATAGAATGTTATGGAGAAAATTTCAGTTGAAATATTATGAAGTATTATGAAGTTTCTTTCTGATAAAATGTCATTCAATTTTTTAATCTGCAATTTTACTATATTTGTCATATTATGTTACATAATTTAAATTTAAATTATTTTTTCATACATTTTTTCATAGTTATTCGTTATCAAACTAGTTTACATATTTAGAATTACTGATAAATTAATATATTGATATTTCTATTTTTCTTTGCAGTGTACAAAATCAGGAAAACAAGGATCTGGAGCAACTTCGAATAAAAACAACCAAAATGTAACTTCGATTAGTACGGACAGAAAAAGTCCAAGTGCTTCTTCAATGGCAAGTAGTCCAAAGCCTTCAAATCCTTCTGGTTCAACGACTAACTCTAAAACAACTACACCAGCACCTCCAGAATCTGATGGTGAAGACGATCGATCGAAAGGATCAGATTCTAATTCAGCGCCTAAAGTACCACCTTTGAAAATAGTTATTCCACAAAGCACTACATCCGAGCAAGAGCAAGGGAATAGAAACGGAAAGAGCACATCTAATAGGAGTCACCAATTGCCCTATGTAGTTGCCAGTTCAAATAGTAACGATTCAACGGATAAAGAACAGAATCAATCCACTAGTGGAACAACAAGTCCTACTGAAAGCGGAAATACTAAAAATGAGGATAAAAAAGATTTTAGCGGTGCTTTACATGGAGAAGAAAGATCAACGCATCACCAGAGAGTGCTAAGAAGTTCGCATAGATCTGGTAATGGCGGTAATGGATCGGCGACCTTGAAAGAAAACTCCTCTTCTTCAGGCAACGGAAATTATTCGAACTCGTCTCCGCTACCAGTAACTACTTCGACGGATCGTTCCAACAATTTGTCACCTCAACAAAGACATCATTCACCGACGCCTGAAACTTCTGGTTCTGAAACAAATAAAAATACTTCGACGGAAGTTTCAAATAGCGGCACGACTTCAAAGACAAACATTGTAGCAGAAAAATCAGAAAAAAACAACGAAACTAGTGGAAAATGTCAAAAAGATAACGGAGCAGAAAATTCTGAAAACACTTCTACTACTACCTCATCGACGACATCAAATGTAGGTGCTTCTGCACCACCTGTTGAACTTCATCCTAGAAAAAGAAAAATGAAACCTAATAAGGAAGCACAACAAGCTGCTACAGCTGCTTCTAATGAAGCATCGGAAGCAACGAATACGGGTCCAGAGGTTCATCCACATGATCAACCGATTACTAATTGTTACCAATTATTTTTAAATATTAGAAAACAGGTTCGTTTTTAATGTTTGTGGTAATCCTTTTATAAAAAGCATATTGTAATCATATCTTGACACTTTTAGATTGAACGAAGGAGGAAAGGCCTTTTTCCAGTCCAACCAAAACCACCTCAGGGTTTCAAAGATTATTTAATGAATCGTTGTACATACGTGTTAGCTGGGAATGCAAATAAAGAGCCCAATGTTAATCCCCCGGTCGGATTGCAAGGCGCTATGAAAGACTTGTACATTGAACAAGAAAAAGAGAGATATCGTCTTAGAATGCAACATGTTGTTGAAAAAGAAAAATTAGTTTTATCTGTAGAACAAGAAATCCTTAGAGTACATGGTAGAGCGGCTAGAGCTCTAGCTAATCAATCCCTTCCCTTTTCTGTTTGTACAATATTAAAGGATGAAGAAGTTTATAATGTTATTACTCCAGAACAGGAAGAGAAAGATAGAAATGCAAGGAGTAGATATAATGGTAGATTATTTTTGAGTTGGTTACAAGATGTAGATGATAAATGGGAAAAAATTAAGGTAAACATTATAAAAGTTATAAAATTGTTAAGATACTTATACCTGAATTATATAGACAACTACAAATAGTACATTGTCTTAATTATTCAGGTTAAATTAAGTTACATGAAAACTAACTGATAGCGTTTTTTATATATATCAGTTCAAAAAGATGTAACACATTGATATATGTTCTACTAAAATTTGGTTTGTCAGAACTAGGATAAAATTACTAAAAAAGAAAATTACTATTTTAGGAAGCAATGTTACTGAGGCATCACAATGAAGCTGAATCATTACATGCTGTACAAAAAATGGATTGGGAATGGAAATTAAAAGAAGTTGGATTATGTGAATTCAAAGCAACACCTCAAATAGAAGATATTCATGTTCCAATGGTACATGTTTCAGATGACTTTGATTTGCTCCCAGCTTAGTGTACAGTGATTGCACAATTGACTTTGCATAAATATTTCGCTCATTCTGTGATCTCTTTCATATTGTATTCACCGTTCTTGCACAGTTACCAAATTACACTATATTACTCTTAAAATTGTAGTTACATATGGAGGCTATATTTAAAAAACATTCGATTCTAATTAGACTATATATTTTGTATTTAAATTTTTAACAAATTTTTAACAAAATTTAAATATGAGTATACTTATATATGTTATTTCTGTTTACGTAATATGTTTTATTCTCACATTATATAATTAAAATAATGAACAAATGATATTATCATGATATCAACTGAGGATTTGTAATCTACAATTTGAATAATAGAAAAATGTACATTAGTAATTTGGTACTGTATTTTTTAATAATACAGTCTCTTCGTAATAATGTATATATTTTGTACCTAGCAACTTATAATAGTGCTTTTAAATATTGTATTAAAAATTTAGACTAAAAAATCAATCAATAAATAAAACTATACAAGTAAAATTATTTTTGTTTTGCATTTTTGTCTTCTATCATTACATTTTTATTTTCTGTTGGAGGTTGATTAAGCGCAGTAACATTTAATTCCTCTATTTCAAAGTCTATTGGCTCATTATATTTCATAATGATATTAAAGTGTTTAGGTTCTAGAAATTGATTTTCATCAAGCAGCAAGGGATAACCATTTGCAATACATGTTGTAAACATTCCAGTACGTGGTGTTGTAGGTTCAATTACGTCATTTTTAGTAAATGTTATCTGCAATATAGAGATCATTATATTATGTAAACAGTGTAAATAAATAAATAAACAACTTTAAAGAAATATAAATACTTCTTTTTGTCGGCAAAAAAATGTAAATATTTTAGCACTATATTTTTCTTCTTTAGGATGATGATACAACTCGATTGCATATCTTTTTGCTAGTAAATGTACTAAAAGAGGAGTAGATATAGTAATTATATTAAATAGTGCAAATATTGTTCCTGCATTTGCCAAATTATCTTCTTCTAAGAGTTTCATATAAAGAAAAGGTTGACAAGTTACTGACATAAGTGATGTCACCAAAGAAAATATTTTAATATTACGGACTTTTGATGCTAATGATCCAACATATATTAAATTCTTTTCGGTAGTTTCATTGCATTTATCAGAAAAATGCTTTACTTGCAAACATGGTTTGAATCTCTGTAACAAAAAGTATATTCTTGTATTACTTTTACGAAACAAGATGTTTTAAGATGTATTACATAAACTATAAAATAATATACAAAAGCGTTGTAAGCACATAATTTTTTAAAAGAAAGATTAATTAGGTCAAATTTCGTTGTCTTCTATTAGATAGACTGGTAATTTGATGAAAATATTAAAATATTTCTTAAAAAGAATTTCTAACCTTGATATTACCGTACATACAATACGTAGATATTTGGTTAAACGTAATAACTTCTTGCACAAAGAATCTTCTTTCGTTCAAAATGCAATTCCGCAAAAGTGAAATCATAGTTAGCAATTAACTGTGGTTTATTATGTTATTTAAATATTTACGTATCATACAACGATAACGTTTCAAGATCGTCATAGATTAGAAAACTAAATACACAGGGTGTCTAATTTTTCGAAGCAAATCGTAGGAGCGCAATCTACAAATGAAAATAAAAGAAAATGCTGTATAAATTTTTACTAAAAAAATTATAAGTAATTGTTGAATACAGCGTATATGTATATAAAGATGTGTCCATAACAACGAATTTATCATTGCAGCACATAAAAAATTATCCGTGGCATAATACAGAATGAATTAATAACCTGATTGCAAATCTACAGCAAAATTTTCAAGAAATTCAAAATGTAACGAATTTCACTCTCATCACGCTGATATTTTGAAATAAAAGCTTATACATTTTAAATAATTCTCGTTGATTACAATAAAAATAAAGTAAATTAAATTCAATCCGGCTTCGCACAAGAGTAATTTTGTATTTGCAGCAATAGGTTTTATCATTAGGTTAAATATCGAAATAAATAAATAATTTATTTTGATAAGGATTAAGTGATTAATTGAATAATTAATTAAATATAATTTGTAAATGTTACATTTACGATTATTTAGGGCTGGGGAGGAATAAATTTTTGAAATAAGTCAATAAAACATTTTTATTTTCTCGAGTGATAACAATAAATAATATACTAAGTAATGCACTTATTAGCATAGTATATAATAATAGTATTTATTTATTTAGTATTTATATATTTTAGTATCTACTCTATTTTTTTGAAATAATACTTGCATAAAAAAAATATATATTTTCCAAATATATATTTTACTGAATTATACGAATACTATTGTGAACCAACTATTTGAAATATAAGATAATAGTATTTCAAATAATAAAATTATCCATTAATTTTTATTAAAAAAAAAAAAAATTTAATATTATCTTTTAAAGGTAGATTATACGAACTATACATTATCACGAACTTCTATAAATAATTCTTCTATGCATCATTTTGTTTGATATATACGCAATATACATATGTATCTTTAATACACATAATTTTAGACTTGGATAGTATTTGACGACCGCTTTTCGTCCGACCGTTTGGCTCCTTTTTGCATTATATATTTATTGGAAATTTTATTTTATACTTACACAAAAATATGATTGATTTTATAAAATTTATTATTAAAACATTTCGTGCTTTTGTTCAATATTTATTTCATAATTTCAGCATTTACGATTCTTGCTACATTCTTTCTTTAATTATTATTATTATTTAATTAACTTATTTAATTTCGGTTTATCATGGAAAATTTTTGTATAGTATATAATATGAAACATAAGTATATAATAATATGAAACCAATAAGTACATTCATCAATATACGCAATATCCGAATTATTTTTTTCGTTCCTGATTTTGTGAAGGTCATTGAATGGTATATCGTTGAATTCGTCATTTCATATCCACTTTTACATAATATGAATAAAAAGAATGGCATTCCATTAAAAAAATTGAAAGTTACAAAAAAGTCACTTCAGTTCGGAAAAAACAGTATGACTAGAAAAATTTTTTATTTACATACAAGATTTTTATTGTAATTTTTATTGTAGTTGTAAGAGTACAACTTTGCACTTTTTCATTTTTCCACAGCTTCACATCTGAGAGAAAAAATACGACAGAAAATTCATGAATATCCTATAGGCAAATTTTATACGTAAACGTACATGATGTTTGAAGATGGCGAATGTATTTAAAATGTATTTCGATTATTGTAATCGATTTATTTCAATGAACAGTACGTATAAAATTAATTGTCTTCTTTTACTAATTGAATGTAAATATGCATTTGTGCATAAATAACATAAACTAATATCGTATAAATAATTTTTCGTTTTGTTCTAGATATTTGGAATCAAAGATATAAACAACAATTAAAAAATTATTAATTAATATTAATTATTATTCTTAATTAATTCGCGTATTAACTTTATATTCATATCTTATTTCGTTGTTATAAGTATTAACGCCGAGAATTGACAGAATTGCAAAAATTTAAGATGATTCGGATAAATTCTCGTTTGATATTATAAAAGATCCTTCATTCTTTTCACATTATTCTTGCTTTCTACAAAAGATATAAAAATTTCTCGCAGTACTATGTTCGTTGTTGAAGATAGTCGTAGTTCTTATAATTGCTAACATCTGCATCACTAGCATTTGCAAATAATTATGTTATCGATTATTTCGATTTTGTTGCCATGTTTTCAATTTTACGCAAGTAGGAAATCACAAGGTACCACGTGATTGTCGTTTACAAATGATCGTTACGACGAGTGTTATTCTGTTTAGTATCATGAAAATATAAATGATACGTGATGTGTACAAAAGTTTAGCTATTCCCTGAGCATTTTGCGAAGTATTTGACATTTTTCGTTGGTTGTTTGAAAATTGATTTTATAAAATTAAGATTTTATGATATTTATAAAACATGGCGCCTTAAATTAGGTTATAAATACGTTGAATCTTAACGTTCTTCTATGAATTAACTGTCTTGTATTACGGCAATTGTAGTACATATTTGAATATAAGTTTTAATATACTAGTAGATTAAATTTGTAATGAAATTACATATCAGTATCATTGTTATGTATATTAAAAGTATAAATTGTTTAATTTAATTTATAAAATGCATTGATAATTAAATTCTGTTTCATTACATAAGAATGACAATCGTAAACATTGACATTTTTTAATGTTTTGTTTCAAAATCATGCATTTAATATTTAGAAATTGCTTGTAGTTTATTGCAAGTATGGACAAGCAAGTGATAACCAAATGTATATTTGCTGCTATGCAACATATATAAAAATATGAAAAGTAACTCCAAAAAAGAAAATATTGATGCGAAAAAAAAATATGTTTTTTTCACTGACCCTGACATTATTGTTCAACGTGCTGAAATATCTGCAGCAGTAAGTTGGATAGAATTTAAATTAAATTAAGTATTTTTATATTATATTTTATCATTTCACGTATATTACGATGATTTTGTAAATGATAATTATAATATAACAATTTATATCATTATCGACAGTATAGCCTAATAAAATATAATTTTAACAGCAGCAAGATTACATTAGTAAGCAATCATCTAAAGACGCAACATCTAATGTTCCAGTTCAATTTGACTTGAAAAGTTTAGAGAGCTTATCATATCATTCTGTTCAACCATATCCTTTCACATTTATAAGTGCTGTGAAACGAAAATTAGCTTTAAACGATGGTTCTGAAGTTTATAGGAAAACTCCCAATAATGAAAATGCAGTTAAACCAGCTATATTAGAATCTGATAGTACACAGAATTTGCATCAAGTTGTACAGACAATGGATTTCGTAAGGCCACTAAAGGTTCCAGATTTGAAAATTTCTGCAAAGAAACTGGATTTTTCTAACAGGGAAAATTGCGCATCAAAAGAGTTGGTATCACAAAAATTTGAGACACCTGCAAAGGAATTTATTCATGAAAGAGGAGAAAAATCGACAAAAAGTTTTGAACGAGTTCAAAGAAGATTAGATTTTTCAACCTCAGATGTTTCGTCAACCATCAATAGCGATGTAGAGCCATTGAAGGTGCCAAATATTTCCATATCTTCGAATTTGTCAAAAAAGAAGGAATGTGTTAGAGAAAATTCTAGAGAAAAAGAAAACAGATCTAAAAGAATTCGAAAAGATGAATCTTTGTTTTCTAACCAAGATGAAACAATACAAGATTTTTCTAAAAGATCTAAAAGTCCAAGACATGCTTCTAGAAAAGATATTTCTAACAATGTAAATGAGAATACATTAGGTATGAAATTAAAAAATGACAGATTGTCATTTCATATTCCAAAAGAAAGTGACTTTGCTCCAACAAAACCAAAACCAAAAAATTTTGCAACATCAACTGCTAAAAAGATTAACGATAAGAAACATAGATCTATTAATACTAGATCTTTGAAATCGAGAGATTTTTCTTATAATGAGTCACTTTCTGAACGATCTTCAGAATTATCAGGTAAGATCACAACGAAAGAGTCTAGAAATATGTTTGAAAATTTTGATTCTAAACATAAGAACGATTCACATACATTAAAACAAATAGATGATCAGATATGTACGTTTTTATCAGAAAATAGACAAGTTAAACAACATCAAATAACGTGTCAAACACAAGGAAACATATTTTTCAAGGAACAAAATAAGAAATCCGAAAAAGTAAAACCTTCAACAAGTAAAATGGATAACAAAATATATATAATAAATTCTAAAGAATTTGAAGATATTGAAAGTGTAACTGATTCAGACATGAGTTTAAGAAGTCAAAGTCCAATTATTGTGTCTACACAACAGATAAAAAATAAAGATTCTGAGAAAATTGCACAAAGTGTTAATAAATCAAATAAAGTTACTGAAGATTTAAAGTATGTAGATGATTCATTGACACAATCTACTAATGTAAATACAAAAAGGGAAGAAACATCATTTACAGAAAGCATTGCTACTACAATCAAACAAACTAGTAATAGTAATGAATCTAATTTAAACAACAGTATTTTATCAAGCGCATTATTAGATCCAAGAAAAATTTCATTTAGAGATGAAAATCAATCACAACAGGAAGAATTTTGTGATTTAATTACACCAGATATGAATCTTATGCCTCGATCTAAGCGAAAACGGGAATTTATGCAAAATAGTAATATGGAAGCTGAGTTTAAGTATTCAAAACATAATATGAATAAAATTGATACAGAAAAACCAGAAAATAGTTCATTGGTAAGTAAACATTATTATTGTATTTTATATATTACATTATATTATATATTACTTTATTTAATCCATGTAATTTTATAAAACTAATTTTATAATTATAGTTACATCCAACTGCACTACATATGCAATTTAAAGCTGAATTGCATCTTCTTGATTCATTTAATGAATCACTGAGACAGGTTATAGATGTTGAAAAATGTTTATATGATGTTAAACAAGATCAAGAAAAAGAATTACCATTGCAGCATAGTCAGTCAAATGACCAAGTGAAATCACATTTCTCTAAAGTAACAGATGAAAGGAATACTAATAATATGGAACATTCTGATGACATTAATATATCATATAAACATGTTGTCACTGATAAAGGTAGAAGATTTAATAAATTATTTGTTATAATATATGAAAATTATTAATTACTAATGAAAATTATTAATTATTAATATTGATATAGTGTTTCCAATTCAAAAAATCCATCATATTACAAGTCAGACTGTGGCAAGTGAATTTGACAATGTGAATAAAGTAATTAAACCAGTAGTTAAAGCTGTAGAAGTACAAACTCAAACAATGAATGATATTGCAACTCAAACAAATATACGTTCAACTCGACGAAATGTACAAAGTAGATGCTCAGAAATATGTGGAATGTCGTATGAACAAGAATTTGTTGGAGACAACGAAATTCCACATCTTTCTTTAGACTCGGTGGAGCAATTTGGAGATTTAGATCAAATAGAAGAAATATCATTGTCTAGTAAGCTAAGAACGATGTCCGAAATAAGTTTACACGAAACAACATCGTCTATACGAACAGAGACTGGAACGGAAATTAGCATCTCCACTCGAGATATAATTTGTTCTTTTAACAAATATTTAGATTTCGAAGTAAGTATAATAGATAAAAATTTATATAATAAATTATGATTAATCATGTTACGCATTTTTGTAGATTGCACAACTACTACAAGATGAGAAACAAAGATACGACAAAATTGAGATGTTGTTCAAATCTCGTGAAAAAACCTTAATTGATCGAACTAAAAAGTTAGTGAAATTGGAAGAACAAAAACGAGCATTAAAAGATACTGGGCAAGATAGTCGTGTTAGTTCTGTGAAAAAAAAACAGAGAGCTTTACTTTTAAAACTGCAACAAGAAAAAGATGAAATGAATAGGTATTGCAATTCTTTATATTTAAAAATACTTTATTTAGTTATGTTTATTTAGTTTAATTATGTTTTTAGATTAAAAGAGCTTCACAAAATTGCAAGTCAAGAACGTAAGCTTATGCTACAGAAACAGAGAAACATGTTCAATCCTCAAATATCTACTAAAAATATTTTAACAAAATTAAAACGAAGTGCAGATAGTCAGTCTCCAAGGAAATTATCTGGACCTATGAAGGGTTATGATATAAGAAGTAATAGTTCTATGAGTTCTTTACTTGATTCTGATAAATCTCAGCACGATCGATCTCAAATAGAGGCGCGCATGCAGATATCAGAAAATGATTTGCATTTTTCTAAAATTAATTTACCAAAAAGTAATAAATTTACAAATTTCGTTAAAGAATCCAATGTGTCACCTGATAAATCTGATGAGCCTATACAAAGTAATAAATTTCCGAATTTCGTTGAAGAATCTAATGCGTCGCTCGATAAATCTGATGAGCCTATACAAAGTAATATATCTCAAGAAAAATATCTTTATAAAGCACAGAAAGATGGAAACATATCCAAATATGAGATAAAGTCAAGAAAATTTGAAGAAAAGATGCCCAAAGCAGACATTATAAAATTGAAATCTCATCAACATTCTGTTGATCCAAAATTAATCCTAAATCAGCCCATGAGTATTTCTGGGAAATATGTTTTTGAGAAAGAAAAATCTTCTGAGGTAGAATTGTCACAACAGAATTCAAATAAATCTATCTCTGAACATATTAAATCAGACTCTGAAACTTTAGTAGAAGAATTATCTAAGAAGTCGAAGCCTTCTCAAACAATTGATGATCATTTTCAGAGTATAGTATCTCCAAAGGAATTTTTGAAAACTGTTGCTACAAATAGTGAAATTTTGTCAGAAGAAATAAGTTCTGTTAGTCAAGATACCATATTGAAAACATCAAAATCATCACAAGTGTCTGAAGATATTTTACAGACGTATTCAAAAAGCTCTAAACGAAGCAATAAATCAATTCTGACTGACATGTCCAAAAATACTCAATATAGTTCCGAGTCTAAATCAAATTTTAAACGTAGAAGTTCAAAGTGTCAAAAAAGCAAATCATCATCTAGTATAGATACGGAAAATATATTAGGATCCAAATCCAACTTTCAAATGTCAGAAGAACTTGTCAAACATCATAATAAACGAACAAAAATAGAAAAGGAATTTATTCAAGATGATAAGAACGATGATACTGCAATTACGGATAAACATACGAAGGAGAAGAATTTAAAATCATTAACAGATAGGGCAGATGATTATGACAGTAAAGAGAATGTATTTTGTCAAAAAATGTTTGATAAAAATACAAACTCCTACGAAAATTTCTTGTATAATCAAGACAATAATGAACATAATTTTGATGGGACATCCACGAAACCTCAAATTGGTAACTTTGCTATTTCTCATCACAGTTCCGGAGAAAATAATAGAAATTATTCCAAATCCGTGATTGTTAGTTCGCAAGATCATAATTTAATATCTGAAAAACTTGAGCAGTAAGTATATCTTTCTTTAAATTAATTTATATATTTTATCGTAATTTTGAAAGGCGTTCATTTATAATATTAACATTTAAATTAAATTTGTAAAATTACGAATCACTGGAGATACATGTAGAAGTCTAATAATAAATGTATTCACGTATTCACACTATGAAATGAAGCATTGTAAAAATAGATTCAGTGAACGGCGTTATTGCAGTATTTTACTGTTGGCAAAGAATATCTGACTTAATTTTTACAACTAAATAATTGTTTTTAATAAGTTCGAACTTTTGCAATTTTGTATTACTTTTTGTGTAATAATCGATATGGAAAGTGTATTTGTATTATCAGACGTGGTTACATTTTTTAGAGTTTTGAATGCACGTGAAGCTGCGCTTACTTCGCGGAAAAATTGTGTAAAAAACTGGATGGCTTGGCATACGAAGTTAAAAGCTGAAGAAGATCACGTTACTCAAATGGAACAGGCTGCACTTAAACTTATAACTGCTGCATCTAGTGCTTTTTTACATCAAGGTAACTTTATTGTTGATTTTTTCAGTTATGGCTTTATATATATATATATATATGTATAAGATGTATTGTACAATAGTATTATTTAATAAAATACTAAAAAAATATTATATATATATATATAAAATAACAAAATTTCTTTGTGAATGAACAGATACTTTTAAATATATAGAAATATGTATAGAGTATGATATTTAATAATTTTTAATTATCTTTAATTATATAAATCTTTTAATTTTGATAATTAGAAAGGAATATGTGTCATTTTATAGATACTACTGTTTCATCGGATACTAGTGATATTGAAGGAAGAATAGAGTTACTTACGGAAACATTAGCCAAAAAACGAATAGAAATGTCACGCTTAAAAAAGGAAGCCAAAAAACAAACAAAACAAAAACTTCGGGCTTTAGAGGCCAACTTATTGAATCAAATTAAGGTAAATAACTTAATATTGATAGTAGATTTGAACAGATTGATTTTATAATAAATTTTATAAGATAAATTTTATTAATTATATATACAAAATTATCTTTAATGTTCAAATAGAAATATGACACAACGATTTACGAAATGCGTAAAAAATTGGAATCAGAAAAAGGATTTTCTAAAGATAACGATAAATTAGCGATAGAGTCAAAATCATTAGCGGATTTCAAAATACCTGAGATTCCTCTAAAAAAGCTGCAAGATATGTTCAAGTGTAGCGATTTGTTAAGATCTAGGTCAGAATCTGATTTATTTTCTACGAAAAGATTATCAGCAAAAGATTCCATGAAAAATATTAATTTATTACAAGGGGAAACTATTGAAACCGATAGAAATGATTCTGAAGTGCACAAATCTTCAAAAAGCACGAGAATGTTGGAACAATTGAGTTTTGCTAAAATGAGTATGGCAAATGATAGTACTCAAGTTTTTGATGAAAATATATCAGAACAAATTGAAAGTGATAAACTTGCTTCTGCTTCGATGTCATTAGTTTCAGGCGGACGACTTGACAGAAATATTTCTTGTGAAACTGGAAGAGATGAAATCGAAAACAATCAAAATGTTTCTGAAGTTATTAGAACTGAAAGCAATATATCGAAATCCGAAACAGATATAATTACACAATCCGAAGCTAAACTTTCTAAATATGATGCTACAATTCAATCTGATTTAAAGGAGTATAAATCCGATTTTGACACGTTTTCTGAACAGTCTCGGGCTAAAACTATTTCATCACAATTTGAAGCTAATAAATTACAACATTCAGAATATTCACATATATCTTCAAGAAAATCGAACGATGTTCAAAATTCCAATACGGAAATCAAGACCGAACTTACTAATGACAATATTGATTTCTCTAAAAAAATGGACTTTTTACGTTTAAATAATCAAATTTTGAACGAGGATATAAGTTCACTAGAAAATGAATTAAAAATACTTTCAGAAATGATGTCGCGTTTTAATAAAACATCAAACAAAGAAACAAATCACGAATCACAAAGTGAAGAAAAAAGTACATCAAAGGATATATCAGAAATACTTTCAGTATCTGATAAAAATAATGAAACTTCTGACGTGGAAATCATAAAAGAGAATAAAAACACAAATATAGAATTATATCAGAAAAAGAGTAATTCTGATATTTCACAATATATGACAAATGATACAAAATTGAAATCAGTTACTAACTTTAGTGACAATAGAAGTATAATAACGAAAGAAGTTGATAATGTAATATCTATTATTATGCCAGAAAGTAAAATGTCGCTTTCTAAATCAAATAACCAGGAAATTGATTATAAAGCAAGAAGCAAGAAAATTTTGAATGAAATTGAAAAATCTATAATATCAGAACATATTAAAGGAACTAAGGGCGATATCAGTCGCTCGGAAATGTTGATTGAGAATAACAATTTAAACTTATATAAAAAAGATGAAAAAATATCTAGTGATACTTCTGCTGGCATCAGGTCTTTATCTGAAACTTATTCAAAAACAATGCAGAGTGAAGAATGCACGAATGCTATGGAATTTGAAACAATACATTCTGAAGAAAATGTTGATACAGATATTGAAGAAAATTTGGTTAATTCACGTAATTTAAAAAACCGTCAATCATTAGAATCGAATAAAAATCTTTCTTTCCTTTCAGAAAAATCTAATTCAAATGAAAAAAATGAATCTTTAAATCAATGTACAGATCTCAGTCATAGCCCAATAATAAATGATGTACTTACTGTAGAAACTCACTCAGAAAATAAAAGTGATTCATCTCTCAATATTCTGCAAGATGATTCAAAACAGACAATAGTTACAGAATATATAAATGAGTTACTAAAAAGACAAATTTCTCCACAGTTATCAAATTTAACCAAAATAAATAATAATTCCATAGATTATATGAAAAATACAGTAAATGATGGTAAATACAAAAATATAAATGATGTATATCCAACTTCAGAAGTGGAAAGTGTAAAATTAATCTTAAATGAATACAAAGAATTTAGCGATAATAATAAAAGTGAAGTATCAATTGATGAGTTAATATCTAAAGAAGTTTCTCAGAAATTTGTACAGGAATCGAAACAAAATGCTTCTGATCACACTTTAAATATTAGCAAACAAGAAATCGATGAGAATGAAAGTCAGACACAAGAAATATTTATTAATAAAACTTTTGATAAAGATGATCGAATTGCATCTGACTCATTTGGTACCCATTCTACATGCGAAAATTCTCAAAATCAAGCTTCAAACTTATTGAACGATGACTCGAGTATATTATTAAATTCAAAAGATATATCCCAAAGAATTAATGATTCTAAAAATCAAAGTAATGTAATTAGTGATGTAGAAGATGTAGAAAATATGTTACTATTTATTCCGAAAAGTGAATCTAATAATATTGCTATATATGGAACTAAATTTGAGGAAACAATTATAGATTCGCATTTTGAAAACTCCTATGATAAAGCTAAAGATATATTGGATATCATTACTAAAAATAATGATAGAGAACAATATGAAGAAGAAACTGAGCACAGTATAGAAACCGATGATTTTCAAAAAGCTATTTATGATTCTGTGATTAAGATACTGGATAAAGTTGAAAAAAGTATTGAGGATAATCCAATAAAAGAAAAAATCGAAAATGCAAATAGCATAGCAAGTAAAAATGAAATAAAAGTCATGATAGAGGAGAAAGAGAAATCAATTTTGAGTTCACAAAATAAATGTTTAGAAGAAAATAAAGATGAAATAATTAGCGAAAAAAATATTACTTTCGATATTGACAGTGACAGAAATGTTAATGACAAGATAATAATTAATGAAATTAATACAGAGACCGCTATAGACCTAGATGTATGCACAAAAATCAAAGATGATGAAAATATGTGTTTTAGTGAATCTAAATCTCGAGAAATTATTATAACAGAATTAGAACTAGGAAGTGCGGAAAGCGAAAGTTTATCAGAACTCGAAATTGATGCTAAAATAGAATTGGCAGAAGAAGAACTTAGAGAAATAAATAAAAGCGATAATAAAAAGGAAACCCAAGAAAAAACAGTGCAAGAACTAAAATCATTGGAACCTATAATAGAACAAGATAGTTCTGATGGCGAACAGCTTGACAATTTGGTTGAAGTAACTGAAACTGTGTTGGATGTTATAGAAAAAGAGATTAAATATTCTACAGATTTTACTAGCGAATCAGAATCGATTTCACATAATAAAACAAATATTCAAAGTGTTAAAATTGAAAAAAATGAAATACAATATGAAGTAACTCCTCCCGTAAGAGTAAATGATATTAAAACAGTAGAAAATATTGAAGCAGTTACATCGAATGCCTCACAAAATATTATAGATAAAACCTTTGACATTTTGAAAGATCCAGAGTATGAAGATATTTCAGAAGAAAGTCTTGAAGTTTCTGAAATATTTGATAAAAGTGAAACTCAGAAATCTACTCTTTCACAAAAATCATCTATATTGGGAAAATATGAAGCAATACCAAAATCAGGAGATGTATTAAAAATACTTGATGAAATTGCACAAAAATTTTCATCAAGTTCAGAAAATGATACAGACCAATTTAAAAATAATAAATATATTTTAGAAAACAATAAAAAATTGCAAACAGAAATTTCTGATACAGACAGCGTTGCATCTTCAAAAGTTGATAAAGTAATTGATAAAAACGAACAATCGCTAGTAGATAATTTGGAAAACCAACAGCCTGAAGCAGTAACACTAGAAGAAGAAGATCAATTGATTAAAATAATCATTAGTTCAAATGAAACTGCAGAAAAAGAAAAACAAGAACAAGATGTATTATCTGAATCAAGTGAAGGTAGAGATACACCAAAAGGCGTATCGGAAATTGAAATGGATTCTCCTAGAGATCTTAATGATTCAAAATTAAATATTGATGTGTTAAATGATGATTTACTGAGTAATTCAAACATGGAAAATCAAAATACAGATTCAAAAAATGCATTCCATACCACTCCCATTGTTGCAACATCTGAAAAGGATATAGAAGTTATGATAGATAAATTAAAAGGTATGATTTTTATTTATATATAATTTTAACTATTACATTACTATCAAATTGGGACTATATAATTTGAACTTCATTAAAAATACAGTTTTAAGTATGTAATTCATAATTAAATGGTATTTTTTTATATTTTGTAAATATTTTTTAATTTTTTAAATGGAATTCTTTTTCTTTCATATGTATATAAATTTAAAACTATTTAAAACTATTAAATTATTGAGTTTTAAATTATATTGCTATTGAATGAATATATAAGAATGTAATAAATATTTTTACAGTATAAGCCATATATGTTGGATATAATCATTTAAATTTAATTTAGTTTTAATATCATTTATATAATTTAATACATAAATGATAATATATTCTTGCATACCAATATTACAGAGACACATTTTGATCTTTATGTTGGCTGTGTATTCCTGTGCAAAGCATTGCCTCGTATAGCTATGTATTATTTATTTTCAGAATAGCAAAGTCAAGATAATTACTTAAAGGTAATACAACACGAAACTTTGAATGAAACAAACATTGACTTGTTCCTTCTATACAAATCAGTGTTGCATGAGTGCTTGACCTGTACTTATTGATTTCTTTATGCACAAAAAAAGCCTGTAAATATTGTGCAACACAACATAAAACATTATATCTCTTCTATTTTCTCAAAATTTAAAAAACAAAATGGCTATGTCTAAATGAAAACATATACAGAGTGAAACACATAATCATCTTGAATATCTCTATTGTTTTCTGAAATATGAAACTTTGTTAACAAAAATTTTTTAATACAAAGGAGGCCATAATATAATAATTTTTTGTATGTCGAGAGGTTTAAGATCATTTTAAACTCCATTTTTATGTTTTCTGTTCCATTAATTAATACAGCAAGATATTCTTTATGAAAGAAATATTAACTTATATGTCGAAAAATTATTATTTAGAAAACATTTTAAACTTAATTCCATAAAATCTATATTGCTATATTAATTCCATAAAATCTAGCATGAAAGATAAGAAAAGACAGAGTAGTCTTGTATCCTCGTACTATCCCTTTTTATACGTAAATTTTATTTAAAATTAAATTTAAAATATCTAATAATTTTTTATTAAATTAATGATTTTTCAACATACAAAAGTTAATATTATTTTTATAAAAAATATCGATATTGCATTGATTAATAAAACAAAAGATATTCAAGGTGATAAAGTTACTGATCACATTCACCCTGTATATAATCTTGGAATGTATAATTTTATCACAATATTATTTTATTAATGCATAATATTATATTATTTTATTAATGCATCAGAATATTTTTTTAATCCATATTTGGATGTTTCCCTCTTTTTTAAAAAAATCATCAAAGCACCTAATCAAAATAAAATGTGGACTCATAATGTAATGTAAAGATTCGTGTTGCTTTTCCTAGACAATTTATTTATAAAACTTCATAATTTTGTATTATTCCACATTTTTATTTACACAGCCTCATTGAAACAACCTGGTATGGAAGTTGCAGACTGGGAAGCAAAATTGCTTCGCATTGAACAACTTCAAATTGAGTTAGAGGTAACAATTTTTGCTATTGTATTTTTTATGTAGAAATTATTTTATTATAGAAATGTTTCTTTATAATAGATTAAGAAATTAGAAGCGGAAGAAGTATCTTTCTATGTTAGAGAAATACCAAACAAACCACCACCTCCCTACACACCACCTGGAAGCGGTGCAAGAATTTCAACATCTCTTGGATCACCTTCTCCTCCTCCAGCCGTAATTCCTTCTAATATAGAAGAACTAACCGCATTTACTGAAAAAGCCACAGCAATAATATTTGAAGCTAAAGAGACTGGAGAAGATATTATGAACTTAGAAGCTCCTTCCGAAATCTGCGAATTAACCAAAGAAAATGACGAGACTGTAAAAAAGGACAGAAGAATTTACAACACATTCCTGTTTGATTTATGCAAAGAAACAATCGCTGAAGTTTATCAGGCTGAATATGAAAAACCAGGTCCAAGTTGGACGAAACCAAATGTGAAGACGAAACCCACAATGAAGATCCCTAAAACTATACAAGAACTTAATGCTTATGTGAATAAAGAAGTGGCCACATTGTTTGGTTTTAAAACGAAATTACAACGGGAAAACATGGTAATGCGTTGGAGTAGGAAACGAAGAGACAGGGTTGATGAATTGTTAGCTAGAGAAGCCCAGGCTGAGGAAGATGAATGGACAAAATTCCATCATGATGAACTTGCGGTAAAAAATGGTCTTACTGTAACTATATTAGATACTTTGTTAATGGAGACTGTGAATGTAGTTAAAGTAGCATATGCAAAGAAAAGGAAAGTAATGGTTTAGTTTTTTTTTTTTTTTTTTTTTTTGCCGACGTTATGACTAATGACTGGTAATGAGATACCACTATATAAATTATGAGATCGTTTAATTATGAAAGATAACATAATTATTTTAAAATTCATTCGACCTGAACTGTCATATTTTTAATGAATTTCTCTATTAATTAATTTTTATCAATATCCTGTATATGATCTGTAGGCTGGTTCCTATTTTTTTGATAAATCGATCGTAAATAAGGAAACAAAAAAATGTAACGAATTTATTTTATGAATTTTAGAATTGTAGAAAGTATTTGTAGTTGTCAATGTATAGAATTCGGTAATCAAACATTATAAATCCGTTTTGTTAAAATTAAGAATTATTATTAAAGCGTATAGTATATAGGTTTGACATAACAATTTATATTCACATATATTGGGATGTAATAATATACTTACTATAGGGAAATCCCGTCAATATTTAGTTTTAAAAAAGATTTATAGTTATTGCTTTAATAATTTTGAGCATTTTGTTTGAGTAATTTTTCAGGTAATATAGTTCTATATAGCTATTAATAATATGTTCCTTATTTATATTCTTTTTATTATTATTTTCTTATTTATATAATAAGTAGAATTAACAATTACCTGCTACAAAAGTAACATTTTAATTAAGATACTGTAATGTTATTTGACCAAGTATTTAACAAATATTCGAACAAAATGCTCCTTCGGTTGTTGTATGTATCCATTATAATTGCGTTATGGAAGCCATTGGCTGTGGAATGTAGATAGTATTTTCTTATGAGGCCACTTCGGATTTCGTAGAATTATGCTCAATTATATATAATAAAATTAACAAAATTTAAACCAAAAGACTGACACTTCGGGGCCATTTCAATTCAAATTAAAAACATTTTAGAGAAATACATAATTACATGTCAATAGTTGAATGTTAATTATAAATTGGCATTGAAAAAGCTCCTCAAGTTGATTGTTTACAACAAAGAGATAGCTCTACTTTCTGCTGTAGCCCCTTTATTATAAATATATATGATATAAAAATGAACATAAGAATGAATATATAAATGTAAAAACAGAATAGTACTTTTATGTTATCAACTGCAACGTGTTAACAAACTGATAAATCAGTTACACTCATTTTAATATAATATACTGATTCTTATTCTGTTGAATCTAAGTTTATATTTGTGATTGTGATGTCGATTTAATATCCACGAAATGATAGAAGTGACAAGTATATGAAAGTACAGCAGTGATAAGATAAATAGAACATTAGCTTTAATTATCACGAATTGTTAATTATTGATGTTGTGCGACGAATTCAAGTGTTTAATCAATTTATAGTACATTTTTTAAAAACTATGAATTTGGTTTTTTAACATATACTTTCAAAATTTCTATGTTCATAATAAGAAATGTACATAACACTAACATTCAATGTAGGATATTACATTTTTTTTTGCAGAGATTTTATCAAGATTTAGTTACTGTTCTTGACACTTTCTCAACTTTTTTGTCTATTATGAATGTCTTTTAAATTTAGTATTATGTAGCTTATTTCTTCTTGTATTCGCAATCAGTTTGAAAATTTGAAACTGATTGCAAACATAGTTTTTATACATACATAAATATTGTTCGCGTATGTAGTGTTGAATATGTACTTAACTAAGGTATAATATATTTTATAATAAATTTTGATGAAAAATTTGTAATGATTTTGTTAGTAAAAAAAAATAGAATAAATTTTAAATATTAGTATTTCTAACTATATATATATATATATATATATATATATATATATATATATATATATATATATATATATATATATATATATATATATATATTTATTTATTTATTTATTTATTTATTTATAATTATTAATTTATTGTTGTGAACTAAAAAATGTCAGAAGAGTGAATTAAACAAATGTAGTATAAAAAATAGTAATATAGAGATTATTATCTACAATCACATGTTTGCACCAAAATTAAAAATAAAATCTGCATAATAATTATACAGTGACAATCATTTTAACATAGTTTTAATATATGAAAAATATAAACATAGAAATATGTTATAAACAATAAAAAGACCTCCATTAGTTGCAAATCCTTTGTTTCAATGGAAGATCACTTTCTGAATCACTGGATTCATTCGTAGCACCAGGTTCATCATCTGAAGAAGAATAATCTTTTCGTTTTACTTCTGCTTTCTGTGTCTTTTTAAGCTATGAAATAATAAATTTTATTAATTATATTAGTTAATTTGACTGATATATAAAAAAGAAAAAAACAGATTTAATTGACCAATTAACCTTTGGCCAATTTTTAGCAGGCCTTTTTGGAGTATTACTTTTTGGGACATATTTGTCAGCAACTCCCTCGACACGCCTTATATCAAAATCTTGATCTACTTTAGTTACAGTTTGCAACCTTTGTTCTTCTGATGTTACATATAAATCATCTGGTTGATGATAACTATTATGCACTTCATATGCTCTTTTACTGCAAAATAAAGCAGCACATACTGTACATTTTATTAAATCTTCTGGAACAGCTTCTCTTTCTTCCTATTAATTATAAAAGCAAAATGTATAAATATAGTACACTTGTAATAAAATTTGTTTATTTAATATTTACTTATATTTCTTTACTTGAGTATGAGCTCTTTCCAAATGCCGTTGCAAATTGAATTTTATAATATATTCAGCACCACATAAATGGCAGTAATATACACTGAGAGCGTCATTCATTGAATTTACTTTAATTTTATTGCTAGGAGGTGGTGTTGCTATTGGTTGAAATAAATGTACCATCCTATAAATTAAATTATTACATACAATATAAAATCATTTAAAAATTTAGTACTGCTGAATAGATTTACAACCTTTTATGTATAGAGCGATAATGATAATCTAAAGCTTTTTCATTATAAAACATTACATCACAGTCTTCGCATTTCTTATGTTGTTCTTTCCTCTCACTTTCAGATGAATCATGAGATGCTTGATGATTATCCCTGTGTGTCTAATAAAAAATAGGTAATTTATAAAATTAAAGAAAAAACATATACTATGTAGAAATAAAAACATACTTTTAGAGGAAATTGCATCCCACAATAATGACAATAAAACTTTGTTGGCGAATTAGGATGAACTTTAAATCTATGTCGTATTGTTGCACTAATTGAATTAAATGCTTGCCCGCACACATCACATTGAGTATCATCATTTTTGCTTGTTTTCACAGGTCTACCACGAGTATCTATTTCTTTGTTGGCATGTTTCCTATATACACAGTATTTAACTCTTTACATGTAATTAAATTTTCAATTTCTAAAACATTGTTTCAATAACAAATTTAATAAAATTTGTTTTAATTTTCTTTTCTCCTTTTTCTGAAAATAAGTTGTTAGGAAATCTATGAACAAAACAAAATTTGATATATTGTATCAAAATTAAATATTAAAATTTAAAAAAAGATTTTTTTCCCCTTTTCTATATTCTAAATTGATCTTATAACTTACCATTAAACAAAAATCTTATTCTTATGAACATTTTAATTATTAATAATAAAATCTAAGTAGGCAAACAAAATATACATATAATACAAGTATTATAATAAACTGTCAATATTTTAAACATTTAATAAATCATTCAATTTTAAATAACATTATCTCTAACTACTTTTTTACTATTACTAATTTTTTAAAATGCATTTTAACTGTTTAATAATTTTTTATGATATGTGTAATGAATTATAACATTTATATGATATAATAAAATATACAATATAGTAATATTTCATTTAAAAATGATAATAAAAATAATTTTTAAGTGAAATAAATATTTTCTTAGTTGAAAATCTATAATTACGTATTGAAATCTATAAAAACGAAAATGCAAAATTTATAATTAGATAAATTATTTTAAAATAACTATAATTTTAAATGTTATAATAACATTTTACATCTAAATATTATTTTAATCTCTAAATAATGAAAAAATTTGGGAAAGATTTTAACTATAATTTTATAGATAATATTTTATTAAATTATTTCATGGTTTTATATTAAATATCCTATGAATAACTAATCAACAAAATATGTTTTTAATATAAAATATATTGTTAATTCATCTTACTTATCTTATATTATTAGTTATTGTATAACATATTAAAAAAGTATACTATTGTATGATACTATGCTAAATTTTAAATAAACAATATAACATTTATTTAAAAAATTTTCTATTTACTACCCAATTAAAATACGATATTCTTCGTGAAAAAAATTATTTTTAAATGAATTTATGAATAATCTAATTGAATTCATCACAGTTATTTAAATTTATATTTTATAACTATGTTGTTTTTATATTCTACAACTATTATTGTTACTTATTGTTATCATATTAGAAAAATCTCTATTTCAAAAGCAAAAAAAATTGTAAGCAATTGGGAAGCAAATAATAGCGCAAACAATATTCTACCGGTAATGTAGCTAAATATTATCGTTAACGTGTTAACTGTTATCATAACTGTTTGAAAATATTTTTATTCATTATAGGACTTTTTTGGAATGTGCATTGGAATAGGATAAAAAAAATAGGTTGTATATATAAAAATATCCTTGTTTTATAAGATTGCTTGCTTGGTTATGAATATATCAAAAGAAATAGTTTCTTTTAGTACCTAAAATGCGCTTGCAAAGCTTCCTTGGATTCTAATTTCGAGTCGCACAAAACGCAATTGTATTGGTCTTTAGCACTCATTTAGGCGCGAATTTTTATTTCAAAAAAACATTAGAAATTTATCGGACGTCTTTGTGCCAAGTAGTATAACATAAATCCTTCACGCTTTAATATTTGATCGTAATATTTATACTCAATCGATCACGATCCGTAACAATGTAATTCTCGTTGCTTTTTATCTAAAACATTGTCGTTTCCCAATATATACGGCATTCGTTCGTATTTGAATGTAAAAAATTACATAGAACTCACGTCCGCGTAGAAAAATCAATTTTCGGCCATTTTATTGGATTGAAAGTCGCGCCACCTATCGCATACCAATCCAAAAAATACAAAACGATCAGTCTTCTTGACAGAATGTTAGTATGTATATAATAATTAATATAAAAATACATAATTACAAACATCATGAAATTTGTTATAAATACAATAATTTTACACAATTCAGTTACATGTAAAACATGTGTATTTTTCTTGTTTTAGAATACATATGTCTTATATTCTTTATATATTTATCTCTGACAGAGATTTATATTTATATATCTATGTAATTTTTTTTTTAATACATTATGAAAAACATATATTCATATATAAATATTTATTATTTTTCCAACTATTGAATGGAAGGAAAATAAAATAACGAATATGAAACTAACGAATATAAGAAACTATAATCCACTTCAAACAACTTATTTTTTAATGCTATTACTTTTATATAGTTTGATGGTTTTAAAAATAAAGTGATATTAAATGAACACAGCGCGGAATCCACGACATTGTATTAAATTACACTACTGAATATTAATATTAATTGTAAAATGAATATTAAATAAAAATTATTACTTCATTGCAATTCCTGATACAATACAGGCGATGATTGCCCATCTGTTACACCTTGAGCTGCCAATTCAGCTAATGTTCTTTCAAGATAACTTTTATCAGGGTATCCATGACCAGTTGTGGATGGACCCAATTCAGTCTTATGATGTATTTCGTTCCATGTTACTACATCTTCTCTTCCAGTAGTTACTGATCGTCCAATTGTAAATATTAATTTTCGTTCAAACGCAATCTGTAATAGTCTTAAAACTCTACGGCCTAAATTATTATCTGGAAGATAACATATACGTGGAAAGCCTACAGCGTAATAAGTTTGACCAGGATTGGGATGTTCGTTTCCCTGAATTCCTGATGGAATGCTGAAATTTTATGTAATGAAATAAGTGTTTCTCAAATACATAAGTTGTATGGAAATTAATGGATGAAATTCCCAATCTACTTACTCATAAGTTATCTGAATTGTATTTGTATTTGGAAAACCAGGCAATGCTCGAGGTATTCTTGTCCAGTTCATAGTTCCAGGAGGTTGATTTCCTCTTTTTTCACCATAAATTAAACGACAAACAGGACACTGTATATACATAGGAGGCTGCTGACAACTGAGCATTGCATTCAAACATGCTAAATGTAATCTGTGTTTACAACGTGTCAACTCTACTGTTAATGGTTCTGGCATACCGAGACATACAGGACAAGAATCACAATTATCACTTTCTACTACTTTTACATATTGGGAAATAACATCAGATTCAGTATCTACACCTAAACAAATAGTAGATTCATTTGTAATATATTATATCATACAACTATGACAGTAATTTAAAAAAAGTATAAGAAATTACCCAAAATAGTATCTTTAAAAGCATCATCACTGCCTACACTACTATCCAATAAATCTATTGGATTTTCATGACTCAAATATGTAGAAACTGTATCAACACTTGGTCTTCGACCACTTTTCGTACTGCTGGAATCTACATCCAACGCACTATCCCATGTTTTTCTTTTTTGTCCAGATTCGGTATTTGTAATTGAATTATTATTTTCTACTCCGTGTTTATTGCTAAATATATTAAAATTGCTCAAAATAACACGAGCTATATTTGATGGACCAATATCTCCACTTTTGCTCTAAAATATAAGCAATAATATAATATAATATAATATTATGTAAGCAGATTTATAATATAAATAATATAAATAAATATAATATAAATAATATAAATAATATAAATAAATTTATTTATAATATAAATAAATATTTCCTACCTTTTTATTATTCTTTTTTGTACTCCCAGCAGACTTTTTATGTGTAACTTTTGTAGTTATATTTTTGACAGTTGCAGATGTTGCTTTTATCTCGGAAATAACCTGTAATTCTTCTAAAGCAACTTTGACTAAGGGATAAGGTGCTTGTTGAATACGTCGTATCGGCCTTACATATCCAGTACAACAACGTACTTGAGTTAAATTACAAAAATTTATGATATATGGAAAACCTAAATATGTTTTAGAAACATCGATGGTTTTATCACCCTAAAATAAAAAATTAAATTAAGAACATCTTACAATTACAATTAATTTATGATTGATATTTTTCATTGACTAATATTTTTATTTACCCTTGCCCATGCTTCTTCTATGAAACATTGCACTTCCATATCATATGTATGCCAATCATCTGTGTCACCAGCCCATTCCCACTTAGCTCCTTTCCCAGCTGGTGAACTTGGAAGGTAAAATTTTCTTCTAACATTATGCACTTCATCTCCGTCTTCACTACATTGCGTTTTTGTTTTCAAATTTATATAATACCTATTTAAAGTAAATGCATATTTTCGTTGTATATACATAATATAAAACTTTATTATATATATATTTGATATTTAGAATCAATATTTAAGATATTAACTTTGTTAATTTTAAATTCATTACATAAAATAAAGTACAAAATGTTTTTAACTTAATCCTTCAAGTTTTAATAATAATCATATTAACAAATACAATGTTAAATTATTTATGCCACTATTATTAAAAAATATCTTAAAATACAAAACCAAATGAAATTATAATTTCTTTTATACTTTATATTGTTTGTTTCTTCTTATCTTTTTCCAAAACAATCTTTGACTTATTTACATTTATAAATAAATACAAAAGTCACCAAGAGAACATAGTTATATAGATAAAATAACATATATGTATGTATATAAGTTTAAACCTGTCCAAATTCGGATCTGCATCATTCAGAAAGACCCGAGTTAATTTTTTACAATGTGCTCTCTCAAGATGTTGAGACACTGCAGGACTATAAGGTCTCCATCGCCCATTACGATTTTCCCACTCCCAAACAACAACAGCATGACCGTGTTCTTGTGCCTGGGCGTTCATCTTCTTGTTTAAGAATTTCACATGTACGCGCAACACAAACTTGCGCAGCAAAAACGTGAGAACATTTTCAAGTCTTTTGCATCCAATCTAATTCACTTCACTGTATAATATACACATGATAACGCATACATACGAACAAATGCATGTGTGTCACTCCGTTCATATCATAGGAAATAAATTTTAAAATTAAATTTTACCACATAATATTCTATTTTCACTTAATTTAAATTATAATATGAGAATATTATACAACAGAATAAATTGAAAGAAAAAAAGATATCAAATTAACGGTATTCAACACTATTTTATTTGCAGCAAACGCAACGACAAATTCACCTGAAGTATACCCAATTTTAAACATCGAGTAATCGCAATATCGATGATCGATTTCGAATAATCGTGTTTAAAAATTTTTATTATTTAAATTAATGCAGTTAAATGTTATAAAAATCGATTTAAAATACCTTGAATCGTGTATTTCGCTATCCTTGATGCTATTTTTAATTGAAATCATCAAATCATTTAATACAAATTTTAAAACATATATGATATAATTATTTGTTTTCCATTGTATTATTTATTGTTTCGTTCATTTTTAATAATATTTTATGATAATATCTTAATATCTTATATCAAATTCAGCTGTAATTCTTTTAGCAATATTTATGTAATCTCTAAAAATCTACATATATCTATTTTCATGATGCCAAACAAGTTTGGTCAGAGCATCGTATGTACATAGTTATATCGTTTATGGTTTATAAAATTGTGATTTTTTTTATTTAAAAAAAACATTGATTTTAAATTAATACGTTCAAAAATAATACTTGAACCTGTATATAATAAATGAATGATATTTCTTTGTAATTGTTATTGCGTAAAGTTGTTCGAAGTATGATTAAATTATTCCTGTAAACTAAAATTATAACTAAATTATGAAAATACCGCAAAATTAATTACTTGTGTTAAGGTCAATTACTTGAGAGAGATATGCATATTTATTAATGGATATGTACATAGATATGTTTATTTCTTGAATTAACGTATAGGTTAGCTCTTGCAGTTTTTCAAGAAATTTCCCATTTCAATAAACATTCCGTGAAGATGGATGTAGAAAAAGTTGCTGTATTTGCCAGTGTAGGATTTGCAATAGCCATTGCAGCATTTGTTATATGGGGTCCATCTCCTAAACCTAGGAAAAAAGGTATGTTAAATATATTTAATTTCAAATAATTTATCTGGACAAAAATATTTTATTACGTGTTTTCTTTTTTTAGGAAAAGTTATTGGAATCAATAATTTAGGATACACTTGTTTTTTGAATTCTCTTCTACAAGCTTTGGCTGCATGCCCAGTTTTCATTGGATGGTTAAAGAAACAATATGACAAAAATGGAAAAGTTAATTTCATTTCAACTTTATTATCAGTTTTTGAAAGTATGTTGTTATTTTTGGCATTTCTTATTTTATTAATTATTTCTATAAAAAAAATGATTGATATTTTATTAATAAATTAGTAAGAATTTAATCTTTTTAATTAAATTTATAGATTTATTAATTTTGAATTGTATATTGTTACGTACACTATAGTAATATGCATTCTTTTCTTCTTAGAAATTAATGGATATGCAGAAGATTTATATGGTGACGTAACACCAATTGAAATTATTTCGTCGCTTGGTAATCAATGGAAATTTGCACCTGGTCATCAGGATGTACATGAACTATTTCATGTAGTTCTTAGTGCATTACAAGCAGAAATTCAACCTGGAAATAGGGTATGCTTTTAAACATTATTAAATTATAACAAATTGTTAAAAATATATTATTTATTAAATATATGTATATGAATATTTTAAAATACTTTCAAATTTATACGATATATTTTTAAATTATTAAAGTAAAAAGAATAGATAACAAGTTGAATATATCCACAATAAATTATTTCAGAAAGGTTGTTTGTCTGATGCTTTACCACAAAGCCCAATAATGATAACAGATACAAAGAAATTGGGTGATCCTTTAACATTTAGAAGTGTATCTTGTAATGATATTGTATCAGCTAACAAAAATCCTAACATTCCGAATGGTTTTGATAGAAATTGCAATAATCATGTAATATCTTCGACATCCATATCAAGCATTCCTATGACATATAACAAGCCGGGTATAATTCTTGCAAGATCTTCAGAATTACTTTCGAAGAATGTTGAAATTGAGAAAAATAAAGAATCTTTTAAACCCTGGAGCTCCTTATGTACTATGTCATTTTCTACTGCTCCACCAATATCAATAGAAGTACATCCATTTTCTGGTTTATTAACTAGTCAATTACAGTGCAGTTGCTGTAAATGGAAGGTTGGTTTTACTTTAATTAGAATTTTACTCTACTTAAATACAACATATATAATTATAAGAAATAAATAAAAATATTTTTTGTAGTCTGCAGTTCATTATGATAAACTTGAAACAGTTTCTTTGCCTTTGCCTCCCTTTGGTCCACATATTAGATCACATCACACATTGGAAGAATTATTAACGCGTTTTGTAACCAGTGAGGTTGTTCAAGATGTATTATGTGATGGATGCGGAATGCGTTGTTTAGCTACTAAAACTTTAACTCTAGGCAAACTTCCTAAATGTTTATGTTTACATATATCAAGAACCACATGGAGTTCTTCAGGAATACCAATTAAGAGAGATGATCCAGTAAAATTTCCTGAGATACTGACTTTAGATCCTTATACTTTTACAGAAACAAAGAAGCGAAACGCACGGGTATGATATGTAAATAAAATATCAAATATGTATCTATTTTTTATGATCATAAATTTAATATGATATATGAATTGATAGGGTGATCCTGAAGCAACAATGTTACTTAGTAATCGAACGACGTTACAAGATAAACACAAATATCAATTACGTGCAATCGTAGAACACCGCGGACCTGTAGATTCTGGTCACTTTGTTTGTTATAGACGAGGAAATAAAAACAATCAATGGTTGTATACTTCTGATAATGTAGTTGAGAGTATATCTTTGATTGAAGTTTTATGTGCCACACCATATCTTCTCTTCTATGAGCGTATTAATAGCATATAAGATTAGTTAGTAATCAATTTTAGTAATCACAGCAAATTTAGGAATGATGACTCATTGTCAGTATACTAAAATGATGTAATAATTACGATGAAATTTAAGAGACTGAATGTGTTTAATAGTTTTCATGTTTCCATTGCAAAGCAGTCGAAATTATTTCAAACTATTCATTAAATGAACTGAATAAATATTTAAATTTATTTTATTTACTTACATTTCATGTTTTGTGTATTAATTTTTATTATGCATCATTTTTATATAAGTGCAAATTATTTTCTAGCTTATAACTTTGATATTATGGTTTCAGAATTTATTGAAATAATACAAAATTTTTAACCACATATTTTTAAAAATTATTTTAAAATTATACAAAGTAGTCGACACTTAAGACTAGCAACATTGTAGAGTATTATGTATGTAGAATATTATAGCTTATAGAGAGTTAAATTAATTGCTTGATAAATTGTACTAATAGTAAAACTAAAATCAAATTGTGCCAAATGAATCAATCGTTTTTATATATGACTTAAACTATTATTTTATATACCTAAAATTTAGAACTTTAATTCCAGATATGTACTTTACATGAAATACACTTTTGTGCAATTAAAAAATGATAAATTGAGATTTCCTATAATTTGAATAATGATCATTTTTATGTCCTCTGTATTGTTTCAGTCCTAATAAAAGTACAATTATGTTTTTATAAAAATATAAAACAATTGTGATTACAAAAACTTTGAAGTACTATTTAAATTAAAATTAATAATAGTACATTTACTTCAAAATATAAACTTTTATTATAAACTGTTAAAAATGAAATGAAAAATATTAAATTTTAATTGACATTTTTAATTCCACATTAAAATAATAACGAATATCTTTCAAAATTGTACTCTCAGTATAAAAATTTAAAAACATATTTATTGATGTGTAAATAAAATGTAATTTAATATGTTAAAAAATAGAAGCTAATTTTGAAATTATTAAAATATTACATCAGTAGCTATATGCTACGTGATGTACTATTTGAAACTATTTCATTCTATGCTTAATGAAGTTTATTTCCAATTTTTTAAAATTATTTAGATTACTAGAAGAAAATTTTTGCATAGATATGTATGTATGTAATTCATTATAATACGTAGAAATAAAGGAATCGGTCTATTATGGCTCAACAGTAAAACAAGTAGGGGAGAGAAGAGGGAGCAACATGCGGTTTATTAATCGATCAGCTCTGACTATAGTACATTGATATGACTGTAAAGTGAGTGGTTTGTTTTGATTAATGTACGAAATATAATGTTGATATAAATTTTTGTTGTAAAGTTATTCTAATTTATGACACTATGTATGTGTATATGCGCGCTCGTGTGTGTGTGTATGTATGTATGTGTGTGTGCACGCGTGGGTATATATAAGTTTGACGAGTATAAATTTGTAGGTTACATTTGTACCTGTAAACTTTTGTAAATATTCGATCTTTCGAAATTTGTTACGTCAGATTTTATTTTCTATAACGTAAATGCAAAGATGCCCCATTTCGTAAGCACTAAAGACGAAATTGTGAGTGTAGCAATTATTATTCGATAAAATTAAAAGCTTTTAAAATGTTACGTTTTGTAATATTATGTTTTGATTTTTTACAGATACAAAATATGGATGATATTGCTTCTGATTTTGCTTGTCTTAAAGTATCTGCTCTAAAAAAAGCCTCTCGTATATCAGGTGAAGTGGGTAGGATAACAATTGGCCCTGATTCTATAATAAATGAAAACAAAACTGAAAAATTGGAAAATATAGAAAATGAACAGAATTCTTGTAATATTACAGTTCCACAGAAACCTATTCGCTCACAGAATAAGATCTCTATGCAAAGTGGTATTACTTTTTCAGTTAAAAAGATTCTCTTAGAAAGCGAATATCAAAGAAAAGAAGAAGTTCAGGTAAATATATTTTTACTTTCAAAATTATAATTTATGTACAGTATAATTTGCAATATGTAGCTTAATTAATGAAATTTTTAAAAATCAATATTTGGTAATTAAATACTGTAGACTTAAATACTAAATACTGTGAGTTTTTTTCAAAACGCATAAAAAAATCAATTTTAAAAGTATGGTATTATAGGAACAAAAAATATATATATTAATAAGAATTGAAAAGTTTTTTTAAGCAAATTGAACTACAAATATAAGTAATTTTAAAGTAAAAGTGCATATTATTTTATATAAAATATGTAAAATCATAAGAAATGTTAGTGTTATATCTCTTTTTTTTTTTTTTTTTAGAAAGAAATTGCACGTCACTGGCAACATATGAAAGAAAATGGCAAAGCTATACAAGAACATATAGCAATATCACAGTCGCATATGGCTAAAGAGCGTGAACGTAGAAGTAAAGAAAATTATGCATATATACTGGCAGAAGAAAGAATAGTTGAACAAGAAGAAATACGTAGAAGACATGAACGACAAAAAGAAGTTGAAAAATATAGAAAAGAAATGAAAGAGAAAGAAGAATTAACCAAAGAAATAATGATTTTAAGAAATGTGTATGTCCAAAAAAATAATGATTTTGAAAAATATCGTGATATGATAGCACTTTCTGAAAATTATAAAGATAAACATTCTTTTGTCTTGGTATTATCTTCTTATGCTGCAAAATTAGAAGAGTTACATCTTCAAATGAAACTTATAGATGAAAAAATTAAGGTAAAGTAATGAAACATTATTAAATACATATTAAACAATAAATGTTACTAAAAATACAAAAATACATATATATTTTATTTATAGATAAGTGAAATAACATCTGTCGATTTGAATATTATGGTAAAACTAGTTCAACAAATTGATGAACTGTTAAATCTATTTAAATCAGACATAGGTAAGTTATACTATATATTTCTCTTTTTTGGATTTCAAATAATATTTCGTATAATTATATAATGTAGATAGAATAAATGTTCAGAGTGAAGTAAATTTAACTGGAACAGAAAATATGATACATTCTCATACAACGCAATTGGCAGAATCACAGGAGCTTCCAAATAGTCAAACAGTTTGTGAGCCAGTTATATCAGAACAAATAAATATCGAAAATAACGAAGTACAGAAATACGAAGAAGAAAAAGGAAATATAGTTTCAGAGATTATGATTTCTACAAATATTTCACAAGAAAGTCCAATTGTTAATATAGAAGAAAATATATCAACGGCCGAATCGGATAAAGGTAAAATAAGTTCATATTATATAATTATGATTTACGTTAATAAATTAGCAATAAATATATTTCTTTTTATTTACAGATTATTTGTATAAATATGTCAATAAAGAATTATTAGAAATGTATGTGAATAATCAAAAATTTTTAGAAAATTATATAAAAACGTTTGATGAATTTTTACAATCTTCAGCTACAAAAAAGTTTAGATTTGAATGTCAAAAAGCAATAAATATACCTGTAAATGCAATATCTGGCATTAGTCAACAGCACCTGACAGATAAATATGAAAAATTGCATAATCTGCTTATGGGAAAATCTTGGCCAAATGTTAATCAACATCCACATGGGGCAGATTTTTGTAAAAATATTTTGGCTAAAAAATTAGTTGTATGTAACTTCATATAAATTTTATATATATACTAAATATTTTAAATTATAATAGATTTCATGTAAACCCGTTTTTAATAGAATCAAGGTGAGACGCTCATTTCAAGTAAACCAAAGATGGCATTTCCTATTGCTGCTATAATTGTCGCTCTTTGGAACGATCATTCCGATTTTGGTGATTTACTTCTGTCACATTTTTACAATGTTTGTCCATTTACTGTTCCTATCTTTATGCCAAAAATGGTAGGACAATCGAATGATAATTATTATAAATTAATGGGTTATAAATATGCTGAAGATGGTACAATTGAGAAACATGATAAATTTTTGAAAAGAATGTCTGGTTTGATGAGACTTTATGCTTCTATTACTATCACGACTCAAAGAAAAGGAGTTAATAAAACTAATCCACATGGACTTCAAAAGGCATGGCAATGGCTGGCTGCTATTTCAAATATTGGTAATATAGATATTTAAAAAGTTGCAAAAAATCGTATTGAATTTTCAGTAACATTCTGCAATTTTATTTCAGAACCGCGAAAAGAAGTAACAGATCTTTGTGCAACTCTCTTATTAGACATGCTTGAAGTTGCTGGAAATACATTATGGATCGCATATCGAAAACAATTCTATAAAATGTTAACTTTATTATCAGAGGAATATTATCCGCGCATAAAAAATGTAGGATCTATTGGTAGTGGTCCATTGGTACGTCTTGAAGAATTTTTGAAAAATAGCTTAGCAAAAGGTTCTATATCTCCTCCTGATGGTCAGCTTCCTCCAAATTTTTGGTGATTTCAGTTGTGAATTAATTCCTCCATTTTTTATAAAGTACTTCATAAATTTTTGACCTTTATCAATACTCGTGAAACATTCAAATATTATGAAAGTTTGTGAAAAAATATTTTAAAATAATTTGTACATATGAAAAATCATATTTATTAAACTTTTAATGCACGAAAGAAGAATGCAAACAAGTGTAAACACAAGAAATGATGTATGTATAATTACGAATATGCTTATAAATAATACAATAAGAATAATGTAATTTTTTTAATAGTACGGTACGCTTGTAGCTACAGATTTTGCGCCATCGAGCTTGTAAAATTTTTCAAAATTTTTGGTAAAGCCTGTAACACCGAAAGGAGCGAATCTATCTAACCATTCCCTGTCTTGATTTATGTTTAATAAGTAAGTTGTAATTTTTCTTTTGAGGACATCTGCAAATATGATGGAACATATGGCATAAATGAGATCCTATACATTTTTATTCCTGTAACATTTGTACCTGAAAGTGTTCCCTTTACCATGACGCGGTAAGGTGGCAATGGTCCTAAACTTGTTAATATATGAAGTGAATTGATTCCTGGTAATGTGTTTTTATGGCACTTAATAACAGGAGATTCTAAAACTCCAACTTCAGCTTGTTTTCCTGCAACCATTTGTAAAGTAGCAACTTGTGAATCAGCATCTGAAAATTAATTTTATATTTTATTTAATTGTTTTTATAACATATTAAAACTAAAAGACATGATTTTAATATAATGTACGAACCAAGTGTATTGCCGAAAAAAGCTGGACTTTCACCTTTCATATATAAATAGTTAAATAACAATGCTGCTGCCCCAATGTTTCTTTTTCGATCTGGAAGAGAACATCTATGACCCCGAAGATCTGTGATATCCTATAAAAACATTTTCTCAATCAATATATTTATATTTTTAATTGTATATTTGACTTTGATATTTACTTGTACATGTAATGCGCGGTCTGCAGCCACAACAATATCAGCATATACACACGATGAATTATTTTTATTAAGATGATGTTCGAAACAAAAACTCACGGGCAAAAGCACACCGTCTTTCCACTCTGTACTTGCTGGTAAGATAGCTGAAAAATATTAATCAGTACCATCTATTATTATATATCCAAAACATACATATAAAGAAATTAATTATAACGTAAACAGTTAAAAAATAAAATCATTTTCTGCTTTTTCATTACATAATCCAAATAATACTATACTTTCTATTACGTGTTAAATTGACATAATAATAATAACACCATACCGATATCTGCAACTTCTTTTGCAACTGGTCTATCACTTCTGGGTTCGTGTAACAATACTACAGGTTTTTCAGTAGCGACTTCGATCGCTTCTACAAGTACTTCAAATAAATTAATCGGTAATGAAGGTACAAGATGTGTTGTTAAAACAAGTGGGCGTTCACTCAGTAATGGTGTAGAAAGTGGAGGACATTTTCGAGGAACAGCAACATTTGACGGTTTTGAAACATCCTGGAAATATGTTATACGTTAAACAATAATTAATTATTTAAAATATTAAAATTATTTACTATTTTATGTACAAAATCTATAAAAGTACATATTTGTTTATTTTTTATTTTTTTATATTTTATATATATTACGATAAATATCGATAGATGTGAATTCATACGAAATTATTTCTTTTTATTCACGAATTAGTTATGTTAGTTTGCTGTAAAATAAAAAATAATTATTATGTTGCATTATGTATGATAAAACTTACAAATTTATCAGCAATAGGAATCATTTTACATTTTGGAATATCGGTTTGGTTTACATTAACACTACATTTTGATTCTTTGTCTTCCATTTTAAGTTTTTCCACTCTTAATTCAATATTTTTCAATTCTGAGGTTTTAGACTTCATCTGTTGCTGTTCTGGCTTTGAAACTTTTGATTGTTCATTTAGCAGTTGAAATGTTTCTTGCTTCCCAGTTTCTTTCAAATCTTTTTGTTCTATTTTCATTTCGGACTTTTCATTTTTAATTTGGGGTGTTTCCTGCTTCCCAGTTTCTTTCAAGTCTTTTTGTTCTATTTTCATTTCGGACTTGTCATTTTTAATTTGGGGTGTTTCTTGCTTCCCAGTTTTTTTCAAATCTTTTTGTTCTACTTTCATTCCGAATTTTTCGTTTTTAGTTTGGAGTGTTTCTTGCTTACTAGTTTCTTTCAAATCTTTTTGTTCTACTTTCATTTCGAAATTTTCATTTTTAGTTTGGGATCTTTCTTGCTTCTCAGTTTCTTTCAAATCTTTTTGTTCTACTTTCATTCCGAACTTTTCATTTTTAGTTTGAAAATTTTCATGAGGAACGACTGTGGCATGCATTAATTTTTTTATAATTATCGAAGTGTCTTTTGATTCGGTATGGACCAATTCACCTTGAACCGATTTATCCGTCGATGTTTTTGTCGTAGATAACATATTGTCGTATAATTTTATATTTTTATCTGAGAACAAGAAGTTTTAAGATATTATTAAGGTTACAAAACAGAAAAATAATTATTACGAATTAAAAAACAGGGGGAGAAGAAATTTTGAAACAATAAAAATTTTCATCGTTTATTACTCAATTATTACATAAATATGTATACAAATGTATGTATATGTTGTAGTAAATTAAATTTTACTTAAAAAATTACATAATTTAAAAAAAAGTTTATTATCATTATTATGAAAAACGTGAATCAAGTATAAAACAAAAATATAGTGGACATTATGAATGTAATGCGGCATGGCATGAATTTTTTAAATTAATTTAAATTACGTTAGAAAAACATAAGTTCAATAAGATTCTTGAAAGAAAATTACCAACAAATTATTGATACATGCAACATGAAATAACACTACCTTATGCTTGTGAATTAATGAATTTCTTATACGTATGTTCGTCGTTTTATCGTATTATAGCTAACTTGGTTTCGAATTCAAACATGTTCCGATTAAATACAATCTTATCGGTGTTAGTTTCTTTTCTTAATTAGTGATACAATATAAGACGGTTAAATTCCATTGTAATTATTTTTATATGATTCGACTAGAGAAATACACTTGTTTATTTTCTTTCTAAACAGTGATAATAATCAGATTATCATAAATATTTCGTTGATTGAAAATTATAATACTATCGGCAGTATCCTGTACGTATACTCAAATACATTTGTTAAATTTATCAATGATGAATAAAACTAAAATTAGTATAGATCAGATTTTAAATTTAAAAGAATTTGAATTTGACATTAAAATATATAGGTATCATAGTGCATTATTGTTGAGCAATTGTACTGACAGAAATAAATAAATACATGATGATCTATTTCTAGGGAAGGTTAATTACTAGCAATATTTCGAGCTAATACACAAAATCGATTCTGAAATTGTTTTGATTATAATCGTTTCGTTAGAAACGAAATATCATACGAGTCAATTTCCTCTCCCTATTTATTTTTTATTTTTTCACATAAAATCTCTGTGTTGTCATTTTTATTGCATTAAATTAATCTCATCTGCCAACCGACATTTCAAAAACTAATGACGTATGATAAATTATATAGTATTTGAAATTTTAATTCCGCAAAAAATAAAGGAAAAAAATGAACGATAGTAAATTGTCTTTTAGATCTGAAACGACAATCGATGAACCTGCGAGTGTTAATCTCGACAAAGTTCGATAATTCGATACCGTATAGCAGGTACCAATCAAATATTTTTATATATCGATAGAAATGTATACATTTTGTACATACGTGTATAGACTGACTGAGACTTACTTCTTCTGCAGTGCTGTTAAATAAAATACACTATATCGTGAGAGCGGTAACCAAAACTGTCAAACGTTCGATGACAGAATAATAGGATTGTTGCTACTTGGAATGGTTTACGCGAGTGTCGAATAAACGTTATGCGGATAATCTTCAGTCGATTGCCGCGTGATGGCTGCGTGTTCCAAAGAAATGATGCTATTTCAATGCAGGTTCCAGTGATACCGGTTGGATAAAGATATCGCACAATTTCGAACTTTGTATCCCGCTGCAAACTTTATATGTACGTATTATAATGATTTACGATAAAAGCCACTCGGCATAGTTCCTTTTTTTAGGTTGGATTCACTGTTTGGTTTTCTTCAAATCAGTTTTCTATTTCAGTCAAATATAATTGTACAGTAGAACTTCGTTTATCCGAACACATCAGAGGACAAAATGGTTTTGAACAACCAAGAGGTTCGGATAATAGAAGCCCATTAACTTTCTCTATATCTTACTTTTATTTGTTTAGGTTTTAGGTAATAAGAGAAGTAGTAGTTTATCAATTATAAATTCGTATATCTGAGGGTCTGAGGCACAACACTAGTTTGTATAAACGAGGCACAGATAAACGAAATTCTACTGTATGAAAACTGATATTATAATATAGAAAATAAGCAATACTTTCCCAAAAGGAGAATTTTAATTTTGATATTATTTCTTGCAGCGATGAAAATTCACCAAATATATACAGAATTACTGAAATCAGTGAAATAACACATTTACTTATCGAAAAGTTGGACAAAACAGTGAGTATTGTAGATGTATAATTTATATATAAATAGTAAATGCATAACAATCATACATATTATTGTGCATATCTGCTTTTTATTAATATATACCTAGGAACTACACATAATATCTACACAATAATATTTAATATTAAAAAAATAGCCCATTGAATTTGAATATACCAATTTTGGCAATAGGATTGAAGGTTATAGTTTGTACTATTCTGTATCTTACCTGTAATTTTGCCTTTGCTTTCAACCTCGAAATGATTCTTCCAAAATTATTTTCTATAATATTATTTTCAAATACATCTACATGTATATACATATGGAATTTTGAATGAATTTGATTGCCAGTGCGTTTTGAGATAATACAAATTTTGTATAAGACATAATTATTTATTTATGTGATGTATTCAGCGAGTCTTGCAAACGGACGAAAGTCCCACCGACCTTATGAAATTAAATCACGGTCGATAGAGACCTCATCCGGACACACAACTCGTGACTCGTCCATCTTCGAAATTTCAATTTTCATCTTTCTATTATTCTGAGATAAAATCGTGTATTATCTGCAAGAGAAAAGAAATATTTGTACAATTTTGTCAATATTAAAAAAAAATATATATTTATAATGATATGATGGCATTGGTATCCTTATAATTAACATTCCGTATCAGATAAATAAAAATGATTAACATATGTTCATATGTATATAAATATACAATATATATGTAATGCTCATTTAGACATATTTGATTAACAAGTAAATAATAGTATACATATTTCAATTGCATATCAAGATCATAGCATAACGTCAATTACATCGCAGATACGCAATTTGGCGCATAGTCAAATTTTCATATGATGCCACATATCCATGTGCATTCTCTGACTTATTTTTTTCACTCATTGCATCGATATTCTATGCTAAACATTCGTTTGAATCCCGATCACATTATTCGTAATTTTGTCATTTTGGGCAGATACCTAATAGACACATACACACATGTAGGTTTGGGGTTATTCCGCAATAATAAATATTTATAATAAACATTTATTATTATAGCAATTTATTATAGTTGTGACGTTGTAAAATTATGCAGCAAAATTATAACTTAAATAAAATTAAATTACTGTCGTTCACAAAATATTTCAATCATAATTGGTGATCTTCGGAAATGAACTTGGTTCACTAACGTCGAATAATTAAACTTAACGAAAGTTTTAATATGTATTTCAAAATTATTTTCTTTTTAAGATACTAGTGTATAATTAACATGACGTTGAAGTTCGTATCTAATTCGTTTCTAAAATAATCACCATTCCTCGAAATATATTACCGTAATTATATTGTCATCGTAAAATACGTATCGGCAAGAATACATACTTAATACATTTTACATGTATGTCGAATATTTAATCCTTTCAATCTTAGTCCGTACAAATAATCTCAGATGTTTAAAATAACTAATTTACTTATTAAAGTTTCAAAGACGATAATATATTACAATACATTGAATAAATGTATCAAAATATGTATATATTTAAAAATGAATGCATTCGTAATTTTTTTATATGCTGTAGATTCAGTATTAAGCTTTTTAAACCTCTAGTAATTTCACTGAATACTTAAAAAGTTAATCTATCAATTTAAAAATAGATATTACTTACTATGTTTAGTAAAACATTTTTTTTACCTGATGTGTATAACTTTCTATCCTGTGGTTACTCGGTTGTATTTTGACCCAACATGTTATTAAAGTATTATCTCATAGTCATTACAATACATATAGTTTCTTTCAATTTTGTGCTTGTAGAATCAAAGAAACGTTCATAATTCTTAGAAAACCGTTCAGGTAACTAATCACGAGTGTAGATGATACTTGTGACGTTATTTGAAGAATCTGTTCTTAAAGAATGATTTATAAGTTTCGAATTCAACGATAAACACTGTATTTCTATTTTTTATAGAACATTTCGAATTTTTCACAGTTTTTACGGCAATTTTTACAATTATTTCCCCTTTTCTCTTTAATTTAACTATCTTGAAAACACACGAACCACGATAACTTTAAGCGCGAATGTTTCTGATTTTTAACATAACGCTTCGACTCACGGCGTTATCGTCATCGCCATTCCTATTATCGTAACTTATGAATTCACGTGTTACGTAAATTCCAGCAAGATCCGCGCATCTTCAACCAATTAGCGGGCATCATTTTTATCGTATCGCCACGGTTCACGAAAAAGTCATTGACAAAAATTACCGACAAAATTTCTTTTCATCACTTTCTAACAAATCCAGTCTATTATTTTATTTACATAAAATATGTAAGAAAATGATTAGTCATGCACGTACGTAATAGATATACATATATATGTACATCATATTTGACTCTCATAATTATAAGTTGTCGTATAAATATTTGTGTATTAATTTATTGAAAAAAGAAAATAATTTTTCTCGGAATTACTTATTACTTGCCAATCTTTTATTTTATTAAATGAAATTGAATAACAAATATCTAAAAAAATCTATAAATTCTTAATACTGATAAATGTATGCTTCATATATATTACATGTAGATTGTAATACTTTGAAAATCTTTATTAATTTTCGTATTAGAGTCACGAATGTATATTTTTTTTTTTTCATCTAAGCAATTCGAGCAAAGATATTTCAATAATTTTAACAACGATAGTCTTGTTGCACGAAATATTAAAAATAAATGAAATGTTTCTTTTTACGAAATATCGCCGAAAACGAAAACAAATTGATTCGTCTAACGTTACGTAACGCCACAGTTATGACAGTTTTGTTATTGGTGAAATAAAATTCAGGAACAAAATGTTATTTGACTAAACGAAAAAAATTACAACTAATCTAATATAATATTATATGTACGAATAATATTATACATTCGTTTTTTTCACATATTTTTACATTACGGTGAATTAAGTAATTGCCATGGGATCGAGAACACATTCAAGAACCTCTTGAATATATCTTGAAATATATATCCTTCAAATACAAAGTGGTCAATACTCTGATGTTAGTCTTCCATTCGATCAACCAAGTAATCTTTATAAATTGGTAGATAATAATTATTGTATTAGTGATTGCTCATAATAATCATAACTTATTTAATAAACTAATTTTGATTTAATACAGAACTAGAAACTTTAAAGAATTTAAGAATTCAAAATATTGAAGAATTTGAATTTTCTAACATTTTTGATATGGTAACGCAATCTTTATGCTTGTTTTTATTACGATTTGATTTTTTAGTTCTTTGTGTCCATCCAGATTTATCATCTAGATTATATCTACTTTTACTCTTTTTTCTTTTTACTAAATAATTGTTTAATGTAGGTACTATTCTATATTATAGGTATTATTCTATATTATACTTAGTGTTATTCTATATTATACTTAGTATTTCAGAAAGCTAAGTTCTCTTGTTCTAAATGATACCATTTTTTTTTTTTTTTAGTATTAGGAGTTTATTTGTCACATAATTTTGGAACAATTTACGACTCTTGGAGAAATTATAAAAATTTATTCATGGTTGCAAGAAAAAAGTAGATAGTCTAAATCTGTGCTCTACAGTACATTATCTGTATAAAATGTTCATATATGTGTAATCTTATATTTGAATATCTATTACATAAGGAGCGAAACAACAGTAGTATGTAAATATATTTCTTTTGAAAACCGACATAAATCGAAAAATAAGCGATTGGAAAAAGAAAGAATAGCGATGAAAATGGATACGCGTACATTATGTATGTATGTTTAAGCAGTTCTCGATTGTTCAATCTTTTTGCTTTGTCAAGCAGATCGCTCTCAGAACTTTTCCTAGGAGCGGTTACTTGAAGTTTCCGCGTTCCAGGATCGCACTCAATTCTACAGCAACAGGATGAGAGAATGCTCCGCATACCGACCGTAGCTGCATTCCAAACTTATTCAACTGCTAACGCAGTTGTTTGTCCTCATTTCATTTCGATCATCTTGCTCATTTCTTTCGGCTTTGTATTATAGTATTGTAAAATTCTACTAAAAATACATAGGTAACAAGTATTTGAACATTAAGGTCTCTGTTTATCGATACCACGTTGCAATCCGTTTGTCACCAAAAAACAGAAAACTGTATTATATATAATGTAAAGAGGCAAAGTTTCACAACGAAAGATATCAATTTCTTTTTTTTCTAAACATTTGCACGAACTTTAATCAAAGTGACACTAAAATAGCACACACAAATTATTTCAAGGAATATTTATTCAAATAGAAAAAGATACGAATGTCTTCTTCAGATAGTTGTTCGTTAATGTGATTGTTCGACTCATACATTAAATACCTAAAAAAAGCAATAATTTATCATAATATTATAAATACTTTCATTTCTTTAAATTTTATGAAATTATAGAATGCAAAACATAATAATGAAACACTAATAAGCAAATCTTTGAGATTTCCTTTCGTAGCTTCCATAGTATAAAGTAGAATTTGATAATAAGTTGATTGAAAAGAATTGCAAATGAAATATTGCGTTAACGCAACGTTGGTCCCTAATGGCCTAAGAGAAGGATAAAAAGTAAGAAATTCTGGTATTCCTGGTATTGTAGAGCGGATAATCGACTTTCGTAGCCCGGATACGGAAAGGATGTGGAAGAGCTGAAGTAGAACGTGTCGACAGAAGCAACTGGCACGAATTTTGATTACGTTGCAATCCTATATGAAATCCTGTATAATAGAAACGATCGAAATACCGACGATGCATGCTGTTCATTGTGCAGTAGCAGCATCGTTTAAATGCAAAAAATAAACGTTTAGTGTGAGGCAGTTTTAAATAACGTCAGCGTAAAAATTAGAATTACCGAGTGACGTATACTTTATTGAAACAAGTGTTCTTGCTAAATCTGGCGCGTCACGATAATAAGCCGAGTAAATTGATGTGAACGCCTTTACATGTATCTCGAATATACAACAGTGTTATAAGTAATTTGAACTATTGCAAACTTTAGCTTTATAATGTATTGCATAAACTAGCAGCAAGGAGATTGTTTAAAGAAAATTAAACAATTATAATTCAGAAAGTGTGCAGCAGAATCATTGTATATACTTATCTCGATAATATGAGCACGTTGCAAGGGATTTAACCACGTGAGCGCGCGGTGTCCGACTACCAATGCAGTTGAAATTTCGTACTCCTCCTGTAGTTTCTTTAATGCTTTGAACAATTGCACATAATACGTAGGAGTTAAATTAATCACTTGGAACGAAGATACAATCACAAGCGTGCAAGTAACTAATATATGTACAACTTTATGGTATTATAATTTCGTATATTCTTAACGACGAATCGTGCACCAGAAACCGGCAACTGGGTCACTGTCATTCCCTTTGAACGATTTACGAAGAGGAAGTCGCGAGTTGATAAGGTGTCTCCATCTCTGGTACGACGTACGACTGGTACGCTGGCCACGAAGTTGACGTTACGAAGTGCTGGAAAGAACTGGCCAACCAGAAGCCAACGAAACAAGATTCCTGCTATTTCTTCCTCCTCTTGAGTCCACCGTTGCCTTGCCTTGCCTTGCCCTGCCTTCCTTTGACTTGTTTTAACTTGTCTTGTGTTGCTTTGTCTTACCTTGCCTTGTCTTGCATTGCCTTGCTTTGCTTTGCCTTGCTTTACCTTACCTAGCCATGCTTTGCCTTTTGCTCTGCTAACGTCATCGTATATACGCGATCATCATCGTCGCTCGTCATCTAACTTTGCAGTATCTGACGTCATTCGACGACTGAAGCCGCGTCAGCATCATACCAATGTATTATAATATAAGACATTAGATAATAGGAGAAATTTTAGATTTCTCAATGTATCACACTAGTAAATCATCGAAAATTATTTTTGAAATTCTAATGAACAGGTATGAGTATTATCGAGAATATAATGATCAGGTATAAATTGCATCAATGAAACTATATAATTATACCATTAAATATTAATTTATTTAAATGTGTATGAAAAACAATACGTTCATATATGTAATAATATAATTTGGTAATTTTGTAAATTGCTATTTCATTGATAACAAGTTTAACAAGCATGATAGTTTGAGATAGTTTGACTACTTAGATTTAATTTAGCTTACTAAATGCTATTTAATTATATTTCCATACTAATACTACATTTTTTTTATTGTATTTGAAATTTTACATTTTATTCATTTCGTCAATTTTTGAATATCTTCTTTCTTTGCTAATCAAGATATAATAGGAAGAGCTAAGTATAATTCGCATCCGACGTAACGTGATTGTAAGATTGTAACGGTACATTTGATTTTAAATTACTTACAATGACTTATAGACACAATGTTTCAGTTCGATTAACAGATTGAATAAACGATAGAACATTGTATGATAATAAAAATAAAATAGCAACTAGTTACGCAAATTTTGATTTGTGTATCTAAAATCGACAACCAATTGAATATTTTTACTAAAATAGTGAGAATTTGGATATTTATGGTTTCGGTATAAATGAGAATGGCATATTATGTATGTTTCCTATTTAACAAATTCGAAATTTAATGAAAGATCAGCAAAGAAACTTTTGCAATTTACTTCTGGCATATCGAAATGAATGCGTAAAGACAATATTTGCTGTGTAAGAGATCTAATGTAATACATTACAAACGTGGTACATGTCGTCGGTGTAAAATAGTTAAATAATTCTAAATATAGAAATAAATGTTTAATAAACACATACTTAAAATTAGGTTTTGGAAATGTATAATGTATAGTTAATATAATTGCAAGCTTAAGCTTCACTTATCGTGCGATTCTTGAAAAATTCTTGGAAAATAAAAATGAAACAAAAGAAGAAAAAACAATGTAGATGAAGGAAAACAATACCGAAGAAATTTATGAACGTGATTGAAAAGTAGAATTACGTATACTTACGGGATTGCGTCCGGTTGTCCAGCTATCCGACTACCGGAGTACTCATGCTCGTATATCGTATTAAGATATGTCAACGTCACGGTTGGTGATGGTATTCCGGTCGACGTTGGTAGCACTGCTAGGTCGGTTAACCTGGCCCAGAAACTAAGCCGGAACTATTGGAGGAATCAATGACCTTGGCACGAGTAACGCCGGGATATGCGAGGAAGAAAGTCCATTTGTTGTGCCATGAAGCGGAATCAAAAATTTCACGCTCGCAAGTATAACTTTGTACGAAAAAAGAATGAAACAGTATGAAAGTGGAGATTTCGAATTGTGACGAAGTTTTAAACATACGTTAAAGAATAATATACCATACATATTTCTTATTTACTTCAATCTTATGTATTACTTTGCTAATTAGATTTCTTGAAATGAAATAATTTAAGTAAAACATGTTGATCGATACGTTTAATATGCTAATAATTAATATAGTAGGATATCTTGTTTAATTTTCTAAAATACGATATACACGTTGGAAATTAAGTCATTTAAATGCTACATACGTAAATTGTTCAATTGTAACGGCGCTTTAAACGTTAATATCGCGTTCGAATTCTGTCTCGATTTTTCTTCGTGAAAATAGTTACGAATCGTGGTAAGAATGTTAACTTCAACACTGATGAATGAAAAATAAGAAAGTGGTTGTAAGTACACAAAATTACAAAAAATTTATTTGATTAAGTTCTTATTCTTCTTAATAAAAATTCAGCTTTCTTATTTACATATTTGTGTCATCAATTCAATTATATCATTTACACTTTGAAATTAATGTTTAAATATATTTTAATTAAATTGCTAATCATGTGCGCCATAGTCGTAGTCTTGTAGTCTTAAGTAAGTAAACAATCACAAGCGCCAGCTACATAAAGTGAATAATTAGAAATTTATTTAAATGATAAACCTCCTATTGTTTAAAATCTTACATTATTATGGCAAAAATTTGTTGCATATGTGGAAAAATCGAATGTTCGTACAAATGTCCTATCTGTGAAAGACCTTAGTAAGTATGTCAGAGGTTATGTTCATTATTCACGCAAATTTTGTAACAAATACATATCGTGATGTTGCTTACTGTAAAGTCGCTGTAATTTTTATCAGAAAATCATATCCAATATATAATATTTAAGATTAAATAAAACATAATTTTATTATATTATATTTAATAATGATATGATAATATACTATACGATAGTATACTATTATTATATACTATACTATAATTATATGATAGTATACTATTATCTGTTATTAATTTGCAGAATTTTTATCAATATCAAAGATATTTAATTAAAATTTATCATCTTTTTTTTATATGAGAACATCTATTAGTATATATTTATAGTATTGGAGTTTAAGAGTTTTTTGAATACTATATTAATTTATTCTTTGATTTAAAAACATAAATCTTACAAATATAATTTTATTTTATTATTAATATTAACAGTTTTATGTGTATTAGTTGTTCCATAGATTGCTATAAGGAACATAAAGCAAATGGCTGTCAACCAGTGGTACAAGAAAACAAGGTTACAGAAAACACACAAAATAGCTTCAAATATGAATTTCCAACAGAGGACACAGTTCCCCTTGAAAAACTAAATCAGTTACGTCATAGCGAAGAAGTAAAAGATTGTTTAAAGAATCAACATGTACGAAATATAATGCATGCCATTTTAACTGATAAATGTCCAACAAAAGTCATTGCTTTAGCTATGACTGAGCCCATATTTACAGAGCTGGCAGATGCATGTTTGAAAGTTATTGAATCTTGAGGTAATAAATTGTATTATCATACTTCTATTACACTAAAAATTATATACTATTAAATTCGCAACTCAGCATACTTCTCTTGCTATTCATGGAGTTTATAAGAAAATTATAGTAAAATATTTCTATAATATAATATATTTTTTTTTTTGTATCTGTAGACAAGATGATATTTTTTTTAAATATAATTAAACAAGTATACTAAAAAAAATTTTAAGTGAATTTTGTTACAAAAATAAACGAAATAAAAAATAAACATCTATTCCTAGTTTGTATAGACAATTTATTAGATAATTAATGTAAACTTTATGATTATTAAATATGAAACGATAATAATTGAATGTATGCTGCAGATAATGGGATAATATTTCAACGCTTAGAATGATAGCATTTTCATAAAAAATGAATATTAAAAAACAAGCAAGTAATTATTATACAATCTTTATATATAGACAAATAACAAATAATTCTTCTTAAAAAGTGATTAACAAAAATAGCAAAATATTAAAAGATGATATTAAAGCCTTGAATGAAAGGAATAATGAAGTGAAATGTAGTCCTCGAGATCTGTTGGTATTTCTGTACCATCCAATTCTTTTTGAAGAAAGTAATACCTTTTTCGAACGTGAAAAGCTGCCATTTTTGGTTGCCTATCTCTTGTAAATACACCCTTTCTGTTACCACCTACTCTAATATACGCTATAAACATAAATTTATTATTAACTATTAGTATCCTTAATCAGTAGATTCTGTTGTATTTTTTTTTCCTAGATATTTTTTTCCTACAATATTGTTTGCTTACTTTGAGCTGTTCGAAAATCAGCAAAATTCCAAATAAATTCACCAATAAAAAATCCTTCGTTTCTCAATTGATCGAAGGCTATAAAATGTTTAGACAATACTTCCTTCTGATATTCTTCACTCCATACATATTCAGGTAGCTAGAAAATAATAATTATTTTTAACAAATGTAGATTTCGGGTTAGAAAAATTTTTTTAATCCAGGTTTTTTTAACTCGCCTCATGTAATCCAGGCATAGTGTCAGCTCCGTATTCAGCCATAAGCACAGGCTTATTATATTTTCTATGCCATGCTTCAGCCTCTCCTATAACTCTACTTGTTATTGCATCAAGACGGCCTGGATTATTATACCAAGCGTTATAACGATTAAAGCTAATCACGTCAAGATATTCGCCTGCTTTATCTTCCTATAAAATAATCGTCTGATGTTTATTAATACATATTTTTTATTTTATCAAGCTAAATAAAATTTTTAGAAATATATTTAAAAAAAATCAGTATTGAGGAAAATTTGTTTAACTACACTACAAACGTACAAAGCATTTTCCTGAAGAATAAATTTTTAAAAATTTCAAGCTCGATTCTATATGGAATACAAGCGAATTAGAAGTATAATTGTCTTCTATCTGATTTGCAGAAAATCAAATTTTCGATTCATTTCATCCTTCTTTTTGTTTAAATAACAATTATATGATATGAAAGTTTGCGAAAGTAACCTGAACTGCTCGAGCCATGGCAATAGTAATTGGTCTGGTAGGGTCGAGTGCTTTCGTATGATGTGCAACTTGTTTAAAATATTCACCAGCTTCTGGAAGCTGCGTCCTTGGTTCATTAGCGATGGACCACATAATTACCGACGGTCGATTTTTATCTCTCCTTATGAGCTCCGATAACGAGTCTTTGTGACGTGTAAGAAGGATTGGTGAAAAATTCTCAGTATCAACCGAAGGACATTCATCAATAATGAGAAAGCCTAACCTTTGGAAAACAAATATAATAAAAGATATGTGCGAGCTAAAAAGTTAATAAACCAGTTCTTCCTAATTTAAGCGGTATATTTGTATAAAAATTTTTATATTAATCCTCATTCGTCCCTTGTGTCAAAAAGGAAGCTACATGGATGCTGCTGTAAGAATCCAAAACAAATAAGACAGTGAAAAAACATGAAATGAAATAGTTATAGATTTACAAATATAATTATTTATCTCTTTGTGTAGCTTTACCATTTATCGTGTCAATTTGACATTAAGGGACATATCAAATTGGAAGAATGGAGGACGAATGAGGATTAAAAGCTAAGGAGAGACATAATTTACATATTAATAATACTAGATATTTATACGATAGACAGTAAAAAGTAATAATTACCGGTCAGTGATATCAAGTACCTCATCACTGTAAGGATAATGGCTGGTTCTGTAGGCATTAGCACCGATCCATTGTAATAATTCATGATCCCTAGCGACAGTAACTAAATCGAGGCCGCGTCCTCTCAGGATTGAATCTTCGTGTCTACCAAACCCTCGCATGTATATGGGTTTATCGTTAAGCAGTAAACTCGTATTTGTCCAGGCCAATGTTCTAATACCAATTGGAAGCCTGTAGACGTCTACTTTACTATCATTTGCCACCGACAATGTAACCTTGGAATCGTAATATTATTACTGATTACGTTTGTAATATATTTTGCAAGCTTGAGCAAATTTTAATTGAAATAAAGAAAAAAATTTGTAATAACGAATTATTTTATTTTAGAAATAATGAAAAACAAAGAAGAGGAAAAATTAAATACCTTTAGAGTATAAAGATATCCAGGATTAGGATTCATACCTCTGGGCCACCAGAGCTTAGGGAATGGTATCTTTATCGTACCGGAAAATCCGTAAGCAGGCTCCTGTACGGCTAAAATATCTTTAGCATCGAGTATGCTTACTCTACATATAGGAGTCTCATGCTCCTGTAAGCCTGCTGGTTGAATTATGTATTTTATGATACCAGTATCACCAATTAATCCTGTCCTTACAGTAATATCTTCGATATAAACACGTGGTTTCGTATGCAGCAAAACAGGTCTGTAATTTAAAAAATGTTACATTGATATTTTAATTTTATCTTATTGCTGCCCTGAAATCTGGTATTCTTTTGTTTTCATTGATTGCATATCTTTTGCATCGAAAATAAATTATTCTGCTCTGGTACCTTGCTTTTGTTTGCCTCGTACACGCGTACTCATTTCTCTCAATCTGTTTATCACCGTAAAATTATTTTTACGGATCAGTGAAAATCAAGTTTTGTTAAAAAACCAAAAACTTTGAACTGTTTTACAATAAAAAATATTTATTTGATATATAATTTATATTATATTAAAATATATTTAATTATATATTTTACATTATATTTACTTAACTATGTTTTATATACAAAATTAACTAATATAAATTATATATTATCCATATAATGTTAAATTCGATAAAAATTTTTTTTCGATTTGCTTCAAGTGTTGGAGATACTTGACACATTTTGCTGATAAACAATATGACTTGCATCCACTTACCTGTGTATGCCAGCATAGTTGAAAAAGTCAAAAGTATAAGTTTGTAAGTGCGTCGTTCCGTTATCGACGGGAGTATCGATGATTTTTCCTTGTGGAACACTAGTCTGTAGCAAAGTATTATCAACTGCAACAGTTATGCGATTTTTACCTCCATAAACCAAGTATGAAGATATCTCAGCTTCAAATGGAAGATGACCCATTTCATGGTTGGTTACAAACTCGTCGTTTATCCACTAGAATATAAAAGGAAAACAAAGAGATGTTAAACATTTTAAAAAACTCTGGCCTTTTATCTTTAAGGCCAGATATTTATCTATACCACATACGGTATTGTAAAATTACATTCAAGACTTAATATTCATCGATAAAACTAATATTGACAATTATAATTACAGATATTTACATCGAAGCATCGGCCGTAAATGTGTCAAGTATTTAATAAATGTATCGTACCTTCGAATAAAGTAGTTTATTTTAGTTTTAATTGTCCGGCAATTGATTGTAGAATTTATCAAAACCTCATAGACATTTCACAGAACGTGGTAATATTATTTATAATGTAAGTATAGAAACACTGTGTAAAGGTATAAATTAAAGTTGCTTGATACCAGTAAAGTGTGACCCGATAAAGAGCTAACCAGAATTGACCCAATATTTGGAAATGTGTATATATATATATTATAATTAATGATATATATAATATTACTTAAATAATAATATATAAATTAAAATTAAAAAAATAAATATATGTGTATATATGTATATAATATACGTATATTAACTTCAATTTTATTTTATAAATATTTAAAAATTTATGCTGATATGAAATATATAAAATATGAATAGAAAAAATTACCTTAAAAGTAATAAAATAGTACGATAATGAAAATAATAAAAAAATATAATAGTTACCACTTGTGCAAGGTAATTGACTGAACCAAATCTGACAAAGACTCTTTGTTCTCGCCAAGAAGAGGGTATGAAGAAAGTTCGTTGATACCAAACAGCCCCTACATGATCTCTTAGTTTCCTGGAGGTTGTGATATCGTTATACGACGAAGGTACTGGCATTTGCATCACCTTTTCTACCTAGACGAAGCGGTATGTACATAAGTGTGAATCCTCGTTGACAACATGTAATTTCATGAAATTTATATTTACGCAACTTCAAGTTCTGTATGCAACAGTCATTTATGCTATTATACAAGTTTTAAGTCATTTTAAACTGCACTGTCTTTATTTTACATTTCGCATTTTTTGAAAGATTTTGCAATCTAAAACTTATAATTATTATAACAATTTATAATTTACTGAAAAATCTATGATTACATACATAGTAATATAATCTCTACTAATTTATCGTCGATGATTTTAACGTTTTAATTAGATTGCAGATGTTTATGCAAATTTATATTTATTTTTATTGATCACGAATTAAAAATGAACATTTATTTTGTCTACAAAAGTAGATGATGAATGTGATGAATTTAACTTTTGCTATAAGAACTTTTTCCCCATTAAGAAGGGGATTAGGAGGATTCGAATTATAATTATAAAATAATTTTCGATATGAATTTTAATGTTACTTTAATTCGTTTAAATCGATAAAAATATGCTGTACCTTCATTAATAATAAAAAAAAGTAGTGCATTTTTTGTTTTACGATACCTTCGATAATTCATCGGCAAACCATGCTTCTCTATAACCCTTTAGCGCATCTCCCGATGGAGAAATGACAAAGTCCCACATACCATCCAGAGATTTCACCTCAGTAAAAAATGAATTTAATTTCAAATTGAATAATTTATCAAATAAATTAATTAAATTAGTTGCAATTAATATTTAATGAGAGAAATAAGAAAAGAAAATTTCAAATTACTTCTCGCGATTCGCTTTCCCGCGGATATAACATCCCGGGAAGTAACGATGGCGCATCTTCTTCCCGAGGTAAAGATGAATATTCTATCGGAACCTCAGGATATTCGATCTCTGGGCCCGATTCTCCGGCCATCGCGGAACTGATTAAAAGGAACGCTAACTGCCACATTCTCTTCTAATTTATCTGAAACGAAATAATCAAAAGAAAGATTAAATAGTATTGCATACTGTTTTTATTTCAATAAATGTTACATTCCTATTTTCTTCAGAAACATAAGCATGTAAGAAAGTATTGCCAAGTATTTTATTAACAGCGGATTTCTTTTCATAGCAATCAGCGTAAGTTATTTGGAAATTCCTATCTTTCTTCGTGTATATCTACCTTTGATTCAAAAGAAAATATCTCGACATTTTATCGTAATAAACAAAATTTTAAGACATTACAATCGTTTAATCAAAATAATTTTAAATAATCTTGTCAAAAACATGTCTATAAATAATCGTTCAAGATAGCCTTAAATTTTGTCAAAATTTTCCCACTTAATTTAAAGAAGAAAAAAGAAAAAGAAAAACGGAAGAATAAAGTCGATATCCGTGGTTTCTGAAAAGGTAGCGTGTAAAATTTTATTCAGTTTATGTATTGTAGTTAAGAATAGTATGTCCATTCTGTGTAATTTTGCGCTTACTTATTAAATGCATAAAAAATCGCAGTCTAATTATTAGATAAGTAATTACGAAATTAGAAATTCGCAACATCAAACATACGTACATCTAATTTTCAATTTTGCTATTCTTCAGGATATTGAAATTGAAGTCGCTGAAGAAATTTGATCGAAGACACGAGAAATTTTAACTACTGATATTGTCTAACCAATATTATCTAACGGACAGAGGTAATATTCTCTAATGTGTTATACGAAAAAAAAATTGCATTATACGAGAAGTTGGTTCTTAATGGGTTAACTTAATATAAAAGGAGGTGTAGCTGGTGTGTACCGTAGGGTCTCGTTCACAGCAATATCGGCTTCCTGGCACGGTGCCCTCCTACGAGAGCAGACTTCCCTTCCCAAAGCATCAAATCGTTTCCTCGTGTCGCACATGTATGTACACCGTCGCCGTCGCTGTCCCTAATTCTTCGAATAGACATCATGAAAATTTAACAATTGCCACTGTCTATATAACGATGGGAATAATATTTTCGCAGACGGTATCGATAATGGCCACGAAGTTGTATGTATGTTTTGCAAATATAGTAGAGCCTCCCATATCCGAACCAATAGGGAGACAAAAGTGTTCGATTAATAGAATTTTCAGATAATAGTATAATCACTTTTCTCATATTAAATTAATATTAAACGTATCCAAATAAGGATTAGGAAAAGCTATCAACTTATTTTAACAGATTTAATAATTTATTTAATTTTAGGAACATTATATGTTTTTTTAATTACTAAATTATCTAAATTCTTTGAGCACAAATAATTTTGTACAATTATGTTCTTTTTGTACTTCAAATCACTGTTTCGCGATGTAAGACATATATTTGTCTTATCAATCAATTAATCAATCAGGTGTTTTTCTTTTTTAATGAAATTTTATTTTTAAATAATGACTCTTTGTTTGTTGATAAAACTGACTGATAACATATTATATAGCTACTCAAGTCCTTCAATTAAATGTTATCGGTCATCATATTTATACATTTTGATACGCTTTATTGTTATATTAAACATAAGTGTTATACTTATGTTATTAAACTTTATATTAAACATAAGTGGACGTATTGTTGCATTGTACATCTCTAAAACGAGGTGTTGATCAAAATAGCTAATTACAGAGAATTACGGTTGATTTTTATTCAAAATGCAACTTTTTATCAATTTCGGCAGTTTTGTCAGCGTTTTGTTCTGATTAATATCATTAAAATGATAAGAATTACTCTAAAACGCATCACTTTCTCAAATCGCTCATTTATAATGAAAATGATACAACGCAAAAGAACGCAATTTTCGAGTTATCACTACGAGAACATTACAGAAAGATTTTTGACTAATTACGCGGAAATCTTTCTAATTATTATTATATTTTATAAATACGTCTTATTATGAGTTTCGTCTTGTCTATCATTATGAATAAATTCAAATTATAAGTTCAAATTGATTAACAAATTAATATTTAATTTTATTCAAAAACTCTTTTTCTCTTCTTCAGGTAAACTGTATCTTTTCGAGTTATATCATTTTTTTCTTACTTGGAGAAAGGATCAATTGTTAAATAGATATATCTTCTACTGGGCATAGATAGAATGATATAGATAGATGTGTCTACTACAAATAATGCACAAAGCAGCTACTTTGCCTCATCTGATTGAATTTAATCAATTCAATTGATTCAATTTTCAAATTTCTACTTTAGTGTAATATGTCTAAATACCTAAAACGAGATAATGCATGTAGCTACAAATATTAGCAATCACGAAACTCATACGCGCGCATGTGTATATATTACTTTGAGATAATCAAACGAAAAATACTTCGTTAGTGGATAGACATAAATACACAAATACATTCGAATATATGATGCAACAATCGTTATGGGTCTGTTATTAGCAATTATATTGCATTATTACATAATATTACATTAAACACAATATGTTCAAGAGATCTTGAAGTTTTACATCTCAATCATGCTCCCGTCTTAATATGAACTTGCAAAAGAGACGAGAGAAATCACACGAACGTGACAAATGTTTTGTGCGCAGGAAAGTATGATCGAAAAAAGTTTGGAAAAAGAGAAGTTTCATATTAAAAGAACAGCTCGCTACAACGTTAAAAAAACGACGACTTTGCCAATATCAATTTTAGAAGGACAAATATATAATTTACCGGCTTGTTTGGTGCAAAATGGGAAATTTACACGAGACACGTGTTGGTGGAGGAACAGCGAAATCACTATTCCACTTAAAATATCTACAACCTTATTAAACTACGAGATTTTTTCTTTCATGACGAATTAAACTGCGAATCTTTATGCAATTGCCTACTTTTTTTTAATAAACACTATTAAAGGAATGGAGCGTAGAATTAAAGAGAAGCAATTAAAGAAACGGAGCTGAAATTTTATTTCCATTGCTAAATATTACGAGTGGACTACTTATTTTATGTATCTGCGTTATTGAATGTTTAAATTTCACATAAATGTAAATAAGCCTAATAATCATATCAGTTAATAACTTTGGATCGTCGGAATTGAAAAATTTCTTTAGAAAATCCTTTTTAAGTTTACTTTAATACATCGCACTCACCTTTGCAACTTTTGAATGAAAATGTTCATAGAATGACAAACATTTAGGGCAACAGTCGCGTAACTGGCACTAAAAAAAAAAAAAAAAAAAAAGATTGCTGAGTCGAATGGCTTCGCGGTAATTGTCCGCGAGGAACCGAAGAAAGGAAAAGTTACGGTGGTTTCTGTGTTTCCGGTCGCGTTTAATGCAGCATCGTGACGCCGTGTCGCGTCGCTTCTGCTTGGCACTTGGCACGTTCTCTCCTGTCGAGATCTTACACGCCACTAGACCAGAGAATCGGTTATACTACCTATCCCATCGGACTCGGACTGCTCGTCGTGCCTCGCCAAACGACTGGCCTGTTCTTATATATCGGGTGTCCGCAATTAACCTGCTACAATGTCAAAACGCCGCGTTACGATGGAAATCCAGTAATCATTACATACAATTTTAATTATTATTATTATTATTATTATTATTATTATTATTATTATTATTATTATTATTATTATTCATTAATATTAATCATTATTTGCAGGTGCCAAAGTATATTAAAAACAAGCAAAGTTAATTGTTTCAATTAAATAATAATTAAAAGTAAATTAAATGATCTTTGATCTTCTTATTGATTGGACAGCTATAATTTGCAATTAACTGTAATTATTGAAGAAAAATATATACCGAGGAACGTATAATATTGTTTGGAGGAAATGAAACCCAAGATATGGTTAGCTGATTGGCTCACTTTAACTATGACTAAATCTCTTAAATTAGTATTCTACGTAAACAGAGATTAGTTCGTTGACACTTCCAGGTTGGTTTCCGAATTTGCTTGCCCGACGTTTCCTTTTGCTTCGTCATTTTCGTGATTGCACTATCGCGATGACACCGTTTATATTCTGTACATGCATATACTTGAACGTTTTATCGTATTGTAAAAAGCATTTTCTGTATATATTCGTTATCATTATCGCATATTTTATTGGGTGAAAGATAAATGTTTACTTTTTTCCCTCGAAAGTATGCATTTCTTATTTATACATCATGCGATAACATTTCAAAAATATCGTTTCGAACAATATTGAATTAAATTAAAATATTATTTTAAACATTATCATTCATTTTAATATTGATTTTTATTATTTGATTTTTATTATTTGATTCACTGTTTATTATTATATTTATTATTTATTTACAACTTTTTAAAATTTGTCTAATTTATTCTCATTATTTGTTATTATCTTTATTATTTATTTTTATATTCATTGTATAATTTCATTTTCCTATTCCAATTTAAATAAAGATTTTTCTCAAATCTATTCTTAAATAAATTCTCTAATTCTCTGTGTGTCAAAAATGAAGTTAAGCAATGATCGTCGCTTCAGAACAATCGCGCAATAATATAAAAATTTTCGCTTGTTTATTGTTTTAGAGAGCAAGAAATAAATGTATTATGTAACTATCTCTCCTGTTATTGTAATTCAATCACCGATTCAATTGTTATAAGTAAATAGTTTTAGTAAAATTGTCAAATAATATACAAAAATATAATAGAAATGCATTATTTTATAGTTTGAATAAATCATTTAAAACAATTAAATTATTTTATTTCTATAACAGTCCCAAATATTATTTAATAATTTTCACAACCTTTCTATTACGATTAAACAATTAAATGGATAAAATTTAGATAGGAAGGCGGCGAAGATCTCTTGCGGATTTCTGACCATACTTTCGCATGTGTCTGATCTTTACTACTTACAAGTAGTAAAGTCTACGTGTGGCTAGATATCAATTAGTAGTATATATCAATATATGACCAGAATGGAGCAAGTAGTATAGATCAGTTTTAATCGACATCCGCAAGTAGTATAAGTCTTATACTATTCTAGTATTTTACTTTATTCTACTGTACTTTCTTCCACACTCCCACAATAAAATAATTTAAAATACATTATTTAAATATTTGTTCATGAATTTAAAATAAAATTGGTACAAAGTTCAAAAATCCCAAATGAATGTGTTATGAATTTGTGAACTATGGTCGATGCTCATGTGATTAAAGAGATAGCAGAATTTAAAAAGCACAGCATCAATTGGAGATAAGCTACTTGAATACGGATTGAAAATAATTTTATCACTCAGTATTCATTCCTTAAAACAAGAAGTTCTTTTTGTAATTGAAAATTAGCGCGATTTATAGACAATGAAATGCTAGCTCTGCGTAGCGATAGAAAGATGAAACTAAAATCGACTGACATCCTTGTTGCACACTATTACTCTCCCTGTCTACCGCACGTATATATATCTATCCTTGTTGCACTCTATTGTTTTCCTTGTCGGGCAGTATGACTGCTGCCATCTATCGGATTTTTCCAATTTACACTTTTAGTTCCACCCAAAAATACAGTGGTATAGATGGCAGCACTATCGTTAGACAAGGAGCACAATAGCGTGCAACAAAGACAGACATACATCGTGTGACAGACAAAGAAAGTAATAGTGTGCGACAAGGACATCCTTCGATCTATCGAAGAAAAAATTCAACTTTTTACACACACGTTTTTCGAGGACAAAACATACATAGAAAGAAAGCGGGGAGTCTAATTTTAAGGAGGCATATAAAAAAGTTCGCAAATTATTCCTCTTAAATAGGTTTTTTTCGTAAATAGTGCGAATTGTCACAAAATGGATAATTATTATTTATAAAAATACTTATATCTGCATTTTACGGGTCAAATGGGGTATGAAAAAAAAGCTAAGAGTCTAATTAGGGTAATACGATCACAAAAATTCACAATTCATTTCGCTAAATTGGTTTTTTGAGCAAATAAAAATTTCTCTATTTTACGGGATAAGAAACACTAGCGTCGCGTTGTGGCAAAAGGGTGGAACTAAAATCTGTTGCTATCCTTGTCTCACACTATTACTTTCCTTGTCTGTCACACGATGTATGTCTGTCTTTGTTGCACGCTATTGTGCTCCTTGTCTAACGATAGCGCTGCCATCTACGCCACTGTATTTTTGGGTGGAACTAAAAGTGTAAATTGGAAAAATCCGATAGATGGCAGCAGTCATACTGCCCGACAAGGAAAACAATAGAGTGTAACAAGGATAGATATATATACGTGTGACAGACAAGGAAAGTAATAGTGTGAGACAAGGACAGCAACAGATTTTAGTTCCACCCTTTTGCCACAACGCGACGCTAGTGTTTCTTATCCCGTAAAATAGAGAAATTTTTATTTGCCCAAAAAACCAATTTAGCGAAATGAAGTGTGATCTTTTGTGATTGTGTTACTCTAATTAGACCCTTAGCTTTCTTTTCATATCCCATTTGACCCGTAAAATGCAGAAATAAGTATTTTTACAAATAATTAGTACTACTGAGTTACCGCTAGATGGCGCCACAATGTCCATTTTGTGACAATTCGCACTAATTATGAAAAAAACCTAATTAAGAGGAATAGTTTGCGAACTTTTTTATATGCCTCCTTAATATTAGGCTCTCAGCTTTCTGTCTATGTGTATTTTGCTCCAAAAAAATGTTTGTGTAAAAATTTGAATTTTTTTTTTAATAGATCGGAGGATGTCCTCGTTATTCACTATTATTTTCCTGGTTTATCGTCATTAGTAGCGTGTAACAAGGACAAACATATTCGTGCGGTAGATAAAGCGGGCAACAGCGTGCGATAAGAACAATATAAATTAGTTCCGGCACCTATCCTAGGGATGGTCCACACGGTGCATGCTTAAACCTGATGATCCCCATATTGCTCCATCATTAAGCAGCATTCACTTATAGCTTGCGTAGTTTGTATATTAGGGATGTATATTAAGGATACGCTGGCAGCTACACTACTGATGATATGCACGCCACCTTCTATATCATTTACAACCTTACTTCAATCTTATCACCACCATCTTACATCTTTCCTAAAAACATACATCAAGGTATACCCACATTCCCTCTTTTCTACTCGAGAATGGGTGAATGTTGTAACAACCAGCAATATAGTTCTATATAAATATTTCGAGTTTTGAATTCTCACGCTAAGGAAATTTTTCAGTTGTATAGTTCCAGTACGAGAGAGCACACGTTCGGTCAAGATGCTGAAGACTGCAGCGCTGATAGTCCTTTTCTCTAGTGGATTAATTGTTTTATTCTTGTAAGTCCGTTAATATTGTGAAGAGATTAATAGTAAATTTGTAGCAATTGTACAGTAATTATAATAATACGGTGTATTTTTTCCAACGTCTGATTTTTTTCTGCTGTATTTCATGGCAGAAATTTCTCAACTTTCACAACTCTATATTGTTTCACAAATTTTTACTTCTCATCTTTGTTTCGAGTATCATTTTATGAATTTTGATGTATTTTTTTATATGCATGTGATGTTAGTTACATTAAGTTTGACTTATTCGTTTTCATAAATTAACCCGTGAACTTATACGTACATCACAAAGAAAAACTTATACACATGCATGCTACGTTAAATCTTATGTATCTTTATAAAAAAAACTCCACTATTTATATTTTATAGATTTCATACACAAATATATGCATGGAATTTAACAAACTTAATAAATTTAAGCTTTAAATCTTGATCGTACTGAACTTATATACATACTTATTTATAGTTTTTGTTGCCTCGATTACGAAACGTATGTAATCGATGTCAACAGTAATTGAATCCATTTGGATAAAAAGAACAATTTTAATAAAAAGGAATCAGATCTATATTTTTACATTATATATTTATTTGGGAACCATAAGCATAATATTTAAAAAATTACGAACTTAATCCAGTAAGGGCCAAGGGTCTTTATAGTTCATTATAGTTTTTTATAATATTAAAAATTTTAAAATTTTTCCAATTTTATGCGATCGTAGTCTGTCTTTAGAAGTAATAATCATGAAAAGAAAAAGAAAAATGTCGATAATTTGAACTATAATAATCTTGTTAAAGAAAATCATATAACAATCTACTTGATCTTATTTTAAAACTTAAGATTTCTATTTTTACAATTTTAAATTCGTTTTTTTTTCAATTGTTACATGATTTTTTTGCGACATTGGTTATGCTGCTCACTAGTATTTGTTTTAAAACTGGAAAAATTAAATTATGTATAAATATATTAGTATATTAACAATTTATTGTGAAATACGCATGCAGTTGAAAAATTTAACTATTTACGATAAATATTGAACATTAAACATAAAAATATTCCAAAGAAAAAAAAGGCCTATTATTTAGTATGAGACTGTTATCTACAAATCATACAATGATTAGCAGAAATGGCATGTAATCTATTGGTTTGTACTTGTACCAATCGTGACATTACACAAAGTTTATAAATAATTGACCTTCAGCTCTTTGCATATGAAAATATTTTTATTTATAAAAATTTTATTTTTTTATTTATAGCAATTGATGATAATGACATAAAATAATATCAAATTATTGCTACTTTATATAAAAGTTTCGTAAGAACAGAATATTGTTTGTCTCTTGCAATATAGACTTATTTTATATTTTATCTTTGTCGATAAAATATCTTAATCAATCAAGTATAAACGCAATACACGCAATAAAATTGATAAATGAATAAAGAACTAATAATTGTGAGTGAAAATTATTTATCATGTAATATAAGATATCAATATTATGTATGCAATCACGATGTCATTGTAATTCGTCGAAAAGAAAAAAAAATCTATTTATTTAAAAAGTATCTTATTATTTATTTTATCTATTTAATAATATAAAAATAAGAAAACATTACGATTTTGATTTACAAAGATCGTGAAGGTAAAATTTTGGAAAAATAATCAATTGATTATATACTTCAACATAAGATTCAAAATATTGTCACCTTTTCTTACAACCATTTAAAAAATTTATTATTTATTAATAAATTTTTTTACAAACAAATTATTTACAAATAAATTAATTTTACAATTCTGTTTAGCTCTTCGAAAGAGCTTAAGGTTCCAACATTACCGGAGACAAACTGGGGATCAAAAAAAAGTGGAAAAGAATCTACAGAAATACGACCTTTCAAAATCGATGTACCAGCTAAGGTAAATAAAATAAATTAATTAAAATTTGCTTTATACTTTTTTATTATACTTAATTTTCTGAATTCCTTTTTTTTAAAAACAATCATTAAATTATTTAAAGATTCTGGATGATTTAAAATATCGCCTGGCACACAGAAGAACATATGCTGCACCATTGGAAGGTGTAGCATGGACCTATGGTATCTCAACTAAGTATCTCAATACGGTACTTGATTACTGGAGAGATAACTACAATTGGTCTGAGAGACAAGCTCTGCTAAACAAGTATCCTCAGTTTATCACAAATATCCAAGGTAGTGGAACAATTTATATATTTTTGTAATCGATAAAAAAATTTTTTAAAGTTGAAAATAAAATATTTGAACATTTTAGGTTTGGATATACACTTCTATCATATCAAGCCGACAAATTTGCCAAAGGATAAGAACTTAAAAGTTCTGCCTCTGCTATTATTGCACGGATGGCCAGGATCTGTTGTAGAATTCCAAAAAATTATACCTATGCTAACGAAACCTTCGCCTAATCAAAACTTCGTGTTTGAAGTTATTGTACCGTCACTTCCGGGATATGGATTCTCGGAAGGAGCAGTACGACCAGGCATGGCTACAGCTCAAGTAATAATAATTTTACTTTTATTTGTATATAAGCTGTATACATAATAAGTAGGTCTTATTACCACTGTTAATTTTTTGCTTAGATTGCTGTAATATTCAAGAATTTAATGCATAGACTTGGCTTTGAAAAGTTTTATATTCAAGGAGGTGATTGGGGAGCTGCTATTACTGCTAATATGGCTGCTTTGTTCCCAGAGAAGTTAGTAATAATAGTAACAGAAATTTTTAAAAGAAATAACATGTTATGCATTTGGTTTTTTTAGGATAATTGGTTTACACTCAAACATGTGTGCTACTCTGACAGGATCTACTTTTTTGTGGACATTTATTGGTACCTATTTCCCATCTTTGGTAGGAGTAAACGAACACTATTCACGATATTTTCCTTTAAGTAGAGTTTTCTTCAACCTGATTGAAGAAAGTGGCTACTTCCACATACAGGCTTCAAAGCCAGACACTATAGGTACTTTTATTTCTTTTGTTTGAAGCTACTATATATTATTTAAATTTTAAGTAAATTTATAATATATTTAAGTAAATTTACTTAAAGAAAATTATACAAGTATATCTTCCAATTGCAATAATGTAATAAATGTTTTACATATAATTTGAACTAATATCCATATCTTTTCTAAAAATATGACGGTGATTATCAACAAGAAGATGTAATAGATAAAAAATATCAATTTTAAATTTCGAAAAAAGCAATTTTTAAAAAAAGTATTCTTGGGATATTACCGTAATCTTGTGCAATCTTTTTATACTATTTAAATTATGCATAAAATATTTTTAACGTTATCGCAATTGAAAAAAAGCCATGTATAAATTAAAATATAATACTGTTCTTTAGGCACTGCAGTAAGTGCTTCACCTGATGCACTAGCGGCATATATTTTGGAAAAATTCAGTACATGGACAAATACAGCATATAAAGAACGAGATGATGGTGGTTTAACAGAAAAATTTACGCTTGACGAGCTGTTAGACAATGTTATGATATATTGGGTCAGTAACAGTATTACTACAAGCGTCAGACTTTATGCTGAGAGCTTTAATTCAGCATATAGAGCTTCAAAAATTGAAGAGTAAGTTTATTTCATTGAATAAATCTATGAATTTTATATTCAGAAAAGACATTTAAATATACATTTTGTTTCAGATTGCCTATAAATGTGCCTACAGGTTGTGCAGTTTTTCCGAATGAACTAATATCTCACCCTGAAAGTTTGCTTAAGTCAAGATTTACTAAGTTAATTCAGTACAATTTAATGTCACGTGGTGGACACTTTGCAGCTTTTGAAGAACCTAAACTCTTAGCTGATGATATTTTCAGTTTTGTTAAAAAAACTGAAGAACTTAGCACAGCAAAAGCTGCATAGAACACGCAAATCAACTTTCACTTTTAATAATTTTTGCACAATTGTTGATATATTTTTTAAAAGTATTTTAATAAATCATATATGTTTTAAATATTGAATATAAATGAGAATCTTGATTATTTACATTCAATATCATTTACAGTTTAACATATTATACTTTACAAACTAGTACAACCTCTAGCTTAATCAACACGAGTTTTGTACAAGTTCTTTGTAAGATAATTATCTTGTTATCCATTACATATTGCTAGTGCCAGATTTCTCAACATTTTCTAATAAATTTTGTAAATTAGTCTCGAATAATTCGCATCTGATGGGCATTTCTAATGAATAGAAAGGATTTTTCAAGGCGTAATCTGCATACAGTTCATATACTCTTCTCAATAAAATTTCTATTCCACTTTGCGTAGGTTCCGCTACTACAATGAATTTAATTCCAGTCAGTGTTTGATAGCAATGTAATCTAAATGTATCTGCCTCTAAAATTTCAATGCCAGAACAACGAGGTTCAGGGCTTAACTGGCTGGCAATTGCAAATAGAGGATAAAACATTGATGCTAAAAAAATCTTTTCATTAGTTGTCATTCTGGCACGACTAAATCGAAGCGATACAGGAAAATTTTCTGCTTGTTCTAGAAATTCAAATACATCTTTTCCATTTTCCAATTCACGGCCTACTACAGGACCACCATTTACTGCAGTTAAAACGTGACCCACTATAATAAACGAATGCATTTGTTAGTCGGGAAATTCAAGCAAATTTTTGTAAATAAAAGAAACATTATCCATCTCACCATTAATGCCATCCTTTTGTCCAAACGAGACAACGATCTTCTTGTTTTCGTAATTCAACTTCAAATCAAGAGGAAAATTGAACGTCCTTTCATTTTCAATTCGTGGAACATTGTGATCGTGATTGAATATCAATCCACCCGATTTCGATACAATATAAACACCGTAAATAACCATGATTGAATTATTTTAACTCACAACGCACTTAATTGTCACTTTTTAATTATTCGTCTCAAGCTTCATTTATTTACAATTTCCAAATAACTATTTATTTACGATACTGTCAATTATCAACTTTTTAGGTTACATCTCGTTGAAATTAGACATGAAAATCATCGTTCAATGTTAATGTAGCGTGCATAGTTGTTGGTTGTGTGTTATTATAAATCTAAACATATGTATTTTTAAAAACTATCATTCAGACTGTCAGATTATGAGGTCAGTAATAATTGAATACAAAGCAGTAACAAATTATCTCTTTTTTGCGTTGTCGTCTAGTTACTGCATAATTTGTTTCATACAAATTCAAGTTTCTTATATATTTCAGGCAGTTTCTTATATATTTCGTCGCTTTGTCGCTGTTTGTATGCCCGTGATCTTACGGTCGATCCATCCACAGATACATAGTTCGAAGACTACGTATATTGTCTGTAGATAACTTGACAACAGGAGACAAATATATGTCACGATATTTTTTCTTTTGCTGAAATGAAAAATGAAAGATATTATCAACGTGTATTCGCAAATAATTGTTTAAAAATCTGAACAAAGTTTAAGTCATAAAACACAGACTATACGTTATTCTCTACAAAATACATCTTTGAACTATGGAAGAGAATTTGCATTTTTCCCATAAAATTTATAAAAACGATCCTCTGTTATTTAAAAGTTACGTTGGCAAAAAAGTGAATATTTTAACGGAAGATGATAGTACAATCTCTGGCATCGTTTATACCGTTGATCCAGTTTCAGAGAGGTTAGAAAATCTTTACGCGATATTTTAACTTCGATTGTTTGTATATCCTTGTAAATAATTTGTAAACTGTTTTGCAGTGTTGTACTGCTACAAGGCTGTGAACAAGATAATTTAAAAATCGTATGTGGCCATACGATAAAGAACATAGAAATTTGTTCGAGTGAACCATGCAGGTTACCAGAATTATTTACAAACGTGCCAAAAAATATTCAAACTGCGGTAGGGGAGCGAAAAAGTGCTGTGATAAAATTACTCCAGGAAAATCGATTCCCCGTGAAGATACAGAATGATATTTTAACAATAGAGAACGTACTCTCAATAAAACCACCCTATGAACCTGCAGATTGCATTTGCACTAACAGCATTATCTTGCAGAGAATTCAAAATCTCCTCTCTCGTATACAAATTTGATGTTTTTACATTTATTTAGCGACATTTATATATACTTTGTATTTAATTGACTAATGAAATATTCTTAGATATTAATATAAGAAAAATACAAATTGTCTTAAAAAAATTGCTTTATTTTTTTAATCTGAATTATATTTCTTTTTTTTACCATAAAATATTTTATTTTCCGCACGTATCATTATCGCCTAAAATAAAGTTTCGCTTAACATACATAAATCAATTGTAAATGAAAGTGTTCCACTTATAGTTGAATTCAAATTCGATATAGGTACATAATATTAATTTCGTTTCTGCTGTTAATTTAAATCCGTATCATTAAATTGTATTATTTTTAATTGAAATGTACAACGTGATCTTAAACATACCAATGTGAGTGAATCGAAATAATTTTTTAAAAGTTATCTGCAATTGTATTAAAACAAAATATACTTGTTCATTTATAAAAGGTAAGTAAACTTAATTGATATTTTAAATAAAAAAATAATATTAAAAAAGTTTGTGCAACCATTCTACACAAAAGAATTTCCTACATAAAAGAATATAATATAATTTAATATTTAATCGTGTAATTATAAAGTTTTTCAAAAATAGAAAATACATTTGAAATTATCTAAAAATATATATGGTTTTTCTTCTTTTCCTAGAAATGCTTTAAAAAGAAGAAAAAAAAAATTATAAAACTACTCTTAAAAAATTACTTTTCAAATAAATGAATTGTTAACTACAATTTAAATTGTGGTACATTTATAACATACAAATTTGTATGATATTTGAAAAGGAAAGAACATTATTTTTTCATCTTAAATTTAAACCCTTTTGCTGTAATAATCGGAAGTAAAAGTCATTCCAAGTATTTATTGCGAATAGATGAATAACATTCGCATTAAATGTGTCAAGTATTTACCTTTATTTGTTCGTTGTGTGTATGCGTTAACTTTCTTAAATATGTACTGCAATATACTAACTATGGAAAGTAGATAAATATGCAAAGCTTTATACTGCTGTACACCTCGTATTATTATCTAAAATATTTGCCACAGCAATAGGGATTAAATTTTGATGTAAGAGCTCAATATAAAATAAATGCAATTTCGGCAGTGTGCCGGTGCAGAATGCATTAAAGTTTTCAAGTATCTTCAGAAAAATTTTGGTTCGACTTTTTTTCCTCCTTTAGAAAAATATCGAACTTTCTAGCTTCTCTACTAACTCGGGGAGCAAAAACTACTTCGAATGAATTTCATTTGTTAGAACTACCTTGTGAATCTAGAATCTGTTGGCATATCACAGCCACTGATATGTGCATATGCCTCTACGAGCTTTGTGCACGTAAAATAACGGGCCAACTGAACTCTGACGCAGTCTTGGCTTCTCCATTAATATTTCCATAATTCGTTGTACATCATGCGAGAAATCTTTAAAAAGACTCCACGTTTATTTCTACTCGCCATTCTAACCATCGAAAAGAGGGGAAAAGCAGTTTGTCCTAAAATAATGGATTATTAATTCATGAATTGATAATGATATATATATATATATATATTCTCCCGATATGACGTTAAAAAATGATATAGTTCTTTTGTTATTTGTAATTTAATTAAAAGGTACAGTGTGCGCATCAATGGAAAAGCGCACAAAAGAATGCGTGTAGAGTTCTTTCAAGGCAGTGTTTCTCCATAGAAATACGAGGCGCTTCTTTGGAGCAAAGTAAACGTCCTAAAAAATCTATTTTTTAGATAGCAGGTCATTCGGTCTCTCCGTCTGAATAATATTCTATGGGCATTGGATCACGAATTTTACGAGAGTATCTTAAACCCAAAAAATCTGCAAGACGCTCAATATGTAATAATACCTAAATGGAAAAAATAAAAATTAAAATCATAATTAGAAACAAGAGACTAGTAAAAAAATATGCATAAACATACATAATCTAGTTGCTGTTTAGTGTGTGCAGCAGAAAGACAAAATCGTATTCTGCCTTCCATTAATGGAGTTGCTGGAAATCCAACGCCAACTGCAGCTATATTATACGTCGTTAAGGTACGCACGACTGCTCTGTTAAGTGGAAGGATTTTAATTTTCAACTCATCTCACTCTATAATTTTGAACACATACCCTATTTTAGAAAACAGGTAAACTAGCATAGGTACGACAGGCGAGTCTTCGTTTCCATAAATAATAACTCCAATTTGATTGAGTCTGCGCCTAAAGTACCTAGTATTCCTCGCTAATTGTTTCGTTCTTCTCTTTCCATCATCTGTACCATCCTCACCGGCAATTATTTTCATCGAAGTTATGATTTGTTGTGCTATCGGTGGAGACATGGCTGATGCGTACGTATGCGCGTGACTGTATATCCTTAAATGGTTTATCAATGTCTAAAATTATAGAAAATATTATCGTTAGTAGATTCTCGGTGTCAAAAAAGAACATTATATTTATAGTTACAAAAATAATTCGTAAAATCTCTTTCTTCTTACCTTTGTTCCAGCAATATAACCGCCAGCGGATCCAAAACTCTTTGTGAAAGTTCCCATAAGTATATCCACTTCTCGTGGATCAATTTTATAATAATCACAAACCCCCCTTCCATGCTCACCTAACGCACCAGTGCTATGAGCCTCATCCAAATAAAGATATGCCTATTATATTAAATTACACTTCAATACTCCAGACATATATATACATATATATATACATATATATATATGTAAATAAATGTACACACTTTGTACTTCTTCTTGAGCTGCAAAATCTCAGGTAAATGTACAATAGAACCTTCCATAGAGTAAACGCCTTCCACTATAATTACTATTTTTTTCCAAGGTTCCCCAGATCCTGGTTGGCCAAAAACTACTGCAGTTTTCAAGTATTTCTCTAAATGCTTCATATCTATGATAGTAAAAGATACGTAATATATTGAATTGCATTAAACTTCGTTATGTTGCAAACTTACTATTGTGTTTAAACACTCTGACAGTAGCACCAGACAGCCTCAATCCGAGTATCAATGAAGCATGATTTTTTTCATCGCTCAATACTAAACAACCTTTGCTTACTAACGAAGGCAAATTAAGAGCGTTTGTTGCGAAACCCATCCCAAAAACGATGGCGTCCTCTACGCCCAAAAATCTAGCAGTCAGTTGCTCCAATTCTTCATGAATCGGCATATTTCCTAAATATAAGGAAAGGAAAACAGTGTCTTTATTATATGAGATAAAAATTTATAATTGAACTAAGAAAAATCAATTACCGAGCTCGAGGCGACTACTGCAACTAGCACAGCCGAATTTCTTCAAAGTTTCAATACTTTGATCGGCACATTTACCATTTGCCTCCGCGAAGCCCAAGTAATTATACGATCCTAAGTTTACACATTCTGATGTCGTTCCTGTAAATCTAAATAACAAAATGGTAAGCGAAAAATCATAATTTAACTATTCTTCAATATATTGTTGTGTATCTAACATTATATCATATACGTTATTTTATATCGTTTAAACAAAAATATCGCGCATATTTAATAAATTAATTCAATAAAAAATGATTGAATTGAACGAAAATAGAATTCCTAGATAAAAATTAGGAAAAGATCATAGAAATGACCTTGAAAATTAGTCAATATTAATAAAAAACAATGAAGCTGATCAAAGCCCATTGAATTTGATTTCCAAGTTATAAATCTACTTTCTCGCCCACTGGTCGTCAAATCTCCTTGAGTTCTTCATTACATTTAATCAAGACAAATGCCTGCCTTCCTGTATCTACAATCGAGTTACGATTTTCGAATTCGTGCATTTCACACTGATATTATCTTAGACTTAGAGCAATAATCACATTAAAATTAATTGAACTTATGCATAATAAGAAAAAAAATATTACTATAAATCAAACTGATTTTTACATATGAAATACATATTCATATCTAAATGGATACGTAAAAAAAATTAATGATTAATTGTTGTATTCAAACTAAAATCTCATTTGATCCTTAACTTAGAAAGTATTAATCACGGGATTTTGTATCAAAGTATTTTTTTTTAATATATTTTTCTTTAACTTACTGGAACGTCCATCCATAATCTTTCGTTATTCTATCCTTAAGTGTAACTGTGGCACCTGGGACAGAGCATATGGGCCTATTCCAACAATCCCTTACTCTTCTGTAAACGTATCGAAGGTAAAACGTATCGAAATTTTCGTATAGCGGCGCATAACCCTGAAACAAAAAAAGCATTTTAGTTAAAATTAATAATATAAGTCGCTGAGGAAGTTACAACTGCTTTCCTTTGATTTATTCATTAAATTAAATAATGACAAATGAAAAAAAAAATTGAAAAAATGAAGAATGAAAAATAAAAAGAAAATTGTAAGACTTTAATAATTAATTCTAAGCTATTATTGAATCACATTATATGTTGAATATTTTGTTGGGAAACTGAATCACTTATTTTATCATAATCAATTTCAAAGAAAGCCTCATTTTTCACAAGGTTTGAATGTTATATCTACACAACACAATATTATCTTAATTAAAGTAGAAAATAGATAAACGTATAGTTGTAAAGTATAAATATGTAAATGCAAAATTTTTAGTTACGAGCTAAGTTAAATTAATTATTTCATAATCTTTACAATTTATTTAACGATAATAATTTTTCTAACACCAGATGAAATTTCAAATTCATCCATTTGAATATTTCAAGACCTGACAATAGATTATATTGGTCAGACCGCTATACATGCTATATATGGTTACATAGTATTGCGCAGAACTGTTCTCACAAGTAGCACACTAAAGCACTTATAGGACGTCTCAAAAGTGAGTGATTCAACATAAAAAAAAAAAAAAAAAAAAAAAAAAAAAAAAAAAAAAAAAAGAGAACAATAAATTTTAATATATCGTTTAGTATGTAGAAGATAAAAGAATACTAAATTTTAGAAAAGAAAAGAGAACAATAAATTTTAATATATCGTTTAGTATGTTCGTCATATAATTTGATGAATAAAATTTAATTAAAACATTTGCCTCTTACGAGTCATTTTTATTTCATTTTTATATTCTTAAAACATCTTATACAAATTCTCATTCTAATCTAAATCCGTATAACGTATTTTCTTTTAAAAAGATTTATAATCTTTAACTCTAACGTCACGAGTCTTGGAAGGTTATATACAAATTATAATTCAAGTATAAATAACAATAGTAATAAAGGAAAAATAATTTTTTTATCTCTAAAAAAAGAAAAAGAATACGAATTTTTCTTTCTTAATATTTCTACTATCGTTAAACAGACAATAAGAAGATTAGATATCAAATGTTATATTTTATTTCCGACCCCCTCCTTTAAAAGAATCACCGAATATTTGTGAAAACGATCGCAGAAAAATGCGATTAAATAAAATTTATTTCTTTTTTTTTAAATCCGAGTAACATCAGCTTTTCAATTCTTTTGGAAAACACGATATCGCGATGGAACGTTTTTCTTTACTGCATCAAGTTTTCAATCAATTATTCTTCGCAATCCTTATCAACGCTGTATCACCGTGCATCTATGTATATATAAAACATAATACACATTTATAAGTTTTTGATTATTTTAAAGAAAATGCTTTGTCACAGTCATCTTGCGACTGTAAAGCAATAACCGCGATTAGAAATTACGTAAAAAAAAAAAAAAAAAAATCGTATTTAACACAATGTGAAATATTATTTCGATTGTTTGTTCCATTTGAAAAATATTACAAGCGTGGACTGATTGCTACGACCAATCGAATCTCCCTCGTAATCGAAACTTGTAATTCAACTCGAATGAAATCGATTCGACTATTCTTTCATGCAAATCTCTTTATCAATTACTTTCACTTTAGACTGTGGTCACAATGGCACCGACATCGGACGATTCACTCGACATTCGACGATCTTTTCAAACGTGTTGGATGTCGGCAGACACGTGCTGGGTCTCAATGCAACCGAATAATTTTTTTTCGACCGATTCGACCGATTTAGCTGGCCAAAAGTCATGCCAATGAGTTCGGAGGCATACAATTGGATGGGAATTCTTTTTTTTTTTTTTTTTTTTTTTTGTTTGAAGAAATCAAAAATAATATAAGACGTAAAAGAAAAAAAAATAGAAACGAACAGCCATACTACGAATTCAATGGAAAAAAGGAAAATAAAAACGGGAAAATCAAGATAATCAAGATTTTTAAGTAGTAATCTTTCGTTCGTAAATTTCATCATTCCAACTGAATCAAACATGTAAATAATTATTGTCATCATGAACAAGGATAATAGGAATGGCGTATTTTATATTATTTAAAGAATGGAATATAAATTTTCGTTTGAGAAAATCTTTCGTTATTTGAATTGGGTCAGTAGTACATACACGGTGTCTTATGGTAACAACTGAACTAGCAACTTTTTACATAAAAAAATTCTTAAATAAACATATCAAATTAATTTGAAGTCCTAACTTCCTATTACGGATCAGCGATACGATTTGCAACATTTTACTTGCAATTTTTCATAAATTTATATCATTGAATTTTATCAAGGTTTCGTTATAATTTTAACTTTAAAAGTTATTATTTCTTTTTCCACTTCGTTTATAATTTTATGAAGCCCAAAGGAATTGAAGTAATGAGGAAACTTAAAGGATTGAAGTTGAATAAATACGTAAGTAAAAAAGTTGTAGTAATGAATATGTAAATAAATGTAAATTAAATGACTAAAATGAATGACAAATACTTCTGTTTCAAGTACAGAAATTTTTTTTTGCGAGAACGGACTTGTACAATTATTCTAATATTCCATTTGATTATTTTAATACATTTTTTTTTTGTAAAACATAATAACTTATTTAATTCACCTTCTTTAGTAACAATTCTGCAATTTTATTACGCATAAGTTATTTTATTGGTGGATCCTTAATAGATTTAAGTAATATTAAAATCTCATTGGCTATGATAACTTCTGATTTTATTAAAAATTAATTTAAATTCTTACCTCTCTATGGTGTTCTTGTGCGACTTTAGGGGTGAAAAGCAACTGGTTTATAAAACCCAAAAACATAAGGATATAGAATCCTAGATGCGTTAACACTGCAGTGATGAACGGTATCCTTTCGAACGATTCCTTTGACCTTGACTTCACCGGCTCCGCTCTCGTTTTTTCTTCTGAAAACTAAATGCACATACAGTTTTGAAAATATTTTCACTGATAATTAGACAAATCATAAAAATTCATATCTCTATAATTAAAAAAGTGAGTATTCCTTCAATCTAAATAAAAATTTATTATTATAAATTACGTAGACTGCGATTATTTACGCAAATATATATTTTATATCTGGTAGTATTTTAAAAAGTCACCTTCAATACATATTTGATATACCTTTCGTTATCAGTTTTCTTTGAAATACATAGTACATGAGTCATGGATGATTTACAGCCATAATTTCCTGTTATAAGAATCGTATAATGAATTTATGGTAAGATTATATAACATAATTTTCATGATTAAGTAAGCTTAAGATTATATAACGTAATTTTATGATCAGTAACAACTTCAGAAATATAAACAATAACATTGTATTAAGACATTAGTTTCAAGTTTTCTATCGCCTGCTAATATTAAGTCCAAGCAAATTATAATTGACAAATGACTTACTGAAATTAAAAATTATGAATTTCATTATTCAAGAGAATGTTATTCACCAGTCATACAATATTAGATGACAGATACATTCAAAGAATCATAACAAAAAATATCATTTAGATAATAAATATTTAACAGTTGAGAAACAAGTATGAGTAATCAATATTTGTCTAACAGAAATCAGTATAGTTCGTCAGTATAGATATATTATATCTAAAATTTTCTGCAGAATTTTTATTACTCGTAATATTTAAGGTATTTAAAGAAATATTGTAGAACATAAAATCTGGGTCTCTTTACTTTAAACTTTAGATGAAACTACAGACGTCATTTTCATGTTATATTAATGACATATGTAAATAGCTGTGTCTAATTTAGATGTATGAAAAGTATGAATATTTCATTTCCTCGGTTGTAAACGAGGAAAAAAAAAAAAAAAAAAGACAAATTATACTACAAATTATCATTAGATTTAGCAATTTAAATATTATAATCAAATGGATATTATGGATTAAATGTGGAAAATGGTTATTATAAAAGATTATTATTTGCCTGATGATAGATGCATCCCTATAATCTTAAAAACTGTTAAAATCAAATGTTTTGAAATATTTTACACGAGTCCAAAAATGCTATATATAATATCTTTCATATTTCCGCGGAATAGATAGAAACTATAGACTTCTATTCTACTCTTCTAACTTTATTTCTATTCCGATAAATACTTTTTGTAATGATTATTCTTACAAATTTTAGAATCTATATATACATTAAATATTAGGTGGTAAGGTCACTAACATTTGGAAAGCCAACAAATGCTAAATTGTTTTTCGCATTTTTCTTACAAATTTCTTATGCATTGTTTGCATATTTAAATACATATTACCTGCATAAATATTTATAGCTTTTATAATTTTAACGATTGCCTTATTCTTGATATTTTATGTATCTTAAATTTCCCATAGATGCATAAAAATCTATAGTCGATTTATAATTAACATACGTAATAATTCAACTATTGCGTTTAAGAAAAATCGAGAAATAGAGTACGCATTATAATTGTGAACTGTTTGTTCGATCTTACATTGTACAAAATCCATTCGAAAATAACACGAACGAGCAAATTTTAAGTCGAATTAAATTAGATTGTAACAAGTTGCTATTATAGATAAGTTTATCATGGCAGATAAATCGAACTCGCGGAAAAATAGTATTGATAGTGTTGTTTCTTAGAAATTTTTGAGACAAGGAGGATAACACACGCTAGTACGATAAAAAACTATGATTCACGAGTATCTAAACATAAAGTAGTTTGGCGCGTTTTTAGCTAATTTCACGTGATGAATTATATAGACACAAAGATAGCTGAAATAATAGTACATTTAGAATATACGCACAATATGTAATAAAGTATTTATTTTATTTTAAGCATTGTATGTATTCCTAATAATGTTTAGTAGTAAGGAGCAACTTTATAATTATTCTTCGTAATAAAGGTAGAAAGAAAATGAAATTTTTGATTTCAAAAAATGGTCAGCTGAACTATTTATTTCGAAAAATAGTGTGATTAATATGAGCACTGGCAAAGTTATAAAGAACATTGACAATTTCTTATATTAATCCACTTTAAGGTGATATTTTATGTATCGGAATCGAAACACAAAACAATAACCGAAAAATTAATAGTTAATAACTCAAACATCGGACTAATGATTCTGAAACACCAAACTGTTATTGATAAATAACGTAATGCTTATACATACGCATATTGTAATGAGAAGATAAAATAAAACGTTTAGGTTATATTTCGAATTACAACTAGTATTTTATTTAATTTACCAATTTTGATTCGAATAAGATCTATTGATGTAACCTGTACTTTATTCACGGTTACTTGTTCTATACAATATACACCCTTCTAATTGATCACATGCAACCCTTGCCAATTGACATTATTTCTTTAAGGCTGTGTTGTCAAACATTTGAATTTCGAGATTAAATTCGAAGAAACTTTGTGAACCGATGAAAACATGCGACAGGCCTTGATAATTGCAAATGTTCTCTCGTCAGTCGTCTCCGCGTGATAATCACATAATCACATAATCCAGGTGATAACAACTCCATCAAAAGTAATAGTTTAATTTCGAAATGGATTTTTATCGGCATTGCGGATACTTATCATAATTCCGTTTCTTATGCGATGGCTTTCATTAAGAATTGGGTCAGAAATGCGGTGAACACGTCAATGGTCAAACTGACGTACGCATTCGAATAATCATTACTCAACAAATAAATTTCTGTAATTCTCCGTTACAACTAGTTTTTTCATCGCACTTCACCGCACTTGAATTAAAGGAATGGTTAAAAAGTAACGGGTAACACGGTTCATTTCATAGTAATTGATTCAATTCCCGCCGTTAATATAACATTTATGACGTTTTGGTTAAATAGAAAGAGATTAGTTACAATGTGAATCTGGGAACAAATTGCGAAGCACAATACCGCATTAGTACTACATGAAAACGGAACAGCTTTAAATTGAAACTTCTTGAATTGAAAGTTACTGGATATACGTTAGAAATAATTGAAACACAATCAAACATGTTTCGATTGCTTCTACTGTGAATTTCGATTTCGTCTTTTACGTACTTTTTTTCTTTTGTTAACTTTAAAATTAACGTTCAATTGACAAATTTTTACTCGTTACATTAACGCGAAGTTCGTTTACATTCCACGAGATAAAGTGATTGAAAATTAACATAGATAAGAATATTAACTGTCCCACAGATTACACTAATATTTGAACTGATTTGTCGAAAAGTTCGTTAGATATAGCGAATTATAAAATAAAAATTGTAAAAGTAATAACGCGTGACAGGTGACGATCTAACCTGTACACGTCCATTGGTTTGTAAACCAGCATGGCCGTTGGCAAGGGTGTCTTCGTGAAAGGTTAAGCCGTTCCTGCTTATTTTCTGCTTGTGTTCATTTAGTTTTCTCTTGGTGATAGCTTGCGTCGCCATTTTGCAAAAGGCGAATCTTTCACTGAACGCCGTAGGACCAGAGAGAGGAGAGACAGAGAGAAAAGAGAGAAAGAAGAAAAAAAGAGAGAATAAACGCGTCGGTACAATGTGGTGAACGAGCAAAGACTGACGCTCAGGCCACGCGTCGCGATATTAGTCGCGCATGCGTACTTGGTCTGCTGATTCTGTGACCGCGATTTATAGGGAAACAGGAATAACGCAGGAACATACGGACACGCGCATGCGTAGATAGGACGAATTAGAGTAATTATTCCTAGGATTAGTACAATTGAGAATGGTAATAATTAAACTAATGTGCGTGTTAATTAACTCATCCCTTTTTTTCACGGTTGCCAAGAATAAAACTAAAGTTAAAGAACATCAGATTTATAATTGAAAATTATAAAAAAAAAGATGTGCTTAATGTATATACACGTGTACTAAATTGGAATATTTTGAGTGAAGACAAAAATGTATTTAAAATAAATATTTCTTTAATGTTATTATGTAAATTATTTACTTTATTTAAAATGTCTAGTCTGTATTTAAAATTTCAATAACGTGGTTTTTGTAAGAAAAATATTTTTCGTAAAATGTTTATAAAATTGATTTTCTATTTAAATTCATATTTTTTAAAATTTTGAGTTAATTGTCAATATAATCGCGATTTTAACGCATATATCGCTTGTGCACATGCGTACTAGCACCTCGCTCATACATGATATATGTATATATACGAATAAATCCGCAATAACTTATAGATAGTACATAAATGAAAAACCTACATACGAATAGGTCAATTGTGTGTATTTATTTTGTAAATACTATTGAGGTTTTGCTGTAATAGATTATAATATATGACGTATATTAATAAAACATGAAAATTTTAAAATATTCTTATTTATAAGAGAATATAACTATATTTGTTCTTAAATTGGTATATTTGCGATAAAAACATGTTGAGACATCATCTTTGATGTATATTCTAAAAAATGTCATAATTTAATGCGTGTATACTTTTAAATACCGGAAATGCGTATATATTTGAAATGACATACTTATACATCAAACAAAACGAAATAAATATTGAGTAATTTAAAACAACATTAAAAACAGTAAATTTTTAAAAAATGAAGAAGCTAAAATTTTAAAAAAACTTTCAAGAGATCAAAATTCAATAAGAAATTTGAAAGAAAAAAAATATTTAAAATATTTAAGCAATCATTATCTCGTAATATTTTTACTAACATTATTTTATTAATTAATAATATTTATCAGATATGACACATCTAGGATTATTATACACGTTTAGTCTTTCAATGTGACTCATTGTCCTAAACTATGGGTCCCCTCCAGTCCCTTGTTCCTAAGTGGTGGGAAATCCAGCTTAATTCTCATTGGTTCGAAGTCAGGGGCGAATGATATTTATCAGATCCCAGTCTTAATATTATTATTTTGGAATTATTATCACATAAAATTTATCTTTTTAAAATTTCCTAGAAATGAACAATTCGTAATGTATTATATGTCAACGCTATAGTCTCACAATTTCCAATTGAAATATATCATTTTGTATCCTTACTTTCATTTGGAAAACTATAAACGAATGAAATATGATACAGGTATATAAACATAGAATTTTTAAAAATTCACGCATATTCCGAGTTCATTAAATTTGTCACCCAGTACGTGTACATTCCTGGCACAGACAGGAATAGTGGGGGCGGAAACCCTCTTACGCACACCCTGTGAGATACTTTGTCGGAGAACATGCTTCAGAATCGAATCCACCCGTGGCAGAGTGAACGTTAAATCGGTTTTTCATTTTCAATGGCTGCAATTTACTGTTAATGTTTGAACAAACTGTAGTGTATCACTTGATAATAAATAAAAAAAATTGTAACGGAACAAAGCTGTTCTTAATTTTTAAAGAATTCGAGGGACGTGAGATTGCAAAGCAAAAGTGATCAAAACGGAGTGAAACGTCAACATTATACGTTGTAAAAAACAGTTTTTAAAAGATTGTTCCAATTGTTAGTAACTCTGAGAATCTGCAAGAAGTTCAAAGAAAAAATATCATCGAGAAATATACTAAGAAGTAAATTAACGAGGGCATATTGAAAGCGTCCTAATAGAAAAGTTAAATTCTATGACAGGATAACACTCCTCGCGTGCAGCAAAGATGGCCGAGTTGAAGGAGCAACCAATCAGGAGAGAGCACGATTCGATGGATGATTTTGAGCATCTTGAACACGTCCAGGATGGACAATCATCCCATGTTGAAGGTCCTACCGAGAAAGTAGACAAAAGCACGAAGAACAGTTTCGATATGGATCAAGATATGATTAACTTTTCTTTGAATCAGTCGTCAAACGAACCGGACGATTCCAGGAAAGCGACAATGTTGCTATTAGAGTCAGAGAAAGGGAAACCGGTTGAAGAGAGTAATTTTGAGGTTAGATCGAAGGAACCGGAGCTCGACTTGTTGTCGGGCAAAATAGAGGATCAGTCGGAGATTATGAAGATCGAGCCAGTAAAAAAAGAGGACGATAAGCAAGAAATTACGGAGAAAGAAGAAATTAAGGAAACCAAAGTTCCGGATCGCGCATCAGAAGTCGCTTTATCCACTGAGAAAAAACTAGATAATTCGTGGAACATCGTTGATAAATCTACACCTGTTTCGGAGTCAATCTCAAAATCAGGGAGAAAAGAAGAAAGTGTAAGTGAATATGTGTTTACTGACGCAGAGAAAAAGGAACGGATCAGTGCACCGGAAACTGGAGAATCGGAATTTGAGTCTGAAGTGGAAGCATCGCCGGCAAAGAGTTTCAAATCAATGAAACAAGAAGTAAGAAGACAACCAGTGGAAGAAGTGGAAATTGCTCCAAAAGAGATTTTCAGTAGCATGGGAATTGGTAAGTTAGACGCTTCATAATAATATAAATAGTAATATAATCAAACTGACTTACATATGCGTACATATGAATAAAGTATTAGTATGTTATAATATATATGTCACTGAGATTAAGAAAAAAAAAAAAAAAAATATAAGAGAAACAAAAGAGGAACAAAAAGTGTAAGAAAAGTATAAATACATTTATGTTTAGTAGAAAAAATATTTCGTAATCAACGTTTCTAAGATGATGTCTTCATTAATGACCTCTAAAGTCTCGAAAGCATAAACGATTAGTACGAAACGTTAATTAATTTAGCATCTTTGCACGAAGTGAGCCACGCTTCCGCTTGGCTACAACGTCATTGCGTTTCTATGCCATAATGATGTGATTAGTTATTCCGGGTACATTGTACACCTTTTTAAGATATCTTTATTCTTTTACTAGTTTCACAAGAAACATCTGAATCCGAATTTTCAATCGTTTGTGACTTTTTTTTTATTTTATGATAATTTGAAAAGATAAACAAATATTCAAAATTCAATATTAAGAATTTAAGAAATTATTAATTACGAATGTATTACAAAATTGGAACAAGAAATTATATATCACTTTACGAAAAAAAAATACGTCAATTTTTTACGTGATACTGTAACCACCTTTTATTGCATATGATTACATCATTTGAAGACACACTCAGAGTATTGGTATTTTATCTATATTATGATTCAGGTGATACTGTTCTCCTAGTGTCTTTATACCGTTATTTATGATTACTCTGCATATAATATAACGGTTGAATTTGCGGTTGAATTGAAGTTTATATATGGAATTTCATGGCTTTTCCGCTACACATATTAACGTTTTGTTACAAGTAATTTGGTGGATTAATATTATTATTTATTTTACAATTATAATTTTCTTTTACATCATAGCAACAGTAAATCATAGCAGAATAGATTAATTTTTATTAGATATTAATAATATATATTATAAAATTGTTTCGAGTAAAATGTTAATCGCCAAATATCAAATTATCGATTCATATATATACATATAGATTTATAATGTAAGATATTATCTATGAGCACAAGCGTATGATACGCGTTGAGTGACATTTCGGTCATTATATTTTTAGCTTTTTTGCGTGGTAACTGTTTTTTATTTGCTTTTATTTCGAATAATAATAGTCTTCGAACAACACAGTGCCATTTTCACGCTTGCGTTGATATCTAATTTTTATTAAAAAATGAAATGATACCGATGTTGACACTGAGAGGTCAACTTGGAGAAAAGAAAATGAAATGTTTTGTATTATAATTTTTGATCTATATTTTCATTTAATAAAAGTAAAAGTTGAATAAAATTATACATATGCTGCACCATGGAAAAAGAGACGTATACATTTCGCGTGCATGGTTTCTATGCTGGATCGAAGTAACCCGTATCTTCTCTCCATATTGATCCGCAGGGATACCTTACGACCTCTTTCGATTGAACCAATGGGAACAGCCAAGCTCATGGGGAAATAGTTTGCATCGAAACATATTTTACAAAGTAAATATTCTAAATAATAGATACTACATTTAACATTAGGCAGTTTAAATTTGTATTAGTAAAATTAAAAGTATTGGATGGAAAATTATTCTGTATAGGCAGTGCTTTTTCGTTCCTCGAGAAGGTATTTTTACACATGATTTCAGAACGAAAAATTTCACGCGCCTGACTCATGAATTATTTCCGATCGTTATACATCATTGCGGTATCGTATTCTCCTTGTCAACCGTTTCAGACTGCTCAAAATGAAATAAAAATTTCACATGTGATCGTAGATTAATTATGTCGCCATAGATACTTTTTCAGATCAAAATGTAAAAGTTACTCTAGTCAAAGGATAATTGTGAGTTCTTAAAAAAAAGTTACGAAAAACAAAGAGATAGTAATTCTTTATTTGTCTACATTTATAATTTTTTTCAAGGAAAGATATAAATTTCTTAATTTCTTTACTTTTAAAAATTTCAAATTCTATGCAACAATCCTGTGCACCTGTCTCTGCTCGAGCGAACTGTCGTTATATTTTAAATTCCGCTCCATCTAACGTCTCTCGCTGAAACTCGCTAGACACGTCGCCGGTCAAACGCGCCATCTGTCGTGGATGAAAGTAACTAGTTACTCTTCACCCGAAACCTTATTATTTCCCTAGGAGCGCAGCAATGGCGCGTCGTCGTGGTGGGGATATCTGGAACTGTCCACGGGTCGATAATACTAGTCAGTCCTGTTCTCGTCTCGAGGCATAGTGTGTCGTTACGGGATCGCAACATAGAAATTTCACAAAACAATTATTTATCTTCTGGTAAACTCGTTCGAAATTATTTCGTGCATTGATAGTAGACAGAGCAAGCTTGAACCCAGTCACTCGAGTGTGAACAGCGAATAAAATCAGTGAAAAAGAAAAAAAAAGAAAGAAAAGTTAAAGGGTGAAAGAAACGAAAAAAGGAATAGGGAGTTGATAGCAGAAAGTGCGTCGTTTGCTGCTAACAGCGCGGATTGTTGGGATAGTGCTCGAATGCGAGTCGTCCTTGATTCGACTGAAACACAAGGTTAGGGAATAATGAGAATGGAGCCGGCGTGCCCTGTGTCCTCTGGGAAGGAGAAAGAAGATTCTGACGCGGTTTGCAAGGAATCGTGCTCCGCTGTAGCAAATGGCAATTCTTGCTTCTGGAATATTCTGCATCCATGTATGTCAATTTAAAAATTGTTTTTCTCATATGACGTCAAGTATGAGACATAATGTTCAGAGTACGGGCGAAGATATAGCAAAATCATAAATCGTCGGGAAGTGATATCGACTGATCCTATGGCTGGTCTTATAGTTCGAAGCCTTATTTTAGAGCTTTGCAATTCCGCGCAATATAAGATACTAACATTTTATAGTTACTTCGTTTGAGAAACAGAAATTTTAATATTAAATTATTAAAATTTATAAAATATATTCTTTTTGTATCAATCTTCGGATATCCCGATACAGGACATTTTGATTTAGTGCCGTAGTATGCTGTATATATTTTACATTCTTACTGTCTCAATATGAATAATCATATCATGTTGAATACTATTTGAGAATATTTTCAAGGAACATTTAAAAGTACTCGTATGTATATCTATATGTATATACCGAATCATCGTGACCTGCCTCTGACCGGTACTGAAAGATCCAAAGATTTAGAATTTATTTGCGTGAACGTTTTAATTTATTAGTTCCTACAATTTATTTATTCTGATAAAGAATAGTATCCATTTTGATTCCTGATAGATTTTACGATACAGTATGATTTTATCGTGTCTACAATAGCCATGGGATAGATAGTGTATTGGTTTGACGTAGGAAACGAAGTGCAATTTATCATCAGTAGGGCACATATTAGTCGTGCAATTGACAAAGTATTTTATGCTTACATCATATAAAATGCACGTGTGCATCATTGTAGAGTAAGGTGTAGTTTGAAAAAGTTGAAAATATTACCGATACTATACACTACAGAATTATACCCTGTTGTACTTTATGTCTATAACCTATTCAGCAATATTTTGTACATAAGAGATTGACAATTTTTTCACCAAACTATCAAGCTTTCTTTTTCTACATTCAAATAAGTACAAAAAAAGTAGCTGTATATGATACAAAATTAATAAATTGTCAAAGTTACAATGCTTGAGTATAATATTATAGAATATAGACTGCATGATTCAAAGATGAGCTTAATGTTATTTGAAAGCCAGATTTATCATGATATATAGATAAAGTTCCTTGTACCTTTTATGAAACTATTGATTGTTACTTAAATCACACCATCATTTATTAATAACTTGTTTTTCATTAGTAAAGCATACATAAGTATTGATTGATATTCATACGTAAATTAAATTTTCCTTTTTATTAACCTTTTATGCCTTCTATGCCTGTATAAATTATATACTTTGTTTTAATGCGATCTAGTTTGTTATTATTAGCCTCAAATTTTCATTCAAAGGTTAATGCCGTGTCAAATTCTTACAGATGAATTTTTAAAAATTTGGTTAATTAACACAATAATGTGATAATATATAAACTGTGCATTTGTCACTCAACAGATATTAGTCCTTTTCTTCTACGAAAAAAATCAAGACTTTTTTATTTGCATTTTATATAATTTTTTAATTCTATCCTTTTATTTAAAATATTTATTTAAAATATCTTTCTTAACTCAACTTTAATCAGACGATGATTCATTCTTTCGCAAATTCGGTTTCTCCTTCAAAAAGAAATTAACTGAGTCTTGAGATATACTTTTCAACGAAGAAACAAATTGTAAAAAACGGATAAGATTGTTCAATTTTAATACTGGCAGTAAAACCGTATCATATCACGAAAGCATTTACGACTTCGCTATATCTTGTTGTTCGTCACGTAAATCATTCAGATAATACACTGCATGCGCTATCAAATATAAAAATAGAGAGAAAGCAGAGAAATGGGGGAAAATAAAAAACTAGATAATTATATAGCTCCGGGTGCATCGACTGTCTGACATGCGCAGTAGAAACGCGATTTGTAAGTGGGTTATTGATCGTCGACTATCGGTTTTTATAAATATATTGTACGCTCCACGTCGAAAATAGCAATTTTTGATAATAAAAAAGTAGAATGGACAGCAATCGAATTTTTCCATTCATATATGACGCATATAAAAAGTAGATAAGTAAAATTACATAGATGTATTTCTTAGATAGAAGGTATTCTTTTTATTGCCATTTTACAATGAACAGGTGGTTACAGTAATATTGGAAAAAGAATTAATAAAGGAATGGACATTGCAATAATTACGGAAAATAGAAATTTTCGAAACATTGAACATTTTTAAACAGTCAGCACTTTATTACAACATTAACGTTTCTTAATTTCTCAATTTTGCATTGTCATGTCAGCTCGAACTTAATTTGTATACTTGATTAGCTATAGTCACAGTTGAATGCGAAAGTAATATCTATTATTACTAGGAAAATATAATTGACGTTGTGGAAATTAATAATTCGTGATTAATTAAAATGTAAATGGTTGATTTTTCAAGAGTTCATATTCTTTAAAAATAAAAGAAAAGAAACTCGCTTTTAATTACAGATTATAAATTTCATCACGAAAGGGCAAATGTTACTGATATATAAATTCTTTATCGTAATTATATTTGGGAGTGATAAAAGAATATAACAGCGTGGCGATTAATTATCAAATTGCTTCAATAATTAAACTAGCAAAGGTATAAGTTATATAAGAAGGTCATATAACTAGGAGTGTCATTACGTACCTATATGTAATTCAAGATATTCCGTATTTTTACAAATATCTTCAACAGTTACGAAACTAAGAAATAAATATTTATTATAGAAAAATCTCGTTTATTTATATGCGTAAAAATATCAGTAATACAAATAAGCGTAAAATAGTTTCTTTTAGAAATTAACAACTTTGTTCGTTTTGTTTCTATAACGATTTTGAGAGAGAATTTTCATTAGGAATTCTTCCGTAACAAATTCTAAAATTCATATATCGACTTCCATTTCGTGTTCATATAAATAGAATTAAAATAAGTGAACCTACAAAGATTTTTAATTTATTTCTAAATAAAATTAAAATGAATTGATCTAAAATTATAGAGAAATGAAAAGGAAAATTCTTTTTCCATTTCTTTTTTTTTATTTTTATTTTTTTTTTTTAGCTTTATTTCGTTTACCTCAGTGAATAAATAACAAAGAGATTTTTTATTTTACGATATTTGGTAAAAATTTGTAAAATCTATAATTCTGATTTTGGATTGCAAAGTTATAAAAAGTAAGACACGCTTATTATTATTCACCGGAGAAAATCATGCGCGCAAATTTTAAAACGAGTCATCCGGTCGAAGTACATACGTAGATATCGAGATAGAAGTCGAGGTCAACAATTGCGTAATGTGTTAATTACATTGACAACGAGTGCTGCCAATCGATTTTATTTCAGAGTCTTTCTTAATAGTCAATATGTTATTCTCAAAAATTATTTGAAAATTTTTCCAACTAATTTTGATATGTAGAAATCTCAGTTGCTTTGAAAAAAATTGAATTGAATTTTTTTAAATGACTTAAACTAAAAACGTCTATAAATACCTGAGAAGATAACAATACTCTTAAAATGATAAAGCACGTTTCCGTTATTCAATAGGCAACTGTATGATCGATAATTTCTGTTGGTAAGTTCAACTAACGGGATAAAAAAGCATTAAAGCGTCAAGGAATTAAAATAAAATAAGAGTTTAACAATAGTGAGTGAGCGCATACAATTTTTATTGAATAAATCTAAATTGGATACCGCTATGCGGCTTTTGTGGCTTTTATGTTGTATACTGTATGTATTGTATAACGATATGGATCTTTTTACATATCGTGTGATTTGAAATTTCTCGAACTTCACTTTTCAGGACATTTTTGATTAAATTGATGATCATTATTTAAATCTGAGTTAATAATTCTTTTTGGATTAAGATATTCCAAATACTACGGTGCAAGATCAATTTTATCTAAAGAGCAAATAGTTTAACTAGTTAATAAACGTAAAAAATAATTCATTTTAATGTATATTACATATTTTAATTTATATTCTGTTTCATTGCATAAAATATAGAATATAAATTTAAACATCAAGTAATTCTTATTCGTGTTCTCAAAACATCTAACTTAAGTAAATACCTATAACTCCTTATATTGAGGAATATTGGAATTATTTTTACAAAATATTATTATTAATAAGATTAATTTCATGCTATTATAATGATATAGTGCTTATCGTAAAGTCATTGAATGTTATCACCATATTTTTTTCGTTATTATACGGTATTATCTTTCTTTTTTCTATTGTCATTCGTTCATTTCTCACAGATCATCGTAGAGTAGTTCTATAAATTTTTCTATCAATCACGTGAACTAATATAATTCGATTTTGTTCTTTACAGACGCATGGTTTAATCCTGATAGACTGAATCCAAGAGGTAAGACACTAAAAAAGTCGTTGTTGATACCTGTTTGTTTCTATGTGTTGAACAATTTATATGTATATAAAGTATTTATATGTATATAAATCACGCTATTTATTTTGCCGAAATTTTCTTTCCATCTTTTTTTTTTTTTAATATTTGCCTTTTTTACGCTACTAATATAAAGTAGACGTGAGAGAAGATGAAGAAAAAATGAAAAACGCTGGCTGTGATTTATTTATTGTATATAGAATGACCCACTTGGAGCTTATAGAAGCATTTCCATAAATAGATATAGTAAATATAAAACGCGGCTTTAATGGGAAAAAAATTATGTTGATTACGTTCAATTCGATTCTTAGTACAACAAAATCGGAAAGTTGAGAAATGTTTTAACAAAAAATATTTGCGATAAGAATTATACACTAGTTGCTTTATTATTTTTCGTATTATGCATCTAATTCTGCTGCGTTCTTTGGGTTATTTTCATTACAGTAATGTACTCGATTGATCCAATGTTTTTTTCATTAAAAAAATTCTTTAACTTTAAAAAAATACGGAAGAATTGATTGTTTTTTTTTTTTTTTTTACATTTACTAACAGAAGTATATTTCAAGTGAAATACAAAAGTTCAAAGACCATTTTGTAAGTTATTATAACTCTGTCATACAAAGCGACTCTCTCATACATTGAGACAAGTTTAGCATTATGTAAAGAATAATTTATGTATTCCTAAAGAAGTTTACAATTTGTTACATGGAATATGCTATAGCTATAAGAAAATACTAAAAGCTATAAGAAGAATTGTTTCAATGATAAGTCGAACAACAGAGCTAAAAGTGACTCATACTTACGTGTGCGAACGTACTATATGAACTTGGAAAACTTTGATTTGCAAAAGACCTTTGTACCGACTGCATAACCCCCTCTACAAGATTACTTATCTAAGTATTATCTCGAACATTTGTGCATTATATCCTTTATACATATATACGCATTGTTACATATAATTCGCTATTAACCAATAATTTGACGCTATAATTCGAATAAATTCATAAGAAAACGAGATGAAGGACCGTGCAATAATTTATCTTGATATTACGAATATACTTCAATGCCTTTAAATTTTCTAATTGTTAGGTTTACTGTGGAATTTTATGATCCAAATATTGAGAGACAGAATTTGATAATATTAAGAGAGAAAATTTGTAGAATTTTACAATCGATCTAATCTTTTTGTTGTGTCAGATAATGAAAGTGCAATTATAAAGATGTTCTTGAAAACTGCTGTCTCATGAATAAAATGTACGCCACGTCACTCTCGTCATACAGTTCTCTATCGTTATTCTTGTTGCTGAGTCCAATAATGCATGTTCAAAGTGCAAGATCAGTTATGAAGGCACCACTTTGATCGCACAATAGGCTACTTTTACCGAACTTCCTTCTAAAGACACTGTCGATTCTTGTTCCTTTGTGCTCCAATACATCCTTTTGAGGAGATCTAAATATACGACGCTATCATCCGAAAGTTTGGGTCATTATCTGACCTCTGTATCTAATCTCTATCTTGATAAGTATGACGATTGAAACGAAATTTCAACAAATTTGGAGGAAATGCATGTATATACAGTGATTACAAAATTAATTGAGCGTCTAGTACAATAGTTACGAAGCTTAATATATACTTAAATTTAATTAATTGACACGTAAAAGTTATGTACAGTGGCGTGGGCATATTTTTTTTATTAACAAATTCTATGAAACTTAAAATTCTATCGAAATTTAATTATTTTTGTTATTTATGATTTTCTTCCTATTTAGTCACAGAATTCTCCTAAGCAATCCTGTATTTTTGCTTCGACTTCAATTCTCTATAAATGTAGGAATATTTCCATAAATTTTATGAGAAAAGAAATAAAGTGACTAATCTAATAAATGAAAGAAAGATTTTAAAGAAAAATGTGCTCTTTCCACCATACGAAATATCAGTACAAAATGGCATACAATCTAAAACTTTCAGACCCATTCAGATACTGTTTGACACAGTTCTCTCAATTGTCATTTCAAAAAAATCGTCACCATCGTTGATCATACGGAGATGGTACTTAGAATCTGGCTCCTTTGTTCTCTCGAGTGTCAGCAGTATTGATTTTCCTTGTGGAAACTGCGGAACGAGAGCAATCCGCGTATGTGTGTATGGGTCAAGTACCTTTCGGATTTAGTATAGTTGTGACTATTGTTGGAAGCTACTATCAGGGATTATGTCGAAACAGTATTGATCCCTCAAGGTTCACTGACCTAGCCATGAATTTTTACAGACATCTTTGACGTCAATTGTTGTTTCATTAGGATAATTCGATCTATTCGCGTGGAATGTCAATTGCAGTCTGGTAATTGCATACACAGTTTGAATCCCGAGTTTTTTGAATCTCGACCTCTTCTGTACGATCACTTAACTTCCTTAACTTCCTTGGATAAAGGTAGCGTAGGCTTTGTATCTTGGTTTGCGACTACGAGAGATCTGCAATGGATAACTCGTATGAAAGACGGAGGTGGATTTTGCCGATTATAGTTTCATTCTTTTTTTCCCTTAATTTTCTATCATTAGGTGGAAATGCAGTATTTTTCTATATTTCAATTTTTATAGAAATTTCCTTTAAGTATATTTCTTTGAATTTATCCAAGTGTAACGTTCAGTTGAAAACGTATGTAGGATACGGTAGAACTTCGTTCGCATATAAACCTGTCGGGAGACAAACAGTTTATATAATAGCAGTTTAAATTCAATGCAAGCAGGATTCATTCTATCTACTTCATGTAATGAAATTATTCTTCAATTTTCAAAGAAATTTGAAAACTCATACTAAACTAAACTATATGAAAAGATCCAAATTTCACTAAACAAGAACAATCAAACCTTGAACGTTGAAACGCATACTCCTAAACTTTAGCTAACTCATATCTTCTAACCTGTCCGGAGCAATACAATGCCTCTTTCGATCGTCAACCGGGACATTGCCCATCCTATTTCCAATTCAGGTCTGGGTCAGACAATCAAAATTGTCTCTAATAATCCAGACATCCCTTCGACAATATTCGCCTTTTACATCCACGATTCGTGTTCCAACAATCACCCTAATCTAAACGAGCCTCCTTTTTCTTTACAAAAGAGATTCTCTCTCTCTCTCTCTCTCTCTCTCTCTCCTTCCCTCTCTTTTATTCCTGTTCATTGAAATCTCGATTCTCTCGAATGAATTTGTGTCGCGGTTAGAATCCAAAAAAGCCGGAGACGATTGGCGGACCGTTGCCGGGTTTAAATATAGTATCCAGCCGGGTTTGAGGCTGTTGGTGCTCTGCCAGAAGTCTCGAAGACTCTCGCTTTTCCCTCGGCGAGTCTACCAGTCTATCTCTACCGCGGAGTGTGCGCCGCGTTTCCCACGGCTCGAAGTTATTACCTCGGCGACGATTTTCCCTTCGTCGTCGTCACGTACGGCTCCGTTTAGCCTCTCTTAGTCGCCGCCGGTCTGCGTTCTTCTCTCTTCGAGGTTGCGTTCCTCGAGCTGTGGAGGAGGGAGAAAGAAGCGGAGACACCAGGGAGGGAAACATGGCGATCACGAGGGAGGAACGTGAGTACGAGCGTGTGACAAAGGGTTGTTCGAATCTGAATTTAATTCAGAAGCAGTTATATACGCTGGTCGAGCATCGTTGACTGACTGCCAGTTTGTTAAAAGATGCTGCGCAGACGCACGGTTACATCAGAGCTTCGGGGTGGGGTTTTCTTCTTCTTCTTCTTCTTCTACTTCTACTTCTTCCTTTCTTTTTTTTTTCTTTCTTTCTTGGAAATGTTAATAATTTTTGCGATTCGATTAGATTGAATTGGAATAAATGGGGAAAACAGCGATTGCTTTGATCCGTTGAAAACAGAGCTGGAATCTTAGAATTGAGTTGCAGGCGATGAAAATTTTAAAGAAGAAGAAGTTAGGGATAAGAAGTAGGGATTGTCAATGTTTCGATATGTTTTTTTTTTTTTTTTTTTTTAGAAATATTAATGATTTTTGTAATCCACTAAAAGTTCAGTTACAATAAATGGGAAGTTTGAAGAATGTACAAGAGACAGAAGCTAGCAATTGTTTGAACACTTAGAAATTGAATTTGGAATTTGATTTGGGTTCAATTAAAAAATGAAATTCTTTGAGAACAACGATAGTATTTGAATTAGACTAGAAATTGAGCAAAGGTTTCTGCAACACATTTGAAGAGGTTTTAATAAAAAGAAAACAGAATTAAATTACTTATTTGTAAGCTGCATCAGATACCTGAATTTTTTCTGAAGATTAATATTTTTATAGAGATGGAGATACTTCAGCAATATTTCCAACATTGAAAAGAGTAAAGTGTGTTAAGTAAGAAACAATAATTATTTGTTTATATAACAGAGCTGATGATGATTTTAGAAGCATTTGGAAAGACAAAGTGTTTCGATGCAATAAAAGGCCAAACCGAATAGGAAACACAGACTTATTATCTGTTTCAAAACGAGATGATGATTTTGTGATAATTAAACTGGTAATTTTCGCTAATGATCGTGTTATTCTTCTCAAGTGCTCGCATAGTCTAGTGCATTGCACTGTTTGGTTTGAAACACTGTTACTTTTAGCGCTTGGACGCGGTCCAAAGCAGCGAAAATAATCGAATTCTTTGACAAATCTCATCATGAGAGAATTGATTCGAGGAACTTTTCCTGCCTGAAGCTTACTATTCTGCTGTCGCAATGCGACAGCTCCATTGAAAATGAGATCCTTTAAAAGAATTTCATCTCTCGTTACTCTGAATAATATTATTCTTCGCACGTCAAATACTGTCGTTCTTAGTCAAGTCTCTGTTCTTCTACATTCAGTTTAAAAAATTTAATAATTTTATGTGTAATTCGTAATTTATATAATGTAATATAATTATATAATGGTTTATAGCTAATAGTATAATTATTATAGTTATAGTTAATAGTACAACTTTACCTAAAAGATGAAGAAACAGAAAGCTCCAAACATTTCAATATATCTTGAAAAATAAAAAATTTCCTGGATGGTATATTTCAGCTAAAGAAATATTAAAATCATTCTTCAACTTAACCAACAATCCAACAAAAACTGACAACGAAAATCTCCTGTTCTTCTAAAAATAAAATTCGCAAATCATCGCGTATTATACCAATAGACATTTTCTTCGTACCGTAAACAAAATATTGCACGATAAATAATAACATTTTTGAATAGTTTTATCTGCAATGATTCTTGCTAATGTTCGGACATCACGATATTGGGGAGATTATTGTTCTACATATTTATTTCTAACGATATTCGAATCAATTTTTAAATATATTAAAACACTTTGATATACATAATACACTTACCCGCTAATAGAAACGTAAACTTATCAATTTTATGCAATTAATAGAAAATAAATTTTATTTATTGAATTACGTAAGAACCGACAAACAAAATAACGACGAAATTCAAAGTCCCTTCAAACTATTCAAATAACGATCACATTAGACTTTTATTAACTTTACATAAAATTAATGTAACTTTCCCATTATTGGAATCCTTTTGTGTTTCTGACTTGTTTGTTTGTTACATCTTGTGACTTGTTTGTTTCTTACATCTGTAAAAAAAAAACCAGTGCACTGAATAAATTTATGTCTTTGCCAGCTCCAGACATTACCAAACAAGAATTTCAATAATACAAACAAACGTACAGGTCAATAACCCCCCTAGCACATCCCTGAAATATTGACGAGACTCACTATATAATTAAGGAAGCTTTGCGTGTACAACGTGAGTATGGTAGCAAGGAAGGAAAGATGGTGATTTCGACTCGGGTGTACGGATGTATAATTTCCCATGGAGGGAATGGAGCGAGCGAAGGGTGAATTCGCAGAGGGTAGAATATCCGTTGGCAGGTGTATTTCTGGGAATAGGTAAGGTACGTCGAGGCAACGGCCGACACTGCGACGCCGGGCGTCGTACTACCAGAGACAACTTATTGATTTTCCACGGCCAAACCGCGCCCGACCATTCTTCTCTGTCCTTTTCCTTCGACACGTGACACTTATGAACGACGTGCACCTATCTTCCTCACCCCGTGAAACTCTGTCCACGTCTGGATCCGCTCCAACTTCAGCTCTGGTCGAACTTCTTCAAGAGTTTGACACGTCTGGATCTATACGAATGTAAATATCTCGATGTCCTTTGGAATCTGTCGTAGAGAAGTCGTTCGATGAAACGGACGGAGGAAAGAGGCTCGATGAAAATTCTATGATTCTAAATCATAGTTCCATATTTTGCGATGTCATTCGCGATGGAATGAATTGGAGCCAAGTATTGTTGGAAAGTTTGGAACAAGTCTTCGGGGATTTTCGATGAAACTATGTTTCTACGGCAAATAGGAGAAGATTATATTATTATTGTTAAAGATATCATTGATTTGAATACAAAATTAATGGATACTCAAAATTTTTCGATGATAATATATACTATAAATAGGAATGTAAGTTTGATTACAGCAGTAATGATTATAAATAGGCTGTGAATTTTTATGCATTTATGGGAAATTTAAAGACGTAAAAATACGTGGAATGCAAATTACATAATATGCAAAAGTGTATTATTACTTAATATTTAATAGATGTGTTAATATTTAATAAATGTCGTAATGTTTAAAAAATGAATATAATATTTAATGTTTATATCTTTCATATTTAATATTGAATATTTAAAGTCACAATATTTATACTGTTATATAATATCTAAATATCTGCTATAGAATCATAATATTTAAATGATAAAGACAATCTTTAGGTTTTTATTTCTCCAATGATAACAAAACGACGATGCAGAAATTTGAATTTGCAGTCTAGATATAAATATTCTACAACAGATTGTAATTTAATTCCTCTTGTTGGCGGGTCGATCGTTAAATCTTTGAATCTTACGTTGAATTTTCAGCTAGAGGGAGTTGAATTCTCAACGAAATAGAACTCGTTCGATCAGGAATTGGAACAGATGACATAAATTCATTTGGCAGAATTACGCGACGTTGAAGAGGCCTTGGAAATAGTTTAATAGACCATCCTTTTTGGATTAGAGACAAAGCCGACGGCAGAATTTGAGAATCCACTAGCTCTCTATTATTAGGGTATCTTCAAGGCTGTTCACAATTGGTCCTTGCCATTAATCACTCCTCGTGTGTTTAATTACGATATAATTACGTAGATAACCTGATAGATCACGTATTGAAGACTCCTTCGGCAGTATATTTTGATTCATTTATTTTATTTGAAATTAACTAAGAAATTTAATTAAACAGCTTTATTATTCTCCGTTCGTACAAAATTCTAGGAAATTCTAGATCCATAATTACGCTCTGAATTTTATTAAAGTGATCAAAATTTGTATGAAATTCGAAATATGATGACAGAATAGTATCATTTGAGGATTAAATTCAGGTACTTCTGATAAAACTAATTCTTATCTATTAAATTTTTTTTTTTAATAATAACACACTCTAATAGTCAAAAGTGAGCTTCAACGTGCGAAATTATTTATATTCTAAAATAAAGCAAAAGTTTCAAGCTTTAAAATAAGATAGGTTTCTTGACAAAATTACAGTAGTTTAAAATATCGACGATTTTTCGTCGAATATGTAAACAATTTTGTGAGTGTCAACATTCTTTATCTAGTACGCTACATTCTTGCATATTATCTACATTCCATATATTTTTTACGCCTTCAAATTTCTCATAAATGCGTAAAAGTCCGCAGAATATGATACATGATTAATAAACTACTCTTCGATTTGTCTTTTCTCGTCCATTTTCTACCGCAGTAACTATTTTATTTTTTCGGTTGTGCTACCTGCCCTCCCTCTTCTTGTCTTTCTGTTATTTCTGTTAATGTATGTATCTACTTCCCTCTCCTGTCTGTCCTATTCTTATGCACACGTATCTCACAGTACCACGAGGCGTGTAGAAAGCTCCATGTGCAAACGAAGTCGCGGAAAGAGGTAGCAGTTCTTGTTTAGCTTTCATCGCTTTCGACCTAACGTTATAACATAGTACCTACTCGTACGTCGAAAATGGCACGGAGAAATAATTTAAGAACTTCCATCGAAGAGGTCCCCAACAGGGGTACTGGTGAGTCTTGGGGGATTTTTTTCCTCTCTGAACAATTGATTTTCGACAACGTTCGTTAACATATGGTTCAGAAGCACATGTTCAAGTGGAAATATCGAGATCGAAAGCGATCGAAACTCGATCTGTATTAAATATAAGCTTGAGAATGTTAATAAATAGTTTGATATTAACGAAGTTTCTGTGATGATTATATGGTCTGTACTGAACTTGTCTCAATATTTGAACTCTATACCTGAAAATTATATTTAATCTGATATTTTATTGAATCTGTTTAATATCATACTCTAATGGAGTTTGTGATATTAAAACAATTTGATATAATACGCCTGTATGTATACTACAGAAGACTATGTTATATATTATATTCCAAGATATATCGTAAATTTTTATTATTATGTATTCGTGAAAAGGCTATTTACTGCACTAGATTATATAATGGAGGTAATTGCGAATTTGACGACTTTAATAGCGATTCTAATATTGTGTTTTTCATTTTGTTTCAGTGGCAGCTCTAATTTATTGGCGTGATCCAAAGAAATCAGGCCCCGTGTTCGGGTGCATACTCGGCGTGCTCCTCTCGCTGGCCTACTTCAGCCTGATAAGTGTTCTTGCTTATTTGTCTCTTCTCATCCTCACAGGCACTATTGCCTTCAGGATTCACAACACCGTCCTTCAAGCTATCCAGAAAACTTCCGATGGGCATCCTTTCCAGTAAGTATTCTGATAAAGTGAAATTCATCGAATCCAAAGAATGAACTTTAAATTTCCTTTAAAAAAAGAAAAATAAAGGTACGAGACTCTCTGAAAAACTGAACAATTTCAGAAAGAGTTTTGGAAGAAGCTTAAAATTCAAATAGTGATATACTGACTTACTTAGTTACTTTTGATTTTAGGAACATTTTGGAAATGGACTTAACATTGCCCGCGGAGAAGGTACACGAAGTAGCCGACGTGGCTGTTGCACACTTAAACGCAGCGGTCAGTGAACTTCGTAGGCTCTTCCTTGTCGAGGATTTCGTCGATTCCTTGAAATTTGCTGTTCTTCTCTGGTGCCTCACCTATGTGGGTTCTTGGTTCAATGGCATGACTCTTATTATAATTGGTAAATTTTGATATTATCTATAAATAAAATGATACTTTGATACAAATCATATTAAAAGTGATTTATCACGAATTGTTATCAACGTATGTTCAATCGAGATGTTCTTAGTTTTCTTCTGTCTCTAGAGTTAAGAGATAGTTGTATGTATATCTGGAAACATCAATAGAACTGTCTCAACAAAATATTTAGCATCAAGAGACTGAGTTAGTAGTTTAACGGTTTATTTGTACTCTCACCGAAACGTATAATGAGGTCGTTGTTCTCATTGAGCAACGTCAGCGTCCTCATGTCTAAGCTAATATTATGTATAAATGTTCGATATAAACATGAACTCTGAAAAATCTACAGCGTATTGTACAACAAGTTTAATTAGTGGTTTTTTTTAGGAGTGGTTGCCTTATTCACACTACCGAAGGTCTATGAGACAAATAAGGCACAAATTGACCAGAATCTAGCACTGGTGCAAAGCAAAATCAACGAGCTCACTGCTAAGTAAGTGCAATTCATGGCAGTATTTTAATATTTTACGCCTTTTAGAATATAAAAAAAGTAAGGTTTATCTTAAACAAATCTAAATTAGTCCATGTTAACTGAATTAATCACTATGAACAGAATGTTTTAGTTGCAGTAATATTTTCTTTGCAAATATTTTTATGTAATTGTAAATAAAGTAAAATATCGGCTAATTATCCATAAGGTTGTGAATATTCAACTTTGAAAGTAGCGTATGTTCCCTCTATAATCAGCCATTTGTTGCATGAAATATTAACGTTACTATAATGATGCCATTGATGGCTCCCCTTGATGTAACTAGCTATTATGGCGTTGGTGGTGTATGTATGTAGATCACAGTACAAGACCCACTAAAATATTATTTTGAATTTAGTTCTCTGTGTTAAGCAAAATGGGGGATAATTCAATTCCCTTATACTCTATAAATTTGCGACATGTATCATTTGTATACATATTGTACACACATTGATGAAGTAGAATTAGAAAATTAACATTTTACATTATTATCAAAAAAATCGGGTTTAAGATTTTTAAAAACATATAAATTTTATATTGTTGTTTCAGAGTGAAAGCTGCGATACCGTTTGGTAAGAAGGAGCCAAAGAAGGAAGAATAAATTTAAGAATATACCATCACGCGGGGGCAAAAGAAACTTAAACGAATTTGTCGGACAGTTACGAAATCCATGCAGGAACGGAACAAGAATGATTGCGTGACAGAATCCAAAAGATTACTGCAAAGAAGAATATGAAATTAAAAAAAGAAAATGTATGAGGTTCGAAAAAAGAATGATGGGTGGAACATATTTATTGAAGGAAGAAAGTAAACAACAAAGAAAAGATGACAGTAGATGTAACAGCAGAAAAAATACGACGAAAATATATATGAATATTAAAAATAACGAAAGCAAAAAATACAGAAAAATCAAGTTCTTAGCATTGTACGGTTTAAAGTAACAGGATAATTTTTTTAATTCTGAATTTCCTATGTACCAAGAAATAAAAAAGATTAAAAAAAAGTAGCATCCAATAGAAGCATGGCTTGCAAAGAAACTGTAATGGAAATGCGTTGAAAAAATATATATATATAAAAAAAAGAAAGAAAAATGAATTTAGATAAAAGGAGAAATATTTCCGAAAGGATAGAAATATTTCCGAAAGCGGAAACGCGAATAAAAATCATAATGGAGAAAAAACTTCTCTTTAAAGAAAGAGACTAACGAGGAAAGTTCACAAAGTAACAAAAGGAAAAAAATAACTTTTCTCAATGCTTTGGAAGTTCGGTAGCTGGATTTCAGTGTCCGACGATGTCGTAACGCGAGTTTTCCTTTTCTGGATCTATACAAGCTGTCCCTGTTAATCGAAATAAACGGAAAGAAGTAACATTTAGCGATTATGTTAATTCGTTGCGACACGAGAGGCGAATAGAGCCCTTTGATGTACTCTATGCAAAAAACCAGGAACGGTGCAATGCGTGTGTCTCTTAGGGGGTTCCCAGTTTTTCTTCCCTTTTTTTTTTCGTTTTTTTCCTCGCACTCTCCCACACCAGTCCGAACTGATCTTTCTTCTTTAAATAGAATGATATGCGGTCCCGTTAAGATTAACTATAATTAATCATTTTTCAGTAACTCCTATAATGAAGATTATGGAGATAAAGATACCCTTGGCATAAAGATGACGAGAGGTTCTTCCTTTTTTTTTTCTTTTTTTTTTTTTAGCTATTAACATTGTGAAATTTGTATTTTTAATTTTCTTTCTTTTTTTTACATATTCCTGTATATAATTAGGATTGATATAACAACAAACTTTGTAAAACATTTGACTTGTCTTTTATTTTTAATAGTTTCAAACTCAACAAAATGCGTAACAATGATGTTATATAATCATAATCAAATGTTAAGAATGAGATAATACAGGTTTCTTAAACATGGAAAAATTCCTTTTGTTTTCAATAAATTTTGTTTATTTTAAACAATCTACATAATTTCGTTATAAGAAATTGATTTAAAATCTGTTTTAATGTTTATTTCAAATAAAAACTTTTTTCAAACTTATTTTTTTCTTATCAGTATGCTGATTTTAAATCAGTTTCCTGAATATTTGTCTGTAACATAATATTCGTACTTGAAGAGCATATAAATGTATATTCCATTTTTCTGTTTTTTTGTTTTTTTAGTAAAATGTGTTTCCCATTTTTAGCTTTGTGTATAAAATACCTTAAATATCTTACAATATGTATATGTATTAACGGATACATTGCATCAATGTAAGTTAATACATTGAAAAATGAGATTTATATAATTGTAAATATAGATCTTGAAATTTTATCAATTGTTTTAGCAAAAGCCTCTCGCTCTTTTTGCTATTATTGAATTCACTTATAAAATTTATTTAAAAAATAAACAAGAAGAATAATTTTTAATTTTGTAACAATCCAACATGATCTTGAAAAATAATTGAACTCTGCTTTATACATAATTAATTGCCTTTAAAAATGTCAGTTTTTTAATATACAGGAAGAATGTTATATATGTATGCGTGAATGTGAAAAAAAGGGGAAAAAAGAGTGAGAGAATAAAGATAAATTGGAAAGTTAGTCGTTGTTAATGGTGTTACGAATGTTGCATCTTGGATTAGTTTTTTAAATGACACTAATAATGTATTGATACTATTTAATTAAAAATCTATTAATTTTTAATATATATACAATTTCATCAAGTTTCTATGAAGTTTACACATAGAAATTTACAAGTAGTTCTTAATTAAATTGTATTAAATATTAAGAATTGATTATAATTTATGTTACATTTAAATCTAAAAAAAAAAAAATAAAGTAACTTTTATTACTTTAAAACAATCTGTTGAGAAAACTATTTATTTTAGTAAATTGTTGATTGATAATCAGTTTTTAGAGAAATATTTAAAAAGAACATAGTATTCGTTATACAATTGGATTTTATTAATAGTTTTTTAGTGTTAGATCGAAAACTTTTATTTCTATAATAATCTATTTTATCATCATAAATAGCACTTAATGTGCAATTTAACTACGATCTTTCAGATATTTTCATTGTCAGTTTGTTAAATTGATTTATTTTTATATTTTAATGATTGAATTCTGTTTAAATCATTGCAATACATTTTAAGGATGGCAATACGATTTTAACCAAAAGAATTTTTTAACAATCGTTAGTGGGTCCGCATATCAGTCAATTTCTGTATCATCGCTCATTATTGATTCTTTAAAAAAAAAGAAAAAAAGAAAAAAACAGTGAGAATGATGAACGAGCGAGTGTATGCGAGTACGTGAGATTAAAAAAAACAGCGCCGTCTGTTTTTTCCTCGGCGTTTTTTCGAAGATTTCTTTCTTCGAGTAATACAATTATCGCTATCACATTATTAAGTGTAACTATATGGTTAAACATTACAATGGAAAGTTGTTGGCTGAATTGCGAGTTTTTATTATAATATCGTTCCGAGAATAATTGACGCTGGTACCTGGAAAAATTTCACTCGAATTTTTTTGAATCGTGTTGCATCGTTGATCGATGTATCGCAAAATATTAAAAGTTCATTCGCACGATTCTTTACGATCATACGATTTGACAGAGTCTCGATGAAATTCGATAACGGGTACCACCGTTATTCTTTACTTCACAATGTGACGTCCGCAAAATGAGACGACTACGATGGGAAAGAAATGCGAGAAAAATAGACAGAGTGACGGAAGAAGAATCTTTTTCAGAATGCAAATTGTAATACGCGTATCGCTTATTGACGTTTTCATTATTGCATCTGCATCCGCACGATTAATTTATAAATAAATTATATTAAATAAGACACTGAATTGCGAGGTCTGCTTTCTTTATGTCCTTCATAATGTCGGAGTTAAGTCAAAGTAATAACTAAAATAATAGCTTAAAACAGTAAGTAATAGTGATTTTGTAATATTTTGTTACGTATCTCATTTATCAGTATCGTAATATACACAGACAGATCTAATGTATAATTCTTCTTTTTTGTTACATAATCCAACCGTGGATCAAAATTTCATGTGGCCAATTATCAAGGAATAATTTATGTCACAAACGAGACATATGGATAGACTTAATTATTTTTTTATCTCACGCTCATGGGATCCTAGGATCCCATTACATATCATTTTCCTGTCATCATTCTATCGTACTGACTAAACAAGTTTTGTATTGCAGCGCTCCTTGTGATCAGAATTAAAATCAAAAAATGCGAACAGCGTTGTCACATCTGCACAGAATTATTTATTCAATTAAACGTACTAACACTAATAAATAAAAAAAAAATCATGATTTAGAACAGCGATTAATGGAAATTTGGACGAAAAATATATTTGATTATTTATATCTATTTAAAAGCATCAGAAAAGATTGATTTTAGTATTTTCTAAATGAACGTATTTTTCACCCTCCCCCTATGAATCAATTTTATTTTCAAAAAATTTTTATAACTGCAGGCAATAAGATTGTTGCACAGTATTTTAATATTTTTCTAATGATAAGCAAAATGGCTGTCATTAAATTAGAATATTAATTCATTTAAATTATAATTTGCGAAGTTAGAATCAGTGAGTGAATTATTACTTAAACGCGCACGTCTTTTATTTTTTTGCTCTTCTTGTTTAATGGTCGTTTTCGATATCAAATAATTTTATACATTATACTTCAATTTATTCAATTTTTCAAATTTAAAACTCTGTGATATATAATAGAATGATTTCGGCTAGTTTCCAGCTTCATATTTCGGTATTAAAAATTTGATAACACTACAATGAATTTCAAAAATCATATTTCTGGCGCGTTTACTACTTGATCAACCTCGATCGTTTTACTTGATGTAGTTTCCCAACTCGCCGTTCTTTAAGCGTAGAGTAGGCTAAAAAAACCAATGATTTTTTAGCTATGTCGGTATTTCAGATCATGGGATACGAAATTCCATAAGATGCAAGATCTATTCATGTATCTCGTCTATGTTTGTAAATACCTCGTTAGAAAGTCTCTGAGTGCATATCTTTTAAATTTCGGGAATTAGTGGGAACGATGTTAACGAAGCAAAATTATAGTCAAGTAATGCGACGTACTTTTCAAAGATCGTGGTGAATGGCAGGCAAATGTATATGTATTCATATACCTCGTCTGTGACAGACCTGTGCGGTTTTTTGGCGAAGCAGCTGAGTGGAAATAGAGGTCGCAATAAAACTCAATCGGTATCATTATTGCAAATCATGTGATCAGTACTGCATTTAATACGCTTGCGCGACCTTCGTGCAAGGTGACCGTTTCGAGGATTGGTACGGCACGCATGTTATTCGCTTGTAAGTAGCGTGCGCGTGAAGTCATCTGTGACATCGGGGTACGTGTGTACGTCGTGAAAACCGGTCATTGCGCCCGTTAATTTCTTTCGCAGTAGAAATATTACGCTGCGTTTTGTATCTCCCGTGAACGATATACCTCCAGAATTCAATTCGACGTTCGCGTACATCATCAAAAAAAGATATCGCAAGGAAATCTTCACGAATGAAAGATAATTGAATCCTCGCAGAAACAGAAAAAGAAGAAGTTGAATTAAATCTGAAGTGTTGGGGTGCGGAATTGGTCTTATGTAACAGAGATAAAAGAAATCCAAATTATAGATACGGCAGTTTTGCCTTGATAAATATTCTGTTGTCGAAGGAAGAGAGGAAATAAACGAAGAGAGATGTCAGCATCAGATGTCGACGAAGAAAAGAGGAAACAAATCTCCGTACGCGGGATCGTTGATGTGGAGAACGTCGCGAACTTCAAAAAAACATTTAATAGGCATCTTCACTATACTCTCGTGAAAGATCGTAATGTGGCCACCAGCAGGGATTATTTCTTCGCTTTGGCACACAGCGTCAAGGACAACTTGGTCTCTAGATGGATACGAACCCAACAATACTATTACGAGAAAGACCCAAAAGTATGCCATTACTTACTGATTACTTAACAATGCCTTTCAGTTAAATTAAGTCGTTTTGTAACTTTATGCACGAAAATTATAATTGTCATAATTAACCCTTAGTATCATAGTGTAACATTGCACGTATTACACGAATTGAAATTATATCGCACTTTTTATATTACGAAGAAAGATTTTTCTAGTTTTACCAAAAGCACAAAATTCGTAAAACTTTTCGTTTCACTTTAATTCAGAGATGTTCTATTTAGAGATTTTTTTAATTTGCAAAAAAGAGAAGTTTTATTTTGGCTGCAATTAATTTTTTCTTTCTCACTTACGTCGTATGATACTTTATTATTATGGTGAAATAAAAAAATTATGATACTAAGAAAATGAAAAATTATAATGATATTAAAGGTTAATAATAAATCGGGTTTCTTGTTTAACTATTGTCGATAAGTATTATTACAACAAACGTTATTTATTCATACACATGTAGCGTACAGTTAATCTATTAATATATTTTGTATTTTTATATAATCTTTTTAATAATCATTTTAATCGTGTGATACGTATATAAAAATATAAGATTGGATTTAAATTACAATTTCCCAATATTGTTTTGTCTCATTACATAAAATTTTTATATGTACGATATAATTTTCAATATAAAAAAAATTTTAATATAAAATATTTTTTTCAAACCTAAATTTTTTTAACTCGAGGAAAACACATTTAAATTAAGAATTATCAAAAAAAATATTACAAGGTTGACAATCCAATTAAGTATGTACGTATCTTTTATGAATCGTATTAAAATATTTCTCAATTCTGATTGATAATGAAATGTTTACATTAACCCAGTTGATTTGTAATTTCAATGTAAAAATATGTTGAATACAATTTTGATTGATTACAATTAACCTGGTAAATAAATGATTATACTACATTAGTTATCAATGGAGTGTACCTTTAAACTCTTCTGAATTCAATCGAATGAAAATTGAAACAAACGTGAAACGAATAATGTTTGTTCATAATAAAAAAATATATTCCAATATAAGGGATAATGAAATTTTTAAACAAAATGAAGAAAGTGATAATGAAATGCTTAGTATACTTACGTATGCATATTATTTATAACTATACAGTTATAGGCTATATTGACATGAACCTTTAAAATGTAAGATGCAACACGTTGCAGCATCTATTTTCAGTTGGCCTTACAATCATCTCACCCTGAAGTCTTAAGCCAAACGATTTTCGTTCTTCTCGAAGCAATGTCATGATGATTGTCAATCTTTGAAAGCATTCCAATTATATCGATGGATTATTATTAATAATTGTTTACAAGTTTACAATAATCAATTATTATTAATCATAAATTTATCGTTGATAAACGAACGAAAACAATTGTCCAGAACGCATTATTAATTTTATTTTTTTTTAAATATAATAATATACGTGATTGTAAATCCACTTTCATGATTATCTGGTTACAAATGTAAATGTCGCCAAATATAAATTTTCTTGAAAATATTTCTTTAGGTAATTACGTCTGTTATATATTTAGAAGTTTAAATAAAGTTAGTTGTATAAATAAAGAAACGAGAGAAAGTAAGAAATTGAGGATGCGAACATAAATTTGGAAAATAACGGGAGAAGAGACAGAACTTATAATAAGATGAAGCTTAAAGAAGATGTTTTACGAAATTTGCTTTAGGCAGAAGGAAAGGAAAACCTTAGAATAGATATTTCCAAAGTGTGAGTCGTTATCCATTGATTTTTGCTTTTCGTTTGGTTTCACGAAATTTTTGATTTTTGATGGATCACGAAAAATTTCAAAATATAAGAGTGAATGACACATTCTAAAATATTTTTAAGAATATCGAGAATACGTGTATTGTTGAAAATCACGACCCTAAAATGTAGTAGCAATAAAAAAGAAAAAATATAATAAAACCTAGGTAATTGAATAAAGGAAAAAGATAATATTCAAGACTTAAAAAAAAAAAAAGAATAAGGGACGATTGAAAGCAAAGAGAGGAGATTACAGAAGAGAGATACAAAACTAGGAAATGGTCCACATCCATAAATTAGGATAGGAATGGGCGGACAAGAATAAAATAGATATAGCACAGATGGGGTCACCGTTATCCTTCTACTTAGTATCTTACTCAAGTATAGATCACTAGAATTATATAGAAATTTTAATTTATATAGAAATTTTAGATAAAAAGAAAACGAAAAATTAACAAACTAAAAGAACGAATTGATGCGTTAATAACAAAAATCAATTTTTAATCTAATTTATAAGTTAAAAGAAATTAAAAGAAGTAAGTATAAAATAAGTGGTCACAGACAGCGTTAATCATAACATATCGTAGAATATTGTAGAAATTCGTTGAACAACACATCACGTGACGTCATTATTATAAGCCAGGAAGTCACATTTAACACATTCACTACCGGGTAGAATTTTGGACACGATCCCATTATATTTCGAAAATCCATGCTGTCTGTGTAGTTTAATCTTTTAACAGCTATAGTTTAGAAGGATGTATATGTAGACTACAATTGAGAATTCAAGACAATGAATAGTCGAATTTCATTAAGACAGGAAAACATTGTACAATAATGCTTATATTTAACAATTAGAAAATTCAAAAACTATTTTAATATTGTTCTTATTACTTTAAGCAATCAGTCAAACTTCATTAAAAAGGAGAGATATTATATAATACATATGTATTTTTTAAATTTTCAAGTTAAAGTATTTTTTTAAATTTCTATTAATTAAATAGTGCAAAAAATCATCTTTACAAAAAAAAAATTATTTTTTTATTGATTAGAAAATTGATTAGTTCGTTACGATTACTACATATATTTAAAAATTTACTTTTATTATTTTTTCAAATTTTTTGTTTCGTATAATCGTCTTGTTTGTACAAATATCAAATTTTTTTTTAAACATTTTCAGCTATCTCGGTTATAAATAAACGATCCCCTCACAGATACACGGAGAAACTAAATTTTAGATACTGTTGACCGCAATAAAGATCAATTTCAATTAGGTGTCACCTTTCGTTTCCCTTTCGTTTCAAAATGTTACGCTGTCGTTTCGATTTATTTTTATTTGTTAGCCCAATTGCTGTGTATTACAAGATTTACATTAATCGGTTTTATAATGGAAGCACAAAGGACGCAATAAGATTGAATTTATTGATCACTATTGCGTCACGAGGTCGATCACATTTTTATTTTATGGAATTATCGTTCAATGTTTTCTACAGTTCAACGTTCGTTAAAAAAATATCTCTTTGAAAGTTAATGCGCTATTAAAACTATTCTAAATATTCTAATCTACTTCTATCTTTTTTTGTTGTTTCAGAGGGTTTACTATCTTTCCTTGGAATTCTATATGGGAAGAACTCTTCAAAATACTATGATTAATTTAGGCATCCAAGGTGCTTGTGACGAAGCTATGTATCAGGTCTGTTTGGAATAAAATTTCTGTATCAACAGATTTCTAGAAAATGGAATTTAAGAAAATATTTTATTATAGATGGGCTTGGACATTGAAGAACTGGAAGAACTTGAAGAAGATGCAGGTCTAGGAAATGGAGGTTTAGGAAGATTAGCAGCTTGCTTTCTAGACAGTATGGCCACTCTTGGCCTAGCTGCTTATGGTTACGGAATTCGATATGAATATGGTATATTTACGCAGAAAATAAGAAATGGAGAACAGATTGAGGAACCAGACGATTGGTTACGTTATGGAAATCCGTGGGAGAAGGCTAGACCAGAATTTACGCTTCCAGTAAATTTCTTTGGTCAAGTGATTGATACTCCTGAAGGAAAGAAATGGGTTAATACGCAGGTTAGTATAAATAAAATAAATCTGTAGAGTTAATTAGTTACAGTGATGCAGCACTTGTTATATTTTGCTTTTGGTCAGGTTGTATTCGCGATGCCATACGATAATCCAATTCCTGGATACAAAAACAATGTTGTTAATACTCTTAGATTATGGTCTGCCAAATCACCCGTAGAATTTAATTTGAAATTTTGTAAGTAATGTTTATATCATTTTATATATCATCAATTAAAGCAGATTGTTGTGGAAATAAGTTTATTTTTTTCTTTTAGTCAACAATGGTGATTACATTCAAGCTGTAATCGACCGCAACTTGGCAGAGAACATTTCTAGAGTGTTGTATCCTAATGATAATTTCTTTGAGGGTAAAGAATTGCGGTTGAAGCAAGAATATTTCATGGTGGCAGCTACTCTTCAGGATATCGTTCGAAGGTTACTACATACGATACATTTTGTTCATAAGGCTTCAAAATTCACGTGCGCTGTAAATATAATATTTCGTCAACAAATTACATTAAAAATAATTTCTTACAATATTATTTCTAGGTATAAAGCTAGTAAATTTGGCTCAAGAGAACACCATAGAACAGATTTCGACTTGTTCCCTGATAAAGTAGCCATTCAATTGAATGATACTCATCCTTCTTTAGCAATTCCTGAACTTATGAGAATCCTTGTCGACGTCGAAGGGCTTCCTTGGGAGAAAGCTTGGGACATCACGACAAGAACATGCGCTTATACTAATCATACAGTTCTTCCGGAAGCTTTAGAAAGATGGCCTACAAATATGTTAGAATATATTCTTCCTAGACATTTGCAGATCATTTATCATATTAATTACATTCATCTGCAACAAGTTTCCGCTAAATTTCCGGGAGACATAGACCGTCTTCGCCGTATGTCTTTGATCGAGGAAGAAGGTGAAAAGAGAGTTAATATGGCTCATCTTTCAATCGTTGGTAGCCATGCTATTAACGGTGTTGCAGCGTTGCATTCGGAAATTTTGAAAAGCAGCGTGTGAGTATTTTTAAAATTTAAAATTTACATTGACGATAGAGCTTTATAGTAGTAGTTTTATAAATACTTTTAATTTTCTCATTATTTTAGATTCAGAGATTTTTATGAATTGGCACCTGAGAAGTTCCAGAACAAAACTAATGGCATTACACCAAGAAGATGGCTTCTTTTGTGTAATCCAAATCTCTCAGATATCATCGAAGAAGTAAGTGTTATAAATACTTCAATATTCATTTTAAAATATCATTCATTTAAAATATTGTTCACTATCATTTTAAAATATTATTCATTATTATATAGAAAATTGGCAGCGATTGGACAGTACATCTAGAACAACTCGCTCAGTTAAAACAATGGGCTAAAGATCCAGTTTTCCAGCGCAGTGTTATGAAAGTGAAACAAGAAAATAAATTGAGATTGGCGCAGATGCTTGAAAAAGATTACGGAGTTAAAGTGAATCCTGCCTCCATCTTCGATATTCAGGTAATTATATTGAGTTAATTAAATTGATGTACAAATAAATTTAATATATAGTATCATGATGTAGGTAAAGCGAATACATGAATATAAAAGGCAACTATTAAACTGTCTACATGTACTCGCGTTATACAACAGAATAAAAAAGAATCCAACTGCACCATTCGTTCCTCGAACGGTGATGATTGGAGGAAAAGCAGCTCCTGGATATCATACAGCTAAAAAAATTATAAAGTTAATTTGTGCTGTAGGAGACGTTATAAACAATGATCCTATTGTTGGCGACAAATTGAAATTTATTTTCTTAGAGAATTATCGAGTTACCTTAGCAGAAAAAGTAATTCCAGCAGCAGATTTGAGCGAACAAATTTCCACCGCAGGCACTGAAGCCTCTGGCACTGGAAATATGAAGTTTATGGTAAGTACATTTTATAAAATAATTTAATCAACAGCAAATCAATATATTTAATTTTAAATTACTTTAGTTAAACGGAGCCTTGACAATTGGCACATTAGATGGTGCTAACGTAGAAATGGCTGAAGAAATGGGAAAAGAAAATATGTTCATTTTTGGTTTAACAGTCGATGAGGTGGAGGACTTGAAGAAAAGAGGCTATGACGCTCATAGTTATTACAACAGAATCCCTGAATTAAAGGAATGTATTGATCAAATCCAAAATGGTTACTTTAGCCCATATAATGTAGATGAATATAAAACTATTTCCAATCTTCTACTACAATGGGATAGATTTCTTACGTTAGCTGATTATGAAAGCTACATAGAAATGCAAGATCATGTTGGTAAAGTTTATCAGGTATGTATGTTACAGTTCCTTCTCAGGATAATTTTTACATTTTTTAAATCATCGTTTTGTACATTTTCATTTTGTATTTTAGGATGAAAGTAAATGGGCAGAAATGGTGATCAATAATATAGCTTCTTCAGGGAAATTTTCATCAGACAGAACAATTGCAGAATATGCACGTGAAATTTGGGGTGTTGAACCATCTTGGCAACGACTTCCTGCGCCTCATGAACCACGAGATATTTAAATTATAACTTTTCTTCTCTGGATAATTTACTTTGCTTATTATCAACAGTTTTCTAATTCCTTTTTTTTAACACATAGATAATATTCCTTTACTAACAAGCATGAGCAATATTACTATTTATTCATTTATTATTTTTACTGAACGTAAAATATTATAAAAATATAATTATATACTCAAATCGCTCATGCTTTTGAAAAAACATATACTGCCTAAATTTCTTGAAAAACTTTATTGACTGTCAATGACTGAAGAACTATAATAATATTGATATAAAAGAAAAATTTATCATGACAAAAATTATTTTGGACTTAACTTTATCATAATGATAGATACATCTCTTGAAGAAACAGAACAGATACAATCTAGTCGAAAAAAAAGCTATATAATAGCATCAAAAATAATTTTAATCATATTTTTCTACTTGTAATTTACAACAACGATAAAAGTTAAAAATGAATTTATCAACTATCTCAAATAATCAACAAATTTTGAAACAGAATAATAAGAAGAATATACACTATTTTAAACTTTAAATCCATCACAAGATTATTGTAAACATTTAATTATATATTTATAATGTATGGGAATCTGAGATACTAGTAGCTGAAGTTTATCGAGTATTTCAAAATATTTATAGTCAAATTTTGTGAGAATTATTATATTTAAAAGAAAAGAAAATGATTCTTGTTTATATATTTAATTCAATAAAACATATAAAAATATTTTAGCCTGTTCTTAATATCAAAATAATTGTACTTTGAAAAAAAATAAAATATTAAAGAAATTAAATTTTTTTTCGAACTGGAGTCGCTGGGATACTACAAATTATTTTTAAATACACGTCTTCAATTAAATCAAGTAAATATCTATTTGTAAATGCATCAGAAGCAAACGGAAAAAAATATCGCGTGCACAGAAGTGCGGCTTGAGATAAGGCAATGTTCCAATAAATCATTTTTCTGAGTTTATGTACGAGAGCATGTCTGTAGATCAGACTGAAATTTTTGTTCAAACAAAAGAGAACGCTCTACGTGAATTTTCGTTTATCGATGAAGAAACGGTGCCGTTAGTGAGTATATCGATCCGCAATATATCCGAAATGAGTCATAGAAAACGTAAATGCAGATGTCTAACCTATCCTTTTCATTTAATCCAATATGTCATTTAACTTAATTACTTGATTATTATTTGATTATTACAATGACCATTAAAGTATCAATCAAGCTAAATTTGCATTGCCTTGAGCGATAAACAAGTAACGAGCTCTTTGATGAATTAATGATCAATTATTTTTGTCAGTTTCATTCTCATCAGTTAGATCTATAAATAAATTATAATGTACAACACTGTATAAACACGTTGTGCTATATTTGCAAACAATGAGTGTGAATATTCGGATACATGCATTTACATACATGTATAACATGCAATTATAAATTATGCAAATACATATATGTAACAATACACGAGTGTAAAAGTATATAAAAGATAAAAATTAAAGCACACATGTTATATGTTATTTATTTATTCAAGCTTCTTTATCTGAATCTAATAAAAATTTGAATCTAATAAAAATTTACGTTTTTTTTTTTAATTATGTTTAAATATAGAAATAAAGAATTACAAGATGAGACAAAATCGTACAAACAAATAAGTGAAAGCAACTGACAAATACAATAAAACCAATTAATAGCTACATGCTTATGTACTTACGTGGCATGTGGTTAGCATGATTATGATTAGTGTTGAATCAACTGTAGTATACTGTAATTGAATCTCATCTGCGCAAGTCTTATTTTCAATCCCAGCTTCCAATAGAAAGTTGAATTTTGTTTTATAAAAGGAATATTTTTGGAAATTTTACAAAAAATTATCAGTTAATATCAGGTGAAACGAGAATACCTTCAGGTTAGGTATTAAGAAATTGTAAAGAAGCGATTTTCTTTCTTTAATTACGTATTTCTTCTTTGTTTAGATTCAAATAGTTACGAATGATTATGTTGAATTGAGAAAATGAAGATGAATACTTGTGCAAGTAATAAAATAATTCCTATGGCGACTAATGTCGAAGATTCGTATCCGGACTCTGACTAGTTTATATGTATAATTTCTCTCTATATTTATTTTATACCATCCCATTTTCGATTTTTCTCTTCTCTTTTTTTTTTCCTTATTTTCAAGCTAACTACTACGTTTCATCTCAAAATCTTTAATGATGTAGTATTAATAGTTTTGTAGTAAAATTATTCATAACTTTATCAGAAACTACAAGAAAAGCATAAAATACAAAAAGAATGATAATTGGCTTGAGATTATTATATTGTAAGACAACAATAGATACACGATCGGTATAATCACTAAATATTAATACCGAAAATCAGGAGATCGAATTTGACGCTTTTATTGTGTTAGAAAGTTCATTTTAATTGATATTACATATTTATATATTACATCCATGTATATGTTCATGTTTAATATTTATTATACTAGTCCATATTAATTATTTGATATCTACACGCGAAAGTCTAATGATATCAGATGATGTTGAAGATCTAAAATATCATTCTCTTTGTATTTTCTATTTTATAACAACTTTTTAATAAAACTTTAAATGTGTATATATAACATTTTTGCCTTATTTATGTTATAGAATATTCTGACAGAATTTGATTAGAAATAAGTATGTTATATTTTTATATAATTGTCTAAATATATGGACGCATTATATTCCAGAATGCTTCGAAACCAACTCCATTGCAACCTCTGAAACCAACATCGGCTATCGTGATTACAGGCTATATTCCATCTGATGCCTTGAGGTGATATCTTATCGTAAGAAAAATCTCAATCGAAATTTTTCTAAATTTTATAAATCGTATTAAAAAAAAAAACTAGATGTGAAAATTACAATTTTACAATTATAAAAAATAAACATTACAGTATTACGTATTCGTTAAGAACATAATTATTATAGATTTTCAGTGAATTTATTATGCAAAATTGCTGGAAATATCGCATTGCACTTTAACGCGCGGTTGGATAGGGGTTATGTGGTTCGAAATTCGAAATTCAAGGGATGTTGGGAAGAAGAAGAGACCTGTTCTCCTGTTGGACATACTGCTTTCCGACGAAACTCCTATGTTCATATCTTGATATTTTGCACTGCCAATGAATATCAAGTAAGAAACAAGGATTGCTTAATATAATCATAAATTTAGTAGCTGTATTTATTCGAGATTCATTTTATTAGGTTGCCGTTAATGGAGAGCATTTTTGTGCATTTGCCTATAGAATGCCTCTTGAAGATGTAATGTGTCTTGAAATAAATGGATCATTGGAAGACGTTAGATTTAAACAATTTGAATTGTTCGTTTATCCTGATCCAAAATTATGCAGACCGAGTAATATTTTAAGTCTAAAAATTGACCGACCGCTCGTTGAATTTCTTGTAGGTATTTTTCAAATTATCAGCTTGTCTATTTTATTTATTCAAAGATTCATTATTATTAAATATCTGTATATAGGATGCTCCAATTACGGTAGATATCGAAAACGAATTTAAAATAGGTGCGAGAATTTTCATTGCTGGAAGATTGAAACTTCTCCCTCATTCGTGAGTGTTACAACTATTTATTGTTAGAATTAAATAAATTTACAAGAAGGAAAAAAGAAATGAGAAATAATTTGTTTCTATATTTGACAACAGGTTTTATGTAAATCTACAAAAGGGAAAGGCAGTCTATCCACATCCAGTAGTTACATTGCATTTAAATCCCCGCTTTTCGTATGGCAGTAGCGCACCTTATGTTGTAATGAACTGTTGGACAAATGGGTCTTGGGGACGAGAAGAAAGACACTCGGGTCATTTGTCCTGGATGCCCGGTCGCGATTTTCTTTTGACGTAGGTTTCCCTGTTTTTGGAAAGAACTAAATAGGACATGAATTAATATAATTGTTTTTCTTAAATTTGATTAATCTTTCTATTGAATTCTTAATTAAAATCTTTTTTTTTCTTTTGTAGAATTCGATGCGAAATCGAAGCGTATACGATATGGTTAGGCGAAAAAATGATTGGTGAATTCAAACACAGATTACAATCATCTATCATCGATACTCTTAAAATATCCGGAGACGTCGTACTCCATGAACTAGCTATGACTTATTCAAGTTAAATAAATATGTGCATGGAAAATTTCTAATATTCTTTATTCTTTGTTTGAATAAAATAGCATTCATTTATGCTGCACTTTGTAAAGACATAGTATCAAATACATGTCTAATCAGTGTTCCCAGTTTTGAGTAATAATAATATCAATAAGATTTATTATTAGTAATATTTATATAATGAAAAGAATAATATTGACAATAAAATTTTATTATTAATGTACATTTTAAATATTTTCGATGATCTAAATATAAAATTTTAAATAACATAATGGAATGTTATTTATTCACTGTCTAAAAGTAGAGCTTTAGAATTTTTCAGAACTATTTAAACAGCTGCATATCACTTGAAATAGCATTGTTTTTATTTTAAGTTTTTCTCTTTCATTTTTTTTTATTGTTAACTTAAAATATATTATTTATTTGTTAATAAAAATTATAATTTAAGAACAATTAATTTTTTATTACATCTTTTTTTTGACATGTTTAGTATCTTTTATATATAGTCATTCTGATAGGACGTATTTTTTCATTAGAGTTTCCAATCATCGTATATTTTCAGATAAAAATGAAAAAGCGCGAAAACATGACACAGGCAGGAAGACTTTCTAATAGTTTGAGATCATCGGATGTTATGTTAGTGAAGTAGAGTTTTAAAATTTAAAAATAAATTTTATTGATATTTATGATTATTGTATATGACAACACCTGGAATGATAATAAATATGAAACATAGTTTGAAATATTTGAAAAATTAACAGAACGAGAAGAAATAGAAATAAAGCAAAAATAGAATTTTGTGTTATTAAGGTTAGTTTATTTGTTTATTACATATTACAGAATTAATTGTTTACATTAATATTAATTAAATACTGTAAAGCTAAATAAAAAGAATCATTGTTATATTATTCGAGTTACAGTAATAAATTTGAAAAGAAATCATGTTCTTTTATAATAAATATAATTGTAATTAGAATATTCATTTATAATTAATACAACTATAATTAGCACAGTTTAATACTGAAATTAAAATAATTTATAAATAATCAGTTAATTTATGATATTTATTTCGTATTAATATCTCAAATTAATAATGTTTCTGTTTCTGATTTCAGAAATTTTTATGTAATTTTTTGCTCATTTTTCAATTTTTTAAATATTTATAAATACTATTATGTCTGTATATGTACCAAGAGAGTCATTGTATACTCCACGTAGAGTACAAAAATGTTTATTTGGGTCAGATGAAAGTTCAAAAAAGAAGAAAATTCATAGAATTCAAAGAAATTCAAACTTTGCAGACAGCTCATCTGGAGAAGAATCAGATTTAGGACCCATGAACATTATGGAACATTCACCACAGAAAGGAACATCACCAGATTCACCAAAATTTCTGCTTAATTCTACATTAAGTAATTCTAATAAGCAGACATCAATTAAGGCAATGTCTAATACACCAGAAAGACAATTTGGCAAAGAGTTGCAAAATAGTATTGTAGAAACCCCACATAAATCTAGAAGTCTAGAAAATAAATTAATAACACCATTAAATTCAGAAAATAAAATAATGTTCCTACCAAGACTTCAAAGGCGCAAATCACTTAATATTCTTGATGCCATTGAAAATTCACCTGAGAAAAAAAAAACTAACTTAAAGAGACATGCTTTTGAAGAATTAGAGAATAGAGCTACAAAATCACTAAAGACTGATGAAAATCATTTGGTACCAAAAGCTAGAGCTGCTCTATTTCAAGATAAAGATTATGAATCAAAACTCAAAAATATAACACTCAGTACTAAAAATTTTTATAGTAATTCTGAGACGAAAAAGAATCATAATATAATTTCTGGATTTATAGAACAAAAACAGAAAGCGCATTTTATAAGACATGCGCCCTACCATAAAAGACACATGAAAGGACACAGAATAGGAGGAATTAATGCTGGTGTATCACATGGTATTAGGAAACCAAAATTAAAGGCTAATGTTGATAGTACAAAGCATAATAATAGCACAGAAATGATTAATAATATAAAAGATATGAATATACAAAAAGATTTATCAAAAGACGTAAAAGGGCAAAAAACAGAGTTAGTAAATTCATCACTAGACATTCTATCACCAGAAATTGATCTTAATAAGCGTTTTTTCAAAATTAAAAGCTCAAGGAGAAATTCAGCTATATTTACAATAAATAATAATGTAAAATTAAAAATTGATTTAAATGGTAAAATGGCATTAAGTCAAAAGAATAATAGAGAAGTTTATAAACGGCCAAAAACTATAGATATTTCTTTTGATGCAACTGATTTATCAGTAGATGAATCAGACTTGGAAAGTACAGTAGACAAAGAAAGAGTAGCTAATATATTAAAGATTTTAGAGAATGATTGGGCTGATGATGATTACGATACTATGGAAATACTAACTGATGAAAGACACGAGCATATTTCACCGCTAAAACCAGTAGCAATATTGAATGATGTTACTATGTCACCAGCAACTGAACTTAGTAATATGACCTCAACGATGAACATTAAGGACATTAGTTCACCAACACTTCACAAAAATATTTCTTTAGATAATAATGAAATTACATCAGAAGAAAAATATTACCCATTATTTGAAAAAGGATATTCTGCCAATAAAATTTTTAGGTAAGTAAAATATTCAAAATGTGAATTAATTACTGAATCAGTGCTCATAATACTATAAATCTCTTAGTGCAATTAATAAAAAATCAGTGCCTAATATAAAAGAAACTACAAATTGGCAACTATCCATGAAATTAAATGGTAGTGACAATCAATATCAACTAGATGCAGGTCAAAAGAATTTTGGAGCAACACAATGTACAGAGTGTGGTATTGTATATCAAATTGGAGATCCAGAGGATGAAAATGCTCATTTAAATTATCACAATAACAAAAAAAGTTTAAAATTTCTCGTATGTAGAATTACATGCCAATAATTCAATTAAATGTGTCTGACATACTTAAAGAATTTATTTTTAGGGTTGGAAAACGGAACGTATAGTTATGGAAGATCCATTTACATCAAGTCGAGTAATCTTAGTAGAACCAGGTGACTCAAAACTATATTGGAAAAAAGTAAAAGAAGTTTTAGAATATGTTGACAGAGATTTGGGATTAGTTGACACAAAATTATCGAATTATGAGGAGAAGAAAGTAATGATAAAAATATGAGAAAGCAATTTTTTTATGTTATGAATTTGCATTTGTTGTAACACAAGTTATTTTTTCTTTCTAGGTATATTTATACATTAGAAATAAAGCTATTATAGGAGTGTTAGTCGCAGAACATATAACTACTGCACATCGCATGATTCCTGAATTACTAGAATTAGATTGCTGCACAGCAGAAAATAGTCCTGCGAAATGCGGTATCAATGTTGTATGGACAGATTTAAATCATCGTAGACAAGGCATAGCCACCAAATTGATCGATATATTACGGTAAATATTTATATTTTTAGAAATAATTTAAGAAATATCAAATTAGTCAACATATTTACGATTTTATTTCAGGGCTCAGTTTTATTTCGGTTATGTAATGTCTATAGATGACATAGCGTTTTCAGTTCCAACTCTGAGTGGAAAAATATTTGCTGAAAAATATACGAAAACACGGAATTTCAAAGTTTATAATTGAAAATTAATGTCAATGTTAAATACCATTTTTGATAAAAAAAAAAAATGTATCAAAATTAACGACAATAATATTATTCATCTTACTAAATTTATGTACAAATGATATAATCTTATCATATTGACACTTATTAACAACTTATTATATTGAACGAGAAACTTATTTTTTTTATTATTTATTATTTAATTTTCTCAATTATTTTTTGTTCAGTAAATTAATAATTCTTTTCGTCTGTTTTAAAATTTTTTGTTACTAAAATTGCATTTTATATTTTTTTCTTTAAAGTTGATTATTCCTGAACGAAGTATTTAAATTTTTAAGTATTTTAGTCTTTATTCTAGAATTGCTATAAAATTTCAAAAATGTATATGCAAATATTGAATACATAACTAAATATGAAAATATTTACATACTTTCAGCACGAATATAAACAAAAAAAAATCCTTACAAAATACCTGAGTTTAATATTTTAACGTTTGTGACAATTATATGAACTTCAGAATACTTCAGTTGTATGTATAGGAAAAAATAAAATATCAATTTTATATATAGTTCATATTTATATTTTATTTATATTCAAAATATAAACAATGACTTTTTATAAAAATTGTTTTAAATTTGTACTCCTTAGAAAAAAAATAATACAATTTCATATTTAGGTTGTATCGTATATAATCCATTACTCCATTGTATGTAATTTATTACATACTGGATGTAAATTTTTATAACGATTAACTTAACTTAGAATAGGAATACAAATTTATGTATCTTCTTTTACCATCTTCCACCACCATAATTTTCTCTTCTTGGACGAGAAAAATTCTTTTCACTTGCTCGTTTCCGTTTCCATGCTTCAAATCTTTCGGCCATGCTGTACAATTCATCAGGTACTTGCTATAAAAACAGGAATTTATATATATAAATTTATATACATATAACCAAATTTAAAAAAAAAATATAAATATATTAAAATTACTTGATTGGCCTCTTCTAAAATGTTAATTAATTCTTTCGCATGGGCCCAATCCTTTCGCGTCATGAAAGTTATACTTTCTCCTGTACGCCCTGCTCGTCCAGTGCGTCCAACACGGTGAACGTATTCCTCAATATCACGAGGGAAGTCAAAATTGACGACATGCCTAAAAATAGGTTTTTTTTTTGTAAATAAAATTTAAGTTTGGATCGAATTTCTGAAAATATAAAATCAGACATACGTAATATCTTCAATGTCTATTCCTCTGCTGGCAACATCCGTTGCTAGCAGTACTTGAACTCTACCGGTTTTCAAATCATCCAGAGCTTGTTCTCTGTCACATTGTTCCCGTCCACCGTGTATACTTTGGACGTCCATCATTTGTAATGCCAAGTTACTCGCTACATCATCAACTTTGACTTTCTTTGCGAAAAATATTATTGCTTTATCAGTACGATCCATGGTGCGGATAAATTCATACATCTATTAAAAACGAAAAAGATAGTAAAAGAATAGTAATAGGAACAAATATTTAAGTTTTAAAGCATAATTTGAAGAATTTCTCATTATATTAACCATATCAGTTTTTTCCTCTTCTTCAATAATATAAATTGTTTGTGTTACTGTATGTACTGCAGCTAGATCAAGAGATCCAACAAATACTTGAATTGGATTTTTCATATATGATTGTGCCAAGCGTCGTACACCTTGAGGCCATGTAGCACTAAAGTACACACATTTTTAGTTTTTACTTACTATAAAATATTTTTCAATATAAAAAATATTGAGAAAATTTGCTAATAAAAATTTGATATACCTTGTCATGACTGTTTGTCTATCTGGTCTTACACCTAATAAAGTTTTTCTTATTTGGGGTTCAAATCCCATATCTAACATACGATCAGCTTCATCCAAGATAAGATACGTAACAGAAGAAACATCTAAAATTTTTGCTTTTACAAGATCATTCATTCTACCAGGTGTTGCAATAACTATTTCTACACCCTTTGTTACCACGTCAACTTGTTTTTGACGACTTCCACCTCCATATAAACATACCCTTTAATAATAAATTATTATTCAGATATGATATTTCTATATTTTTATAGATCCTATATTTTTATAGATCTTCGTATCCAAAACAGAAATATATATTTTACTTACGCCTTTATTCCATGATAAGAATATTTATTTACTTCCTTTTCAATTTGCAATGCTAGTTCTCTCGTAGGTGCCATAATAAGAACAGTGGGACCCTTTCGTTCTGATCTAGGTGTCACTTGACCCTCAATATGAATCAATGCTGGTAGTAGAAACGCCAAAGTTTTCCCTAAATACAATATAAAAGTAAAATAATTTATTGTATAAACATTATATTAACATTATAACATATAATATACCTGTGCCAGTTTGAGCAATTCCAATAAGATCTCTACCACTAAGAAGTATAGGCCAACCTTGACATTGTATTGGGCTTGGTTTAGTAAAGTTTTGTTTTTTAATCTCATCTAATACCTCTGGGTAATCCTATAACATTTACAATTTACGTTGTAATACATTTTTTCTTCATAAATTCAAATATTTTTACTTACATGAAAGGCTTGTTCAAACGTCTCTATAGGATTTGGTATATGTCCAGGATCATTTCCCTCCTTGTCTTCAAACACATAATTTACTTCTATATTATTATTTATTTGACGAATATGTGCAACTTGCTCTGGTGTCAAATTAGTAATTGTCGGATCTTCTTTATAAAAATTCTTAACTATAGAAGGAGCCTTTGCCCATTTTTGTCTTTCAAATTCCATCTAATTAATAAAATAATTTATCTATATTATAATTATATTAAATTATTACATATAATTATGTAAACCGATAAAAACTTACAGCTTTCTGGTTAGCTATCCTCCAATCAAAGTCATCAAGATCAATGTCTTCTTCTTCATTGTTGTCTTCTTCTTTTAAATGTTGAATTGGTTCTGCTTCAAAAGCAGGAGTGTCTCTCAATAACTCCTCTATTAATGTTTTCGCTTGATTCTGCGCTTCCTTACTACCAACTATAGTAACATCTGTAGTATAATCATCACAATTTCCACCAGATCGACTTACCTAAAATATTTATATCATTAAATGAGTTAAATTGTTTTTTTGATCACTCAAATATAATTTACAATTTTACATAAAAATAATTTTTATAAAGTACCATTGCTGTTACATTAACCAAACAAAAATGATATGTATTTTTGATAAAGTATAACTAACATATATATAATTCTTAATGTTCAAGGCAACAAAAATATATTTCAAAAAATTATATTTAAAAAATTATTTTCGTAAAGTAAATTTTACTATAAATTTATTTTTTATTACGAAATTAATTTTTAATTTTTTTCTTAAATATGAGTTCTAACATTATCTAAAATAATAATTTTATAAAAATTGGAAAAAGTATGAATATTTAATAAATACTTACATGTATTCTTGTCTTCGTTTTATCTTGTAAATCTCTAATATTACTTCCAGCTTTACCTATTAATTTACCGATTTTATCGGTACCGATCTTCATTATAAACTCTTTATAGTGCTGGACAGAATTATTATGATACGAGTTAGAATTATTTCTTCTAGAGTAACTATGATGATTATTTCTATACTCCATTTTGAAAAGGATTGCACGTGTAGAACTAGACCATTCCTAAAATTTCACAAATTATTTTTCCTTGTACTCATTTCATTGTAGTTTAAAATATATTTAAAGAAAAATGATTTTAATATTTATACAAATAATCACACGTTTAATATGTATGTTTCTAGTATTAGGCACGACTAATTTTCCAATATGAAAGTAAATTTCCAATAAATAAAGATACGTACACTTCTCCGGAAGACTGTCCGCGATTAAATGAAAATTCGTTTCTTAGTTTCCTCCTTAAATAAGGGATGATTCTGCACCTGCGCAGAAGAGCTGCAAGAAGGATCTCCCCTCAATGTCGCTGAAGAATTTTGTCCAACCATTGGTTACTGCTACATGCATACTATACGTATACATACCTAAAAAGGCTACAAATCCCCTGCTTATAATTCTAACTGATGCTTTGTCTATGCATGTATTGGTAACTAAGCTACTTATGATTGGAGGATTGGTGGCAGCTCCTGAAAGAAAAGTGGGGTGATTGACTAACCCTGGAAGGGGGGAAGAAGTTGCCCATCCCTGTTTTAAATAATTTATAACAGTATACAATAATATTTTGTTCTATCGTCATATTCCCGTACTTTAAACCCTCACTATTTCATATCAAATATTCCTATCTCACTTACATTTAGCAGAAAAGCGTGAAGGAGAGGGGAGAAACTTGGGATTCTTTAGAATTGTTTCCCTAGAAAATTCATGCTTGGTATAATCTATCAGATGATCAGGTAATACATTTAATGTTTTTTCAATAATCGAGTAGAATTTATGTAACTTCAAGAAAAAAACAATCTCTTATATTTGATTCAGTTAATAATAATAGACGATATAATGTATATTTAAAATTAAACTTTTCAAATTCTTGTTTGTGTCTTAGAAATTATTGATTTTGAAATTTGAGATTTTTGTTGACGATCAAAAGATTATATTTATTAATCTTACGAAAAAGAAGCTATTACAAAAGAATGTATGTTTTTAATATATTTTGCTTTTCAATATTTATTTACTATTAATCATTAGATAAAGTTTTTGTACTTTATGACTCTTTCATTTAATAATATTAAGTTTGTAAAATTAGTGAAAAATTTTTGATATTTCCACACCAAACAAATATATTTCATTTCCGTTCAATACTATTTTATATAAAATGTATCATTAGAAATATCATGTAAGTTCTACATGTTATTGATCATATTTTGAACAAAACAGACTTCTGTTAGGTTACGTTTACTGCGGAGCTGCGATATTCGATGAGAGCAGCGATGAAAGCAAAGCTGTAGAAATATGTCCTTTGTTTGAAAGGGAAATCGATGGGTAAACCTATGACAATGATACAATGATACAAGCGTTGGGAATTTCTATTTCTTCACTCTGTTATCGCTGCGGAGATTTTGGAATGCTTTTTCTGTAAAATTTCCATAAAATAATTCAGATTATACAACTGTACTGATTCACGCGTACAATAATTGAGTTGAATATTCCTGAATACCTGGGGGGTATATCTGAAGAGTATACAAACTGGAAGTTCTGCTCTAATCAATGCTCTCTCAGCTTTTATCGTAGTTCCATTATAAACATACCAAAGGTATTTTAACGTCGCCCTGATCGACGCTTTCGTAGCTGTTTTTACGGATAATCTTTTATTTCAAACACAAAGGGCAAGAGATATGAGTGACAAATCCTCGAATCTTATCATGATTTTTATGTCTTGATTAAGCAATTTAATTAACTGTTAGGGCTCTGTTAAGTAACTATATAAGCAGATAGTCATCCGGTACTTCATTAATATTATCAACTACGTATTAGTATTACAATAATAAAAAAATTTCACTGTTTATTTAACATAAATCAAAAACATCAATTTCATGAAAATTCCATTAGAAATACCAGCATACATATCTTGGTACATCATATTAAGATTTTATTTCAATCATAAATGTTGCTTAGAGATGCACAGAAAATAAATATTTATTTAATTAACCAAATATAAAGCTACCTATTTTATTTGAAAGTTTAAATAAAATAAGTGAAAGCTGAAATAATTATTTGTGATTTGAATAGATTTAAATAAATGCAATTACAATTTTAATTATTAAGAAAGTATAAAATCAATCATTTTAATTGTTTTTTTTTTTTTTTTTTTTGTATGGAGTCATTTAAAATCACACGATTTTGGAAAGTTAAGAAGCAAAAACAAGACGATACGATAACCGATCGAGTAACGGATGATGCTTATGTGATGAGTTGCTGCTTCTAAGGTTGATCTATTGTACCTTCATAACTGTTTGTAGTCGCGATATATATCATTTCTTCCATCCTGAAGATTTGTTAGAAAAAGAAATGACTTTAGTTCCGAAATTCGACATAAAATTTTGACGGGGACAAGATCCTAAATACAAAATTTTAGCTTCAAGCATTTATTAATCTCCGAGATATTACTAATAACAATAACTTAATAACTTTCGATACAGTATATTAAGAATCGCCATATTTCATAGCGATTTAGTACGACGTCCAAGGTTTCTGGGCCCATCGTTGCACTGACTGAGCTAAAAGGTAAACAATAAGCAAGGCTATCGACAAGTACACCGAAATTAAGCGTTCAGATTTTGTACATACCTAGCTCAACGAATGCCCAGGTCATTTTGACCTGGCTATTGTATTCGTTTGACAATACATATTTCGTTTTACATACAGTCAGCATAGAAATTATTTTCCTAACTAAATTCACCATTCTCTTGAAGATTGACAGTAAACCATTAAAATCCTCTTTACAGTAAACCATTAAAATTTGCTGTAATGTGATTTTAATGAAATTTACGTTGTAAGAATTTAAAATTTTAATTTTTTTTATCGAATATTTATTATTATTATTATGTAATCTAAATACTTTCATATACAATGGCTAATAAAAATATTCGAACGCTTACATGAACGAAATATGTATATTTCGAATTTATTTAAAATCATACGGCGTATATGTATAATAGAGATGAAGTCTCTAAATTATGTCAAAATTTGAATTAACCATTAACTTAGGCCATGATACATATAATTTATATCATTAATAGCTCACAAAAGTAGTCGAATGCTATAACGTCATTGATTCTTTTTATACATCTTAGCCAAGAATGTGAACATTGACATTAAATGAAAGCATCAGCTTCAGTTGATATCAAGGTATCGTTCTATTAACAACAACGTAAAATTGTATAATATTCAAAATGAATACCAGATAGTCGGAAGTATGAACGAGAAACAATTCTTCGACTGCATAAGAATAGGAAATTATACAAGAAAATTGCAAAACATTTTCAACAGAAGCAAGTCCGCAGTATATTATATTATGAAAAAATTAAAAACTGAAGGAACAATTGTGTACAAAGCTCGTTTGAAAAGAAAATTGACTGAAAAAGAAGAAAGTTATCACATTCACAAAGTGGAAAAAAGAGATTAATAAGCAAAAACGAAAGAAGAGACCAACTTAGCAAAAACGTACGTAACTAAAGATAATGCTTTTGCGAAAAAATAATTGTGAGCGAACGTTAACTAAGCTGCGGTCTTGAAGCGTGGGAAGACTTTCTCGCCTATTTCATAGAAGAGGATACTCGAGCTTAAGAACCATGGGCCGATTCCGATGTTTTGTGCTTACGACCGATGCAGATAAACCGAGCTAGGGTATCCGGACGAGGGTTGGACCGATTTTTCGATGGATCTAAATTTAATATTTTCAGTTTACATAATCAATATTATGTATGGGGAAGAGCGAATACAGAATTGAAAGTTGAAAATGTAGATCCAAGTAACAGTAAAATTCAACAGTGTGGGGTTGCATGGCATCGGCAAATTTCGACAAGATTTTTAAGTTAAAGTTGGCAAAAGATTTCTGTCTTTTCAAAAAATTCTATCTACGAAGCAAATGTTGAAAGAAAAAAATTGCAAGAAATGTAGAATTTCAGCATCTGTACTGTCACAAAATTACTAGTAACTACACAAAGCGGTAACTAACTACACAGAGTCAACCAAATGTCGAGTTTCGAAGGGATTTTCGAAGGTCGCCAAATATTACAAGGTCTAAAAGGAGTTCTAAAATTTCAAAAGCAACTGCGACTTAGGCTTCTACCATAAATCACTCCCATTGTTTATCTTTGAAAGTAGATCCTTCCTCGATCCTTGAATAAAAAGTAAAACTTTCCATTTTAAAAATTCAATTTTTTTAAGGTATAATATAAATTTTTTTTAAATCAAAATATTATAAGATAATGAAATTATTTATTAACTTTAGAAATATTTTCAGTTGTTAACTGCCATCGCTACAAAGGACTGATATATCCGACTTAAAAAATTCCTATTAATTTACAAATAAAAATGTATTATCTAAAACATATTGTTTTTTCGGTATCTTTATTATTTAATAATTTACAATGATCTAAAGTTTTATTTTTATTATTGTTTATTATTCCTGAAGCAGGGAAACTGTTGTGTCGCCATTGTTGCGTTATACAAACTCGTGTATGTAAACGACTATGGCAACGTCGCTTTCACGTTCCAACGAACGCACGTGGACGATAGTACAGTATCTAACATTGGTTGCACAGGCATATAATCGTTATTTTATCGTGTACGTGTCGATAATTCAATAAAATATTAAATAATGTAATAACATTCGAATATTTTTGTAAGTCATGTGTATATAAATGTATTATATGTAGTTATATATCCTTAAGTTAGCAAGTCATTTTCAAATTTTGTTGACATAATCTTGAGTCTCTACTTCTACCATACACACCGCATTATTTTAAATAAATTTGTTTAATATACAAATTTCATTCATTAAAAGCTGCGAATCTGAGTGTTATAAACCTATATAAATGAGTCTATATAAACCTTGAATTAAGATCTCAAGAAATATTAATTTTTTCAATAATATACCGCAATATTTTTTCAAAGTATTAATTCATGGAAAAACATCGTGGAGACAATAAATTTCCAGAAATTTTATCTAGAGAATTTTCGGTGGAATCGGCAACGCTGTCCATACTTTTCTAATTCCTATCGCCAATAGCGGTACAGTGTAATACCTACCCAAATTGATACAGCAGAATACTGCACGAAAATGGTAATGAAATCAAGTGACCTCTACAGCGTGGAACATAAAAAAGCATTGTCAAATGCCATATATCAATTATTTATGAACAAAACAGACTTATTTTTATATACATTGTTTTTTATTTAAGGAAATGTGAAATATATTAAATTTTTCTAAATTCTCTTTTTCCTATAATGTAAGATCATTTATTATATATCGTATACATAAAACAATCTATTAAGAGGGCTATCTCATTACTCTATTTAGTCTAGTTCCTACAGTTACGATTTGTGATGTTATTATGTATTCATGATTATGATAAGGTTTAAAAATTAGAAATCCTTTTCTCTACTATTTATTGGAATACAACTATAGTATCCAATTAAATGAAATTGTTTAAATTCAATTTACTTAATATTTACTGAATATTAACTTTTATTATGTAAATTATTGATAATAGAAGAAATTCATGAATTTCTTTTATACATGTATCCTTTAATATATCCAAATAAACAAACATACAAGATCTTTAAGTTAGGTTTTGATCTACAATTATTAAAATATATGATAAATGTTTTTTTAATATTAAATGACAGCATACAGATTCAAATTTTGGTTTATGTATATAGTTGTGATTAGGGAAAATTATTTGTTTATAAGGTACCTCTTACAAGACTGATTTTGTGAATTACATAATGTAAGATGTTCAATACATATGCTAATTTATACAATATTATCTTATATTTTATGTATTTAAAATTATATGAGGAAGATATACATTAAATTATAATTTTAAACTTGAGATTAATAGCATAAAAAACATTATGCATTATAAATATTGTAAAACTATTAAATAATAAAATGTAATATTTAAATATCTTGCAACTTTTATTTATATTCAGTAAAATAAAGACAATACTGATTAACAGAACTCGATAGAAATTAAACTATTATTAATTTATTCAATATTATTTTACAAACAGGAAAGGTAAAATTGTATACTCCTGTTAGAATGTATAACAATATTACTAAAGAGGCAATTACAATGTGATGCCTCTAATGTATTAAATGTCTCCTGGAAAATTTCCATTCTCAATCTGCTCATCCCAATTTGTTGTCCAAGCAAGTGGACACATCGCAGTGTATACTTTTTTAAAATATTTACATGCCTCATACTCTTCACTATGTCGTTTTTTGCAACGATGAAAATCCAAATAACTAGTGTAACAATATCTGTATTCAAAATAAACAGGAATAAATAATCTCACATTGAAAGTAGCATTAAAATACATCAATTTATTTTTTGTTTACCTTGTTTGGTTCTGATTTGGAAATCTTGGGTCATATGGTGCTGTTTTTGGTTTCAAATCAGCTGGGGTTTCTAGTGTTGTCGCATTTCCAAGTTGAGTATATTTTACCATATTGATGCTGCTTAACAAGTTACAAGTTATTTAATCTATTATATTTATTGAAAGTACTACAAACTGTCACCCTCCCTTCCTCTTACAAGGCAAACTCTTTATATGTTTGTCTCTCGCTTTAGTCCGTTTGTCTCTTGCATCACATAATACACTATCACAAACATTAATTGCTTCTGCACTACAGTTCTTGTTTTCATTCTCAATATTACATTAATAATGCTCTTTAAGTTGAAATATTTAATAATTTGTGATACTATATATTTATAATTTCTGATTAACATATACTGTACATTCTATCTAGTAATTCAAAAAAAGACTCATATTTGCATACATTTTTACAGAAGTATTTTTTCTCAAATAATGAAGAGTGTTAATTAAAAGTTTTTGTAAATTTTAAATAATTTTACTATATGTAGAGGTCTTTTCTAAACTTGGTTAATGGCTATTCTTCTATATTTAAATGCAACCATGATGTAATTAAAGAAACACAGCATCTTTTGAAAGTACATTCATTGTAGATTAAACAAAGTAACAGAATGGAAAGATTGGAACTCTAAAATCAGCTATTTAACCAATGGTCTCGTGTTGTCTTCTTCCTGACAACAAACTTCTCTATACTTTTTCACCTCAGCCATATAAAGTGACCAAGCATCCTTGGGTTGTTCAACAGTTTGTTCAGTCTTTGGTTTAGCAACCATTCCAGTTTTTAAAATTCTACCTCCTCGCCTCTTTCCTACTATTAAAGGTGGAGGAATAACAGTTTTTTCTTCTAAAACAGAAGTCGCTGATTTTTGTGCAGGTTGCATTTGTTCCTGCATTTTTTTAAACATTTCCATAAAGCTACCATCATTCTTAAAAGCATTAGATTGTGGAGGAACAACTGGTTGAGATGCAGTTGTTTCTGTATTATCTTCAGCAACATCTGATTCATACGATGGTGCTCTATAGTATCTACGACTTTCTCTACCTCTATGTCTATCTTTACTTCTATTACGACTGCGACTACGTCTTCTATCTCTGGAACGCGATCTTCCTCTTGATCTAGATCTGGATCTATCTCTTCTAGAATATTTCCGTGATCGATCTCTATCTCTATCTCTATCTCTATCTTTATCTCTATCAGGAGATCGAGATCGTTTATGTGATCTAGATGGAGATTTTGAAGTACTGCGTCTTCTTCTACGTCTGTCCTGTGGTGAATCATTTCGGGACGTTCTACTGCTTCTATAGTCCAAAGGTGAAGGTGAACGACGCGACGACAATCTGTTTTTGTACCCATCATATGTTGTATAACTTGCACTATACATAGGAGGCGAAGGTGGAGCTGGTGGTGAATCTGTATTCGACTTGGAACTGCGTTCATGCCGTTTTGAATCCATTGTCGTGCTTGTATGCCTCTCTCGCCACGCTGAATGGACAGATGGACACCTATAAGGATAGAAACTGCCTTCTATGAGTACACTGCTCATTTCTTCTTACCACGCCTTTATCTGATTGGTAAAATGTACGCGTTTGCAAGAGACAAGCGGATTTATAGCGAGAGATCAAAATATATTTTAATTGCCACTAAACAAATAAAATTCAATCGAAGCTAGAATTTTACCTTCAATAATTTCTATCTATATAAACTTCACTTGATTACTTATTTCATTATATAATATATATTAGGAAATCCAGCTTTGATTGCACACTTATCTACACATATTTTAATATTTCACTATTGTACTAATTGCTGATAAATATTTATATTTATATTTTCATAAAATAGTCTTATAGTGTTATATAATTCTACAATTTTTATGTTTTATTGTATTATAATAAAAATTATATTTAAAAAAGATCAGGGTAACTTCAATTATTCACGATTATCTATTATTTAAATTAATTCATAATACGTACAATGTTATAAATTATAAAGTATACGGCACTTATATTTATTTTTAGGAAAATGTATAAATTATCGTCGGATATCTTCAGAATTAATGTTGAACATATTTTCGATATTAATCAAAAAATTCTTAAGAATTTTATCTCATTATATTTACGATGAAATGCGTATTTTTCTCTGGAAAAAGAAACTGTCAAAATGGGAAACAAATAGTTTTATCCTTTCTGCTGTACATTATACGTTTTTAGAACATTTTCTATAGTGAAAAAAATATAAAGGAGAATAAAGAGAAAGAGATAAAAAGAGTATGAAATTTTATAGGAGAATTAAATAAGAATTTCATTTGGTATATAAATTGATTGTCATAAAAAATATAGGTAAAGTTTCTTTAAAACTTTCCTAAGTAATTCATCAACTATATTAATCGTCTAAATAGCCTATAATTACACGAAATATTTTTGTATAAAATACCTTAATCAGCCGTGCGATTCAAAACAAAATGGCCACTAGGCAAACTGCACCAAATTGTTACGTCATGTATGTCTAGGACAACTAAAACTGATTCTGAAATATATTTCTGCGTTTCTCCGATAGAGTTCGCGTGAAATCCATTTGAATGCTTGTTGAATTTTTTTCTGAAAAACTCTTTTTGTTAATAAAACAAAAATGTAATTCGTTTATTTAATATGGTATAATGATATAATCAATACTGTACGGACCATTTTTTGGTAATTTATAAAATATAAATTCCTATATTTATATAAATACACGGAATGATATTAATCATTCAAAAAAACTCTTGATACATAATATACGTTATGTATAAATCATTTGTCATGAAATTTTTGTAAATTACTAGATTCGTTTGCATTCCGTTAAATAGGTTGTGTCAAGAGGGATAAATAAATTATCAAAATCTAGAGAAAAGTAGATTTACAATTTGGATTTATTTGGATCAGTATTTTATTGCTAAACGAGTATATATTTGTTGCCTTTCGATCAAATGTATCAAATTAAATAATTCAGTTTGGCTTCAATGATATGGTTATTTGTGAGAATCATAATTTACTAACGACTACATACCAACAGCTGAATGTCACATGATTAGTGACAACCTAACATTTTTATTAATTTCTAATATTTCTAAATTTCCTTTCTTGAAAAATGATATTATTTGAAAAGAATATTTTACATGTAATTAATTAAATAAGAAATATGAGAATTATATAAGAAACACAAAAATAAGCCAATGAAGATCTCTAGGGATGTTGTTAAAAATTGTATGAAATTGAATTGCAAAAACAGTGCGTTCGGCATTTCCGTAATGGTGGCGCTTGTTTCGCTTATTCACATCCGGTCTTCCATTTTCTTTTGGTCATCGTCACACATGATTGCGTTCTTGTTCAGTAACGTTCGTTATCGATCTTGCGTTTTCAGTAAATTGCTAAACGTTTGAATCGTTTACGAGCGTTCGTTAGTCTGTACGTTTACATATACTCATCACAGAGTTTTTAATTCGACCACCGTATTTTGGATTATCGAGTGCTAATGCGTGGTATTTCAGAAAGCTCACCGACTCGCGCAATGGCGGAGGATTTGGATGTCGAGGCAATGCTGGAGGCGCCATATAAGAAAGGGGTAAGGCTTAATTTTTTTTCTCTCTTTTTTTCTCTGTGTGTTCTCGGTTTGCTCCTTCGAGATCCTGACTTTTTTTATCCTCTGAAATCTACCTAATCTCGACGCACAAGAACAAATACGGCGTCGTACCATTCTGGGTATGTTTTGTCGTGTTGCGATCGAGAAAAATACGAATCGTCCTTCCCTTCCCATATATACATGTAGAACAAAGTACGCCCTTGTTTCATACCGACTATTGATCAATACCTCCGTTTTCTGTACTTATAGATGGTACGTAACATGTACCCTCGCGCTCGTAGGATGTTCGGCAGCGACTTCCTAGAATGCACTTGAAATACGAGGTATTAAGAAAAGCCATCACTAACATCATTTTTACTTAATTCTTTTTTCTTTATTTATTTCTGATCTCTTTTTTTCTAATTTTTTTTTCTCAGAAATCGTAACGTTTATTATTTTACGACGTAGATAGAATTGCTACTGCCACTATTTTACGATTATAAAGAGACAAAGAAAAATACACATGCGAAATATAAAGATTGTTTATATTGATTTTGTTTAAAAAAGAAAAGAGAATAACAGACACGAAAGATGGATTTGTTAGGTGCTGTTCTGCCATGAGCCATGCTATTCCATTCATTTTTATAATGTTATTTATGCGTGGAGAAAACGAATCAACTGGTTTGTATAAGCATCGATTATCTTTTGTATACAGAATCAACAAAATTATTGCCTATAGTATTTTTTCTGGGTATGTAGTGACTGACTATCTATATTATTTATTATGTATCTTGCATTGTTAGGTGGGACTATAAGGTACTACTATTTTGTCGGATTTTAGAATTTCGAGCACTTCTACATTGGCTTTGTTTTCTTTTAATTCATCAGGAGTCTTATTTTCGCATCTTTTTTATAATCATGTATTGATTCTCCTTTTTGAGAAATTATGTGTTGGTGTAAATATTTAAGAAAGTTAGGAAAATATTGGTATTAATAAAGAATTGTATTTTAATTAATATTTATATTAAATTACAATTATATGCATAGTATACGAGTTACAGTATAATTCCTGCTGGAAGTTCTACATGTTTTGAAGATAGGGATAAGTGTTACAATCCAAATTTAATTTATTTAGCAATAAAAAATTGCTGAATATTTAAATATGTATATTCAATGTGTAAAGTATGTTATTGAAAACTTTTAAAAATGTATATTGTCAAGATGTTTTTCAATCATATGGTGGACTTTTGTTTTTAACTATATGATTACAACTAACAATATTAGTACATTAAGATGCTTATGGTGTTCTCATCTTTTGTAATTCTTATAATTTTTCATCAACATAACATTTTAAATTCAGAAGTGCATTCATATGTACTTCACACAGAAAAATGCATGGTAAATTGGCAAGCAGGAAGTAAATTATTCAATTCAAATGAGAAAATGTTTTAAAATTATACAATAAAAATTACTGAAGAATTGATAATTATTCAGAGGATCAATTTTATCGATAGTAAAATTGAAAGAATATAACATCAGTAACATATACATGTAACACCATTGTCATCATTCCATTGCATTAATGCCATATACCATGTGTATGTTCGCTTTTTTAATCGTGTGAAACATTTTCTCTACACAGCTCTAAATCATCTTGTGATATATCTACTGGAAGCTGCAAATGATTGTTGATCGTTTTGTGAATTATGAAATAGTTAAACCAATTATACATGCAGGGGCTGTAGGTTAGCAATTAGGGTTCACATTTCGTGTTACATTAAAAACGTACTGTCTTTGATGAGGGCTCTCTTTTGCAGAAGAAAAAGGATGTATGGTTGGCCATTGGTAGTTTAAGACCAAGGCATGCTCAACCCAAGATTGCAATGCTTTCCTAAAACCCGATAAAACGATTGGTAAGTTTGAGCCAGGTGTATGCGAGGCGTCGCAACACTATGCTCGCCCCGTCTCTCTCTGTCTCTCTCTGTCTGTCTCTCTCTCTCTCTTTCTTCTCTGTGTCCTCATCTCAGCCCCCTCCGACCGATATATTCTACCTGGAAAAAGAGAAAGAGCACGAGAGTGCATCACCGCCTGACAGCAAAAAATCTTCGTTAAACAGTGTTCAAAGGAATTATCTACATGTTTACAGAAAAAAAAAGAAAAAGAATTTTTAACAGAAGACAGAACTTCAATTATTGAGATACATTTTATTTTGAAACTATTGTCAAAATTTAAATTGTACAATATGTACACAGTTTTGTCTTTATAAAATTTACTAACGTTCTATGATTTGCTTTTTGTCCCCTTGTTCGCGCGTCCCTGCCACATCGACTGGCTGGCATGGCATTCAACTGTTTGCTGTTCGTAGGAGCAGGATTCCTCATCCAAAGACAAATCTTCCAAGGAGAATGGGTCTAGCCGTAAATCATCTGGGTAGGTGTATTTTGTATACTACAATTAATACTAGAAACATAATTTGTGCTCACTACCAAAATTAATATTTTGATCGTCAAACGCATTAAAATCAATAATTGTATTATTTCTATGTATGTAATATTCAAACCTCATACTAGAGAATGATGATAAATGAAAAATGATAGCATGTTCAAATGTGTACCCTTAATTTATCACCGATTTTTCACAAATATTTGTATCTGAATCAGTATTTTGATGTAATGTTATTGTCCTATTTGTTGTTTGTATAAAAAATAGTAGCTTATCTGGATTAGCCAATAAAGCAAAGGTCGTTTAAATTACTTGTCTAAAGATACTACACTAGATAAAAATGGTAAGGAGCACGAAATAAATAAATTAGGTTTAATTATTCTATTTATTATTATTATATAATATTATTATAATAGATTTTTTATTGACCAAACAAAAAAGCAAGTTTGTTGATCTGATAAAAAAGAAAATTAATGAAAAGTAAATAGATTGGATTTTTAAGTCTTTGTTTTGGATGAAAAAAGGTATCTATAGTTAAAAAATTTTATGAATTTCGATTTTTTTATATTAGTTTTATATTAGTTTAAAATTAAATTTAATGCGTGGTTTATAATATGATAAAGCACGTGTTCATAAATAATTTACTTTGTCTGAACCTTTAGCATTATAGTTTGAAAGTCATTCAATTCTATGTGAACATTTCAAATTAGTCATTTGGTACGTACACAGCTGTTTGAAGTTATATTCTCTTTGTTATAGACCCCATACAATTAGTGTAAATGCTGGTTATTTTCATAATTCCAAAGGTTAAACCTGAAGATGGTAAGTATTTAGGAAGAGTATCTGTACTATACAGATTATATTAAAAATCTGGAGTGTAACAAAAGAAATCATTATACAAAATTAAAGAATAACAATTAAAACATGCCATAATAACACTTGTACAGATTTTACATTGTACAATATATTGATTAAATTATTTTTATCACATGTGTACATGTGACTTAATTATACATATAATAATTAATTATGTTAATTATTAATATTACCATCATTTACTCTTTTGATTATTTTTATCAGTTAAATCATACTGTGGAAAATGTAAGAAAAAATTTTCTTATTACTAAGGGTTCGGATTAATAAGTTAAAATTTAGTATAATGGAAATTTAAAATAATTGAGTTTAATTCATTATTTATTCAAGCACTTAGTGTGTCACGTACATATACATATATCATACAGTTCATTTAAAAATCTTTTAATGTATATCATTGGTTTTCTTCTTTTTACAGGAAGAGCAAGCATCGTTCTCGTTCCCGTTCTCGATCACGAGATCGTCGGGAAAAAGATCGTCGCGACCGAGATCGAGATCGAGACAGAGATCGAGATCGAGATCGAGACAGAGATCGCGATCGCGACCGTGATCGTCGACGTAGATCCAGATCAAGAGATCGAAGAGACCGCGATAGAGACAGGGATAATAGCGACAGAGATAGGGATCGACGAGATAGAGACCGAGACCGAGACAGAAGAAGGAAACGATCTCTTACACCAATCACTCTTCCCAGAGCAAGACTACCATTTGGAAAAGGCGTCAGTCCTCTTGGCATGTAAGTTTGCATATATTCATCGATTTGGTTGAAAACAAAATAATCCAAGAAAAATACGTTCCAAAATTTAAAACCTGCATAAAACATTTTGTTTTAAAATAGGATTTTTTATATACATGTATTTGTTCAATGTTGTAAATAAATTTATAAACGTTAATACTTTTAATTCTTGTATGTGTATATTTTTGTATATGCAATTTTAGCAGAAATGATGAGTTGACACCAGAGGAACGAGATGCCAGAACGGTGTTCTGTATGCAATTAAGTCAGCGTATACGTGCTCGAGATTTGGAAGAATTCTTTTCCAGTGTAGGCAAAGTTCAAGATGTTCGACTTATCACATGTAACAAAACAAGAAGATTTAAGGGTATTGCATATGTAGAATTCAAGGATCCTGAAAGTGTTACATTGGTAAGTTAATGTATAATTTATATATGACAAATTAAGTTTATTCTTATAATTTTATTTTTTTCACAGGCACTTGGTTTATCGGGTCAGAAGCTTCTTGGTGTTCCTATAGTAGTACAACACACCCAAGCTGAAAAAAATCGCATGGGTAATTCCATGCCAAATCTAATGCCAAAAGGTCAGACTGGACCTATGAGGCTATATGTTGGATCTCTACATTTTAATATTACAGAAGATATGCTTCGTGGAATCTTCGAACCTTTTGGAAAAATTGACAACATTCAACTGATCATGGATCCGGAAACTGGTCGAAGCAAAGGCTATGGATTCCTGACTGTACATATCAAAATATCTTGTAGATTATTCAATTGTAATATTAGTATTTCCTTTAAAATATATTTACTTTTATTACAGTTTAGGAATGCTGATGATGCAAAGAAAGCTTTAGAACAGCTGAATGGTTTTGAGCTTGCTGGAAGACCCATGAAAGTCGGTAATGTCACAGAACGTACAGATCTGATACAAGGTCCATCTCTTCTTGACACAGATGAATTAGATCGAAGTGGCATTGATCTTGGTGCTACTGGAAGGTACAGAAATGTTAATAAATTGTTTTGATGTTTTAATAAATTATTGATTAATATTGAAAATCCTTAGGTTACAACTAATGTTCAAGTTGGCAGAAGGAACTGGACTTGAAATTCCTCCTGCAGCTGCGAATGCGTTAAATATGGCACCAGTTATGTCAACGCCACAACCACCTCCACAAGCTGCTCCTCCTATAGCGACACAGTGCTTTATGTTATCGAATATGTTTGATCCGCAAAAGTAAGTTTGTGTAATTTCTTAAGCGTAAAATAGGCATATCTGTAGACCTAGTATAGATAACTTTTTTTTACTGGGGGAACGAATATGCTATATAAATTATGTTAGCTAAAAAAAAAACTGCATATCATTATATGTATGTTCAAAACTGATAACATAACATTACATTAAATAATTATAATTTGTTGATAGTTATGCACAGATTATGTTCGAACATTAATTTTTTGTTTTAGTGAGACGAATCCGAATTGGGCGAAAGAAATTCGTGATGATGTTATTGAAGAATGCAACAAGCACGGTGGTGTATTACACGTGTATGTAGACCAAGCCTCCCCTCAGGGTAACGTTTACGTTAAGTGTCCATCAATAGCGACAGCAGTCGCAGCTGTTAATTCGTTACACGGTAGATGGTTTGCTGGCCGAGTAATTACAGCCGCTTACGTGCCAGTTGTAAATTATCATTCGTTGTTCCCGGACGCGATGACTGCTTTACAATTATTGGTTCCGAGCGCTCCGCGAAGGGGAATGTGATCTTGAACAGTGCAAATGCCAATTACAAATGTGTAAATTCTCATAGTATTACATTTTTCTTACTGATACTGAGAATAAATTTTTGTTAAAATCGCTTAAGTATTGTTCGAAGTCATACAGGTATAATTGTTGATTACAAAACAATGCAATGATGCATCTGCGTGAGATTCTTTCTTTCTTTCATTCATTTATGAAGATAATCAATATTTTGTTTGTAAGATATTCTCATTCGATATTAGAGATTTTGACCAATTAATACATGCGAAAAAAATTATTCTCAATACATCTCTAGATACTTTATTAGTGTATGAGAACGAAATTATAAAGTTGTTTAATAACATAGTATAATTATTTAAGAATATTTATATGTATTTACGTATTGAATTATATTTCAATAAGATAGAGTATAAAACAAGATACCGAAAAACTTTGTTGCCTTATTTGTTAAATATATTATGCGACAGATGTTCACTTAAGAACTCCTTATTATCAATCAATCTGTAATGATTATAAAGTTAAACAATTCTTGATGCTCTTTGCGGTACGCAGTATCTTCGAACTTTCATTCCATCCTATCTATGCTGATTTATATACTTAATTTTTTCTATTTGGTGCTTTGTAATTCAAACATGTTGTATAATCATTGTTTGCATTGTAGTTGCAAAATAATTTTTCATTTAACTACTATTATTGATTATTGAATGGCGTCATATTTTTAACTTTACACGGAAATCATTGATCAAGTGTAACAAAGTCTGTATAGTCAAAGAATCTACAATAATAATATCCCTGAAATCAAAATCATTTCAAATAGACAACACGTTAAACCTGCTGGAACGAAATGGAGGTGTCACTCGATAGCCGCAAAGAGTTGATGTTACAATAAAAGTAAAATTTAAGTAAATTGTAAACAAAAGTAGAAAGATTAATAGATTGTAATCGCCGTGCAAATATGTGTTGAAGGTGGTAATATAAAAAATGTGTTGAAGGTGGTATATAAAAAATATAGACTTTTCTTTAAAACTTTGTGCACAGTCAGATGTTCTTTCTTGAGAACACGATAGATGAATAGAAAACATTTTTTAGGGAGGAGTCTGCAGGTAATAAATTTCTTCAGCAAGTGTATTTACTAAATGTAATAATATAAGTACAATTCTTAATATTTTCGAAGGAATGAAAAAAAATAAAACTAAAGATTGAGGTACTAATTTTTATGGTAATTTTTCATGTATATGATGGCCTTCTAACCATAGAATAATTTGATAGTTAATCTAGTTTTTAATTAAAAGAAAATAATACAAGAAATCTACTCTTGCAAGAAATAAATTATTAATAAAATTTATAAATAAATTAATAATTATTTTTCATTGTGATTGAATAATTAATTTTATATCAAATGTACACTTAATGAGTATGCACATCTTTTAAAAATTATATCTATTTAGGTAGACTTATAGCATTATGAAAATTTATAAAGCATTTTAAAAGTATTTTATAATTTTAAAAATGATTTTTTCAAGTGTTATAACTGTTATATACAATACGGCAAACTATACAAAAAGAAAGAAAATTAAATTTCTTTTGTTCCTGCAGGCTTCTGTTAATTTAAAAAAATCTATTCTAATATATGTAAAAAAATTGTACATTATCACCGTTCATTCATATATATAATAATACTACTGCAATTTCATATTATTGTGAAAAGTGAATGTATACTTTGATAACTATAAATTAAAAAATTAATGTGATAATACCATGTGAATGTGAGATCCTCTTCTACAATACAAATGTAAATGCGCAAACAATATTTCTTTTTATTCTCTTATATATGAGAATTTAAGTAGTAATTTAAGTGAATTGTAGTATAAGATTTTCATTTCTCATTTTAGAATAGAATACAAAGATTATTTTGTAACTATTCACTGTACGTATCTACTTAGATTACAAATACTATTTTGGAAAACACCGAAAAATAATTTTATTGTATACGTTTTATAAAAATTCTACGAAGTTAAAATTATTATTTAATAAATTAATATTAATTAAACATAGTATATTTTATACTTTGAATCAATATATAATATTCCTTGGAAGAAGAGATGAGACATTAAAAGATGATACATTGTTTAAATAAATTAAAAAATGTCAATTATATGTACATATTTTTATTTTAACCACTTTAAATCAACACACAATGCTATGTGATCACTTGGTGACACCACAGATGGTAGACCTGTATATACACCAAGTTCTTCTTTACTCGGCATTGGTATAACTTGTTCAACTGTTAAATAATCCGTTTGATAAAATATATAATCTAAACAACCGGAAAAGGTACCTGTATAATTTGTGTATTCTGGAGTACCACATGCACTAGATAAATTTGTGTCATGTTTAATACACACATTCTGAATTTGTTCTTTAACATCTATAATAAAACAATAAGAAATAATTATTAATCAAAATTTTATATAAACCGTTAATATAAAAACGTAAGACTAACCAGATTTCCAATCATTGTGATCTGCTGGTATATATTTTTCAGTCATTAATTTATAAACCCCATTATTTGGAACACTATTGAAATCACCACAATATAAAATACTAACGTTGCATTCAGGATTCTGTAAGATTTTGATTCATTATTAATCGTATTAGACATTTTATACTTTTCATTTGATTAATTTTGTACAAATACCTCTTTTTTTATTTTTTTAGCAAATGTGCGTAAATATGATAAACCATAATACGCTTGTAATAGGCGTATATGATCGGCTGTTATCCGAAAGTATAAATGTGTGTTGCCAACAATTAAAATTTCAGGATTTTCTTTGGATCGAAGTATTATTGTCTACAATAGATTATATCAGAATTAATTTTTCAGAAAATCATATTTAATCATTATATTATTATTATATTTAATAATATGATGTAATTATTTTATTCTAGTACCTGAATAATTGTATTTCTGTTTAAGAATGTTCGCTTTACATCGTCATTCTGAATTTGCGACCAAACAATGTTAAATTCATCTAGATTTGTACCTTGAGAGATAACACTGTAATCACAAGACAATTTATCAAATCTGTCCTGATTATAAAATATTGCAAGACCTTCCCGCATATCATTCTTTAAATTATATATACTGCCATAATTTAGGGTAGTTAAAGACAACTGCAAATCATTTGCATAAACTGAGGCATCTACTTCTTGAAGACATATTATGTCGCTATTGTATCCTACAGATATTCAACAATACCATTTATATTTATTTATTTGTAATTTAAAACGCTACTGTATAATGTTAAAAAAAGGAATACCTATCAGTTCTTTAAGAATTAATAATTTTCTATAATCCATAGATAAAGCATAATGTGGACAATATGGATATAAAGTTTCCTTAGAGGTAGCAGTTTCCGAGTATATATTTGCCAATATATTGTATGAAGTTACTCTGAAACTGAAATTTTATTTATAATTATGTGATAATTTTTGTGACATTTAAAATGAATAAATTAGAAATTACTTACCTTTTATCTGACAATTTATTTTTGGTAAAAGCGTGTCTAGCATTAAAAGGACATATACCAGGTCCAATTTCTACAGTACCATTTGATATGCTCTCTATTATAGGTCCACATTCTTCGCTATTCCTTGGAATACATGATACTTTTAATTTGCATCCTAAGTCAGATTTGCTTGGAACATATAAAAATCCTTCCCCTATATGTTTCCATTCAGGTTTTTGAATTTCACTTCTATACCAATTAAAAGTTGATTTTAATTTGTCTACGTTTGTTCCTTCAAATTTGGAAGGATAAACCGGAAAATCAATTAGAATGCTCGACGGTAATTCTATTTTAGTAATAAAAGGTACATTTTGTCTCAGTATATATTCCGTATCACAAATGACTAATTTTATGTCTGGTGAATCCTTTAAAATTGACTTACATGTAAGATCGCCATTAAGAACAGAGTGATCTCTCATAAATTTTATATCATTTTCAACATTAATTTTTAAGTCTTCCAAAGAATCTTCATCTTTTTTCTTTTTTCGGCATATTCGTTTTGTTATATAGGAGTTAATATTCTGACAAATTCGTTGAACAAAATTATTTATGGTTTCATCCACGTGTCTTTGAAAATTGAACTGTCTATCGATATTTAATATCGGATTAATGTAGCGGAATGACATGTTAAAATTCTCATTTCCTTCTTCGTAAAGTAAGATTGCTTCATTAGCATTTAATCGCATTATTGGTTGCGAGTAATTTTTTAAAATTTGTTGATAAACTTTCGGTTTCGATAAAACAGAGGTTAAGCACCTTGAATGCAAATTACGAAATAAGATCGACATTTTAGAGAAACATGATCTATCTATTTTTTTAGTGTAAAGTTTATGTTGTAATTTTTCCAGAGGAATTTTAAATATAAGTCTGATCTAATGTGAATAAGTTTAAATAATCACTGCTCCAAATTATCACTGCTCTAATAAAATGAAGCGTACCGAAGTGTCATCTCTCGTCACGAAACGAATTCAAGGTTATACAATTATGAATTTTCATTTGCAAGGAAGCCTAATTCATGGATTTAAATTGTGAAGTTTTGTATTTGACTCCTCTTAATTAGGTTCTCAGCTTTCTTCCTATACCTCTTTTGAAATATAAAACACAAAAATAGGCATTTTTAAGATTTATTAGTATTACTAACTTATCGATAGAAACTCTGCGCTAATTTGCAAAAAATAATGATCAAGAGGAATAATTTGTCAACTTTTTCGTATGCTTCTATAAAATTAGACGCTCTATCTATATTCTTGCCATATGTTTTATTCTAGAGAATGTGTGTAAAAAAATTTAAAATATTTAATAAATCGAAAATGTCCTTGTCACTCACTATTACTTTCCTTGTCTGTCACACGATGTATGTCTGTCTTTGTCGCACACTATTACTCTCCTTGACTATCGCACGTATATATATCTACCTTTGTTGCATTCTATTGCTTTCCTTGTCGGGCAGTATGACTGCTGCCATCTATCGGATTTTTCCAATTTACACTTTTAGTTCCACCCAAAAATACAGTGGCGTAGATGGCAGCACTATCGTTAGACAAAGAGCACAATAGCGTGCAACAAAGACAGACATACACCGTGTGACAGACAAGGAAAGTAATAGTGTGCGACAAGGACATCCTTCGATCTATCGAAGAAAAAATTCAACTTTTTACACACACGTTTTTCGAGGACAAAACATACATAGAAAGAAAGCTGGAAGCCTAATTTTAAGGAGGCATATAAAAAAGTTCGCAAATTATTCCTCTTAAATAGGTTTTTTTCGTAAATAGTGCGAATTGTCACAAAATAGATAATTATTATTTATAAAAAATACTTATTTCTGCATTTTACGGGTCAAATGGGGTATGAAAAAAAAGCTAAGAGTCTAATTAGGGTAATACAATCACAAAAATTCACAATTCATTTCGCTAAATTGGTTTTTTGAGCAAATAAAAATTTCTCTATTTCACGGGATAAGAAACACTAGCGTCGCGTTGTGGCAAAAGAGTGGAACTAAAATCTGTTGCTGTCCTTGTCTCACACTATTACTTTCTTTGTCTGTCACACGATGTATGCCTGTCTTTGTTGCACGCTATTGTGCTCCTTGTCTAACGATAGTTCTGCCATCTACGCCACTGTATTTTTGGGTGGAACTAAAAGTGTAAATTGGAAAAATCCGATAGATGGCAGCAGTCATACTGCCCGACAAGGAAAACAATAGAGTGCAACAAGGATAGATATATATACGTGCGGTAGACAGGGAGAGTAATAGTGTGAGACAAGGACAGCAACAGATTTTAGTTCTACCTTTTTGCCACATATCCCGTAAAATAGAGAAATTTATATTTGCCAAAAAAACCAATTTAGCGAAATGAAGTGTGAACTTTTGTGATTGTATTACCCTAATTAGACCCTTAGCTTTCTTTTCATACCCCATTTGACCCGTAAAATGCAGGAATAAGTATTTTTTTAAATAATTAGTACCACTGAGTTACCGCTAGATGGCGCCACCATGTCCATTTTGTGACAATTCGCAATAATTACGAAAAAAACCTAATTAAGAGGAATAATTTGCAAACTTTTTTATATGCCTCCTTAAAACTAGGCTCTCCGCTTTCTTTTTATGTACGTTTTGTCCTCGAAAAACGTATGTGTAAAAAGTTGAATTTTTTTCTTCAATAGATCGAAGGATGTCCGTCACACACTGTTATTTTATTACAGTTGTTTGTTACAGTTGAATACGATAAGAATATATTTAATTTTATACAAAATATAAAAATAATAATATATCAAATTTCACAATTTGTTTTGCTTTGAGGATTACGAGAGAAATGATCGTAATTATAGAAGATGAGAAACAAATTTTTTTATAGAAAGAATCATTTATGGTGATTCACTTGATTGCTATTTTATGTTTAAACGAATTCAAATATGTTTCATTGAGTTTGTGGCATCAGAGATTGCTAAAAGTTATTTTCAATTTAAATCAATTTTTAATAAATTTCTATGTAAATTTATTTAAATGTGGGCAGTTTTAAAATTCAAAATTTCAACCGAAAGTCGCATATCATTCTTTGAGCTCATATGTATATATATATTATATATATACACACATGCATATACATATATGTGTACACACACACACACAGAAGAATTGATTCAAATACGAATGTAATATTAAAACAAATAATTTTATTCAATGGATAATTATGTCGAAAAATAATTACAGTTACAATACATAAAGCGTATTAATAATTAAAGATCATATACTTAGTGCTATTCTAACGAACATGAAAGTTTACTTCTAGATATAACTATAATGCTATTACGGTTCATCTCTTTGATAATATACACATTTTGTAATATAATTATCATTTTGTATAATTATACAAAAATTGTTTTAGTCTTTTCAAATCTAAATAGGTCTACGAACCAGATCTGTAAAATGTGAAGTTTCAATAAAAATCTTTTCAGAAGCTATCTTTGGCAACCTTGAATAATTTGAACAAATATTATTGGAAATATTGCTAATTGACTATTTAACATATGTACATATGTCATTACCATTTTGTTTCTTGTCACTTTGACTATTAATATTTAACGAATATAGTTATCCTTCAATCCTTCATAATAAAATTATACAGCACAAACATTGTTTTAAACATTTTTAAACACATATTTTTCCATTTTTTAAATTGAGTACAGAAAAATAAACTTTTGTAGGATATTTTTTGTGGCACGTATAATGTCCAATGATAATTCGTAAAAAAAATTAAAATTTATGTTAATTTGAAAATCTTATTTTCAAAACAACAAACTTCGCAATTACCTCAAATTAATATTGTGTATTTTCGTATTCGAACACATTCGTTTTGATTCATTGTACAAAATTCGCTATGCGGTCAAATTCTTAAAATTAGTTTAAGAACCTTGTATTTGGAAGTATTTTATACAGATATTTTTTTCTTAATTATAATAAAGCACCATCAATATACAGGAAACGTATTCTTAACGATTATTTACATAAGTAATCTATATATATATAAACAACTATATATTCTGAATTTAATTCAGATTTTTTATGAGAATAAAAAACATAATATTTTCTTTGACATTCAGATAAATAAAATTCTGTCTTAGTGAAGTAAAAAAATTCACAAAAATGTAAGATCAAATATATAGTGTATAAAATTTTCTGGTCAACCAAAATTAAAATATTTTTATATGCAACAATAGCAATGTTTGATTGTATTAATAATGATCAACAATATGTCAAATATCTAATTCTGTATAATCATACATAAGATAAAATTGAATGTTATATAAAAGAAGAATTGCTTCAATTGAACTACAATTTGGTACATTGTAGGAGATGACTTTCTAGCGATAGCATACACCAAATATCCATGATTTCAAACATTTGTTATCACTTTAGTCATATATTATTTATATGACATAATATATGTGTTTCATATAATCCTTAATGTCATACATTGTTTTTTTTTTAAATGTGCGCGCTAATTACCAGGTACTAGTTAATATATGCAACAGAAGAGACTATTCTTTAAAATGAATATAATACAACTTTTTTTCTGATGAAAAACTGCATACCTTTGGACAAAGTTTTTGCTGTAATTTGTAAAGATCTGTAAATTATTGCATAAATAAAAATGCTAATTATCATTACATTCGGTATCCATTCTTAAATTAAAAATAATAATATAAATTTATATTATTTGATAACTTATTATCAAACAAGATAACAATTATACATATTTGCGTTTTTGATTTTTTAAATAAATTATTTATGGCATTTTTGAAATCTTTCCTCAAAATCTGGAATACTTATATATTAAAGAAAAACATTGAAATAATTTTATTGTTTCAATGTTCAATGACACATTTACCATTAAATTATGAGTAATATACTAAAGTAAAAAATTCTTTTTAAATAAGTCTAGGATTTTATCTAAGATGTCCAAAGATATGTATAAACAAAAATAATATAAAAATATTTCAGAAGACGTTTATCTTTATAGTCTCTTAGACTGCAACATTTATACTCTTTGCTTAAATGAACAAAAATAATCACTTACATTTACTTGCTGCCAGATTTGGAAGAAATAAAAACTGTAGCTAAATTATAGAAATAATAAAATTATCTCTTTTCATATACAGCGATCAAATCGCCACTAACTATATAAAGCTTAAACTAAAGGCTAGTCACGCATTATTAGTAAGCAGAAAGTCAAAAGGCACCATGTTCCCCAATATCTTAGAAATACTTGATTGCACTTGAAAACTAATTTATGCTTGCTATAATAATAAAATAATACAAATTTCAGATCATTAAAGAGAAGTCCTTGACATTTTCGTGATAATAAAAATATAAGAATCGATATTTTAGAAATTATGATCTTAATCGAAAAGATTCATAAATTGATTTATATAAATTTTTTCTTCTATCTTAAATAATTCGAAGCGTATCACGCTATGATAGAGGAATCTGAGAGCTTTCATATATTAAAACTTTAACACTTACTCTAAAAAAATCTCGATCAATAAATAAAAAAGATCGAGGCTAGTTGGAACGATTAAAATTTTTAACAATCTACAATTGATACTTTTAAATGAATAATAACAGATCCATGGCCTAATTTGTTACATTTAAGACTAGAAAAAGTCATCCATGGAGAGCATTAAGACGATAGTGCGAGGCCCAAGCGAGCAAATGCCATTTCCTTTCGTAACCGAGTAATTTCCCAATAAACATCGTGAACTGTAACAGTTAAATTTTCTACATTACAAGAATAAAAAATTAGAATTATCAATATTTACCTGAACTTTTTACAAGGCCACGCTCAATATAACGTAAGTAATTCAAAAAATCGCAAACCGCTATAATCTGCAAAAATATATATTATTTTATGTTCAATATTTGCAAAAATTTGCAATGAATCATTTCCGAGATTTCAAAACTCACTCGATTGCGACAAATTTGTGATATGCTGTACCACTGATTTTCTTGATCCCCAAGTCTCATTCGATAATAACATTGTCGTGGTGCTTCAAGCAATACACATTTTCTAAAGAAACAAAAGAAAAGAAACAAAAGACATATTGATTTAATACGACCAGAAAATTTGTAACATATATATTAGTACGATAGTAAAACACAAGATTTACTTTGGAAAAGTGAATTTAGTTTTGTCGCTGATCGCTTCGATAAAGATGATGCCATCGAGAACGGCTTGTCTAACTTTTGTACCCAATTCTTTGTTAGGGAAATCAAGGCAAAGATCGATGTCTTCTTTAAAGATTCTATCAACAAAAGGATCACCTTTGTCTACACATGGATTAGCTTTCCATTTAAGAAACTCCGTATGTACTCTAGGATCAACTTCGAGGCCAAAATCTTTGCATTCTTTGTCTTTCTCCTTTTCTGAATCTTTCTTCCAATCTTTTTCTAGTGTCTCTCGGTCCGATGGTAAAGATGGTCTTTGTTCTTTCAGCGGAGAATCCGGTGGAGAATTCTCTCGACCGTATTTCAAATTGAAATGCGATGGTGATCTAAATGGAAGAATATCTCAGATATAATATAACTGACAATAACTGACAAAGCATATGATTAAAAGGTGCTTATTACTGTATTTTTACCTTCGATGTTTCCTTGCAAAAAGACCTTGTTGAGTATCTTCACTGCTTGGACGATTTTTTGTATCGATCTGCGGATGCAGATGAAAGTTTGGTTTAGCTGGTGTTGAAGTTAATACTAATGTTTTTAGAGCAGCTACTTCTGCAGCTAGAACTTCCGCTTTCATACGACTTTCTTCTAATAGTCGCTCTGCAGTAGCTTGACGTATATTTGCTTCTCGTACCATGTTATGTGCCTCCTATTCATATGTAAAAATATAATTAATGTTTTATATCTTTACACTTCAACAATGTAGTTCATGAGGTTTACTTGAAAGAGACTGGCAGTGAGTTCCTCCAATTCAACTTCAACATCTTGTTTGATTCTTGAAAGTCTTGTGACTTCTTCATCCTTCAATTTCAACTCCTCGTGTGCTCTTTTAAGTTCATCTTGTAATTTTGCTACAGCATGTTCTTTTACTTCAGCTATAGCTCTACCCCATTGTAAAGTTGTTGGTGAGGGGGGTTCCTTTTCCTGAGAATTCTGAAAAAAATAATTGAATATCATTACAGCAATACAAACAAATTAATGTAATGATAATGTAATGAATTACAAGAAATTACTTGAGAGTCTTTTATACATAATAATGGTTTTGAAGAGTTATTACAATGGTTGAGCTTTGTTGAATCATTAACGGAATCTTTGTTGTTTATTATTTCAACATCTTCTTCATTAAATGTAATAGGTAATGGTTTGATACAATGATTTTGATTTTCAAACAGTTTATGTTCATTCTTGTTCAACCTTGCCAAAGTGTCGTGGGATTTTGCAGGATTTCTTTGTTCCATCGTTGATGAATTTCAATATTGCAATAGAACATTGTGGAGCTTTCTTGTATACGTAAATACAGGAGCGGCCTTGGTTGAACTGGAACTAAACAAATGAGCCTGTAGGAACAGATGCTGTTTGATTTAAAAATAATTTGTCTTAGTAGCAACATTTTATAAAAATATCCCCTGAAATATTCTTGTAAGTAATGAGAAATGACCAAAATAGAGGTGCTTATGTTGCGCAATTATGTATATATGTCGACTTTTAGATCTAAAAAAAGAAACAGCATAGAAAATTCTGATTATACGTAATTTAAGATTGATTCATCTCTACATAACAAAAGAGGGGGTAAAATAAAAAAAACGATGATTTTTTTATCAAAATAATTTACAATTATTATTAAATCATAAAACACGTAGAACTGTTGCACACCTTTCATAACGGATACCCCTTAATTAATAGCAATTCATCTTGGCAATTAAAAGCACGAGAGAATAAATTTCGTTAGACAAGTATTCTTTTATTTATACAGACGCTCCGTTATTACTGCAATACATAAAATCATTGTTTGAAATATTGTTTTAGTGCATCTCTTCAACGAAGATCAAAATGTACAGCATCCAAAGATGAGAGGGAAAAACGAATCCACGCGTATCGATCCGAAGTCGGTGTGATTCTGACAGTACCCAACAGTGGTTCTGTAACTTACCCATGAACCTTTCTTCACGCAAGTCTCCTGCCATTAGTGGGTTTGGCGAAAGTCATCAAATTTTAAATCAGAGAGGGAAGATAGAAGAAGAATTTTTTCTGCAATATGTCAACTCGGTGTCAACGTATATAACGAAATGACATCCATCACCTTCGCGCGATCCGCAACACGGCCCTACTGATGTACAGGCAACAGTGAACTTTCAAGCGCCACAGGTTACCCCCTGCTAAACGCTCGTACTACCTCGTACCAGCTCGTGCTCGTGCTCCGTAGATTATGAAGTCATTGAGGTTCACGCGTGTCTTAAATTAGACAAGGAATTATGAAAGCGAGCATCGTGGCACGCATACGAAAATCACTTCTGAAATGCGAACTGCACTGCTCGCGTGTGTGGAGATTCGCTCGTTGCCGCCTTTTTAATGTAATTAGAATTAAAGCGATTTCAATTGCGCTCAATGTCGCTGGAATTTAATCTATTATCGTTTTCTCACGGTCTCGTTTCTGCGTTATTTCAATTAAACAAATGTCGATGGGCTTTAAAGGTATTTCAGAAATATATAAGCTTCGCAGGTGATTGCGCGCACGTGGAATATTGTAGATGAAAATTTTTAGATGCAACAGTACCTTATCTTTTTTTTTTCCAGCGGTAATCTCGACGTCTAGTGACTTGGTAATTTCGTCTCGTTTCTCCGTCAATGGAATCTCGTGCTCTCTTCTTTACCGTTATGAGGCGTCTGCTGTAGTGTTTGGTGCTTTTCGTGCGTGACTATTCTTCTTTGTGTCTGTGCGATGGCATAGTTCCGACCGTACGAAGTGAATTCGAGTCCAAGAAGTTAAATATGAATCACTTGCAACTGGAATAATTTATATTTATAAATGATGGATATTGAAAGTGAGTACCACTTCATTTCACTTACATTTTTTTTCTACGCTAGTATATTCATGAAAAAATTATAAATAATGAATGTAGTATTATTGAGATTAATGTATATGAAAAATATACATCTATATATTATATAAAAAGATTTATAAAGATTAACCTTTATTGCATAAGTAGGAGTTAGTAATTAATATAATTTCTTTAATAATTAGCATAGTGTGCTATGTGTATATATATGTTGATTTGATAATAGGATTAATTAAAAAGAAGAAACGGGTCAAACGTGATGGCAATCTTCAGCAATTGGCTGAAATTGTTAAAGAGCTTGGAGATGTATATTTTGAAAGTGGCAAGTATGAAGATGCTTTGCAGGAGTATACAGAACAATTGGAAATTTGCAATATCTTGCAAGACAAATTAAATATAGCAGTAGCTCACAGAATGATTGGAGAGATACAAATAAATCTTGGCACCTATGAGAAAGCATTAGAGCATCAAAATCTTTACTTGGGTTTGTATTGATGTACATTGATACTTTGTTAAATTATATAGCTGTAATAAAAATATTTTTTGTGTTAGGTAGAAGGAGCCAAAGAAATAAAAAATTTATTAGAAGAGCAACGAGCTTATGCAACATTAGGTAGAACATATTTCTGCTGGGCTGAAAGTTTGCCTGAAGAATCTGAAAAGAAACCTGATGCTCTCACAAATGCAAGAAAAGCATACATGAAGAGCATACATCTTTGCAATGAGTATTATATCCTTTTTTGTATATTTAGTATTAATTTTCTAAGCAGTATATTGTAAAAAAAGATATTTGTATTTTCTTTAGACTAAGTGATACTAACATCAAATTGAAGGAACTGATTACAATGAGAGCACGATTATTACTGAATTTGGGATTAGTACTAGAAGGTGAAAAAAAACATCAAGAGGCTATTGATCTATTGGAAAAAGCTGCAGGTTTATGTAAGACACATAATTTACGAGAAGATTTTCACAGAACGCAAATTGCTCTTGGAGGAATTCATGAAAGAAATTGTGATTATGATCTGGCTTTAACACATTTTGAATCTGCCACTGAAGTCGATAATTCAACTTTAAAAGCGGAAGCACGATTTCTCCAAGCAGAATTGCTTTTAAAAATAGAAAAATGGTCTGAATCGCGGAAAATATTAGTCCCTCTTTACGTTACGGATAACTTACCGGAAACTCTGAAACGTCAAATAGAAAAATGTCTCAGGATAGGTATGATTTATGAGAATATATTTGTTTTGAAGATTTTTATGCAGTAATATCTATTTTAAAAAATTATTTATTTATAGTTGTAACGTTACAAACAACTGAAGAAGCTTTAAGTACAGAAGAAAATACCAGCATTAAGTTGAAATATTATGAAACATTAGGAGATGCAGCAGTGGCTGCACATTGTTTTGAAAAAGCTGTAGAATATTACAGAAAAATGCTCGTATATGCAGAAGAAACTGAAAGCGAGCGTACAGGGGCAGCTTTACTAAGTTTAGCCCAAACATTGAAAGATGTTGGTCGATATAATGAAGCATTGGATTTTGCTTATAGAGAATTAAAACTATGTATAGATCCACGTGAAATATGTAGATCTGCTTTGTTTCTGGCAGATTTATTAATAGCTACTAAAGCAACTGCCGAGAAAGTTGAAGAAATTTACAGTTTAGCCTTGGAAAATGCAAAAACTTGCAATGATGTTTCTTTAAAAGTAAGTGTATTAACAGAACGTTTAAATTATTTAACCAATACTGATAGAACAGAAGAAATAAAAATACTTACAGAAGATCTAAATAAATTGGAGGAATTATGTAATGATACAGATAATGAAAGTGAATCAGAAGAAACTATTGGTACAAATATTTGTTTGGAAGATTTATCGGATGTTGAAGCAGAGTTAAAGGTTAAAGAAAATGTCAAAAATAAGAAACGAATAAAAAGAAATAAGTCGGTTGCCGTAAAAAGGAATGAAAAAGGGGAGACACAGCTTCACGTAGCTTGTATCAATGGCAATATTGAAACTGTAGAAAGATTATTAGAATCTGGACATTCAACGAGTGTTAGAGATAATTTTGGTTGGACTCCTCTTCACGAAGCAGCTAATCATGGTCATGTGGAAATTGCAAAATTATTATTAAAGTATGGTGCAGATATAAATGATCCTGGAAGTTTAATGTGTCAAGGAGTTACTCCTCTTCATGACGCGGCTTCTTGCGGTAATTTTACTATGATAAGGCTATTAATCGAACACGGAGCAAATGTAGAACTTAAAACAAACGAGGATGATACCGTACTAGATTGTTTGGAACAGTGGAAAAATCGTGTTGATTTTTTATCTCATGAAGATGAAGCGGAGTACAATGAATTACATAAAATATTATCTACTATGATACCGGCCAGTAAAACGAAAATTTCGAAACGATCTCATAAATCACCATGCAATTCAAAAACTCATATCGTAGATGAAAGTGTTCGTATAGAAAAGATTTCTGCAGGTGAAGATTATAAAAGAACTATAGCTAGCTTGAAACATAGAAATGATCCAATTGGAGCTTCTTTGTGCTCTACGAAACGAAATGTGAATCCACTTTTAAATAGCGAGGAGATCCTTTTGAATGATTGGCTAGAAGATGATATGAATAAAAATATAAATAATAGAAGGCATTCTAATGAATATTCCTTCTCATTGACAAAAAGAAAATCAAATAATGGAGGTGTTGATGTCGAGAAAAATTTAAAACGGCAGAAAACGAATGACCAAGTTCTAATAGTAAATAATGACGAGTTCGATATGATAGAGGAAGATAGTGAGGATAACTGTGATATTGAAATAAGACAGATTTCTAGTGAATGTAAAGTTCAGAAAAAAAAACAGCAAATCTCTTTGTTATCAGTTGGATTTACTAAAGATTCTACTTCTCGAAGTTCTTCACCTGTAACTCCATCTGCTACAGAATGCGAATCGAGAGAAATCGATACTATAAGGTCAGTTATTTTAAACATCTCTGTGGATGGAAAAATGTTCAAAACTCAAATAGAATTTTCGAATACAGCAAGACCATTAATAGAAGAAATTGTAGCTGATATTGAAACTAAATTTTATAATGATACAGGATGTAAAACAAAACTAGATTTGAAAACTATGGATGGTATTGAGATCAATTGCAATAATGTGTTCGCGATATTAAATGAAGGGAACATCATTAAAAATTTGATATGCGAAATAATTCAGTTAGAAACTCCTTCTATTGTTGAACGATATGGAACTATTTGTAAAAATTATAATATAGGTAAATGTTTTATGAATACATATACTTATTTCATAATTTTCAAAGTAATCATTATTTTCAATACTTTTAGATGTCCGGGAATGTATGTTAAAGTGCTTAAAATCATGTGAAAATACTTTTACTTTACGGCTGAAGCAAGAAGATATTGGAAAAGAAGAATTTATATCCTTATTGAAAACTTTGGAATATGAAAAGAATGTTCAAATATTAGATTTATCTGGTGGTAACCTACATGAACTCGGGAAAGTTTTAAACGCTTGTATTTTAAGATTGTCAACTTTACAAGAATTGTGCCTTCAAGGATGTGATATAGATTCTACATGTCTAAGTAAATTGGAAAAACTACCTTCCCAACTTAAATTTCTAGATCTTAGCTATAATCCATTTGGATCAGCAAGTCAAGAAATCTTGTGCAAACTTCTCACCCCTTTGACACAGCTTCGGACATTGAATTTGAGATATTGCCAATTAAATAACTTTCGTTTTTTTTTAAACAATAGTAATCTGGTAAACCTAGATATTTCTTGGAATTGTTTTAGTGAAGATGAGCTCTGTGCCACTTTACAAAGACAATTACTTAACTTAAATTTATCCAATACTGCTTCTAACAATTTTAATTTGGTGAAAAATATTTTTAATAAAACAGATTTTTCATTTGTTACCTTGGAATGTTTAGAGCTTGCTTCTTGCGAATTGTCAAATACCGATATTAGAAATATATTGTCACATGTATCTAATCTTTCGAAATTGGTTTTAAAGGGAAATAGAAAAGTGGGAGTACAATCTCTAAATATGTTATTAAATTATACACCAACATTACAACACATCGATATTAGTGGATGCGAAAATATTATGGAATTTCCCGATTCTGAAATATTTATTGAGAAACCTGAAATTTGTAAATTAATCGTGAGTATGCATCCAGAAGTATGCGATTGTTGGGTTCGATTATGGCGCGGAAAGGGTGTTGTGAAAAAACTACCACATAATCTTACTATTTTTGAACCTGTAGTTTAATATTTTAAATATCGTTTATACATAAAGATTGCTACAAAATTATAAATTGCAGACAATTTTCATTTACTTTGAAACATATATTTTTCATCTTACATGTAGATAATCATTGTCACTAACTTTTTATTAGATTTTAATTTTAATTTTTATACAGATTATTCTATTGAGTTGTCAATTTATAGTAATAAATAAAATATTTTTTAACGATTGAATAATACGTCTACATTAAGTTTCAGAAAATATTTTGTGAAATCTAATCAAATTTCTAATACCGGAAGTGCATTTTCTGTGAATGGGAAGTGCATCAGTGTGAATGGGAGCATATTTGACAAAGTCCAATTTAATGTATATTTGTTATCAAAGTTTGATTGTTGACAATAACCTATTTTTCAAACTAGTGCTGAATGAAATCATAGAAAGCATAAAAATGTGTATGGTTAAATAAGTATTTAAATAGGATGTATGAAGATGTTTTAAAACCATAAATATTTATAACAAGCAACAAACAGGCAATAATTGATTACTAATACTGTCAACATTATACAATAATGTAAGTGAACGATAGTTCTAATCATGCTAATTTAATGTCGACTGAATCATTATAGCAATTTAATATCAATTCAATCATTGTAGCAATTTTTATATGTCATAACAATTTCTTTTAGATGCTAATTCAGTAAAGAATACAAAATAACTGATGTTCATTGAATATTAATAAGATGTTCATATATTTGAGTAAAAAAATAGCAATACCGAATAACTTTCGTCTGAATTGTATAGCATGGAATCAACGCGAAGGTTATATAGCTGTTGGTGGAGAGGATGGTCTTTTGAAAGTACTTAGAGTAGACTCCAATGCAAGTAGCTCTACCAGTGGTGGAAAGTCTAGAAACTTGACTGCTGCCAGCAACCTAAGTATGAATCAGACTTTAGAGGGTCATAATGGTCATGTGCAAGTAGTCATCTGGAACGAACAACATCAGAAACTAACCTCAAGCGATCAGAATGGTGTAATTATAGTTTGGATGTTGTATAAGGGCTCTTGGTATGATGAAATGATAAACAATTGCAATAAATCGATAGTTAAAGGGATGGCATGGAGCTCGGATGGACTAAAAATTTGCATAGTTTATGAAGATGGAGCAGTTATTGTAGGTTCAGTTGATGGCAACAGAATCTGGGGAAAAGAATTAAAAAATACAGCACTTGTTGCTGTACAATGGTCTCCTGATGGAAAATTATTATTATTTGGCATCAAAAATGGGGAAGTTCATCTTTTTGATAACCAAGGTGTATTCTTAACAAAGTTAAATATGATACCATTGAATGGCGGTCAAATTCAAACAATAGTTTCAATGCAATGGTATGATGGAAGGAATGGTTTCGTTAGCCTGGATTGTCCATCTTTAGCTGTTTGCTACAGAAATGGTAAAATACAGTTAATGAAAAATACTAATGATGATAATCCAATTATAGTAGAAACTGGTATGACAGTGGCATGGTGTTGTTGGAATAGTTATGGATCTATATTAGCAGTAACTGGAATGTTACCGTTATTAGGCAATGGAGAAACAAAAGACACTAATGTCATTCAATTCTATACTCCATTTGGTAAACATATGAAAACTCTAAAAATACCTGGTAGAGAAGTCACTTGTTGTGCATGGGAGGGAGGATCACTTAGAGTAGCGTTATCTATTGACTCTCATATTTATTTTGCGAATATTCGTTTAGATTATAAATGGACTTATTTCAGTAACACGGTCGTGTATACAAACGAAAAGATTACTAAGGATGGTATTTGTATCATGTTTTGGAATACAACAAATAATACATGCTGTACTAAGAACGTTAGAGCATTGATTTCTATAGCTTCACATGGAGATCATTGTGTTTTGGCAATAAAAAATGATTTTGCTCAGGGATCAGAGCAATTTGCACTTTTAGTGTGCAATACAATTGCCACTCCAATAGATACTAAGTTTATAGATTTAGAGCCGCTATGGGTAACTATGACTAATAGTGTGATTGTCACAGCATCGAAGAATAATTTTTTGGTATGGAGTTATCGCACTCCTCATAATTCCATGTTGCATGCAGGACGAATTAGGAGAGATAAGATTTACCATATTGACGAAACTCCAACCGGCGTGACGGAAGTTATTCAAGATTTAGACAAAGATAGATCCTTCGAATCACCTATTAATACTAAAGCTACTATGGATCCAATTTGTTGTTTGTGTGCAACTGATAAAATTTTATTGATTGGCAGAGAATCGGGAATGATACAAAGATATTCTTTAGCTCAGATAACTCTTACAAACAGATACAACACAGCATGTAAGCTCTACAAAATTGCAATCAACTGTGATTCATCTCGTGCGTCTATTATGGATTCGAGTGGCGTTTTAACCATGTTAGATTTAGAAACTGATATCAAGAGAAATACTTTGAAAGATGGAGAGTCAGAGGACGAAATAAATAAGTTTGAAAGAAAAGATGTGTGGGCCATGTGTTGGGCACAGGACAATCCCGCATTATTAGCAATTATAGAAAAAACCAGGATGTACGTTTTAAGAGAATTTGATCCTGAAGAACCGATATCTTGTTCTGGATACATCTGTTCATTTCGAGATTTAGAGATACGTTGCGTTTTATTGGATGATCTCATGCAAAAACCAGAAGATACAAAAACCGAATTAATAGTGGATTTAGAAGTGAAATCCCTCAGGGATACTAGAGAATTGTTGACGAAAGTAGGATTGAAAGAGGCGAACAATTTCATCCAGGACAATCCACATCCACGGTTATGGCGTTTGTTAGCAGAATCAGCTTTGCAGAAACTAGATTTAGAAACTGCAGAAAATGCAATGGTTCGTTGTACAGATTATTTAGGTATACAATTTATCAAACGTTTGCAAAATGTGCACAATGATCAACTGAAGAAAGCAGAGGTGGCTGCGTTTCTTGGCAACTATGACGAAGCTGAAAAATTATATTTAGACATGGACAGAAGAGATCTTGCTATTTCGTTACGTCAAAAATTGGGAGATTACTTTCGAGTCGTACAGTTAATGAAGATGGGAATAGGTGGCTCTGATAAGCAAATGGAATATGCCTATAATAAAATTGGCGAATATTACGCCGAGAGACAGAATTGGGAAGGTGCAAAAGAGTATTATGAAAAGAGCAGAAATCTAGAGAAACTCATAGAATGTTATTATAAATTAGAAGATTTCAGTCAATTAGCAGGAACAGTGCAACAGCTACCAGATAAAAGTCCCTTATTAAAAACCGTAGCAAGAATGTTAGGTTCTGTGGGTATGTGCTCTCAGGCAGTGGCAGCATATATAAAATATGGAGATGTAAAACTAGCCGTGGATACGTGTGTTCGTTTGAATCACTGGGACCAAGCAGTCGAATTGGCAAAAACTTATAAGATGGCACAGATAGGTGAATTATTGAATAAGTATGCAAATCATCTTTTGTCGAATGGAAAGAGACTGCAGGCTATAGAATTGTACAAGAAGGCAAATCATAACTTGGAAGCAGCAAAATTACTATTCCAGCTAGCAGAAGAACAAGCAAAGACTAAAACTAATCCATTACGTGTGAAGAAAATTTATGTTCTAGCAGCTCTGCTAGTTGAGGATCATATCAACGCTGCTCCAGCTGTTAAGGGAGGTCGTAGCAATGTTGTAATGGGTTTAACAGAGAACAACGAAGATACTCGGATAATAGAGAATGCCTGGAAAGGAGCAGAGGCATATCATTTCCTTCTGTTAGCAAATAGACAACTGTATTCAGGAAATTTTGACGGAGCTATGAAAACAGCTTTAAGACTGAGGGAATATGAAGATATCTTGCAACCCGAAGATATTTACTGCTTGCTTGCTCTGTCAAGTGCAGTTAATCATGCTTTTGCAGTCTGCTCCAAAGCGTTCATCAAATTGGAGTCTTTAGAGTCTATCTCAGAAACGACCAGAGAAGAATATGAAGATTTAGCTGTGGACATCTTCACAAAACACAGTCCTCAAGATGTTCGTAATTCTAAAGCGGAATGTACAAGTTGCGAGAGTTTGATACCCGACTGGTGTGTCGCTTGTCCCAATTGTATGACCAGATTCCCTCCTTGTATCATTTCTGGGAAACCGTTAATGGATCTGGCCAATGCGTGGATCTGTACCGTTTGTAGACATTATGTGGCTACAGAACGAGATGTGGTTAATATTAACGCTTGCCCATTGTGTCACAGTACGATTACGTACATGTAGTTGACGTGTGTGAGTATGCATTAAACATGCATTATCAGATAAATATTTGATGCTTGCACTATAACAAACATGTTGTTGGCCACTTTTGAGCTTATTATCGAAAAATATTAGGTTTCATTTTTATAGTAGTATACACTATTACTTAGAAGGTACATTGCTTAAAAGTACTAATGTTACAATTTAGGTAATATGTTCGGTATCTGGTTGATTTATCGAATTAACGAGGACAATGGGTAATTGATCATATATAGAATAATGTTTGATAGTATGATTATTTAAATTAATGTTATTTATCACGGAGTAAATATATGATATTTTATTTCAAAGAAATATTATTAGGGATACGTGAGATGTAAAATTTTTGTAATTGTATAATTTCTGATCTCATTTATAAGTCTGAAATTTCGTTCATAAGCTTTTTCGTTTTTATATTTAAATTGTTCCTTTCCACAATTTAAATTGTGAAGCAATTCTTTACTTCAAGCATCTTTTTGTATTGTGCAATAAATTTATAAAATTTAATTGCACAATGGTACTTTTTCCGTCCAAAAATTGAAACATTGAAATTCCGTCCATAATACGTATAATGTTATTTATTAATTTTTATATTGTTGTAATCGTTTACATTAAACATATTTTAGATTATTTATTGTTTTTTTTTTAACGAATATTTCCCTCCAATTCAATTTCATCCAATAAAATTCAAAGGTCTGCGCATGGCAACTAATTTGGCGCGTTATGAAATTTCAAATATCCTGTTTCAACAGGACGCTTTCGATC